TAATATTTTTGACTGTGCGACCATCAACTTCGAATGCGTCAGCCGACCGTCTTTCCGTCTCGTTCTCGTTCTGAACAATGTGGGCGAGCCGGCGAGAGACGGACAGCTCGTATATAGACTCCTCGACGGTATCTGAACCAGGTACATCCACACCGTGGTTGGCCGATGCTGACCAATACGATGCACACGAGCAATAGCTTGGAGCTCGATTGCTGTGTTGATCAGCGGTTCGCAGAGGAACACATGTGTCGCGTTGACCAGATTCAGCCCCGATGATTGGGCTTTGGCGTGGAGGAGAAAGCATTCGACCTATAGGCATCAGAACTAAAACTTCCCGTACACTCAGGAAGTGACTACTTACCGATGGGTCACTCTTGAAGTTGTGGATGCCATCATTGCTGTCGACACTGCTGAAACCAATTTTGAACTTGGAAAACGCCACCCGTAGGTAGGTCAAGAAGCTTTTATATTGGGAGAAGACGACGGACTTTGCCCCGGGGTCGTGTTCACGCAGCCACAAAATGTGACGCGCCAGCATATCGATCTTTGTACCAAAGGAGCTGTCCAGATCAATGTTTTTGATCTCTGCCATGGTCCCGGAACTGATGTCGGCGTATATCAGATTCTTTGACGATCGTTCGGTCTCGATCTTAGTAGGCGTCTTCTCCACTTGCACGACAAATTCCTGCGGTTTATACGTGATCTGGTGGAAGTCGTTTCCTTTCAGTCGCTTTTTGCAGGTTGGGCAATTCCGATGCTGGTTCCACCACATGCGCAGACAATCCTTGCAGTATTTATGGCCACAAACCGTCAACACACCTGTCTACTGTTAGCATAACCCTTCTGGCTGCGGAGGCGACAGTCCTACCGATCTCAAAGATTGACTGGCATATAACGCATGTTCGTGAAACGTCCTCCGAACCGGACTCATCCCGCAGATGGATAAGATAACGGCGTTTAGCCTTTAACGCTGAAATTTTCTCGTCCAACGCCTCCTCCTGCCTGAGCTTCGAATCGAAGAGCACCTGGTCAAGGGGCTTCCCGACACTTTCTTCATCGTAAGGGGCGACTGTGTCAGAAATCTGCTGCAGCTGGCGATAGTAGGCGAGACGATTGTTCATCGTATCTCGGAACATTTCTACTTCCCTTTCCAGGTTTGAAGCGATCTTTCCCTGCTCTGATGCTATGTGGGCAGCATTCTGGATGACGAGAGTGACGATCTCAAGCTCGGCACGGGCACGGGCACTTCCTTCATTTGCCTGCCATTCAAGGGATGTCGCGAGACTGCGTAGTTCGGTGATGATGGCGCGGAGCGAGCGGCCAGCATCAGGTTTGAGCCGGCTCCGGATGTCCATAACCTCCAGGAAGAGTTTGGGGGAAGGTCCTTCTCCTTTCTTGGCTTGGATTATACCCGTCTTCACTTCGTGTGCGATAAGGATGTTCCTCTGTCCTGTCAGGGCGTCGTGGCGATCTGCAAACATTGCACGCAATGCTTCCATATAGACGTACATTTCATCCTGCTGCTTTGTCGACTGCTCGTATTCATCGCCTTCAAGCTCCGACTCATCTTCTTGGTCGATGAGAGACTGTGAAAGCAGCTTGATCATGATTTGTCGCCACTCATCATACTGTTCGGCGTGTTTGTTCATCGTCTCGCAGAATTCTTCAAACTCATCGAGAACCCTACGGGACTCCAGACCCTTGTTGTAGAGCTGGGGTTTCATTTTGATGATTTTCACAAATTGTTTATGCTTGTTCTTCTCCTTGATCACCTTCATGAGTCGACCCGCCTTCCGAGAGATGTCAGTAAGCAATTCTTTACGAATTAACTTCGCTTTCTCGTATGCCTCTACTTCGAGTTTCTCCAAGGCTGCAAATCGCTCAGATTCGGGTTCCGTGAGTTTTGGGTCAGTTTTAATCTGATAATATGCGTTTCCGGTAAAGAAGACACATATATGCTCGACTTCGAGGGCCGACCGCAGCCTCTGGCGCATGGCACCTACTCTGGGATTCTTGTCTGCATCTTCTCCCTCGATATCGCTTGTATCAGCAGAACCGGCATCTTTTTCAGGCGTGTCCGTGGTCGTTTTAATCTTCTTGCGCTCAGACTCCAGCCGCTCACGACACTCCTTGACAATGGCGGCGGCTCGCTTCAAGGATGCCATCCACAGGTCGAGAGCTTGTTGCCGATGCATAGCGTTCTCCAGCAATTGTCCTCTTCGCAGTCGGGATAGAAGAAGTGTCCGTTCCTCGCCGTATATCAGGGCGTCATTTTGATCGATCATTTGCTCGAGGACTTCAGCAACCGATCTCAACGGCCCGCCCGCCCCAAAGCCACGCCTGTAGTTTCCGGTTGGATGAAGGCAGGTCAAGCGTAGCCGCACCAGCCAGCTCCGCATCTTCTCAACCACCGAGGGGTCGTCGGGATTCCAGTCGTCGCGCGTAGGAGCTCCGAATAGATCGAAGCCGCAATCCTCACACATTTGTTCGAATTGCTGATTATAATGCTGCTCTTCAACTGCGGTGAAAGGTATAGTGATGACAAGCCTCTTCTGAGCTGGCAATTGGATCTCATCGCGGACACGATCCTTGCTGTGCCGGAGAGCGATGCTGTTGACAATTCTAGCCAAAACCGAGGTGAAGTCAACACACAGCGTATGCCAGATAAACCCACAGAATGGGTGATAATGAAGAAATATCAGAAGCCCAAGAAGATCCGTTATGTCTTTGCGAAGTGGCGTTCCGGTAACTGCCCAGGCGTTTCGACGCGGAATCAAACGGGCAACTTTGGCTGCATTGCTGACGCCACTCTCGATCATCTGGGCTTCATCCAGACAGACACGCCACCATGATATCTTCACCAAAGGTGTCTTCCTGGCTTCATATTTCTTCTCGTGCCGTAGATTCTTTTTCGGGGCGTCGCCAGAGTAATGGACCTCGCGCGCAAGGACGTTATACGTGGTGAGGACGACGTCGTGGTCAGCAAGCAACTCGACCATTTCTTGGTCAGAAAGTTCCTGATGGCGATGTATACCAGTGTAATGAAGCACACTGAGTCCGGGTGCGTGAAGTTTGATTTCTTGCTCCCATTGCTCCAAAATCGCCGGCGGCGTGATGATCAGCGTCGCGCCAGAAGGTCGCAGACCATCAGAATTCCTGGCGAAGGTCTCTTCGGGTGTCAACAACCGGCGATTCAGACACATCAGGCTTATCAGTTCCACCGTCTTCCCGAGACCCATCTCCTCAGCAAGCACTCCACCCTTTAGATGGTTCCCTGCATCATACCAGTTCGACACGTCACTGGTGACTACCATGAACAACTGACTGGCGAAGCAAACACGGCCATCTGCATCTTCAAATCGCTGAAAGGACATAGGTAGTGAGTCGATAGATTCATGCTTGACGGGGACGACCTCCCCGCTTGGCTCGAGCTCCATGCCCTCCCGCTGCAGGAGCCAACGAACGGCTCTGCGTTGGAATGGGAATAATTCGCATTGGATCATATCGCACTTCACCTCTGCTGAAGAGCTGGGCGTATCTTCGGGAACATGGACGTTTTCGTAAAAGTCGCGGGGATGCCACCCTGCGCTTTTCCCCGGCGTTCGGCGTTTCTGGTTCCTATTCACAAACTCGGGTTCCTGCAATATATACTTCGAGAACACCTTCAATGGACCGACATGCAACTTCTTATAATCGAGGATGTCCAGTGAGTCTTTCCACAGAATGACTGTCTCCAGGCAGAAGCTCTTTCCATCGTCCAAGTGGCGAAGCTTCGACTGATAACACACTGGTGGGATGGTCCGCAGAATTCGATCGGCACACGCTAAGCCGGCCGCAAGCTTCAGGTTCTCGCCGAATTCTATAATCTTGGAATCCGTGCATTCCACTTCGAGAAGTGTCTTGTCATTATTCGGAGTCACGAGCGCAACCTTGGTGCTGGTATCTGACGCCCCGGCTTGCGACGCAGGTCTGAAGGTGGGATGGTTTCTTGCATCGCGAATCAGTATGGGCAGATCGGGCAGTGTCTCAACCGAATTGCTAGACTCGTCGAAGGAAGGGCTCGGGTGTGCGAATTTCTGTTCACAGTTGAGCAGGTCAGCGATGCTCCCGACATAGACTTAAGACATTTTGCCATACCAAATATAAATGAAACCTCGCCAATGGTATATACCCCAAAGGCTCTTTCTTCTCCGACACTCCGTTCAACTCTGCGAGGCTTTGTGGCGCTGAGGCTAGCTTTCTGCGTTTCGTCGGAGGGCCATCTGACTCGGGCGTTTCGCGCGCGAATGCGGTGGCCAAAGCATCAGGAACAGCGCCTGCATCGCCGGGTATTAGTTGCGGAATCTTGAGGGGATTGGAAGTACGATCGCAATTACCTGTATAGAAGATTTCCGCGATAACAGGGGCCATCCCGGACACACCTTCTTGGACTCTCGTCTTGTCGCAATGCGGCGAAGTTGACCATCAGATGGCGAGACTCGCCTCGGAGACAGTTATCTTATCTACGTGATCACGTGGAGATAGACTCCACACACTCCGATGATCCGGTATTCCGATAATCCGATAACCATGTTTCCAATCTCATGATGACCAAGATAGTTCATCCATCCGATTGATTCCCTGGGAAGTATGGAGGTACAATCCGAGATCTGATGCTTAATTCAACACACGGGCGTCTATGCTAGGTTGGAACCAGTTGGTTACATCAAGGTAGCACTGTGAATTACTGTCCTGAGTATACAGTTTCGCGGATACATATCACAACATGAGGTATTCTAGCATTCTTGATATTGTACGATCATTTATAGAAATCATTGGTATTTATATCCAGAGAAACTAACATCATTAGCTTTATAAGGTATAAGTTACTGATCTGCCCATTATACAGATATGTCTTGTTGGTATCCACTATATTGAGCACAATCAATAGTATGCCGTTGAGAATCATCTATCATCGTAGTCGCATCATTAAACATTAGAATTAAACATTAATTGTTGACAACCCACATTCCACTCTCGAGGGCGTATGCATGGAACAGGAGAATCCCATCTGCCTGTTTGTAATCATTAGACCCTTACGCCGCGTTGCTGCCTTTTGCATGACCATGGCCGCTCTTCGAGACACTCTTTCGGAATTTATCAGCAATCCGGCACGCCCAGACAAACAGCCCAAAGTGGATGATCCTATGGCATTGTATCAGTACAGGTACCAAAGACGATACGCTCGCTCGCTCGCGGAACCGAGCAACGCAACACTCACACTGCAAGAAGCGCCATCGCCGTGCCGAAGTGCTCCACGTTGGCTACCGTTTTGCCGATGCAGTCCGTCGTGTAAGTCGGGCAGCTGTATCCATCACCAGAATAGTAAGGGCTCATCAACGCAAGATAGAGAATGGTTATCGCGAGGAGGCCAGCCCAGGCGATGCAGTCGAATGTGACGTAAATGGCCGGGTGGATGGGAGATTGCGAGGATAGTCGAATCGACACGGCTAGTAATGACCAGATCAGGGTGTATTCAAGCTGTTTACACATTAGAATGCTGGGTCTGATGTAGATATTTCCGGAGAGTCAAGGTATCACATACAATACCAACAACAGGACTAATGACTGGTGCACCTAGGTCTTCAACGAGCACCTCGCCGTTGTCAAAATTGTTTTGTGACCATCCAAAAGCGACAAGTGCTGCGAGGGAACTGATGCCTGCGACTATGCGCAGGGACACCACGGCACGATGTGTGTCTCGTACGATATAAGCAGAGGGATCCATCGTGGATTAGTTGCTTCAGGGAAGATGCGTCTAGCAATTCTAGCAAGACACCAGTCAAGAAGAGGTAGACCACGCACACTATTTATGTTTTGAACATGGTGAGCCAATAGACAGATCTTCAGACCATAACATCAGCCAAGACGCAGAATACGAGTGCATGGGGCCGACAACACAGGGCGCAACTCCGAAATTTGCAGATCATCTGCGAGTGGACAAGTAAAAGCGTCCTTGTGCAGGAGAGGTGGGTAGGATGGATGTAGAATAATGGCAGAGACATGCGGATCTGGGGGCTGTGGTCGGTGCCGAGACGGTGGCTGTACCTACCGCAATCACCACTCAACGTTCAATGTTCAAAGGAATGTTGGCACTAGTAGCTTGGCCCAGGGGCAGTACGCCTTTCACCTGAATCAAGAAGGCAATTTTTCTTTATTTGCTGTTATACCTCCTTGTGATGGAAGCAGGTGTACGGTGATGCCATACGGGGCGCGGCCTTTTGGCAACAGGCGGCTGTATCATCTACCACATCCGCCATCGAGGTATAATCGCCGTTCCAACAACGTGTAATTACATGCTTGAGCTGCAACATCTCCACGTCCGGGAATCTTTTTGCGGCGAAAAGCTGCTCCGCCCTCCGCAGTAGTTCACACGGTTCCAAGACTCCCTGTAATTCATGGAAAGGACTGTTGCCCGACTCGATCTCGAACAAGGTCGAGCCAAATGCAAAGATATCCGTCTTGATATCGGGTGTAGAGCCCGGTCGATAACTGCACCATTCGTAGCACACTAAGGCCTCATTTCCGTCAAGGCCCAGAGCCAGCAAAGTCAATGAACTTGATATGACCTGATCGGTCGATAAGAAGGTTATGGCATCCAACATCGGCATGGATGATATTCTGTTCATGTATGTAGCGAAGCCCCTCTGCGGTTTCCAATGCCCATTGGAGCCGAGTATGCAAGTCAACCCGTTTGTGTGGGCTTCTGAGTATTTCACGTAGGCAATCCCCCCTTTCCAGCACAAGGCCGTCGCTGGTAATTGCATGACAGCGCGCGATTCGGGGGTGACTGCCCAGTCTCTTATACGCCGATTTCTCGATATTGTGGGCGGACAAGGCGAATCTGTCGTTTGATCTGGGGCGCCGCTTAAGAACACAGTCGTCACTCAGCGCGTAGATCATGCTAACGGTCCCTGCTGCAATAAACTCGTAGGTCTTTTGTTCTGAATCAAAGCTAGGTAGAGACGCTGGTGACATGATTATACAGGTACGATGAATGAAGGTCTGTAAGTCGGAGGTGAAATGAACGTGTCTTAAGACTCCTGACATGGATGTAACGGCTAGCTTTGTATTCTGGGACCCCAGAACTTAAGTACTTGATATAGTTTAGCCTGGTTCCCCTCTCACAACATCCCCTTAACCAGTCCCTTACATCTCGAACAACGGTATCCATAGAGACACCCGAGTCTCGACATTGAGGGCAGGGACCACGTCGCGAACTCATGCCAAACACTCCGAGTCTGGGTCAAACACGGGATCGGAACGGATCACGCCCGTTGCTTTGGCATCTTTACATTTTCTGATATACCGTTTCTCCCACCTGTGGCCAGCGGGACACTGGCGGTAGAGCACAGGAGCAGTAGTATATCGGCACATGGTCACAGTACAAAAGTGACGTTGGAAAAAGAGATGAGATGGCTGCTAAAGCATGTGTCTGTCTGGTCCTTGAGACATTGTTGAGCTTTTATATTCAGCATTCAGCAGCTGCATGATATGTCGATATAGTTGTGCTATAGAGGTCTGCGCCTCCGTACTGCATCTTTCTACAAACCTCTCTGTATATGGAATCACCGTGCACCAGGCAATGTGGCAATGTGATAAGTGTTGCAGTAGCGGCGGCCCAGATCGCGATGATTGGGCCTCGCCTGACAATGTCATCCAACTTTCATATACCCAACTCTCCTGAACCCAGCTTTTTCTAAACCCAGCTTCTTAGAGTCGACCATGAGGGGCTCAACTCTTCCACTCCATTGGAAGTGTTTTGCCTTCATACGTTCTATCAACGACAACGCCCATGACACTAATTTCGATTCGGAGGTTCGTAAACTGAGCTTGGACGAATTAGCTTTCTGTTCTATCAGGTTCGAAGAGAGACGACTCAATCCCGTGATTCCCTGTTTCAAAGCGTCGAACATCCGGGAGTACATGGTAAAGGCACAGGTTTCGTGTCTGGATCGCCCGGAGATTTTCAAGCGACTGAAGCGATTATCTGCACAATCTGAGGGAAAGCCATTTTATGAGATCTATAACACGGCATATATCATTCATAACGATCCCCTCTAGACCGGCCCCGCCGAACACGGTGAGCAGATGAATATGGTGTGAACGGTAGTACTGTAAAGGTTCTTGCCTATTTGACTGTTCTTTTAGGTCTTTCATCCGCTCCCTACCCCTTTACAACGGCCACAGAGGCTGGCGCGTTTCGAATCCCCAGTGGCAAGGTGGTCGAATATCCAGAGAGTGTTTTCGACACAGATTGCGACGACGGCTGTCGGTCATGCTCCTCAGCGTGTAATCGATCCGAATATGACAGATCGTGTGCGAGCAAGATTTCGTAGGGGTCGGGGAGATGGTGCATATTTTATTTAGCTGACACAGTAATAGCCTTTATATATGGTCACGGAGATGTCCTTGGGGAGCTTCATCACACCATTACGTTCCTTAGTGCTCCAAACTTCGTGGGCCCCATCGAAGAAGACCACCTCTTGGCAATTCCGGCAAAGGAGTTGTCGGTCGACACTCTCCGGGTCGACCAAATCCAGAGCTACATAGTCGTTGAGATCTTTCAAACGGTCATCGTCCGCAGAAAGAGTTTGCCATTGCGACGCCTACTGTAACAGATCAGTACCGTGGAAGCGACTCTCTCCTAGGAGCATCACACCAAGTTGTCTTGCGTAGTCATAGCAGCACTGATTTACGGTCTATGACGATGGAGCACCTGTCAGATCTGTTCCACGCAAGAGGATTCGGTACTGGGTGACATTACCTGAAATCCGACGGGTGATACTTGATTTCGGCACAAATATGAGTAGCTCTTTGACGTATATGTAGGGGAGTCTAGCTGTGGGGTTTGCTTGAGTTATAAGAGGAAGCAAGAGAAGAGTGGTTATGATGTTGGGCCATGTTAGGCGCCCATTTCGCGCGAATTTCAAGTCGTGGGGAGGTGGGGTTGAGTGGGATGTCCGCTCCCGGTTTGGACGTTCCATGAACATCCATGACTATCCTTGTGGAACATGCTTATGAACAAGTAATATTCAGGAGGATGAACTTCATTGATGTTTTACCGAGTTCGATTGTACTGCGACATATCCCCAAGTAGATCCAAACAATACCGTCACCAGTGGACTCAGCTGCTGAAGTTCTGAGCACTCCGACATGCCCAGAAACATGAGCGCAAGCTATCGGTGTGGGCTATCTATAGGACATTATCTATAGAGAAAGGGATGAAAGGAGGAAAGGTTCATTTTTGCGGCCAATAGCCCCCAGATACATTTGGATATCGTGACCAGGTTCTGTCCCATAACCACCATCGGGAGCAAGTAACAGCACGTCTGTGCCTCATTTATGCATATAATGCCATGTATGGGACCAGACACAAAGCCTTGGAGACACAGAAAGCAGCAACGCTTATAGTACGTGCAATAGGCAAATATCGCTAGCACCTTGAGTAACATTGCACGTGCTCGAATGAGTGAATTACTACTAGAACGTGACAGAGAACGTAACACAGACAATGCAGCAGATAGCAAAAGTAAAATCAGCACACCGCGAAGGACATGACAGAATCCAAGGACCACAGTTTCACCATGTGCCTGCCATGCCTCAGCAGCTCAACTTTCCACACTTGTCACACGACGTCCTATATCCATAGTCGCACGCCTTTCCCGTGTCCTGGTTGCATTCATAGACATGGTCATCGAGACAGTATTTGTTGATCTTGGTGTTGCCACAGAACTGTCCCTGGCGTTTGTTGCAGATACACTTGGTAGCTTTGCAGGCTCTCTTCTCGAACTAAATCATGCGTCAGACAACAGCATCTCCGAATCGAATCCGGGGGAGGGGAGTTGCATACCAGGCTCTCGAAGGATCCGTCCATTGGGGCCGCAGCAGCAGCGCGGGCCTCCAATGACTCTAGAGCCGGGCCTGGCTCCACTGGCTCAGCCAGCGCTGCTGGGACCAAGGCAAGGAGAGCAAGAATGGCAGTGTACTGTGTATGATGGTCAACAGTTGACTTTTAGCCATGGGGTCGGGCGAGAATTACCTTCATATTGAAGATTGAGACAAGATTGGAGACTTGATGAGGAAAGAGACTGGCGATGTTTTTCTAGTGGGATATCCTGGGGAAGATGAAGCTTTATATACTTCTCGGACAGCGTACACGAGCATGTTGATATGAGTTATAACGGCTACAAACGGCAAGCTGGAAGGCCAGAACATAGATTCTTTCCCCGCATGAAGCTCCAATGTCTCAGTTAATCTCTGTATAGAACATGAGGCATGTATGGGAGTGGCCTATCATACCCCTGCATGGGTGTCTCTAGGTAATGTAACCCAAGGAGACTGAAGCCCGTATCGAGGCATGAGGACAGCAAGCAATTCAATTTTTATGAATAAGAGAAAGCTAACCGCCCAGTTTACCTCAGGTGGCTGCTTATGATGCATCGCAACTGATGCATATACGAAGACTTCCTTTCTTCCAGCTCCGTTGTGCGGTAGGAATACTACCGAAGGATGCTACTATAGGAGCCACACCCCTGTTCCTGTTGTTCACAACACCACTCAGATGCGTTCCATCTAACCTAAATCTATTGCTTACAATGATCCAGCTACGGCAACAACCGAGCCTCCATTATGGGGGTTATGAAATCCTGATTTGTCGGGAGATCGGACGATTATATTAGTCTGGATATAAGCTTGTCTTCATGTGGAAAAGACGAGGATACGCTACATGGCTTATACGAACCAAAAGTATACGTTCTCGCCAAGGACTCAAATGTTAACCTCCGACTTGTTGACATCCTGGAAACAGGTGCAGATGGATGCCTGGGATATTGTATGACTCGAAAGGCAATATTGTACAGCTAGTGATTACGAGGAAATACTCAGTCTCAGTAGTGGCTACCGGGCGTGCTGGATGAACGCTCTTACTGGGTACGGGTTGTCTTAGGGACCAGGCCACTGCCTCAGGTATTTCGGCTTAGTATTGATAAATGAAACCCTCCCCCTTAGCCTGCTAACCATCACAGTATGTGTAACTCCATTAGAAATATGCATCACCCCGGTCAAACTCTTCTCCATGCCTGTAGAAGAAAATATAACGCCCAGACAAAGGAAAGACAAGGAAGGAGAGGAATAGCCTCTGAGCTGGTCCGTCAGACCAACTAAGAAGCCATTTTGGGAATATTGTACAAACCACGCTGAAATATGACCTAGCTGTAAACAGTAACAAGCCGCGAGACATCAGCTCACATGAGCAGACGCCACGCACCAAGAATAAGAGCAGCAGTACCGGTGCAGACACCCCTAGAAGACCATGTTAGCATTTTCGCAAATAGACCGGGAGAAAGGGGTTGTACATCAGCCATTGGAGAGTGGAGAATTTGACAGCCTCGACACGTTCTCTCAACCCAGCTACCTCTTGTTCGATTCTGGTTTCCGTTTCCTTAATCCGCATCTCCTGACCGTTCGCCTCTTCGCGGATGCGGCCTTTCTCGAGGTTCAAATCCAAACGGACGGAAGCTTGCGTACGTCCAATCTCATCTCGCAGACGGGAGTTAAGCTTGGCCAGATCCGCAGCGATTTTCTCGTGGGAAGAGCGGGTCAGCTGCGCTTCCGTAGAGTCTGCATTCAGTAACTCGGAGCGGAGTTTCGCAAAGTCGACTTTTTGCGTGTACGTTGATCTCTCCGTGTCTGCGCAGAGACAAGAGTTAGAACCTTCAGCAACGAGGGGTATCCCCGTCATACCCCACAACACAACCAATACAGAACGGAAGTAACTAACCTTCTCTGAGGACCATAGTCCGGGTGAGATTCTGAATCGACTCTTGAATAACATCATTAAGCACCCGCATCATCGCAACAGCCTGCTCCTCACTGAACCCCTCGTCCTTCAACCGCTGCACGAACTTCAGTGTATCAAAATGATGATCCCGCTGGCGGGAAGCAGAGGCATGGAACGCGCGTTGCGCCGGCTTGAACGTCGCCACGTAAACACCATTATGCCGGATGGGGTTGCTTGGAGACTCGACAGTGGGACGACTCGGGACACTGCGGGCTGACGCCGGAATGCGCCTGGCGATCGACGGCGGGAGACTGTATTCGCGAGAGGTGGCGGAAACGACGGCAGACGTGCGAGAAGAGTATTTCAGCGTGTGTAGCTCCCGGGAGAACGAGCGGCCGTGGACGGATTGCTGTTTCTGGTGACGACTGGCGGAGAGAGCGGCGCTCTGAGGAGGAACGGTAGTGCGGGTTGAGGCTCCGTTCCAGGTCAGGCGCGGGAGGATCGACCGGGGGACCTCTGTGACGGATTTTTGAGGGGCCATGATTAATGCGATCCCAAGTTGAGGCCCATGAATGATAGTAAACCGTAGGGTAGCGATGGTGATGCGGTGATGTGAAGTCGTCGCAGTATCGATTTCTATGGAAGGATCGAGGGCGCCGGAGAAGGGATGACTAACCCGGGAAACTTGACATGTGATTCGACCATCCGGTTTGGGAGACCCGCTGGATCGGGGAACTACTAGAAGTCTACTTCGAGAACAACTACAGGACTACGATCTGATTCTGGGGATAGAAGAGTCTAGATTTTTCAATTTGGAAAGACCTTCTCATAAAGATGAAGATACAGAAACACAAAAGCAATCACCACAGGACAAAAAAGCTAGTTAACATTCTGGGAGGGGAGACATACCTGATGTCTAAACCGAGCTTCGAGGACTCAGATGTGTGATCGTTCCCTGAAAAGCATTATCAGATAACAGGTCGTGTCCAGAGGCAGAATCCAGGGAACCTAATTCTCAACGCTTGGGCCAACATCTGAGCTTGCTCCTCAGGGCACGCAGACAAACAAGCAACCGCCAAGCGGATGTGCTCGCGGGTCTGGAAAGACGGGTGTTCAACCAGCAGCGCGGCGATCTCAAACTGTTTTATCGTGATAGCGCTCTGAAGAGGATTCATTCCAAGGGAACCGGAAGGGCCATCCCATCTGGCCAACATCTCTTGGACGACGGAGTAATACCCCTTGTTGACCGCCAGCCACATATCGCTAACGCCCCACGCGTCGACATGTCCCACAGGTGCGTTGTGACGGATGAGTTCCAGCGCGAGTGGCTTGTTGCTGTGCAGAAGCGCGTGGGTCAGGGCAGTCGAGCCGGTGTTGTCAGTCTCCTCCACGAGTTCGGGGAACTTGCGCAGGAGGAAATACGAGTAGTCGTCGTAGCGGTTGTCGATTGCGATATGGAGCACCGTGCTGTGGTTGGCAGTGAGGCCAGGAAGGTCTGAGCCGTTGAGAATCGCCAGATCGAGCATGCTCGTAGGGAGGCGGCCGCCGATCATGGCGGAGAATTCGCGCATCAGGTTGATCTTTGCGCCGAACCGCAGCAACAGATCTACTATCCTGGTTAGCTTGGGCAAGCTCTCTTCGTCGTATTCCATCTTGGCTGACATACAAGCCACTGCAGCGGAGTACAAGTGAGAGATGCTGCTGCGAGGAGGATCGAACTGAGGCAGTTCGGGATCGGCGCCATACCTCAGTAAAAGATGGACGATATCAACTTGCTTCTTGTAGATTGCCAGGCCAAGCAGAGAGCGAAACCCTAAGGTATATGATTTGGGGTCAACTCCAGCCTCTAGAAAACCTAGGACTGCAAAGTACCTACCATCTCGCACGGCCTTTGCCATGTGCTCCACAGGTCGGCAAGCCTCGTCCCAGCGGTGACGCGCACGCTCGTACTCCTCCGGGGTAGGTAGAGCGTACTGCTTTGCAGCTTTCTTTCGTTCGACACAAAGTTGAAAGTCCATATACTTGCATGTTTGCGAAAATCTCGCAAGCGACGGTGGATCCATGTGCTTACAGATCTCCAGCAAGATCTCAGGAGGGACTTTGGCGAAGGAGGAGGATTGAGGAGGACTGGGTGGTTCATCGTTGGTTTTGTTGGAAGACATGTTGGATTGCTGTCACAGAAGGCGATATGCAGGATGATGGTATCAATGGGGACACTGACTAGACACTACTGAGTCTTAGATAGTGAGTTTCGACGATGTGGTGACACACTGATGAAGCCACAAGAACAGTGGGTTCTGCACACTACAAGTCCCTAGGATGATTGGGGTTTATATAGCCAAGGTGAATCATATCCAGCAATGAACAAAGAGCTAGACAATGCTCTTGTGCTACGACTGAACAAAGACGTTCACGGTAAGTGTCATACGTTGATCAAAGACAATATGCAGTGTCTCGGCAAGTGTAGTTGATTTCTTTGTGCTCGTTCAAGCTGTGGAAAATCCCGTTTAGTTAAAAGCAAGTGCCAGGAGGATTCCATAACTTCTGTTGGTATACTCCGGACATGGATGAGAGCTAATAAGGCATAATGAGTGCACACATAACTTGAAGCTGTCCAGCATGTACAAACCTGCTGTATGGATTTGACACCCCCCATTTACAAACCATTCTTTTACCTTGACTTGCGGCCGCAAGGCGATGTAGGCAATGATCATAGCAGCTTTATGAAATGGACTCAGCTTGCTCTATAAACGGATACACTTAGTATAGACATAGCCAAAAGTATAGAATGTATGAAATGATATATCCAGAACACACATCGATTCTCTAGAAGTCTGGTCCACATGCAGTGTGCGTTCGTATATCCGTAGATGGCGTCATACCAAATTCAAGGTCGCTTTTTAGAACGAGTGTCAAACGCTAAAAACCTCCAAGTCTCCTCTAGAGATTGAACAGCTCCTTCAGTTGCTTCATCGTGTCTTCGGGTCCATTGACGGCATGGCCGACGGTCCGGGGGTCACTGTAGATTTCGTAGTCGTTGCCTCCGGGGAAGGACTTGTCACCGAAGAAGTGGATCGTCTTGTACTCGACACCGGTGATGTTCTTCTCGGCCTCGACATGCTGCAAACAATAGGTTTTGTCCCAGCCAGTGGGGAAAACGTCGAAAGAGATCTGACCACCGATGGAGTAACTAGAACGATGAACCCGTCAGACCAGTCTCAAGAAACGGTGCGGCCGCGAAGACAATTCATAACTTACGTGAGGCCATAGTCGGGGAATTCCTTCTTGAGGGTTTCCACAAAGTCCCTCCGGATGTTATGCTGCTTGTCATACCTGCGGGTTGTCAGCCAGAGGCCCAGAGACAGCCAAAGCCAACACATACGCTTCGAATTCGTTTCGCTCCTCGACGCTGGCATTTCTGCCGACCGGGCTGACGTTGATCATCCCATTGCGGAATTCAATGAAAGTGCCGCGTTTCTTGGGGAGCTCCACGTTCGCAAGGTACTTGAGAATGAAGTTGACCAGCTTCTGGTACTTGTCCTCTCCGATCCATTGTATGAAGCTGTTGCTAGCAAGGTTCTTGCCCAGACGAATCGCGGTCAACCCGTTCTCGGCGAAGCAAAAATCGAAGAGGGAGGTAACTTTCGTGGAGGCGGTGCCGAGTTGTTCCTGTTGCTTCGCAAGATCGGAGCCGCCAACCTGTCGTCTCACCAGTGAGATTGCTGCTCCGTTTTTGGTACCGCCTGCAAGAGAGACTCACGAATCCAATGGCGCACTTGTGACGAAGTTGCGAAAGAAGTTGGAGCATCTCGGGAGACACAGTCTGCATCATTCAACCATGTCAGCGTCACGAAAACGACATCCAGGGGCGATTGTCAGGGGATCATATCGATATTGACTCACTCTTCGTGCCGGAGTCAGAGTACCGTCGACATCAAAGAGACAGATGGTCTCCTTGATGGGACGATCCTCAAGAGCTGGGTACACGCTTGCTGCTTCAGCGGCCATGGTGTTGGATAGGCGGGGTGATGGGGAAAGACTCAATTGGCGATAGGAACCACGAAGAAGCAAGGAATATCTAGACAAAACCACTCCAGAAAGACCGAGATCGACAGGGACAGGAACAGGAGTTTTTGTATACTACCGAGCAGAACGTGTCCTGACCGCATGCGGTGAGAAAAGAGGGGCGGGTCCAGACACAGCTTACCCGTTTTGGAGGGGGGCAAAAGGCGGTCAGATCAACGTGGGGTCTCTTATCGATAACCTTAGGGAGTCGGAGGAATGTGATCTCAGTCTTGTTTCTAGATATGAATTAAATAGCTGGAAGGATGTGGATAGTCGCATTAACCGCCCCGAACCATCATGTTCAAAGAAATGGTCCTTAGGGATAGGTTACCGCCCCATAGTCGACTGGAATACTTTGGCAGCCAGCTCGCTGAGCAGCTGCGCGCGATCGCTGTGGGGGAGCTCCAGGAAAACCTCATAGACACTCTTGCCCCTCACGTCTCGAATAGCCCCGAGTCGGTTCCCAGCGACGGCTCCTGCGATGGCGCCGGGAGCATTGCCTACGATGAACCCCAGCGCGCCACCACTCACCCCGCCCACGATGGACCAAAACCGCGATGTAGGTCGGGCGCGAGGACGACCGTTCTCATCGGGTTCGTCACTGGCGAGACCTTCCTCGCGCAGCATCTCCTCGAACACTGACCCAAACTGTTCTGACGCCCGTCGTTCGCGATCTTCCGTGCCGAATCCGAAGCTCGACCACGGGAACCCGCCTGGCATACCCTGCGGCTCTTCCGATGCCTCTTGCGCCCGGAGCTTTGCGTCGTACTCGTCGCGACGGGTTTTATCCGAGAGCGTATAGTAAGCATCGCTGATTTCCTGGAACTTGCGAGTGCGAGCTGGCCGCTCCGGCGAGTCGACGGATACCCGATCCGGATGTGACTTTAGTGATTCTCTGTAGTCGTTATCGTTAGTTTTGTGATGGGAGCGGTTGGCTCCTGGGCGGGCACCTTTTGTATGCATTGCGAATTTCCTGGGATGTTGCATCCCGGCTCACACCCAGGATTTTATCTGGGAATCAGTTAGAATTGCGACAGCGACGAGGATGTAGACTGCGTACAGTAGTTTGGGAGACCTAGAACATGCGTCAGCACGGGCGCAGTAAAATTCGATTGTGAACTTACTTGACATATTGTAGAGACTATGTATCGAGATGGGTATGTACAGGGAGAGCGTCGAGTTACATACTCTGTACAGTGGCACATGCTGAGGATACGTGGGTTGAGTCCAAATCCAGATGCCGCCTGATGACGTCGCTCCTTTGCTGCCTCAGGCATGAGAGTATTTTTGCGGCCTGAGGCCTCAAACCTCGGCACGGGAAGACCCCTGAGGAACAGCACCAATGAGCAACTCCAGCACCAGCCACCCATTTTCCACTGTGATGTGCAGCAGTCCGAGACCATGCAGGACTCTTCCTCCAATCCTCTCAGCTGGCTGAGTGTTCTCTTCAACCATTCTCCTCCGCACATTCCCTGCTGTCAGTGTTGACCTGATAGCTCCACCTGCTGTCTGTACGTGCACATACCTAAGTACCTACTCCGTACTACGGAGTATATCCGGCACCACCTGGCACCCATCAACAGTGGGGACCGTACATGCAGCACAGAGTCTAGAACTGCAATTGTGTGCGTCTGCAGAAGGCGACTCCGCAACCACGTCCTGATTGCTTGAGCTGCAGAACCGAATGCGACGGACGCCCACAACGGAAGAGGACACCATCTGACGACGTTTCAGCTTGCGACAGACAAACAGAACATCGCCATCCTCCCAATTGCTCGCTCCTCCCCAGCCGTCGCCGCATCAATTCCAACATCCATTCAAAATGGGCTGGTTTGACGGACGCTCCTCGTCTTCCGGCTACTACGTCCGCCGGCGGTCGTCGCCCGCGCGCCGCGGATACTCAACCTACCATTCTCGCTCGTCGGCGCCGTCCATCTTCAGCATGGGCGGGAGCAGTCGCGCGGGCCGCTCCAGCCCGTCGGTGTTCTCGTCGTCATCGTCGCGACGGGCGCGCCCGCGCTCGGGCTTCATCCATCGCATCGTCCGCTACATCAAACGGCTGCTGCGCGATATCTACAGCTACGCCCGCCGCCATCCGTTCAAGGTGCTGCTCTTGGTGGTCGTGCCGCTTCTGACCAGTGGTGTGCTGCAGAAGCTCTTCGCCATGATCGGTATCCATCTGCCCAAGAGCTTGGGCCTCGGGGGTGGTTCGCACCGCGGCGGCGAACCGGGCATGGCAGATAACATCAACGGGCTGATGAATATCGCGAAAATGTTCATGTGAACGCATGCCGCCTGATGCTCCTAGGGTGGTGATTTGGACATTCCGTATAGAGCATGATGAGGTGCCTAGTACCACAATCGAAACGACCACGATGATATGATGTACATGCGATATTCCGATTTTGTTTTGGGGGTTTGTTGCTTTTGGGGGGCTAGCTGCAGTTGATTTTCGGATGGTCCATTGTTATGCCTACGTTCATTCTACGACTCCTGTACCCGGTAGCTGGGTTGATTCTAACAATCCAATGGACCAATGCATTATGCGCTAGTCCAGACAATATAGCCATGCATTTTGGTTCACCACGCACCGACCGTAGTAAAGTAATGTCTACAATGAAAGGAATGGAACGACCGTACCATTCGGAGACGCAGACAGCCCATCCCTCAGGATTTCTGAGACCGCCTTCCCCTCCGGCGCGAGGATTTGCCATTCGACGCCATGGCCGAGCTGGACGTCGTCGGCTCATCGCCCGCAGACTCCGCCGCTTCGGGCGAATCCTCCTCCTCGACGGCATCAGAGGACCCAAACACCCGTCCAACGGTCTTGCGGAACACCCAGCCAGGAAGGCGGAACACCATCGTATCACGCATAGTAGGGCGCGGGATCTCCTCCACATCGAGGAGGAACTCCTGGCGCTCGCCGTCCTCGGACTCCTCCTCAAGGAAGACATTCCCGACCGAGTCCACGATCAGGACCTTTCCGTTCTCCGCGACCACGCGCTTCCTCTCCCCGGTGGGCTCGACCGACTCCGTCGTGGGAGTGGCGGTGCCCGAACCCCGGGACGACGCTCTCGGCGCCTTCTTCTCCTTGCGGTTCTCGCGTTCCATCATGCGCTTCTGGCGACGGTTCATCGGCATGGCCGCGGCGCCGGCGTCGCCGGCATCGGGCGTGGGCGCAGGCACACCTCCCGTCGCGTCGACCCCCGGAATGCCCCTCACACCCAATTCATCGCCCCAGGCGGCGCGTCTCGCCTGTCGGATGTACCGATCCACAAACTCGCGCTGACGCTTCCAGCCCAGCACCAAGGCCGCGTAGTGCGCGCCGCCGCCGAAGACGAGGAACAGCCCAACCAGCACGGAGCCCAGGCCCGGCCGGAACCGCGAGTAGTAGTATCCGGTGCCCTTCCACTTGGGGAAGCCGTTCTTGAGGAAATGGTCGTAGCGCTCGCGGCCGGGCCCGCGGAGAATGTTGGCGACGGTGTTGAGGCGGGCGGAACGTTCGTGGGCTTCCTTGACGGCGGCGGCGATTTCGCGCTGCGAGGGGCCCTTGTTGACGTGGACGCCGGTCTTGGAGGATTTGGCCCGGGTCTTGTCCGTGGAGCGGTTGGCGATGAAGCTGCGCTTGACCTTGTCCGGGTGCAGCTGACGAGATCTCTTGCGGTAGGCCTTGTTGAGTTCGTCTTGGTTGGCGCTGGGCTTGACACCGAGGAAATCTGTAGGGAGGGGGTTAATGTTAGGTCTAGGGGGTGCGGGACTTGACGACAGGTGTACATACCGTAGAAGGTCACGTTGGCGCCCTCCGCGGCGGTGACTTCGTCGTTCAGTCGGAAGATTTCATAGTCTGAACGCAAGAGAGGAGATTAGCCCGACTACTGAATGCAATTGCAGTAGGGGAATTAATGGACGGACCTTCCTTGGTCCACGCTGCGGCGAGAACCAACAGGACAGCGAAGCAAACAAGACGGAGTACGGTGGACTTCATCTTGAAGAAATGCGGTCAAGGCCGCTGAGGCCTGAGAGAAATAAAAAAGGAGAGAATGGAAAAAGGAGTGAGGGTGAGGGAGAGGAGGAAAGTTGGTTAGAGGACTGTGTGGTTTACAGCTACGATGTCTCTTTTCTGGTTGTGGTAAGTAAGCAGCGCCGCCTTAAGTGGACGCGAAAAGTACCGACTGGGTGTTCGCTGCTCCGATTAGTACGGCTCAGAGAGATGGCTAGAGGATATCAGTGGCGCGAAGCAGAGAAATTAATATTACTTACAATATCAATTTTTACTGTAATCGCTGTCTATCTAGATTTGGTCTTGAAGAATTGATCAAGTTCTTATCGTAGTCGATTGAAACTGTGGGTAGAACCACAGTCTGGTTCTATCTTTTGACGGTGTTCTATGGTTCCTTCTAAATATATATCACCATTCTAAAAGAGCTATATACATCTCCTGTAAAATTCGGGGACGATGAACATTAATATGTGCCCATATAGGTTAATAGCAGATTCAAATTTATGTAGGGCATTCACAGACAAAAGACTGTATAAACTGACAATTTCTTTCTAAACCCGCACCCTTTCCTTCCGCACAATATCGACGTTCAAGCCACTCCGGACGCCGTCGCCGATGGCCTCACTCGCGCTCTCCACCTGTTCCCTCAAGTTCACCGAAAATGGATTCCGGCTACGGTTCTGATCCAAGCTGCCAAGTGTATGGTTCACATCGCGATGTTTCGCCTCATCGGCACGCACATGGAGCAGGAGAGATCGCATACAGCGCTTCCCCTCCGGCATGTTCCAATACTTGATGGCTATAGGGGGTGCCTGTAGATTTTCCCAGTCGAGCAAAAGCCCGTTCTCTAAATCCTTGATGGCCTTGGTATAGGTTATGACGGCTTCTTCTTCGAGGTAGCCCACGAAACGGTGGCAGATCCGTGGGGAGACAAGGTATGCCGTGAAGAAGGCGCTGAAGAAGACCATTTGGGATGCTAACACCATCAGGCGCATGAAGCGACTCGGCTCGGCGAGGTTGAGGAAGGTGAGGAGGTGCATTCGTTCGTTGTAGGCTTCTTCGAGGAGGGTTTCGATCCTATCATCTCTCAGTTTTCGTCCTCTACCTTTCGCTTTGTTGTTGTAACCAGATCGAAACCTACCAGCCATAGTCCCTCTTCATTCTTCTGATGCTTTTCAGATGTCGGAGCATACCAGCCACCATGCCGGGCACGCCGGCCACACTCTCCAAAAAGATGAACCGTGTGATCCATTTTTTCTCTGTCATGGTATTGGCGTGTGGGTTTGCGCTTGTGTTTGGCCGATACCCTGTGACAAAGTCCATTCCCCAACGAAGGAAACGGACTGTGCCAAGGGCGAGCTTGTCGGAAATGGTCTTTGCATTTCGGTGCGCGATTTGGACAGAGAGAATCTGTTCTTGTGTGTACCTTATATCCGGAGGTTATTATGGAGTATATGTTAGGAAAGGACGGCATGACTCACACTGGGTGAGTCCACGCAGACTTTTGGGCTGTCACTTGTGCATGGTATCTTATTCCAGATGGGCTAGTTGAAGGCAATGAATATCGAGGAAGGGCGTAAAGCAAACGAGTTTTAATACTGGGGATAACAAGACGCGCTTGCCTGATGCCGACGTGATGGTTCATGGTGAGAGCGGTCCACTCTTTAGATATACAGAATGAGGAGATCAAAGAAACTAGCTGCGTGGTCGAATATGTGAACAGATCTGGGGAAAACAAGTATTTATAGCCTGGGTTTCAGTATACTCGTAGAGACATGGGCAGTATGACAATCCGATATTTCCCGCTCGAGTGTCCAGACTATATGATGAGCGGAGTACTTTGGACTTGTTGAGACCCATTCTGGTATGTTGATCAGCAAAGGAAACTTTGGTTCGGCCCCAGACCACTAGATACGTTATCTTCTACGGGGTTTGCGGGGGTTGTGAGGCGTATGGCGTTGGACCTTTTTTGGTATCCCAGCTGCGTCCGGTTGTATAGCATAGATCCCCGTCCAACACCCTGGACATCGGGATAATCAAGCTGCATGACTATTGTCTACTTGTATAGAGTCCAGCCGTAACGTATTAATTCATTTTGAAACTCTAGAATGATGATCTCGTAAATCGCACCGTTTGGGGAGCATCGTTCCCAATGTTCTCACACATACGCGGTAGCCATCTTCATAGTGCGCCCTGCAACCTTCCTGACTCAACCAGCCCCGGAAAGCTCCGACATGACCCAGAATTTAGTACGTATTGTTATCGTGCAGTCTAGTTCATCATTTCGTGTGTTCACAAGCACATCTCCCTTGTGTCAGTGTGTCATCCTCTAGGCGGAAGGACATCGTCCGCTGATAGCCGCGTCGGAACCAGTTGGTTGACGAACGCAAATTTGCTCGGGGGTATCTCAGGTCGTGCTCGGTCAGCGGTGGTATGCGAGGACCAAGTCCAGCTTATGTCGCCTGGGGTATTTAGTACTCTTCAGTTACAATATGAGGAGTGTAGGGAGAGAAGAGGAAGATAACTGTCATGAATGATCCCCAGCAAGTGAGACTAGATCTATGGCGATAATGAGCTTCCTTGTGCTAATGCCTAAACTATAGAAACTTATTAAATTCCCTCTCTCAAAAATTTACTTTGAATCGGCACTATACGGTCGGTTAAAAAGAAGCGAGGAGATGTCAAATATGTTCCCTAGTTCGATGGGCAGACTACTGAACTGCTCCGAGTTGAGATTATCAGGAAAATATCAAATCCTTCGGTCATGTAGACTATAATCCAATTAAACTGGCCTTCATTATCCGCGGTTGGATAGCACTTTTGCAGGAAAGGCATTTGATTTCACTTTTGATATTGAGACTGAGTAAAGTATTGCTTATTGTTCTCTGTCTCCTATTGTAGTAGAATATGGTCAATCGTTACCTTGCATATTCCTACAGATAGTTTGTGAATCGAGTAATTGTTTATGTTCATAGATATTTCACGTACAGTAGCTATTTAAGGCACTGGCGTCGTTGAGACCGTGTCTTTACCTCTACTTAGTAAAACACACTGTATCGAGCCGATAGCATAGAGTGCCTAGTTCAACTTGTTAGATTAGGGTACGGTATCCCTGAAGTCCTTCTACCCTTATCTTGCCTATTTCAATTCGAACCTAATCGATCTATATAGACCACATCCCACGAGCTAAGCAGCAGTGAACCGCTTTTTCAGGCATGTTATGCTGGATGCAGTGGAATACGGAGTAGAGGTCAAAGCTGCATACTGTTTCGCCTAGACTCAACACTTTTAAGCGATCTGTCACGGACATAACAAGCCATCATAAAGAAGATTCCACCAAATCAAGTATGTCGTGGATTCAACGAGGATGGGTCTACTACTCCGTACTCATGCATGCCCCAGGAATTGATATGTCATCCTCAGAGTTCAGGCATCAACAGGCGGTGAGAACAGCGCATACGGTATGGATCCAGATGATACCCTGGGTAGGGCTGGTGTTAGGTACATGAATGGAGATATTTCCTCTCTCCTACTGGGCTTTGATGTGACCCACCCGCAGCTGGAACCGACGTGGACCAATAATGCCAGTGTCTGGGGAGGAGAGGTGAGGCGAGAAAGGATAATTGATTGATCGGATCCAAGCGAGATACAGAGGGGAAGCGGGTTTAAGAAGGCCATGCCCGCTGTTCTCGAGGATGACAGTCCATCCATACCCAAGACTATCATCTATTGTACCTATACCTAATACCATACTCTGTAGGTAAGGTACCTAGGTAGGTAGTGACTGGGATGGAGTAGGACTCCGGAAGAAGAAAGGCGAGATGGATCCTTGAGGGGACAGTCTCCTCTTCCGCTCTCAGTCAGCCAAGGAAACCCATCCATTGCTATTCTTAGCATTCATGAAACCGGGCGACAAAATTGGAGAGTTGTCCTGCAATTCCTTTCATTTTCTTCATTCTTCATTCTTCATTTCTTCATTTCTTCATTTCTTCACCTACCTGGAAAGGACAAAGGAAGAACATCGACGGTCGAGTCCTTTACCGTGCAAAGTGTCGTCGCCTTGCAAGGCGGTCGACTCTGTTTACGGTCCGTCCGTGCTTTTCTACCGGCAATAACCAAGAAAATAATAATCTGCGGCCAACTAAGCCGCTTTCTCTCAGCCTCAATCTGTCTTTCCCCCTTTTTTTCCTCCACGCCGTTCCACATTCTCTCCCTCTTCCAACTCTGACACTATCTTCTCCAATCCCTCCGCCGTCCAAATCCAACTGCCCCAGTCCACTTCATTCGCCCTACCCTACCTACCCTACCTCCGGACCGACCCTTGAACCATCGCCAGAATGAGTCCCATTCAGATCCCGATCGACGCCATCACCTCGCGCTTCGGCGAGCGCTTCAACAGCGTCCGCGCCCAATCGTTCGGCTCTCGTTTCGCCAACCTCCGTCCGGTGTCCGAGTTCCTCGACCTGAAGCGTCTGTCCAAGCCAGCCAACTTTGGCGAGGTCCAGAGCCGCGTCAACTACAACCTGTCTTACTTCTCCAGCAACTATGCCGTCGTGTTTGTGATGCTGAGCATCTACAGCCTGCTGACCAACCCCGTGCTGCTCTTCGTCATCATCCTGGTGACCGGTGGTCTCTACGGTATCGGGAAGCTCGAAGGTCGCGATCTGGATCTCGGCGTCGCTCGCTTTAACACGTCCCAGCTCTACACCGGTCTGCTGATCGTCGCGGTTCCTCTGGGCATCTGGGCTTCTCCCATCTCTACCGTGCTCTGGTTGATTGGAGCGACTGGTGTGTCCGTCTTCGGTCACGCCGCGTTTATGGATAAACCGATCGAGAATGCTTTTTCCGAGGAGGCGGTCTAGGTGGTCGGCCGCGAACTCCTTACGGTATGCCCCGATGGGGAAGACCACCCGGGGCACGACTGGGGAGACAAACCAGGAGGCGGATGGCTCCATGGATGGAGGAAGGTGACTCGCGAATCGAGGAGATTGAGAGTGAGGACGAGTTTTGGATGCGGGAGGGCCGTGCCATCGCCACGCGCATGGATCTGGAGGGTCGCTTCGGGTGGCCGCGGCGGATGTTGGATTACGGTGAGGTTTTCGATGACACCGAGTCGGTCGACGGGACGGATTATGACCTGTACGAGGATGCGGATAGCACCGTGGCCTATGCGGTTCAGTTGGCGATGAAGGACAAGGAGGATTGGCTGGTGGAGAAGGCCCTGGAACGCATTCGGCGCGCGCAGAGGTTGGGACAAAAGAACGTACGCTTGTCCAAGCGCGAGCTGGAGGCGTTGGAGCGCAAGCGATCCCAAACCAACGGTGTGCGCAGTCACCCAGCAGCGTCCCCGCGAGGCAGCAGCATGAATACCCCCCGCAAGCCTCCCTTTACCAAGGGCGAGGTGAACGATGGCTATATGCCGCGAGCCAGGGCCTCTGGATACCAGACGCCTCCCCGATCGGGCTCTCTGCGATCACCATATGCAACGTCGTCGCCTCGAACCCCCCAGCAGACACCTTATTCCTCTCCTTTAGCTCGATCGCCGGTGTCCGTGAAAAGTCCCACTCTTGCACGTCCGCTACCGGATGAGCCGCATTGGGTCCCACCACCGTATACGATGCACAGCCATATGGATCCGCGTGGCTCGCCAGGTCACCCGAGCATGGCCCCGTATATGACCGGCTATCCATCAGCGGCGGCTTACGGGGAGCGCCGCCCGACCAGCGCCCGTCATTCCATGCGATCTCGACCTACGCCATCGGCGTCGGAAGACGAGGAGGAAGAAAGCGAGGGCGACGACAGCGGTGATGAGGTCCAGATGGTGGATGTGGTGGAGCGACGGGTGCCTACGGGGACACCCAGCCGCAAGACGCCCAGCCGCCAGTCGACCCACCGCGGGAGTCGTCAACGCAGCAATCGTCCTCGATAGAGTATTGTAATTATTTCCCTAGTCTGTGTGCCCTGCAGAAGATCTCTTTCCTTCTCTTTCTCTTTCTTTTTGGAGGCGTCGCCTCTTGGTTTGACTTTCCAAGTGCCTTGTGTTTCTTTTGGGTGGGAAAAGAACCATTGTGGCTTTGCGATTAAAACGTACGGAGTTTATAGAGGGTGTGTGTTATCAAAAATTTCTATGATTTTATTGCTGCATGAATATGATTTGTAATGCATGTTGTACATGTACAAGTATACTCCGTATAGTGCAGATGGATGACGTCGTCGACCGGGGCAGTGATGATGCCATCGTCATGCCGTCCACGGATCCGCCGAGTCAATTCTTGTTTTGTTGTCGCCTATACTACTACATAGTATTCATCATGGCTGTGCATGATGCGTCTTCGTCAGCTCAGGCAGAAAAGAAAGAAGATCCAATTCCTCTAGAATCGAAGGCGATCGAACCGTCGCGGCACGGTGCTGCAGATTTGCGCGGTCTTGGCGCCGGACGATTGATGTACATCATCAAATCCTCCTTTTGTCTGTTTCTTATTAAGGATCTCCAGTTCCACCCGGCGGGCTCCTCCTCCACTTCTTCTCTCCTTTTCTTTCCTCTGCTCCCTTCGAGCTTCTCCATCCACCCTCGTTGCTCCTCCGCGACTGTGTTCGATCTTGACGGGTGCCTGGGATAGTCCTGCGCACCGTTCCGGATCGACAACTAGCCGTGATCCTGTGAGTTTCCGTCTAAGCCACATCCGCCCGTTCCGGCCCTCGAATTTGTCCTTCGGGGTCTATATCCCTCCGGGAGTGCTCCCTCGAGCTGATGGACTAATAAAGCCGTGTTATATCTAGTCGCTTGTTGCCGCTCATTTCCACACTACCGCGTTGTTTGTCGACTGTCTTATTATTATTGTGCATCGTATTGCGCATCAATCGACCGAGACCCGTCGCATCATAGGACGAGATCAAATAAAGCACCATGTGGATCATATCATTCTGGATCTTCCCGATTATATCGGCCTGCATGTGGATAGGTATGCGATCCGTTGGCCTCGAGCACCCGGTGCGGACCGTGTATTAATCTTGATCTTGTCGGCGCATAGCAATGCTGCTGGCCATGCTAGGAACCTGGGCCGTTGAAGGAACGCCGATCTATGCGAGTATGGAGACCGGCCAGACCATCGCGTACGTCCTGCGCCCCAGAATCCCGTACGACCACCGTCAATGAATGCGCCGCTGATGCGATCCCCCCAGGTACATCTCCGACATTGGCGCCCAAGGCCTCAAGCCGCTCTTCATCACCGGCAGCGTCATCACCGTGGTGTTTCTCGATCTGTCTTTCATCGCCGAGCGCTGGCTGCGTCATGCTGGCCAGCTGGTGCCTAACAAGGGCTGGTTCGACAAGGCGTGCGCCATCGCCTCCATCTTCTTCTCGATCGCGGGTGCCATGGGGCTGATCCTGCTGTCGTGCTATGACACCCTCCGTCATCCGCACATGCATGACGGATTCCTGGTGATGTTTCTGTAAGAACCCCCACTGTCGCGCCGAGGATATCGAGACACTAACAACGTCCAGGGTCGGTTACCTGATCAGCGCGATCCTCATCTGCGCCGAATACCTCCGACTGGGCATCTTCTACCGCTCGAATCACCGAGTGCTGTTCGCCAGTTTTGTCATCAAGGCGTTTTTTGTCGTGGTGGAAATCGCCCTGGCCATTGCGTTTGGTGTCCTCGGAGGCAAGGGTGCGTCCAAGAGAAATGCCGCGGCGGTCCTGGAATGGGGTACGTATAGGTCCCGCGATGGGGAAGGTAAATGCTGACTGACGTTCTAGTGATCGCCCTCATCTTCACCTTCTACGTTCTCTCATTTGTGATCGACCTGTTGCCGTCTGTCCGCACCCGTCGTCACGTCCCCCAGGGCGAGAAGCATCTCCACGCGGGCCACGCCAATGGCCCTCTTCCTGCGGCAGAAGGCGTCTACGAGGAGCCTGTCACGCTGGATTCAACGGGTCCCAACGCGAACAACGCGAGCTACTACCGTGGGGCGCGCATGTAACGGCTGTTTACGACTGGTCTGCATTGGTGCTGGGAAATAGAGGTCTTGGTTTTGTTTTGTTTGGGGTTTGGTCGGGCTCTTATACCACTGATTCGAGGATAATTACATAGCGTGTATATACATCATTACCATTACCTATTCGAACCAATCTAGCTAATCTGTACACGGACGGACCCAGTCCCCCAAGATCATACAAAAGCCTAAGCCAGCAACGCCCGCTTAATCGCATCCAGCTTCTCCTGCTCCACCCCCACCCCCCGCAAATACGCCTCCACACCCCCATACTTCTCTGCCAGATACCCCGAGATCTCGCTCGTAAACCCGTCCGGACACTTGGTGTAGTCCTCATTGAGGCCCAGCTTGCGGATCTCCTTCATGCGCTCCTCCACCTCGACCACCAGCTCCGCCTCCGACCGCACATAGTCCGCCGCCAGCGCGTCTACGCCCACCGCCCCCGTCAGCAGCAACAGCAGCAGGATGATCAGCCCCGTGCGGTCCTTGCCCTGCGTGCAGTGCACGACGACGGGGTATGCGCCGTCCGTGGCGGCCAACACGTCAAAGACCGCCTTCATCTCCGCCGTGCTGCTGTCCAGCGTGTCCTGGCCCAGCCCGATCAGCCCCCGCGGCGTCATCACCTGCTCCCCGACGAGCACCACCGCGTCGTCGCGGTACCCCGATGCCGCCAGCGCGAGGACCTTGCTGCAGTAGCCCGTTAGTACAGCCCCCACACCATCGGTGGTCAACGTACAGGAAATTCCACCAGTCTAACCTCCACACCAGGGTCCGCTCAAACGCCTTCCCCGTCAGACTGATCAGACACCGTTGCACGCCCGGGAGGTCCGGCAGATGCTCGTCACCGGCGCGCGGCGTCGTGTCGTCCGTGCCCGTTTCCGACCGCCGTTTGGCGATGGCCATCTGGTGCTCCGTGCTGAGGGATCGTGTTAGCCCGGGACTTTGACTTTCCGTCAGGGAAAAGAAGGGGACGTACGACGAGCGCAGGTCAATGACCGTGGCGATGTGCAATTCCTCCGTGAGACGCCGTTTGTCGCGCTCGGAGGCGTCGTCTAGCTGGGTCTGGTCAGTTTCGTGCCGAGAATGTACATATCGGTTTAGCTGATTCTGGAGCGTACGCGGGCGCTGCGGTATAGAACCCCCTCTTTCAAGACCCTGCGCTGGCTTGTCAGATTGTAATTCCGGAAATAGAGAGGAGACGTAGTTACTTCTTCCCCAGAATGCCGTTGATGGAGCGCCCGACATCGCGGAAGTTGATGATGTTGTCGAATGGGCGGTCGGGCGAGTCGAGATCCACGCTGGAGGCGCGCGGATAGGAGGCCATGGTTCTATTCTCTATCTGAGTGTGTCCGGGGGCAGATTCGGGATGGACATGAGGATATTTATTGTCCGTTGACCGCTACATATCGGGGGTACGTACTTGATTTTCTGGCGTCGATAGCGTCCCCTTTCCATTTTAGTGCTCTTGCTCACCGCTTTTTAGACGGAGTATCTGGTCTAGCCTCTATCACCTCAATGGATGCACTATAGTACAAGGTAGAAGTTCATCTTATCAAACGGGTTGTGATTGACTGTCACTTCCACATGGCTGGCGTTTTATCGTGATCGTCAGCCACATTTGAAACCTGTCCGAGTCTAATATCTGATTTCTTCAACCTCTACTGTCTACTTGTGCAGTCCAGGGACCTGTGATGGTTTATGAGGGTCAACGCATCCTGAATTGAACAAGCTCCTACAGACTTCCATATACCAGATGAAGCGACCCTCATTCCTCAATTAGACCACCGCGCGCACCATCGTCAGGGCCTAAATCCACCAGACTAATAGCGCCAGGAGTGAACTAAGAAGCCTTTCCAAGCGGGAGGTAAACTGATCCAAGAGACTGTCAGTGATAGTGTCCTGTGGTTAGGGACAAGAAGAGTCCCCAACGTCCCACCAGCGTCAGATCCAGCCATCGCCAGACGAGGCGCTCCCCCAGTTACCGGCTATTGCCGGTGGTATTGTCCAACGTTCCTGGACGTGGAGGGTGAAGTAGCTGGTGTTGCAATCAAGTTTAGTTTGAACGTCGCGAACTGCCATAAGCCACATCACTGCTTTCTTCAATGCAGATAGAAGTAGCCGAAGTATCTCGGTAGACACCGTTATTTGGGTGTGAAAGGGCAAGATAGCTAGTTAGTTCAACGCGGACAGTCTGCTTCGTTAGAACTACCTTACGGATGACTACAGTGTGACTTTTGTACTGGAAAACATGAACCAGTGACAAATGATATATATATATATACTTGTGGACTGCAATATCTCAAAAGAAAGGGTCTCGCTGTGGGCAATTGATACAGTAATTAATCCAATCTACAGACATCGCTTATTTACAAGGCCTTGGCAAGTACCCTTTTAGCTCTAGGAGAGGAACTGCTTGGACTATCACGGTTACATCGCGCGTGTGGCGTTCACCGAGCAATATAACATCCTCTCCCCTCCCCCTAATTGCTTGGCTCCTCCATCGACGAGTTGCCCACCTTACTCTACCTCATGGAAGTCACTTGGAGGTTTCACCACGAGAACTGGGACGAGCCCTGGGCGTCCGACGATTTCCCCGTAGGCGAAAGCAAACAAGAGATCCGGCAGCGAATTCGCCGCCTGAAATCTGAGCCCTGGTGGGATGATACGACCAACACCGTCGTGCGATTCCTGCATGACGAGCTCCCCTATCAATGGCCTTGGGGATATACCATCTACCGCACAGTCTATACCCCGGAATCCAGCCAACACTGGAAGCCAACGACCGAAGCTATACCAAAGCATGTATATGCAAGCGCAAAGGGGCAGCTCAACAACGAAAAACCTTCGCGGATCTTTCAAGAGGGGTACCGACCGCTCATTTTTGATGACCAAGCGCAGTTTGATGGGGTCACTCTTGATGAGGTTCGTCGACATTTTAAAGCCATCAGGAATAGCGACAACGGTGATACTGGGGTTCGGTTTCGGTTTTGTCTGGTCATCGACGAAGGCGCTCTTCAATCCATCATCCAACACCCTGAGCCACAGAAACCTAGCCGGAATGGAGCTTGGGTCACGGTGATTGACCCAGACTACACTGGAGGCGGCAGTTACAACACTCGATACTACCTGGGATATTTCCGCATCCATCTGAATGACCTCTGGAGACTGACCTATCTCGGGGACGCTCTCGAGTTAGATGAGGTCTGCGGGAAAATGAAAGGGCCCGATGACATTCCCTGGTTTGATTCAGAAATCTAAGGCCAGCGGAGGATGGCATGAAAGGACTATGGTGTATTTAGGTCATGAAGGCTCGGTGATTGTGAATCCATCAGTTGCTTGAAGTCATCTTGATCGCGTACGCTTAAGCCTACACGAGGTCGTTAAGATCGAGATTCATTTGTTTCCCCATTGACCGTCTCAACTGGCGAATGACGCGAATCACAGTAGCACCGAGCTTGGTGGTCTTCTTCGGGAGCCACTGGTTCTCCATGTCCGTTAACCCTTGTGTGGCCCAATTGATTCCATGCTGTAAGACCTTGGCCAGATGATCCGCCAGCCATCGATCCCAGCAGTCAACAATCACTGCATTACTTCCTGTCGCTTGATTATATGCATCCTGGACAGTTTTCAATTCTTGTCGGATGAGGCCGTTCGTCGCTTTGAGTCTTTTCCACACCTCTGGGTGCTTCAAATAGCTGAAAACCGTAACCACCTGAAGACCCCCTATCGTCAGCCTCAATGCATAAACTGTATATTGATATAAAGAGCTTACTCTTTTCAGAATGGTAATGCCTTGGTTAGGGGAAGAGTCTTTGACAATGTCCTTCCACTTGTCGGGATCACTGGGATTGTGCAATGCCCACAGCTTCACCGGGAAGTCAGAAACATTAGAAATCAGTGTCGGATATAGACGAAGTCACATACAACTGCCTTCATTCCATTGAGCCTCTTCTCCAGCAGCCGAAACTGATTCTGGTTTGTCCAACTGCCCAAGGCTTCCATAATACGCAGTGACGGGACGCCCGAGTCAAAGCCACCGGGCATAGGCGTTGTTCCTTTCAGGACATCTTTGTTAAAGAAGTTGAGGAAGAATTGACAGTCCACGTTGCAGCTTGCTTGAGTGACTAGCCATGCAAAGAATTTAGGCATACTCTGCAGCTCAATGATATGCTCAGCTATCCCGGAGTCATTAGTTAGCCATACTAGCTCAAGAAGGCCATAAGGGAGATGTGGTGCCCACTGTGGTAATCCGAGCTCTCCGTCACAACAATTGACTTGACATTGGTTTCACAGTTCGCGCAGTCTTCGACATCTTCGTTGTCCAGTGCTTCGTCGTAAATGCTATCCTGGGTTGGCCAGTCTCCACTGCTAGGATATCCGTGGCGCCAGAACCGGATCCTGACATCTACAATGCCGTCGTCGCAGTTAAAAACGACTTGCTTGTCCTGTGCTCTCTTTTCGAGGCGATGAAGCGCGCGTCTCTGGTTTTCTCACGGCGTTAGTCAATTAAGAACGGCTGGCAACACATGGAGACTCACCTGTCCTTCCCATTGAAACCATCGTTTAAGTTCGTCGTGGCCAGATACCAGGTCCTCATTGTCGAAGCCTTCCTCGGTGCACAGGAAATTGTCTGTTGTACACAGGTCAAAATTGCAGGGTACTGTGACATCCTCACTGTCATCGAGGTATGCGTTCCAGAGCGCCGGATCACAGGCCAACCCATCACTAAGGTCGTCAAATGACTCACTGTCTGACCGAAGGCCGATAATTCCTGCCAGAGTATTGGAGACCAGATACTTCAAACCATGGGCAATCATATATGCGTCCCAGACCTGCACTTTCCCTGCAAGTCGATCCAGCTCGGCCATGCTACACGCCAGAAAGAAGGATTGTAGGAATGATCTCACTTGCTGAACGGGAGAGTCATCGCGAGTCTCCAAATCTCTGCTCGCCAAGTCAGTCGTCGAGCATGTTGGATCAGCGCCCCATTTCGCGAGGGCATCTTGAAACGCAGCCACGTCGTCTGAGTATCGCGTCGTCTCCGTGTAGTAGCTCGGCTCACAACAGTAGGACTCATATCCTCTGTGGTAACAGCCATGGTTGTATGTATTCATTGCCACCTTGAACTTCCCAGCAGGGCAGAAGCCGACACACTGCATGTCCTTCGTGATGGTACCAACGTTCGATACCCATTCGCAATTCTGCCACCGACGGTTCATCCGGTCTGTATCGCAGCAATATTTTCGCTCGCCCATCTGAAGGGCCGGCCATACCTTCTCCCGGTGAGTATAGTCATGGCAATAGTTTTCACCGCTTCCAGTGGGTGATTTGCCCAGAATATGGTTCATTGCAGTACTGCACACGCCTTTCTCGCACTCGAGAGAGTCATCCCACTCACAGGCTCCGTAAAGCGTCATCCCATCGACCACTTCTCCATCACTATCTGTCAGGGTACAACACGCCGTTTGATGGGAGTCATAGCGGCAACCAGTACTGGTCGAACTGATTTCCTTCATGCCACTGGGACAGCCATCTTCACATCGACCAGCCTTGAAACTGTACCAGCCGCAGGTCGGAGTCTTCCCCGGCGGACAGCACCACGCTCGACTCCCTGTTCCCATGCAAGCTGTATCGTCAAACATGTACTCGTCCTTGGTGTTCTTCCACTCGTCCGTCCGGGGAACCAATGTCCAGCCGCTCGGGCATGCCTCCCCACAGTTCGTCCAATGACACTGGCTATGGTTCGTCCTGTCGGTGACAAGACCATCATCGTATTCAAACTGCATGGACCCGAGATACCCTGTCACCCGGCCTAGTGCCTTCGAGTAATACCCGTCAGTGTTGTCATGCGATATGGCCCATACCATCACCCCACCCAGGCATCTCTTGCGCGCAAAGTTGGTCTTGAGCACGAACGTATCTGCGTCATCATAGGACACCCATTGGTTATCCCAGTGAAGGACTTGAACGGCCGCGTCCTTATATAGGGTAGGACTGACTCCCTTGCTGTCTCGGATTTGGTCGATCTCGTTGTTGAGGAGAACGCCGACCTCACGACTGCAGCTGCCCCGTACTCCGCCAGATAGGTACATGCACCCGGGTTCCACGCAGGTAGGATTGACAGTATATGTTCGTCCATAGAATGCCAGGCCCATGACTACCATATCTTTCTTGATGTCATTCCGCCAGAGCAGATCCAGTGCCAGGTCGATCTCCGTCAGGTTAGTATGAGCATTCAAATACTCACCCGTCCATTTGTTACCCATGTCCCAGGTCCCGTGCAGATCGTACGCCATGATATTGAAGAATGAAACGGACTTGGCCAGTGCCTGTAAGTCGAAATGCTGCAAGTACCAGTATGACGCTGGCAATGTAATAGAGATGCCGTTCCTGCCGGGTGTCTTATCGAGTGTGCTTCTCAGGTTGGCGAGGAACTTGGAGAAGTTCTTAAAATCCTCCGGGCGACCATTGCGGTCATCTGCCTCAGGATACTCCCAGTCTAGGTCAATCCCGTCAAAGTCATAAGTCGACATGAACGACACCAATGACTTGAAAAAGGCTTTCTGCTTGTCCTCCGAAGCGGCCAGATCTGAAAAGATTGTCTGTGTCGGGCCTGGGTCGTTGAAAGTCCACCCTCCTAGTGCAATGAAGACCTTGAGATTTGGATCTAGCTGCTTCCTCGAGGTCACACGGGTATAGAGATCGACATCTCTTGCATCTGCAGGGTTAACCTCAAATGACTGGGGATCAATGGTGGCGAAGGCAAAGTTGATATGACTGTATACTTTGCCGGGGATGTGCTCGGGCCAAAAGCGGTTGCAGGGCCGTCTAGATGCCCAGCCTTCAAAATATCCCACGACCCTTTTCAGACTCCCATCTTCTGAGCAGTGGCCCCGGTCCACAGTTTTATTACCACACTGTGCATGCTGTCAGCTACTTTGCCTGTTAAAGGCGCACGCCCCTTCGTAGACTTACAAAGTCTTCGGTAACACCACAGAATCCCTAGAGTATTCTTTTGTCAGTATCCGAGGATTCCACCAGGCATGGATCACGAGTCTCACATATTTCGAACAGCAAACGTTCAAGGGACATTTCGAGGATTGGGACCATTCAGCTCCCCAGCCAGGATCACACTCGGCCTTGGAGTCACAGCCAGCGACGCATACATCAGCACCACAGAAGTCAGGGCCTAGGCCACAAAAACCAAACGTATTGCTAGTATCAATTCAATTCAGTCAGGGATGCAATGACTTCAATGGCTGTAGCTTGAACCGCAAGAGAATGCTCACCAACAACCGCTTGGGCATGGGTTGTTTGCGTCACAGCCGAGTTTGTAGTCGCATGTATCGACGCATCCCTCGCCGCAGTGCTCCTCAGATGTGCCACAGTAACCGTCCTTCGAGCTGCATTCAAGGCAAGCCAATTAGTCTTCCCTATAGTTTTATACTTCAGGCAGGAATACCTACCAGCATCCAGTTGCACAAGGGTTCTCCTTGCTGCAGCCTTGAGCCAGTGTCCCTCGTATACAGACGAAGAGAAGACAAATGAGTAATATCATCCGGATGCCTCTCGAACGTCCTCTGAGCATGTTGACTGATTCGCACATGCTTGGGAAAATTTTAGTTTGGATTTCACTCTGTTCTCCCGGCGGGAAACGCAGGAGGACTGTTCTTCGTTAAATATGACCGGGGCCATTCAACGGCGTCAACTAGAGACTACTGGCTTTGCTTCTCTAGCCATAACTTCTGACCCAGGGATTTAATCCCCGTAGCGACTGTTCCCCTGGCCGGCATCCTCGGCTGTGCGTCTTTGCCAGAGGCAGTCAATATCGTTCCCAGCCGAGCCCTTCTAGCCTCTCGTGATCCTAGATTGTGGTTACATCGTCAATTATCCTGTCCAATGAATATGTACTACTTTGGTCGGAGGGGGACATCTAATATCGCTTATATTTGCCGTTGCTTACTTCGCTAGAGACTCGGTTGGTGGCGTAGACGGACCCTGCCCTAATGCGAGACCATCTTTCCAGGCACCTGAGTCCCCCAATACCAGGGCATCGACGACTGTATCCCCTGTGAAACAAACCCATCCAAGACGCAGGTACCATGGTAGACGCAATTTCATGAACGAAATTGCCAAGACCTGATCATTAGACCGGCATGCAGCTACTGTCGATGGAATCCCCCTATTCCCGGACATCGCCGCGACAGTGGTATGATATATCGTCCATAAACAGGCATTACTGATCTACCAGACAGATTTGACTGTTTAATTACGAGTATATGTCCACGTAGCCCCCGCTTTGAAGAGGCTATCCATCGTCCGATTCGATCCCCAGGCCATCTCATCTACATCATACCTTGGGAACATCCGGAGAAGATCCAACGTGATGAAGGGAACACTACTGTTACTTACAGTAGCCGTCCAGGCTCTCACCACGCTAGCCTCTGGAGGCCATAATCAGCAGTACAAGCATGCTCATCTACACCACCGGGAGGACTCTGACAGGTCAACCCCTGTTGTTGGGTCTGGCTCTGCGACTACCTTGGGGAGTAACGCGCAGACCGGCCTTATCGACTCTGACACCTCCGATGCAGCAGAAAAAGTTCGTCGAGCATTAGCTGTGCTGGCGGTGATCAACAAGGAGCGTTACGAAAATGTCCGGTATAACAAGTACGAGTTTGCGAATGCGCAGGACGTCGTGGGGGAAAGGATAACGGCTCCACCATTGGACTACACTGCGGATGCGGCCGAGAAGGTCGCGGCTGAGATTCATGCTCGGAAACGCGACTCTGGACGGAATTCGTCCCAGTCGCTGGTGTACCGTATTCCTCCGGAGCTCGCGGAGGCGGCTCGCATCATGGCTGAGGCAAGCCCTCCTGCCCCATCTACCGGGCACGAAAGTGATCTGGCCCGGGAGACAAAAGCGAAATACTTCGTTCCCAGCAATGACTCCAACGTCCCTCCTCAGACGTATCGTCGCCCGGATGGACTATACGAGTACGCGGCTGCTGCAAACGACCAGGTCTTGCTCGGGAATGCGCCGGCCGCTAGCTTGGTCAAACGAGACTCTTCTTCCCAATACTGGCTCGCGAACATGCAACAGCGAGGGTCGAGTCCCTACGCGCCTCCTGGGTATCGGGTTTTTCGCAACGTCAAGGATTATGGGGCCAAGGGTGAGAGTGATTCAGCCCTTGCATGCGATGACAGTCATTAATGGGGGCCTGTACAGGTGACGGAGTGACCGATGATACAGGTACTAGCGTTGATAGCAGTCATTCGTTCAGAAAGATCCTCTAACGCAGTTCCAGCGGCAATCAACAAAGCTATTTCCGACGGCAATCGCTGTGGTGCCGACTGTGGATCAAGTACAGTGTACCCAGCCGTCGTTTTCTTCCCGGCAGGAACATATCTGGTCAGCAGCCCGATTATCCAGTACTACAATACTCAGTTCCTAGGTGATGTATGTCCGCGACTTCTACTTCAATCATCGCTGCTCGCTTCCGGACTGACTTCAATAGCCGGGGAATTACCCCACGATTCTAGCAGCAGCCAGCTTTGTGGGACTAGGAGTAATCACATCTGATGTATATGTGGGAGACCAAGAAGAGTGGTAAGACTTGATGCTTTTCTCGTTTGCCTATGCTATTTTTCCTGTCATCCCCCCTCGTCCGCTACTGAACTGCCGCAGGTACATTAATACAAATAACTTTCTGCGAAATGTTCGCAATTTCAAGATGGATATCACTCGGACGGATCCCAATGCATATGTTTGTGCCATTCATTGGCAGGTTGCACAGGGTACATCGCTGGAGAATATCGAATTCTACATGTCACAGGCCGCAGGCAATACTCAACAGGTAAGTGACACTGTATACGGATGTACCAATAGGTCTGTGCTTATAGTGGAAAGGGCATCTATATGGAGAACGGTAGTGGTGGTTTTATGAGCAATCTGACGTTCGTGGGAGGGAACTTCGGGTACGTACCGGGCCAAAAGGATCTCTAGTAAGAATGAACTGACTGATAGCATGTAGAGCTTACTTGGGAAACCAGCAGTTCACTACAAGCCAATTGGTCTTTGTACAATGCAAGACTGCAATGCAGGTACACTGGGACTGGGCGTGGACTATGCAGGACGTCATCATCGAAAGCTGCGGTACAGGCGTCATCATCGTGGGTGGAGTACGTGTCCCCTGAAGTGACCATCGCATGGGCAGTCTATTAACTTGGATGTGATGCATAGGCAGGCGGCCCCTTCAGTACGGGGCAAGGAGTTGGGTCGTTTACGCTGGTCGACGCAATCATCGCCAACACTCCGACAGGCATCACAACCTCACTTTATCAGGACAACTCGACCGCATTCCTCTTGCAGAACGTTGGATTCTTTAATGTGCAGCAGGCTATTGTTGCCGAAGCCATACCCGAACCACTTCTGGCGGGAGGGAACGAGGTCTTGGTAAATTCGTGGGGATTTGGAATGTATGCCAATTCCAGCGGAACGTTCTTTGCACAACAGTCCGACTTGGCGACGATGGAGCGTAATGAAGCGCTCGTCGGAACTAATTCATATGTCAAGCCTAATTTTTTCACCCGACGCCGTCCGCAGTATTACGACCTGAAGGGTAGTCAGGTCTTCGATGTCCGTTCCTACGGTGCCAAGGGCGATGGAACCACCGATGACACAGTTGTCTTGAATAGTATTCTGGGCGTTGCAGCTAACCTGTCTGCAATTGTATACTTCCCATACGGGATCTATGTTATCAAGGATACTTTGACTATCCCTAAAGGATCTCGCATTATCGGCCAAGCGTGGCCGCAGATTATGGCAAAGGGACCAAAATTCCAGAATGCGAATCAACCCCATGTCGCGGTGCGAGTAGGACATGCTGGAGATATTGGCATCGTCGAAATCCAAGACTTACTTTTCACCGTCTCTGGACCAACGGCTGGAGCGATTCTCATGGAGTGGAACATTCATGAATCAATCCAGGGCTCTGCCGGACTCTGGGGTAAGTTTGTTGCTTGCGATGAAACTGGAGCTTTCTAACACTTGACTGCTAGATTCACATTTTCGCGTTGGTGGCGCCAAAGGGTCTCAATTGCAGAGTTCCAATTGTCCCAAGCAAGCATCTACTGTCAATCCCAACTGCATTGCGGCCTCGTTACTCTTGCACATCACTCCAGGCGCGTCGGCGTATATGGAGAACATTTGGGCATGGACAGCAGATCATGACCTAGACATAGCCTCTCAAGATCAAATCGACGTCTACTCCGGCCGTGGCATTCTTATCGAAAGTCAAGGTCCGACATGGCTCTACGGGACCGCATCTGAACATAACGTCCTCTATCAGTACCAGGTCTCGAATGCAAAGAACCTTGTTATGGGCATGATCCAGACGGAGTCGCCTTATTTTCAACCTGTGCCTAAGGCTCCAGCTCCCTTCACCGTCGGCCTGTTCCCAAATGACCCGACATTTTCTGAGTGCTCGCCGAGCTCGCTCAAGTGCGCTATCTCGTGGGCCGTTCGGGTCATTGAATCCTCCACAGTATACATGTTGGGCTCCGGCCTGTATAGCTGGTTCTCTGATTACTCCCAGGATTGTCTTCGCACTGAAGACTGTCAGGATCGAGGGTTCTACATTGAAGAAAGCAGTGATGTTTGGATTTTTAACCTGGTTACCAAGGCAATCCGCGAGAGCATCAGCCCTAAAGGAGAGACGCCCTTATACGCCAAGGACACCAAAAACGGCTATACCTCCTCATTGCTGGGATGGTTCCGAGAGCCCACGGAAGTTATTGGCGAGCGGAATTTCACGGGCTACTACCTCTACAGCAGTCCAGATTACGATGACCTTCTTGATACCGTTTCTAGCACATGCAAGACGGCAATGACTCGACTGATCGAATGCGCCGACGAAACATACTCCTTCCTGCAGCCAGCTTGGCCCCAAGCCTACGGAAATGACACCTTGGCTGACCTGGTGTGCGATAGCCACTGTGAGATATCTATCAAGACATGGTACGATGACGTTACTACCTACTGCAGCGAATTCAATACAAAGCAAGATGTGATGAACTACCGTGGGGGCATTCTTTGGGCTGGATGGAACCAGACTTGCCTCCGGGACCCTGACAGTGGGAGTTACTGCGGTGGTATATCTCCCTGCATCTTTCTCTTTCTCCAATACACGGCTCCGCTAACTTGTATCCCTATCCATTGGTAGATGTAATGCAGAAGTTCACACCTGTTGACTTCGAACGAGACATGCCGGAATCGGAAATGTGTTCGTACTGCTACACAAAAACTCTGGAGCTGGCACAAGCGTCGCCGTACTCCTTCTACGACGAGTATTATCAAAGCATCCTCGAGCCTGTCCACTCTCGCTGTGGTGCCTCCGGGCCTACGGATATTCCGCCCGCTGTAGAGGATCACACCGAGATACCGACGGATTTCTGTGCTTCAGACATCTATACCACCGCGGAGGGGGACACGTGCGACTCCATCTCCCTCACCAACAGCGTCTCGTCCGCGGCTCTGTTCATCGGCAGCGAGGCGATACGCAACTGCAGCAACATCGAGCCTGGCCTTTCTGTGTGTCTTCCATTCCCATGCACGTCCGTTTACGCCTTCTCCCCCAACGAGACGTGCACCTCCATTGAGCGAGTGCTCGCCATGAACCCAGGGAAACTCCGCCAGCTCAATCCCTGGATCAATAGCGGATGCACCAACCTGCAAGAATGGAGCGTTACGTATGGCCGCGTGCTTTGCGTATCGCCACAGGCGGGTGTCCACACGGCGACGGTCCCCCCGGTGGGCGTCACCTCCTTGCCAGGCTCCAACAGCGGATACGCAGCCTCTGTCGTCTCTCCTCCGGAGAATGCTACCGTTGCCAACGGAACGACGTTGAGCTGTGGCCGGTGGCATGTCCCGCGTGAGGGGGATACGTGTGCGTCGATTTGCGTGCAGGAAAGAATTGAGTTCTCGCTCTTCCTGGCTGTCAATCCGTCCTTGTCGTTGGAGAATTGTACCGCTGAGCTGCTGCTCGGCGCTGCGTACTGCTGTGGCCCGGTCCAAGGCTGGGGGCTGGTTCCTCCCAAACCACCTATGACTACGATTCCGGACACGACTCCCACTCCTACTCCGGTTTGATGAGGGTAGGGTTCAAAGTGGTTTAGTGTACAACTCGGTGGAGGCCTGTACTTTCCTGTCTGTGGATCATAGTAGCTCAGTACCTCTATACATGAACAAAACTCGTACACTCTGTGAGGCGAGCTCACAATGTTCTTATGAAGTTGCTACGTAGATGCACATATATAATTTCTAGTACATATATATTTCTCACGATTGTCGCTGATCAACGCCATCACCATTGTTGTTCGTGTATGCGGGCTAGACCTCGGTCTATATATGTAACCTTATAACCCCCTCGCAACATCCTCCTGCCATTCTCACAATCAACTATGCATACTCCGCCCGGTCAGTCCAACGAGGCTGCAAATAACTCCAATCCCGATTAAAATCAAACCCACTCCGATACTGACCATACGTCTTCAGCTCCACCCGATCTAGCCGCGCCCCGGCATCCGTCAACGCCCACAGACTAATCGCCAGCGTATTCTCCCCGCGGTTATTGATCACCCCCGGCGGAAACGGGAACAGCGTCTGCGGCCCGATATGCGGCAGGTAGTGGCCAAACTGGTACCCGTTCATGAACACCTGCACCACCGCCGCCGTGCCGGCGGGCGCCCCCAGCTGCAGCCCAATCGGCACGTCCATGTCAGCCGGCAGGTCAAGCCGGAAGCGCGTCGTGTAGAACCGCCCCTCCGCGCCGGACACCCCGTCCAGCGGACTGCTGGCCGCCGCGGCGGCCGCCGCCTCGTACCCAGGCAGATGCCAGCCCATGCGCTCGCCATACAGCCCGCCCTCGTTCATAGGGCCGCGCACGGCGTCGATGTTCCGCTCCCCGCCTGCGTTGCCCTGGATGCGCCACGAGGTGAAGGTAGCCCCGCCCGCCAGCGTCGCGCCCAGAATGCCGCGCGGGTTCTGCGTGCCCAGCGGGCCCTGGCTGTTCTGGTCGTGGCCTGTATAGTCGGTGACGACAGTGAGGACGTTGTCGCGGGCGCGCAGAGTGGACTGGTTAAAGGTGAGCACGGCGGACGTCGTCACCTGGCTGGGGCTGCCCACCGCGCCGCCCACGTACGCCCCGTTCAGCCAGGCGGCCCAGCCGGCCGCCACGCCGTTCTGCACGGTGACGTTGGCCGCCGTCGCGTTCTGCCCGTCGAACCGGCCGCGGTAGATCTTCGTCCCTGTGTGGTATCCGTAGTCGCCCGAGTACAGCACCGGGAGGGAGAGCGGCTTCTGCGCGTTCACGGAGGTGGTCTTGTTGCATACCGTCCAGCGGGAGTCGTCGTACGCCGGGTCGATCTCCGGGAGCGTATCCTGTGCTTTCCACGGGCCTAGCGATGGGAGGGTGATTTTGACGTCTTCCGCGCCGGGGGCCGTCCCGATTAGACTGCCGTAGGCGGTGCGTTTGGTCTTGACGGGCTTTCCGTTCCATTTGACCTTGGTTACCTTGTCGTCTCCGGCGTACACCCTGCTGAAGTTAGCCATGCGCTTCGCAAAATAGTTAGATGCACTCACTCGAGAGAGGTGGTGTTGGCGTTGTCTCCTGTAATCTCCACCGTGGTGCCCTTGATCGACGCGCCGCGCACAAGATACGGGCCCAGCACGAAGATGTGTTGGTCCGGGGCGACCTCCGGCGTGGAGGTTAGCGGCGGCGCAAAGAAGTTCCACGCAGACGCCTTGTCGAGGAGATACACCACCACGCCGTTGGAGAACTTCACCGCCGTGACGCCCTCGGCCTGGACGTACGAATACTGCGTGCCGTGAGTGGTGTTGGCGGCGCGCAGCTTCGACTCGCCATACACCTGGAAGCGAAGGCCGCGCGGGGCGTGCTTGAACGCAAACGTCCCCGTCTGCCCGACATTCAGGTAGAACACCAGTACGTCCGTGTCCAGCGTCGTATAGGTGAGCACCTCCGCCGACGAGTACAGCAGAGACGCTCTTCCGGCGCTGTAATCCGTCACGACGATCTTGCTCTGACGGCCGTCGAGCTGGATATCGGGGATGGTCATGGCCCCTGCAGACGTGTTGACGTTCAACGCAAAGTCCGTCACTGCCCGCGACGGACTACTCTCATGCGCAACGACATAAAACCCGGCATGCGTGTCCGGGTTGCGCAGCGCCCAGGTGAACACCGCCGCGTCGCTCGTATACCCGGTGCCATTCCCCTCCATGTACGTCTTGAGCAGATCGCCCGACACGCGCGTAAACAAGCCCAGCAGCTTGGTCTGCTTCAGCTTATCGCGCACCTCGCGGGTCTCGCGCAGCGGCGCGCCATAGTCGTACGAGGTGTAGACGACCGGCGCGGCACTATGCCCCCAGTTCGTGCCACCAAACACCATGTACAGGTTCTGCAGGGTCACGCGCGAGCCGATGTTATTCTTGTAGTAGACGTCGGCAAACTCGGGCGACAGCTCCGCCGCGCAGGTGTCGTACACCGCGCCGCCCCAGGGCTGGAACCAGCCGCCCTCGAACTCGGGCAGGTACTCGGGCTGCGTGAACGAGTAGTTCTGGAACCACTGGTAGTACGTGCGCACGAGCCGGAAGCCCGCGTCGCGGTTCGTGCACGACAGCCCGCCCGGGTACGAGTCCAGCCCGTACACGTTCACTGCACCGCCGACGTCGTGGTAGTCCGTCGACCAGCTGACGGCGCGCATGCCCTTCTCGTTGTGGCTGCTGGGCACGACGATGCCGGCCGCGTCGAACGCCGCCGCGATCTGCTCCATGTACTGCACGCGCGTGTCGTCCGCCGCGTACACCGTCTCCTGCAGCTCGTTCTCGTGCTGGTTGAGGATCACCGGCCCGCCGTGCGTGATCTGGTTCGCGGCGATGATCTCGCCCACCGCTGCGATCCAGGCCTGCCAGCGCGCGTGGTACGCCGCGTCGCTGGTGCGCTCGCGGCCCATCTGGCCGTTCGCCGCCCACAGCGCGAAGCCCCCCGCCGACGTCTCGGCGTTGCAGTACGGCCCGGCCCGTGCGATCACGTACAGCCCGGCCTGTTTCGCGTAGTCGAACAGCCGCTGCAGGTTGTGCGCTCCGGTCGTGAAGTCGAATTCGCCCTCCGATGCGCTGTGGTAGCTCCAGAAAAAGTAGACTGCATGTGTCAGTACATCTCATCTTACTGTCGGATATACCGATTGGAAGGCGAGGGGAGGTACTAGAAATCGTGTTGAACCCGTTGGCCCGCAGCTTCTGGAAAACATCCAGCCATAGCTCCGGCACCGGCAGCCGCTGGTAGTGGAATTCGCCCGAGTAGATGAACAGACGCTCGCCCTTGACAGACAGACTGTACTTGTCCCAGGTCACTGCGGTGGTTTTGCCATTGTCCGTGCCGGACACCGGTGGGAAGCCGGCCAGGATCCCCAGGTAGATCCAACACAGCAGGCTGTAAAGGCGCATGCTTGACGGTCAATGGGCTCACTGGGATCTAGAGGCGTCATTGCGGTGGCATGGGTCCAGGGGAGTCTTATGCGAACGCCCTCTGAGGACCAGCTCGGTGCTCGCGGTAGAGATACCCCGGGCTGGATAGGGATTGGCGGGAGATTTAGATTGCAGGGGCCTAGCTTGCTTGTGTGTAGACCAGGTCATTGCTTGTCGTCTCGGCTGGTGGAGGAGGGATGCGGGGGAGAAAAGGGGAAACACGATCAAATTAGGCGAAATCCCTGTGGTAGTCAAGTATACAACCAGGCACGGCATAAATTAATAACCCAATTATGAACACATTAACTAACGTAGCATAACATACATCAACTCCAAAGCTCCTCAGTTTGACCTCCATTGCATATCACAACATATACACCCCTCATAACCCAATCAAACACATACTACGATTCAGCGGCATCCTCACAGGTCTTCCGAGAACCGCGACTCACGACCAGTGCCAATGCTTTCCTGCTTCCCAATCGCTGGAGGCACAGGCAAGCCCTGGTCCGCAGCGCCTTCGCGAAGCTCCTGTCGGGCCTGTGCGGGCAGGTCATCGGCCGCGATATGTTCGACCGGCAAGCCACCGCGGCTGCTCTCCTTCTCATAGCCCGTAGCCCCGTTGGTCTTGAGCTCACCAGAGCTCTTGGAGACCATCTTGGAGAATCTGGACTTCAGACGAGACCATTCGCCGTTCTCCGATCCATCGCTCGACCCCTCCGTGGGGATGCCCTTTTTGGCGCCCAGGCCAGCGACCATGCCTTCGTCAACGGACTTTCTCTGCATGACACGCAAATCATCGGCCGTGACGGGGTTAGACATGAGGGCCGCAGCTCGTTCGTTTTCACGGGCCTCGGTTGCTCCTCCACCAGTGGCGCTCGACGGTCTCTGATCCTGGTCTTCTGCTGTCTTCGAAGTATCCACCGCAGCCGGCTCCTCTTTTGCAGGAGCGACCTCACGTTCGGGGGCTTCGCTCGGAACCGCCGCTTCTCCAGCGGCAGCCTCTCCAGCGGCAGCCTCGCCAGCAACGGCTTCTTCAGGAGCCTGTTCAGTCTCGCCAGCAGCCTCGCCCGCAGCGGCACTGGAACGGCGACCGCTCAGCCTGCCAAACCATGTTTTGAGCTTCGATTCGCTTCGGGTAACGGGCTCCATTGCAGCGGATTCTGCGGCTCCGGCCCCCGAGGCGACGGCGCCCTGGTCGCGATCCGCACTCTGGGCCTCGGTGGTTTGCTGTGGGGTCTGATACGCCCTCTGTTCAGCGATCGGCTGGGGTTGTTCTGCGGCCACTTTTTCGGTAGTGAAGGTCCCGGCGGTAGAATCCCGGCCCTTGACGCGCTTGGACTTTCTTCTCCAGAGCCAAGTCTTGCCTTCCTTGGTCTTCAGGTCATGCTTCAAGGCCGCTATTTATCATCAGCTTGGACGCTCACATACTTCAGGAACTTGTACTGACCTTTCTCCCGCTTCTCTTCGGCTCTGGTGTCGGCCTCCCGCTGGCGGTCAATCTCCAGCTGTCGTTGCCTTTCTTCTTCATCCAGGCGCTCCTCCAAGGCCTTGGCCCTCTCGGTCTCTGCACGGTTGGTGATCTCGTCGAAGGTGGGTTGGAGACGCGAGCGCGCCAGAGCCTCAATCTCAGACATGTCCATGTACTTCGACAGCCCAAGGTTGACCTTGTCTTCGTAGCTGAGCTCTGCATCCAGGTTCCTCACGTCCTGCTCCGCTCGTGCCAGGGCTGCTTCCTCCCACTCCTTCCGCACGGATGGTGGAGCACGACCCGTCTGAGCGCATACGCGCAGCTCCATATCTTGCATAGTCGCGTCGACGTTTCTTTTTGCAGCTTCCAGGAGGAGAGCACGATCCTTTTCTCTCTGTTCGTCGACCGCGTCAAGCTTGGTGCGGAGGCTCGTCATCTGATGCCTGATCTCCCTTGATCGCTCCATGTCGAAGGCCGACGTGTCTGACTCGATGGAGCCTCTCCGCTTCCGAGTAGTGAGACTGGACCGGGTCGGTTGATGTTCGACGCCGTAGTACTCCCGATAGATCAAGTTTTCATCCTCCATACTGGCCAGCTTCTCTGCTGCACGCTTCTGCGCGATCTCTTGCACCGCAATTGCATGTTGCAGGGCGGTGGCATGAGATTTAGTGGCTGAGCTTTGAGATACGGCTCGAACATGGCCACGTTTGGCCGCCGGGATCGCAGCGCCCAGCTCTGCCCCATCTGTATGTTGGGTGATATTATACATATCCCGTGCCATGGCTCCGGCCGCCGCTTGTATCACGCTCTTCCGTTTCTGCTCTTCCAGTTCTGGTGAGACTGGTGGCGAGGCGGTATAGAGGCGAGCATTGGCGTTTGCAGCGTTCTGGATTCTGCTGGCAGACATGGCACCCTCGACACCGCCGACCGAACCCTCGTGGACAAAGGCGTCGGGAGGCTCCGAACCAGCCCTCCTTCTACCGTACAAAGCCTCTTTGGCGGCGCTGATGGCCTTTTCCCGGACATCGATCTCTCGACGGACGTCGGGACTCAGATCGGCGGCGGAAATGTCATATTTCTGGTCATCCGCGAAAGAAACCCCCGATTTGCGGTTCAGAGACGCCGACAGGGAGGCCTGACGTCCGAGACCGGACGGGCTTTCAATGCGATAGTCCTGGACATAAAAGGCCGCTGCCGCTTGTCGATCCTGTTGCTGCTGTCGGTTTCTTGCTTGGGAAAGGGCTGCGACGGCCGATGCATGGCTGTAGCCAGGGCGAGAACCCGTTTCTTTGAGAGCTAGAACAGGCATATCAGTAGATGGCCTTTTATGATCCAATCACAATGGGTAGACGCTTACTAGATCTATCGATCTTCCTAGAATATGGTTCGCGCACAGATGATCTGCGCTCCGGATGGGTCACATACAAGGCAGCTGTCGCGGCTGTGCGACGATGCTGTCAGCGAAACTGCACCGCGCCAGAAAGAACTTTCAGTAGACAGAACTCTACATACCTTGATCGGCTAGCCGGGCTGAGCGGGAGCGCGGGATGCGCTGCACGGGCGGTTGTTCAACAGTTGCCATGATAACGGTGGACCGACGGCAACAGGGTGCAGAAAGCAAGGGAGCGCAACGGCGACAGGCATTCCTTGGGTGAAATAAGGCCGTCGGGAAGAGGGGGGGAAGGTCAAGAGGCACCGCGAGGATTGGATGGAACGGCAAGGGAGGAACACCGGGACTCAGGATGGGCCGGAAGTCGAAGTCGCGCTGACGTAGGTCGTTCCAGAGATCGAACCCACGGGATACGACGGATCGGCCGTGAATCCGGGGGAGCTTGGCAGGTGTAAGGCGAGTCACTGATGTCACGATGTCGCGAGAGGATCGATGGTGTTGCAGCCACGACACCACGTTCCGGTGGAATCAGGTGGAAGAGGGGGGAGAGCGGGAAGATAATGATGAGTCTTGGACTTGCGAGGGAAAGTGATGATGTGGTGATTTTTCCTCTTGTATACAGCTAGGGGGTCTTCCGCATTCGGCCAGAGTCAGGTGATCGGCCTCCCAAAACGGACATCTCATTTACCTCAACATCGCAAGATTGATAAAATCACGGTATCCTCGTGTTCTGATCGGGATTGCGTGATAAACTACAGGTGATCTCCTTGAGAATGAATCAAGTCTACATTATTATCACTATTACCGTATAACATACAAGTCATCATAATGGCCCCATGGGACAGTCTGACAGTCTGAGCATCCACGCCATCGACCATCACCACAGATGTAGCGCCTTGAGGATATCATGCCGAGAAAAGAACGAGCGGTTCCGCTTTCCAAAAATGTCTAGAGCTGATTAGTCTCTGACCATATAGAGCGAAATGAAAAACCTACACATAGGAATACTCAACACACAGATGGCCATCTGAATGCTCGAGATAGCCAGGAACGCCGGCCTGATCCCGTTGGACACCAGCCAATCATACGCAAAGAAGGTGAGAATAAAGCTGAACATGTTCTTAAAAATCAACATGCACGTGAATGCCTCGATGGTGATATGGCCTGCCAATCGTCAGTCATCAGGTCGGTCCACGGTCCACGGTCCACGGCCCACTCACGATAGGCGTCCACAATGTAGAGCGCACTGGCGACGGCGCCCATCACCATCCCGATGATGACAAACGCAAAGAAAACATCCGTCACCAGCCATCCATACCGTCCCACATCCTGGGCCACGATGCCGAACCCGTAGAGGCCGATGCCGTTGAAGATGAGTTGGAAGACGACCAGGAGGATGCGGAACTCGGGCTCATATTTACCCCCATTCAACTTAATCATGATCTTGTTCATGGAGTCAGACAGCAATCCAGACAGCACCAGGCCTAATAACGAGCCGACAAAAGCACCGGTGTATAGATACCCGGTCTGGACCTCGTTGAACCACAAGGGAGGACCAAGGAAGATCGCCGCCAAGACGACCCCAATGAACACCGTCCATCCGATAATCACTCCTTGAATCAAGCATGCCTGGTGTCGTCAGAAACACGCGCAGGATGAGCTGTGAGGATACTTACCCAGAGAATGGCCGGCTGGAAGAAAAGCGGGAATGGGCGCAGGAGAAGCTTGAAGAAGTTCTCATCCGTCTTGCGCCCATTGAAAGGCTTTAGGGTTTGAAGGAACGACGCTTTCGCAGGCACGTCGGCCAGTTCGCGAGACCTTTGGTGCGGCGAGGATGCATCCTCCCTCTTTGAAGGTTGATTCTGGGATTCAGACACGGTGGGTTGATCGTTCGAGTACTCGAAATCGGTTCTGATGTGTCCAGCACGTCGATATGCGGTCTCCGGGACGAAAAAGAAAGTAAAGGGGAGTGCAACACCCGCGAAGATCGCTACGAAGTAGAAGGTCCACTCCCATCCCAGGGTATGCGTGATCTTGCCGGCCACCACGGGCGTCAGAAACGCCGCTCCGAACAAGGCAACATTCGACAGGGCCATTCGTTTACCGCGTTCCTATATCACTCCGTTAAAACCTCTCCAAACCCGCACGTACAGCGCACATACATGGACATAGAACAGATCCCCAACACAGGCATTGACTAGTGCTTCAAACGGCGCCAGCGCGACACCTTGGAAGATCCTAGCCCAGAGGAGACTTTGATAATTCCCTGCGCTGGCCCCTGCCCAGGCGCAGCTCGCGACCATCAGAATATTCCCGAGTAGGAACAGATGACGCTTGCCCCAGACGCGTGCGGTGGGCACGATCAGTATTCCCGATACGCCTGTACCGCAGAGATGATACCCGGTCAGGAGGGCGACGGAGGTGAAGCTTTTGCCGTAATGCAGGGCGATCGTGACGGTGTTGGAAGCCATGATGGAGCTGGTGGTTGCACAGAGGACGGCGACGAGCGACAAAATGAGGAGGGTCACATCTCGTTTCCAGAGAGGCCAGTTCTACGGTGCGACCAGCATCAGCGATGATTCCTGGTTTCTGGCCCGCGCACGCGCGACTCGCAGGGCATCGGGGACATACCAATGGATCGTTTGGGTCATCGCTCGGTTTGCGGCACTAAGGAGGATGGGAACGGGTCCCAGAGCGATCATATTTTCAAGGGTGAGTATCGAGGATGGGCTGTTCCGGTGGACGAGTGTTCTTTTTGTAGGAGATCGGATGTGCCTAGACCGAGAGAGCTGTGTTAGCAACCAACACATCGAGGACAGGGACCTGAGGCAGGGCGCCTACCGGGGACATGGGTTAGGACAGTATCTTCCAAGACGCCCAGGCCCATGGTGATAAAGGGGCCAAATGGCCAGGGAGTGACCAAATTATTGTTGAAGAGGAGTTGTTAAAAAGGTCGACGGGGGTTGTTGAGGTTGGAGAGAAGCTGGGGTACAGCACGAGCCCAAGAATAGCCTAATTATGATTGATCTGATTGACGCGGGACCCCTCAGACCTACGGAGTACATAAGTAGGTACCCAGGTATGGACGTCATGCCAGGACCGGTCAACACCCTACTCATCCTACTGCAAGGGCGCTACACAGGGGGGAATCACCTGAAATTGTGACCCAGAAGAGCCCACGACCGCGGTCCATGGGGTGGTTGGTGCGGAGAAGAGGATGATCACCCAATCTGGGGGGCGGATCGTCCTCTGGCTGCGCTGGTTGTCCGCTCCCATAGGACATACGGAGTATGTGCTGTTCCCATCACGCATTATTATACGAGTACTATATACCAGGGAGGAATAGGTTGGTGGAGAATGTCTCCTCTTCCACAAATCAGGCCGAGTTCCTCTGTGAAACCCCTGGGGATATGCGGGTGGGTGGGCCGGCCAGATCCAGGGTCTGAAGGGGACCTCGGGCCATATCCTCGTAGCCTAGTACATAGTACTGTAGTCTAGTTAGTAGCACAGAAGGGATGATACACGCACAAACAAATAGACGCCCCGTGCCGGAATGAGGTAATTATTATCATGCTTTATCCACCAGTCCGTATGTTTCACGGCACTATACTCCGTACACTATGTATATCGATCGACTCGAAGGATTCCCCGTTGGGAAGACCTGCCTTGCTTGGCTTCTGGTCCAACGTGCGGGGGCAACAACATCTACGGAGTAGTACATAACCAGGTGACATACGCCACAGCTTTTACTCTCCTCTCCTCTCCTCATTTCTTCTTCTTTCCTTGTCCTTCTTCACGTCTCGTCCCTCTCCAGCATCAATCCCACCACTCTACTTCTCCGCCCTTCACAATGAAGCTTCACTACTCCGCCCTTGCCCTCGCCGTCTATCTGGGTACCGCTGCGGCCCAGGGCATGGATGGACTGCCCGCCTGCGCGGTATGACCCTGTCCCGTACTCCTGTCGAGGCATTGGAATCCTCGACGCCAACAACATCCATCACACCGCTAACGCACACACAGCGAGACTGCGCGACGAATTCGATCCCGAAGGAGTGCAATCTAATTGACGTCGGCTGCATCTGTGGCAACGCATCATTCATCACCAGTATCTCCTGCTGTGTTGCCAAGGCATGCGGACCCAGCGACCAGCAAGGCAAGTCCATGTTGATACCCATCACACCCCCATATTCTAACATACCTTCGGTCCAGCCGCCATTGATTTTGCCAACCAGATTTGCCGCACTGGCGGCGTCACCAACCTCCCGCAAGCCGCTAGCTGTACCGATGGGGCTCAATCGACAGCCACCGAGACATCGGGTGCTTCGTCGGCCACCTCCAACGCATCCACCGCATCCAAGTCGACCGACACGGCCTCGGGCGTCTCGGCCACTACTACCGGCGCGACCACCGCGACGGGTACCGCCACAGGCACCACCACTTCGCAGACCGGTACCGGTTCGTCGACTTCTTCCGCGTCGCCGAGCGCGACCACCGGCGCCGCTGCCGTGCTCCTCGGTAAGGACACCGGGGTTCTGGCGGGTGTGGGAGCTGCGCTCTTTGCCCTCCTTGCTTGAGCATAGGGCCTTACGCAATCAATGGATTGCCTGTAATGATGGCGATGAATATGGCATGTTTACTACCCCTTAATAATCGAGAAAACCCCTGCAAGCCTAGTGTCATTTGAAGTTTCCAGCATACCGGAATGGTCATAATCGAGAGCATTATCACTACCAAATGGAAGCAGACTTTTTTCTATCTGTATCATATTAGGGTCATCCGTTGTGTATATTCAGGATTCACTGCTCGTCGGAAAAGCGAGCAACCGCGTCCTGCCGCTCATCACGCAGCGTAAGATAGATCTATCAACGTCAGCAAGTTTCTCCCCAGAACCAAGCCAAAGGAGAAGAACCCACCCAAAGCCAGAACATCATCTCCATAAAGCCATACGTAAAGACCACCCGGTTCTTCAGCTGGTCCAGACCAGACGACGGCTCCGCCGTCCCGTAGCCACCCCGAACGGCACCATCCAAGCCCCACGCGTCCGGCTTACTCTGATAGATGAAGAAGGACACCGCAAAGAAAAGACAGAACCGCAGGGCCGAGAGCAACGTCCAGATCTCCGAGTAGAGCGAGGCCAACCGCGCCAGGAAGGGGTTTGTCCGCATCGCGCCCCCGATCGGGATGGGCGACGCCGCCCGCGCGGCTTCAGCCATGGCGATGACCTCGTTGAGCTGCGGGACTTTGGTCACGAGGATGAGGTCGACGAGCGCGTCGGCGACGAGGAGGATTCCGCAGAGGGCGAAGGGGGACTGGGGACGGGAGAGGCCGGGGGCTGCGTCCTGGGGGTGCAAATGGAGTGTTAGCAGGGATGTAGTCGATTAATTGACGTTGTGCACGTACGATGCGGAGCGTCTCTCCGAGCATGAAGACGACATCGGAGTCGGTGATCACTTCCGGCGACTTTGTGAGGTATATCGCCAGGATGAAGAGGAACAGGGCATGTGCCTGGATCAGGGTTTTGGATGATAGGAGACGCATTTTCGACAATGTATAGGTTTTCTGATCAATGATTAGAAAGGTGGAAGAAATATGAAAATATTCCGAAAGGAATCGGTGCAATTGACCGAGAGTTGTTGAAGCAAAGGACCGTCGGATAGAATGTTCATGGCGGCCATCCCGTAACTGATTGTTTTTCTAGACCATGTGGGGGTGGTCCGCTGCAGTCAACTCCGCCCGCCCGCCAAATGAGGAGAAACATCTTGTCGCAAAGCTGCGCAGTGTCCGATCCCCAGGACCTTTCAACGTCACCTTGAAACTGTTTCGATTGCCACAGCATATGGCCACGAAGCTGAGCCCCAGCGCATACCGCAAAAGCTAACAGACAGGATGACCGACCCCGCCGTGTTCAACCGCGAACGTCACATCAAATATTTCCTACGATGTCTGAAGACCTTCCTCCCCGATCTATACACGTCCAATGACTCCAACCGCATGCTGCTTGCCTTCTTTACGGTCGCCGGCCTGGACGTGCTCGGGGAACTCCATAACAAGACCACGCCAGAGGAACGAAAGGGCTATATCGAATGGATCTATCACTGCCAGGTCCCGTCGGGTGGGTTTCGTGGATTCACCGGAACTGATTTCGGGTCGGAGAGACGGACGCCGGACAATGAGGCGTGGGATCCGGCGAACGTCCCGGCGACTTTCTTTGCGCTGGTGATCCTGCTCATTTTGGGCGACGATCTTTCGCGCGTCAAGCGGATCGAGTGTCTACAATGGCTGCCGAATATGCAGCGGCACGACGGGAGCTTTGGCGAGGTGCTCGGGCCAGGCGGGCAGATCGAAGGAGGAGGCGACCTGCGCTTTTGCTGTTTCGGCGCTGGCACGCGGTATATATTGCGGGGACGCCGGGGGGATGGTCTACAAGACGTTGACGACATCGATGTAGACGCGTTGGTGGCATTCATCGAGGCCTGTCAGGTGAGAACCCCCTTTCGCTTCGTTCGGACCAGCATGGGCTGAGACTGGTGTCAGACATACGATGGTGGTATCGCCGAGGGCGCCTTTTGCGAGTCACACTGTACGTGCTATGCCCCCTCCTCTTCCATACACGGCTCTTCTCACGAAATGTTACAGCTGGACATACGTATTGCGGAATTGGAGCTCTCACGTTTTTGGGGAGGCTCGAAAGTGATCGCAGATCGGTACCTCTTCTTACACCCGGCACGGAGGGATTCGAATCTCTAGTGCGATGGCTGGTTGCCAGACAGACAACGGAACTTGGCGACGACGATGACGATGAGAGTGGCTCGGAGGCCGAAGAGACGCAGGACTTGTCGGACCGAGTGGGACAGCTCAGCCTAGAGAACATCCATCGACTCCCCAATTGCCCTGTTCCCATGGCAGATTCATTACGATGGGCCGGCTTCAATGGGCGGAGTAACAAGTATGCAGACACATGCTATTCCTTTTGGAACACGGCAACATTGGCTGTAAGTCCACGACCGTGCGGTCTCTCCGTCGCATGCGCTGACTGAGGGACTAGATGATGGGCCGACTACAGCTAGTCGACGCCGAAAGAAACCGACGATACCTGTTGGAAAAGACACAGCATATTGTTGGTGGGTTCGGCAAAGGCGTTGGAGAGCCACCCGGTAAGAACTTCCAATAACATCTAGAATCTAGCTCTAACCGCGGCGTGGATGCTTAGATCTTCTACATTCCTACTTGGGGATGGTGTCGCTGGCATTCCAAGGAGAAGCGGGACTTGCCAGCGTCGATCCCACGATGTGTGCGAGCCATCGCGCCGTGGAGCATCTGCACTCACTTCCCTGGTGGAAATAGTAGAGGGAGTTGTGATCAACCACACTGTTATATTTCGCTGGTATAGGGGCTATACCCAACGATCATACGACAAGACTTGGATGTTTGTTAATAATGGCCTGTCGGGTAACCAACTGACTAACGATTTAGATGAAACGGGCGGGAATAAGTTCAACGGGGGCAGAGACTAAACGAACTAGTGAGGCCTGTCATAATCTATTGCTAAAATTAAGACATTCAGGGGTAGAAACGTCATTACTTGAAGCATATTGATAACACAAAGGCTCATAAACCGGAATATTATGGGCATTATTTCCTAGCAGTCTTCCAGAAACCCGAAAAAGGAGGTTTGTTATGAAGGCAGCCGAAAAGAATGCATTAACTATAGTATAGGAACCCCCCTCGCATCCGCAAAATTCAGTCTTTCCAGTCCTTCCGGGCTGGTCATGGGAAAGAATATCGTACTCCGTAGTCAATAATAAATACAACTCTCATCATCATTCCCTTCCCTCTCCAACCGCCGAGATAAACCAGCTGTGACAGACAGAACCAAACCAATTTAAACGGTCCACGTTCCCATCCGCTTAATCATCCATCCTTCCCGGCCATCTTTCATCGTCATTATCGTCACCATCTCCATCCATCCATCCATCTTATCACTTTTCTTTTCCCCCCTGTTTAGCCCCTCCTGGTCACTCATGACTCTTCGGCCCCCGTTGTTTTGACTGATCCATCGCCGGGTATCCGGTGGAGACTTTTCTTGATTGCTTCTCTCTCTCTCTCGCTCTCTCTCTGTTTTGTTCGGTTGGACCTGTAGATGGTGCCTGCTTATGGTATGTTGTCCTACTGCAATTTCGCCAACCACATCCCAAGTCTCCCCCTGACGTGCAGATGTCGGATGTGGTATGATCCTCGCAAAAACCTGTCTAATCTTGCGTTATCTAATAGTCCACGCGTTATACCATCCGTTATAATTTCCGCTTCGTTTTCAGTCGACCGGTCTCTTTCCGAAATTCCGACTCAGCGCACTGCGTCCTACATTTCGCTCCTTTCCAAACGTTGTGAACATCGAGTTTGCGAACCGGGCACTCCTTTTGAGAGTTCGCTACTGTCTCGTCCGTTTGCCGCACCGCATACCAACACCCAACATCTCAGCTCCTGTACTTCCCTTTTCGCTGTCGCGCCCGAAACAGTCATCCACCAACCTGTCGGCACATATATACTCTGAATGGAAATCTCTGGAAGGCCTCTGATCGCCAACCGAATCTCCCAACGTTCTCCGATATACATACCGTGACGTCTTTGAGAACAGGCGTGACTATCTTGACACATGCCGCCTCCGAGAACGAAAGCGGAGGTTCATTCCCAGAAACAAAAGGAAAAGGTTTGGCTTGGCCCTCTGTGGAGATGACCCATATGTTTTAGAGAAACATAACTGACTAGGTCCCCGATAACAGCTCGCCCAGTCCTACCATGAATTGCTGGAGTGAGTATCTATCCACTCAACTTTTCTGTCCACTTTCTAACTGTCAATTCAAGGGAGTTTTCGTCGAAGGATCTTCGAAGTGTAGGAAACTATACAGTTGGGAGATTAATCGGCAAAGGTTCCTTTGGCAAGGTCTACCTCGCTTCGCATAAACTCACCAATGGGTCCAAAGTACGCCTGCCCCGAATACCATGTCGACTGCACGACGACTGTCGCTAATTGTCATATACTAGGTTGTCCTTAAATCTTCCAACAAGGAAGACACCAACCTCGCGCGCGAGATCCACCATCATCGCCAGTTCCTTCATCCCCACATAGCGCGACTTTACGAGGTCATCGTGACAGAGAAACTGGTGTGGCTGGTGTTAGAGTATTGTCCGGGTACGCGGCCCAATTACGTGAGCTCCTATTGAACGCTTCTGACCCAATTAGGCGATGAACTCTATAATTATCTCCTGCGACATGGTCCGCTCCCGGTAGAGAAGGTCAAGAGGATTTTCACGCAACTTGTCGGCGCGGTAGCTTATGTCCACAGCAAGTCCTGTGTCCACCGGGATCTGAAGCTGGAGAACATCTTACTGGACAAGCACGAGAATGTCAAGCTGTGCGATTTTGGTTTCACCCGGGAATACGAAGGCAAATCAAGCTACTTACAGACCTTCTGCGGTACGATATGTTACAGTGCGCCGGAAATGCTGAAGGGGGAGAAGTATGCAGGGGAGAAAGTCGATGTATGGAGTTTGGGGATCATTCTATACGCCCTGCTGGCAGGGGAGCTCCCGTTCGATGAGGACGACGACCAGGTCACCAAAACCCGTATCCTCACGGAAGAGCCGACATTCAACGAAAAATTCACCGAGGATGCCAAGTCGCTCATCAACTTGCTTCTTTCGAAACGCCCTCTCATTCGACCAAGTTTGGACGAAATCCTGGGACATCCGTTCCTAGCAGAACACGCCTCCGAACAGCTAGCCATTCTGAAGATCCCGCGTCCCGCACCCTTCTCCACTCCGCTGGAGAAGACCACTTTGCAAAGAATGAAGAGCGCTGGTGTCAATATTGATGAGGTGGTTGATAGCGTCCTGGCTCAGCGGTGTGACCCTCTTGCTGGGTGGTGGGCCTTGTTGATCGAAAAGGAGCAACGAAAAGAGCGCAAGCGGGAGCGGAAACGACGTGAACGAGAAGCAGAGGCGAAAAATATCCGGCGCTTGAGTGCTGCGAGCACCCGACTAGAGAAGATCTCCGCAGCTCTCGTCGAAGTGGATGAAGAGGGTCACGCATCATCGGACGCTCCTCTGTACGAACGAGGCCGAAGAGATCGGCGCAGTTTGCCTTCGCAGCTGGCTGTACCTGAGCTGCCAATACTCCCTGAGCCCATTCCAACGAAACCTGTCGAACCCACCGCTCCCAACAACACTTCCACGCCGCCGCCCCCTCCCATCGATAAAGATTCCATCCGATCTGCGAGTTCCACTCGCCGTCGCCCACAGCCGCCCCCGAAAGATAGACGGCGCTCACGGCCGAGCACATTGCACATGAGTGCTTCTCAGCCTGAACTAAATCAGCACAGCAACGGACTCTTCCGTCGTCGCACACGTCGTCAATACCCCATTATCAGCCAACTCGCTTCTCTCAAGCACTGGTTTGTGGAGTCTGCAAAACGAGCCAAGTCCCCTCACAGTAAAGCCGCTGGCGGCCCTGGGGCCCATCGCAAATTTCTTGCAGAGAAGTTGAGTCCGGCGAAAGGGAATGAAGACGCAAAAAAGACTGCTACCGCCCCATCTGGGACGACACGATCCGGCGAACTCTCGACGCCGACACAAATCAAACGGGCCTCCAATGCCAGCAGCCTGGCCTTGAGTAACGCTTCTTATCCAAACCATCGTCACTCGTTCCCGCGTCAATCGCGGCCAGTGAGCACCAGCCGAGCGAGCCACCGGAACTCTCTATCACCCTCCCCCATCACTCCCAGGGGCTCTTATAGACTCTCGTCGGCGGGTCTGCGTGGCCGCAAGTCGACTTCGTCTTCTGTGTCATCCATCAGAAGCATCCATCACGTTCACACTCATTCGAAAGCCTCATCTGTTTCTTCCAATAGCATTGGCTCGATCTCTACGCCCACAGCTCGAGCGTCAAAGTCTCCTCACTCTTCGGTAAAAGTTCTCCCCACGACTCCAAGCGCCTCGTCCCGGTTTCCCAGCAATATCCGGCTGGTGCGCGGCCCCAATAACGCGTATCGAGAGACGGATGATTCCAATGGCCGGATAAATTCGCTTTTTAACGAGGCAGCACCCGCTCCCTTGCTTTATTCCCCGTCTTCTAGTCTTGTGTTTGCCCGTCGGAAGAGATCTGCGTTCAAGGGTCCTATGGTCCACACGGCCAACCTGATGGTGTCGGGCGGCATGGCAGCACCTGAATGTCAGAATGGTGGCATCGGGGCCGCAGAACCCGCAGGCCCTGCTCGGCCGGCGGCACGAAAGAGCCAGATCATCGAGGAAGAGGACTTGGAGGACGAAGATATCGAAGAGGTCGACACATTTACGGGTACAGAAGAGGACCCGGGGTCTCCAGTCGACGCAGGCAGGTCGGAAGACCAGTTCGCGGTAGGGAAACCCGCTGATTCTCCTGGACGGTCTCGTAAACCGGCTCTTGCTCCTGCGCCGGACATCGACCCGGTCCCTATACGCCCGCCTCGCTCGTCGTCCCTTCGATCCCCGCGGCCGGGCTCGTCGGCTGCGGGGTCCGGACACAATGAAGTCACTGCGGATATGTCCCCCCGATCCGCGGCATGAGGTCTAGTTGACTAGGATCTAGCCATCTAGATCGACTCTAGACCCACCCGGTCGAGATGTCTAGTCTCAGTCCGTTTTTCCGAGGGCTTATGGGCATGACGTCACTTGTCGCTCCCAAAACTCTCACTCTTTGTTATTAGTTGATTCTAACAGTCCATCGGTATAGAGAGATGGTATCAACGGAGTGGTCTGCATGCTGTAAAAGCAGGCTGGTGAATAGTATTGGAGTTATCATCATCTGGCATGATTTGTGGTGTTCGTCCTGGCCTGGGAGGATTTGTGCTGCTGCTATTACATCCATGTGGCTGAGTCTAATATTATGTCACTGTTCGTATTGGTTTAGTCTCTCGCTGAGAAGGAACATATCATACAGCCCGTACTATATGTTATTTTCATTCGATCAAGCCGGTCATCTTGCGCAGATAATTATCTCCAGGCAAGAATGGTTATCAGTTGGTCTGTGCTGTGACTTGGGACCCCGAGCTTACTATATACTCGTCGGTGGTTACTCCACTGGATATGAAATCATCTCTCGGAGAACGCAGATGCAGATCAACTTCTGGTTATTCCGACTTGTCAATTGCCGGCAGACATGCAGATATTGGTTCCACCGACTGCCACATCTATGAATGCCCCTCGTTCGTCCCCGGCATCATCTCGCTCAACCTGTTATCCCTGCCTATAACCTATTGAAAATCACCAAAATGGCTCCTCCCACTCCCTACCCCTTCCACTTCGCCAAAACCGAACCGAACCGTCCTCCGACCAACACTCCCGAAACCCTGAACATCACCCTCCAGAATGTGCGCGGCAGAATCCCCTCCCCGCAGACGTCCCGCCTCCGCACCATGATGTTGGAAGCCCGCAACGACCCAACCAAGATCCTCGCCTTTCCCTGCACATATGACGGTCTCTCCTCACGCTTGGTCGAAGAGGCCGGATTCCCGATGCTGTTCCTGTCCGGGTTTGCGGTGTCCAGTTCCTACGGTCTCCCAGATACAGGCTACATCGCAATGGAAGAGATGTGCTCGAAGATCCAGGAGACCGTCCGCGTCACCACACTGCCCATCATGGCCGACGGAGACACGGGGTATGGAAGCTCGATGAACGTCCGTCGGACGGTCGAGTGCTTTGCTGCCGCGGGGGCGGCGGGCGTTATGATTGAGGATCAGACATGGCCGAAGCGTATGAACCGGACACGGATTGCCCCATAACAACCTAGAATCTATGCTAATGCGGGATAGGATGTGGCCACACGAAAGGGAAATCGGTCGTGTCGCGCGGGGAGGCCTACGCGCGCATCCAGGCCGCGTGTGATGCCCGCGACGAAGGGCGAGATATCTTCATCCTCGCCCGCACTGATGCCCTGATCCATGGATGGGATGAAGCAATGACACGGGCGGCCGAGTTTAAACGAATCGGCGCTGATGCTGTGTTTGTCGAAGCTCTGCCGGATAAAGAGGCGATGCAGCGATGCGTCCGGGAATTGGACATTCCTATGCTGGCGAATATCATCGAAGGTGGCATGACAGAGAACCTGTCGGCCAGAGAGCTGGCGGGTCTGGGGTTTGCTGCCGTGGCGTACCCGTGGACGCTTGTGGCTGCCCGATTGAAGAGCATTCGGGATACGTTGGAGGGACTGAAGAAGAGCATTGTAGAGGATGCGCCTCCGCCGATGATTCTGGGGTATTCGGATGTGTGTGAGGGAGTTGGATTCACTAAATACTGGGTGAGTTCTCATTGTCGCTTGTCATGGCAATATGCTGATCTGATCTATAGGAGGTGGAGAAACGGTATGAATATAATGACGATGGGATTGTGGGCAAAGGGGCAAAGAGTCCTGAGGAACAAAGCTAGTAGGCAAGAGGATTCACTGAACATTAATCTCGTATACAATCTCTTATCTGAACAATTCATAGTCAATGACAATGGACGTGATATTGCCTCAGGCAGGGGACGATACCCGAGGCATATATATTCCCATTCAGGCTAGCGTGGAGTCAGGACATCCAAGCGTCACATTACCCGATTGGGACAGCTGGAATATCTATCAGATAGCCATCCATTCAGTCAGCATCTTCATCTCTCCACTGCCCCTCGGAACTCGAACCCCTGATGCCAACAAACCTGTTTCTTGCCATCACTCACCAATTGCACCTTCAGGTTGTGCACGTTCTACGGATCATGATGGCCACATCCACGATTGATACGTCATTGACTCCGCGCCCTATCCACGAACATCCGGATCCGGGCTGCGGCGGACCATAAGAGATAATGTACACGTCAAGCTGTGATCCAACTGTCATTTACAAGGAGAAGATGCCCATGTTTTGTGCTCCTCCCACTCTCTTACTACCAATCTGGACCATTGACACCTACAATGCCATCAACCGTCGGTAAGAGTAATGACCCAACGATCGTCGCCTATGGCCCGGCGCGCTCGACAATCAAGGGCCAGCCCCTGGAGGCCGAAGAGCTTCGGAAGACCGATGCGTACTTCCGAGCCAGCATGTACCTCTGCTTGGGTATGCTCTACCTGCGGGATAACGTCCTCCTGAAGGAACCTCTTCGGACCGACCATCTCAAGGCTCGACTTCTGGGACACTGGGGATCCGACGCTGGTCAGTCATTCACCTGGATTCACATGAACCGCCTCATCAAGAAGTACAATCTGGATGTGCTCTTCGTTTCCGGTCCCGGTCACGGCGCCCCGGGTGTCCTTTCGCAGTCCTATCTTGAGGGCGTATACTCGGAGGTCTACCCCGACAAGTCGGAGGACGCCAAGGGAATGCAGAAGTTCTTCAAGCAGTTCTCTTTCCCCGGCGGCATCGGCAGCCATGCCACCCCCGAAACTCCAGGTAGTATCCACGAGGGTGGTGAACTGGGCTACTCGATCTCGCATGCTTTCGGCACCGTCTTCGACCACCCCAACCTCATCACCTTGACCATGGTGGGCGACGGTGAATCTGAGACCGGCCCCCTGGCCACCAGCTGGCACAGCACCAAGTTCCTGAACCCCTGCGTGGACGGTGCCGTCCTGCCTGTCCTCCACCTCAACGGATACAAGATTAACAACCCTACCGTCCTTGCGCGTATCAGCCATGAGGAACTCGAATCCCTGTTCCACGGCTACGGATGGACCCCGTACTTCGTCGAAGGCAGCGACAGGGAAAGCATGCACCAGGCCATGGCGGCGACGCTCGAGCACTGCGTCAACGAGATCAGGAAGTTCCAGAAGCAGGCCCGCGAGTCCAACAAGCCCTTCCGTCCTCACTGGCCGATGATCGTCCTGCGAACCCCCAAGGGATGGTCCGCCCCCCGCGACGTCGACGGCAAGCTCCTCGAGGGCTTCTGGCGGTCCCACCAAATCCCTATTCCCGATGTCTGGTCGAACCCCAAACACCTTCAGGTGCTCGAGTCGTGGATGCGGAGCTACAAGCCGGAGGAGCTCTTCGATAAGGACGGAAAGCTGATCCCGGAGTTGAAGGAGCTTCCACCGACTGGCAACCGACGCATCAGTGCCAACCCCGTTGCCAACGGTGGGATCCTGCGCAAGCCCCTCGATATGCCTGACTTCCGGGATTATGCTCTCAAGGAAATCGAACCCGGCGTGTCGATCCGTGGTAGCATGGTGAACATGTCCAAGTGGCTGCGCGACGTTATTGCCAACAACCAGAAGTCCTTCCGGCTGTTCGGCCCCGATGAGACCGAGTCCAACAAGCTGAGCGAGATCTACAAGGCCGGAAAGAAGGTGTGGATGGGCGAGTATTTTGAGGAAGATCAAGATGGCGGCAACCTGGCCCCCGAAGGCCGCGTGATGGAAATGCTCAGCGAACACACGTGCGAGGGCTGGCTGGAAGGCTACGTTCTTTCCGGACGCCATGGGCTCCTCAACAGCTACGAACCCTTCATCCATATCATCGACTCCATGGTCAACCAACACTGCAAATGGATCGAAAAGTGTCTCGAGGTCGAGTGGCGCGTCAAGGTGGCCTCGCTGAACATCCTCCTCACGGCGACGGTGTGGCGTCAGGACCACAACGGCTTCACCCACCAGGACCCTGGATTCCTGGATGTTGTGTCGAATAAGAGCCCCGAGGTGGTGCGAATCTACCTCCCGCCTGATGGAAACTGTCTCCTGTCCGTAATGGATCACTGCCTGCGTAGCGTCAACTACGTCAACGTGGTGGTCGCCGACAAGCAGGACCACATCCAGTACCTCAGCATGGAGGAGGCCATCGAACACTGCTCCAAGGGTGTCGGTATCTGGGACTGGGCGAGCAACGACCAAGGCGTGGAGCCCGACGTGGTCATGGCGTCCTGCGGTGACGTGCCTACCCATGAGGCCCTGGCGGCGACGGCGCTCCTGCGCGAGAACATCCCGGATCTCAAAGTGCGGTTCGTCAACGTCGTCGACCTGTTCGTGTTGATTTCCAAGATCAACCATCCCCACGGCATGACGGATCGCCACTGGAAGGCCGTCTTCACGGACGATAAGCCCATCGTCTTCAACTTCCACTCGTACCCGTGGCTCATCCACCGTCTGACGTACAAGCGGCCGGGCCAGCACAACCTGCACGTGCGAGGATACAACGAAAAGGGAAATATCGATACGCCCTTCGAACTGGCTATTAGGAACAAGACGGACCGGTATAGTCTCGCTATCGACGCCATCGATCGCGTCCCGTCACTCCATAACAAGGCGGCTGCCGTTCGGGAGAAGTTCATCAATGAACAGCTTGCGGCGAGGGGGTGGGCGTATGATCATGGCATTGATCCGGACCATATCCGCAACTGGACCTGGGCCTATCCCAGAAAGAAGAAGAACGTTGATTAGAGGCGTATGGTGCAGCAATTGCAATACGGGTTCCCCGTACGTTGCTTTAAGAATGTCGTGTTTTACTGATGATCAGGCATCTGCTCAAGCACAGCATGAGATCATACATCTATAATCATTTGAGACAATCTCGTCTTTCACTTCTTTTAATGCACATAAGCCCCATTCAAGGTGCGATTCACAATGCAACTTGACAAGATCTACGCATATAATTTCCGACACCAAAGCCAATAGAGACTCGTATAAGCCGCTAGGATTAGTGAACTGACATGAGTCCATCTAATTCGCCCAGGATAAGCATCTCATTTGGCCCCCAACGATCCGCCTCGTCCCTTATGCACAGCCCCATTCCCCTAAGGCTGTCAGCTTACAAGACCCTTCATTTAAGCGCTGCCCCACTGCCGACTTGACTGGTGCGAGTCTACATTCTTGAAGATTTCAAACTCGCAGCGACGGTCGGAAGAAGAGTCTGCCCAGGCATGCCCCATATATGAGTGGACTGGACTCATACAGAGTCCTGGCGATTCACGATGCCTAACCAAGACACCCAAAAAGGGCCCTTTACCTATTCTCCAGTGATCAACGAGGACGACGATAGCAGCAGAGACGCAACAAAGAATGTTTACAAGCAAGAGAGGGGCGGCTCGCCCCGTCTCTGGACGCCATTCTTCCTCCGGCGGCCTGTCATGCTTTCGTTTTTATTACTATTCGTCGCGATTCTTTGCTCGCTTGTCGCTCTGTATACATACACGCAACGCGAACACCGGAGTCTAGGCATTGAAACAGACGGCTCGAGATACTACTACCTATGGACTTACGGCCCAACTGCAGGTAAGCCGATCGCCTCCGCTACTCGTCACAGACTGACCCCTGCGCAGTATTCATGCTCTTAACGGCCGGCTGGACGCAGGTGGAATATCGCGCCTCGCAATCGATGCCCTGGGTCTTGATGCTGCGAGGACCAACGCCCGCGTCGGAGAGCATCTTCCTCGACTACCTCTCCAACTGGAACGTCGTATCGCTCTACAAATCCCTCCGACGGGGACACTACCTGGTGGCGCTGTGCGTCACTGGGTCGTTGTTACTCAACGGGCTGACGGTCTTCTCAACCGGTCTATTCGAACTCGACACCGTGCGCGTCACCCAAGTCGCAGACCTCACCGTGACGCACAAGTTCGACGGTGCTCAATTCGACCCCGTCGTGAACGATGGCAAGGCTTACACGGCGTGTCTTGGATACACTAAGAACGTCATTGATCCCCCCATCGGCCTCCACGATCCCTATGTCTACCCTCCGTTCCGGAGCGCAAAGCACACCGCCGCCGACAACGATACCATGATCGCGAACGCCGAGTACGAAGCTGAGCTGGAGATCTTCACGCCGACGATCCAGTGCCAGGAGGCGACGACGACAATCGCGCCGTCGCACGCCAGATTCGACCCCCAGGACAACTCCGAAGTTTACGAGGCAGACGGCTGCCGCGTCGCGCCGACAGGAATCCCGCTGGCTCTTATGCGCGGTGACAAGTTCGGCATGGATGCTGATGTTGCGGGGTGCCAGGGCCAGACGCTCAGTAACGACGGCAAGCATCCTCCTGAGGTCGATTGGAACGTCGACTGGCGGCTGTGGGTGTCGATTGCGCAGACCATGTCGCAGCACTCGAACAACTATTCCACCGATGGATGGGAGACGCACGAAGTCCGCGGGGTGATGTGCAAAATGCACTATAATATGTCTCGTGCGCCGGTCAGGATCTGGAGGGAACCTGGGCAAAGCGCTATCCTTTCCTCTATCAATGCGAGTGACTTGACGGCCATCGAGCCCATCGCCAACGTCTCTGACGGCAAGCTGCTGTACGCGGCGCATCAGTCGATCGGAGCGGCGATTGACTACTCGTCTGATACGGGGTCCGAGTATGTCTTTGCTGCTGGCGATTCTTTGGAGAAACTTTGGAACTCGTCTGCAGCGCTGGCCGCGGCGGTTGAGAAGTCGTACTCCTGTATTGCGAGGCAGCTGGCGAAGGACTCGCTGCTGGTGCAAGAACCACATAGTGTGCAGGGGACTGAACGAACGACGGACCAGAGATTGTTTGTCCGGGAGCTCTCATTCAGCCTTATGGTTGCTCTGCTGGGACTCTTGATAATCGTCGTCTGTCTTCTACTTGTGTTCTTTATTCCGGTCGCTGTATGTCCCAGAGACACTGGTTGTATCGGTGGACTAGCGACAGTATTCGCGCAAAGTCCAGACTTTATGTCCAAATTCCGGGGCTCAGCGCTGATGACGACCACGCAAATGGCCGGCTCTCCGCTGGGCCAAGCGCAGTATACATCAAGCGTCACCAACACGGGATCATACACGATTATGTCGGACAATTCATCGCCAAATGCCGGACTCGCCGAGACGACGCCGCACTGGTGGCGTCCGCTGTCAACAAGCTGGTCCATCTGGATTCCTCTCGTGGCAGCGCCACTCACAGTCATCATCGCATTAGAGGTTGTATACCACATCTCCACCTCCTCCCGCGGCATCACCCTAGTCGAAGGAAAGTCCTCGTACATCCATTACATCTGGGTCTACATCCCGGCACTCATCATGTTCGCCATCCGCTGCCTATTCCAGACTGTCGAATTTGGCGCCCGCGTCTTCCAGCCATACCTCCTCCTCCGCCGCGGCGCAGCGGCTGCAGACAAGACGATCTTGGAGAATCAGCTGCGCAAGGTGGCTATATACGGCGTCTTTGATAGCCTGCGCAAGCGTCAGTGGGCCCTGGCCGCTGCAACAATCGCTCTGCTCCTGGCGGCCATAACCCCCATCGTGGTCTCCGGTCTGTACATGGTGCAAGCCTCCGCACCAACATCCCCTCGCAACCTCACGCGCATCGACCGGTGGAATCTGGGAGATCCGAACCCCGGTTCCGCCGCAGGCTCAAAGTACTATGACGAGCTGCAGCCGGTGGATGCTAAGATCCCCGGGATGATCATGTACCTGAACCTGTCCTATCCGCAATGGACATATAAAGACCTTGCGTTCCCGCAAGTCCGACTGGCAGATGCAGATGGTGCGCAGGAGCAGGGCTACATTGAAGCCCGTCTGCCTGCCCTGCGTGGACGGCTCGACTGCGCCGAAGTCAAGTCCCCGAACTGCTCCTACCAAGACGACTACGCGCCGTACATTCTGACGTGTGATGACGTTGAATGCTCCGGTAGCGTTTTCACATCCGTCGGACGTACAAATGCCGTGGAGTATTTCAGCGCCGGCTCAGTCGGGTCGTCAAACTACGACCCGGGGAAGAACTGCCCCGACAACCGACTGCTGTTCGGCAAATGGTTCCCCGGCGAAACGCCGATGCAGAAGTTGGTGGTTAGTTGCGACGCCAGGATAGAGGAGGTAGACGTCGACGTTCGGCTGCAGGTACCCTCATTCACGCTTGACCCGGATTTTGAACCGCGCGTGATCGAGGGCTCAGCCAAAGAAGACATCCGTACCAACCGGTCCTCGTTCCCAGGCTTCGACTCGATGAAGGAGTTCCTTTTCACGCCGGAAACCTACCCCGACGGCCAGTTCCCAGAGACCAATAACCAGCTGATTGACGTGGATGTGCTGATGCGGGCCGCCATATATGGCGTGGACGGGGTTCCGGCCGAGGAGCTACTCAATGCAGACAAGCTGATATCCCGCGTCAACGAGGTCTGGGGGATCATCATGGCGCAGCTGTACAACAGTGGTGGGCGCCAGCCGTTCGACCAGCCGTTCAACCACTCGTGGTCGGTGTTGCCGCTGGATGATGCCGTGCCAACGTATTCGGCGGTGTTTTACGACGGGCGGAAGTATCTTGTCCAGAGCGAGGTGTCGACCCGGATTCTGGATGGGCTTCTTGCTACTATGGTGGTATGCGGTGTTGTCTCCATCGCGCTGCTGCAGACGAAAGAGGTCCTGCCGAAGAACCCGTGCAGTATTGGGGCTGTTGCGAGTTTGTTGCATGGGTCCAGGTTGCTCGGTCCGGACGTTATACCTAAAGGAGCGGAGTGGTGTAGTGATTATGAGCTCAAGAGGAGGGGCATCTTTCAAGGCCAGAAGTTTACGATGGGATGGTGGACAGACAGGAAGATTGGAGGTTATAATCCTGTCTCCTATACCAGCAACGAGGGAGATCTTCACCCGTCTGGTGGCATGGGCTCTGCTTCTGGCGATGACATCTCCGTCAGTGACATCGATAGGGATGATTCACGTGTCAATGAACGGACTGGGATCCCGCTGGAAGTGCAGAGCAGTCTTGTGCCAAGTGATGAGGAGGGAAATTCGAAAGCACACGAGATTCGGTATCGACATTGATTTGGGTGATGGCAGGGAGAATCTACGCCTGGAGAACGACGGTCTCATACGATGACACTCATAAAGAACCATGAAATATATTTTCCTTTGACTTAGTTTCTTTCATCTTGACTAAGGCTGGACATATATCTATCGCTTTACACCCACCGTACTTCCAACTTCTTACGCGAAAGGGTATGGTTCTGAAGTAGGGATAAAAAGATATGCAGAACTATATATTGCAACCCTGACTGGCCTCAAGGGAAACCGTGACACCTTGGCATAGGCTGAAGATGAGTGATCACAGTACCTCAACGACGCCAAACCTGATCCCTTACAAATATTATCCTTACGCATCCTTTGAAGTTGTCTGGTTATTCACGGTTATGGTGGTTAGTCGGCTTCGGGCTGACCTCTTGCTGTATACCGGTGCATTATCATACACTGTCGAGGACCGACATGCCATTGACGAATATTCCCCGAAAGTCAAAAGAACCTTCCAATATTGAATGCTCTCCGGGCTTTGTTCAATCCCGGCCTTTGCAATCATGTGGCAGGCTGGGGTATTTCGTGACGTGGTTCCGATGCTCCTAAGTTCATCCAGGATGAAGTCGAGCGATCCGAGCTTACAGTGTCCCAGATAGATGAGATACTTCCGGGCAGCGATGATGGGGTTGGTGGCTGCAAATACCGGAATGCTGAAAGGATGCGTGGAGGTTGGTCTTCGCATTCCAGAGATGGAAGAAGGATATGATCTGCGGCGTGACCGGTAGACCAATGTAACGGTTAAGAGGCCCCTCGCGTGGATAAAGCCTTCGTCGTACAAAGTACAGTGTCCTGTATCTCTATCGAGTCAAGCCTACTCTCAGAGGCTAGACACATGGTCTCTCTTCGCTGAGATCAGTCTGTCTGCATCATGGCTCGAGACATCGAGAAGACAGACGTTCCGCGACCTGACTGCTTCGCGAGCACAGTAACCGAATGCCTATTCGTCCTGACGGTGACGTTCGCCTTTGCGCAGTCCACAATCTTCTCGGGGATGGCGACGGTCATGACCGATTCAATCGGACGAGACCTAAACATGGGCGATGAGCTAACGTGGATTACTGCGGCACCGCTGTAAGTCACAACCCTCCAGCGATACACCTCATGCAAATGCACTCATCTCATTGAAACTAGGTTAACCAGCGGCGCCTTCGTCCTCCCTTTCGGAAACCTCGCCGATACCGTCGGGCGAAAACGGATGTTCGTCGCGGCGATGACCTGCTCGACGCTCGTCGTGACAGTGGCAGGCTTCACGCCAAACGGTATAATCCTCATCGTGCTGAACGGATTCTTCGGTCTCTTCTCAGCGGCCGCCGTGACGCCCGCAATCGGCCAGCTGGGTTCGGTGTACCAGCAGCCATCGAAACGAAGGAACCGGGCGTTCGCGTGCTTCAGTGCCGGGAACCCTCTTGGTTATGTCAGTGGGTCGTTCATCTCCGGCGTAGTGATGCAGCTGTCGGGCTGGCGGGCGTGCTTCTGGGCGTTTGGCGTGTTGAACGCCATATTCACTATCCTGGTGGTGTGGACGGTGCCGTCGCATTCGGTGCCGAGGAAGGGGTCTCTATGGGATCTGCTCTCGCGGTTTGATCTTGTAGGGGCTCTCCTCATCACTGGGGGAGTGTCCATGGTCTCCAGCTCATTGACGTAAGTACGCATCCCGAGTATAGGTGCAGTGTCTAACATACTACAGACTGGGCGGTACCGCCCCGAAAGGCTGGGGAGAACCATACGTCCTCATCCCTCTGATACTGGGCCTTGCGACTATCATCTGCTTCGTCCTGTGGCAGGCCGCTTACAAGCACCCGTTGATGCCGTTGCACGTCTGGCGGGACCTGGACTTTGCCATCGTACGTTGCCCCCAACAATTTATTCCAGGAACTTGCTAACAGACAAAGCACATCATCAGCATATCAATAGGAAACGCAGGCTTCACAGCAGCAACATTCTGGCTATGCCTCTACCTCCAGCGAGTAAAACACCAGAGCCCACTCTACCTCGCCCTGTACCTCCTCCCGCAGAACGTGAACGGCATCCTCGTGAACATCGTCATCAGCTTCTTCATGCACCGCGTCAGCCACATGCTCATCACTGGCGTCGGCGCAATCGCGTACATAATAAGCTTCTTGCTGCTTGCGCTGATACAGCCCGTCAGCGAGTATTATTGGGCTTTTATATTCCCCTCGCTTATGCTCGTGGTGGTCGGCTCGGAGATGCAGTTCAACGTGGCGAATGTATGTCCTTTCCTCTTGCAGGCTTTGTATCCCGTTCTAACTGGAATGCCGCAGAGCTATGTTATGTCTTCGCTGCCGCAGGAGCGACAGTCGCTGGCAGGAGGCATCCTCAGCGCCGTCAACAAGATCTTTTCCAATGTTGCGCTTACTATATCGACGGCTGCATACGCTACCGATATCCGTCGCACAACGGCGGGTGTAGGACAGTTACGCCTTGAGAAGGGGTACTCAGGGGCTTTCTGGGTGTCCGTGGTTCTGGCAGTGGTGGACCTCTTTCTGGTATTCTTCTTGAGAGCCGATGGGAAGGGATACGCAAAGTCCTCGCTTCAGCGGACGAAGATGCAGGGGAGTTCCGCATCTGATGAGGAGACAGGGTCGGAAGCGCCCAGGCGTGAGTAATGTAGTTGATTCAGCAGTGGTACATATCAAGTCCGTTGGATGGCGTGGTTGGTTGTGAATGATTTATACATATCTTTATCCAGAACATATGTGCTTCATTTTCTAGTCCGTTCTATTAAGATAAACCGTCTTCATTAACCACACGCGCACTGAACTACCACCATTTAGTTCCCAGATATCGATTCGATAGTCTCTCCCCCTATTCTGGTTGTTCGGATTGTTACGCCCTGTCTTAAGTATACCGCACGGGCTTCGAATGCAGCACCTATTGCCGTATCGACCTCATCAGGGTGCATTAGGATAACTCCCGCCAACCCCTGGGCCTGTTGCAGTTCCTTAACCTTTTCAAGTGCTGACTCTGGGCAGGAAATCCCGGTTTCGACGATCATACCCATATGGTCATATCTATCGAGGGGGTATGGATTTTTCAACAGGGCAGCATCAAATGAAAGCAACCCCAGCTCCGATCGCATGAAGCCTGCCAGTCGATTTTCGATACAGGCCTGATGGAGAGCCATTTCATCACCTCCGCTTTTGAAGAACTGGGTATATGCATCAAGAAGGCTCAACCGCTCCACTGGCGTCTGGCAGTTCCAGAACCCGTAGTCAACAGAAACGGCGCGATGGGGAGATGGCTGCGACAGAAGGGTGGACCGCTTCAACTCCCACACACTCTGATGCCAGGTGGAGATGGCGCTCATCAACAATTTGAAGTTTCGTACTGTCCGTATTTCATCACCCAGACCGTGCTTCTGGAACAGCTCGACCATTTTAGAGCTCGCCCTTGCCTGCCAGAAATCTTCGAAATTTGCTCTCTGGACGAGCAGCCTGTAGAGCTGTGCGAGCCCCTGAGTCTCAGAAGCATCGGAGGCTGTACAGAAGCCAAGAAAGATCCAGTTGTCTTCGTCCACATCTGGCATGAGTCCGTTTCTGATCTGGCACCAGAAAACATAGGCTTCGTGTTTCTCGCGGGGCTTCAGTGTCTGCCACGGGACCGTGCGATCCAGCGGATTGAGTATATGTCTTGATGTCTCCAATACTGTACCGAAGTTCGTCACAACTCCAGAGCCAAAACGATCATGTTGCACAAGCCATCGTACTTCATGCCTGATTATGGAACAGGGCACTTGTGATCCCCGGAACTGGATCAATTCCCTGAGTTTGTCGGACTTCCATGCCTGCCTTAGTTCTTCCTCGCTCACGCCCCACTGATTGATTAGGTCGCAATACAATCTGAAGAGTCGCTGTCGATCAGCCCCAGAAATGAAAAAACAGAATCCGAAAGCCATTGCTACATCGTTATCCGTTGGTACAGTCTTCTCATGACATGCTTGGATGAAGTCGTCGACCACGTCTAACGGTCGACCTAGGCGGCAGAGGGGCTTGTGTCGAATCCAATCTTTCTCCAGACAGGCCTTATCACAATACAATGCCGAGTTACATTTCTGGCAGGAGATCAAGCTGTCATTCCGCACCCCACATTTGCGGCATGAGGGACGGTTATCTTCTTCTGGCCCTGGTTCGAAAACCCCCGTATCAGAATACCTTTCGTCATCTGTCACGTCTGAAGGTAGCGCTTCTGAGCCTTTATATTCTGTCGGATTCTTCCTAGCTTGGGAATTAGCGCTTGACGCTTTGGCACATCGCGAGTGACTCATACCTGCCAGCGATATTTCTTATATGTCCTTGTGATAGCCACTCCATCTCTCTAGAATGTAGACGGGGTTCTGGGTTACTGCGATTGAAAGGTGACCATATAACCTGTCGCTCCGCAACCGGAGTCGAGATCGTGCTCTCCTTGATGGGAGCCAGGCGTTCATTATCCTCGGCGTTGCATTCATGGTGCAAGACATCGCGTAGCTTTTGTATTGCGGTGTCCAACTTACCATGAATTGCAGCAGGTATAGCAATGGCGCGAGGTAGCGTCCATTGACCATATATCTTGCCATGATTATTCCGCGCCTGTACTGCAAATTGGCTCAAGACGTGGCCGCACAAGAGGCAAGTCTTTTTACTTATCCCAAGATAAGGAAAGATTCGAGCAACGGCATCTGTGCTGAATAAATGCAGAATCATCCGCATCTCAGCGTGGACCCATTTAGGCTTCCTCAACTCTGCATCAAGTCTTTCTGGATGCTTCACACTATGGTGTTTCAACTGCGAGAACTCCGCCGCAACCTTCCTGGATTCGAAACCAGGGAGGAGCACTATCTTCACGCGCTTTAGCCCGGCAATTTCGCGGGCTGCTTCCCAAAATGTGGCAAAAGAATGTCTGGGGCGACAGATGTATTCCATCTCTCGACCTTGTCGGTGCACTTGAATGGGTGAGAAGATGTTCTTTTGTTGGGCGTAAAAGTCAGTGCGATAGCCGAGGTCGTCGATCATCTTCACGAGCGCTGAAGGGGATATGCCTCCATCCAAGAACGCTTTGAGACAAGTAGTCAATTCCTTCATGTTCTCGCCTTTCCCTAACAAACGCAGGAGAGCCTTCGCATGATGCCTCAGGCGTGGCCTATAGTACATGCTGAAGTCTTCCCAAAGGGCAAGAGAATCCTCACTTAACGAACCTGGGAATGCTTCAGCCAATGCGACTTTGTCCGGAATCTATCAGCCCTACCTCGTGAAGCAACACCCTCTAGCATATGAGCCACCTTCTCAAGCAAGTCAATGTCCGTGTTGACCCAGGAGGCGTTGCGGGCGCCGCGAAGATCGTGGCCTCCTCTTCGCTCTCCATTAAAGAGGTGCAAGTGACATAATGGGCTTCTTTCTTGCGGCAAATCAATTCAGCTAGGCGATCCAGAAATCTCATCCTGATTGACTTCCCGGTGCCTATTCCCATTCGGCCTACGATGTCAGTAGCCAAGTTGCCGCTGTTTTCGTCCTCTTCATCGTCTGAGCTGCCGGCCTCATAAATATCCTCTTCCATCCCTGCCGGTAGAGGAGTGCGCTGTTGACGCTGGAGATGGCATACTGTCGCTAAAGTTGTGATTTCCGACTCAGTATAGGGTGGGAGTCGCCAGACAAAATCCCGAGCCTCGTCAGTGGATATCAGTGGATATGAGAGAACTTGAACGTGTGACATCTCTTGTCTAACACTTGATCGGTAGTATTCTAATGCGAACAAAGCTTCGTCAATAAAGAACAGCTGACGGGGTGATGATGGGAGGTGTGATCAAGGGCGGGGTAGGTGTTGGGCGCATACAAGTGTACTTACCTGCAGCATGCATAGAATGCGAAGCAAAGCTACTACTAACCTACCTTACATATATCCATACTGGCGTTCTGCATAACATTGTCCGAAAAACAACTGCAACTAATTTGTACTCAACTACTCCCCAAGTAACGGTAGGCATTCCAGTATCTGCTGGAACGCATCCGCGTCTTCATTCGATTCATTGCTATCCGCGGAAGCGTTCGAGGCGTCGTCCGCTGGGTTCCACAAGAGAAACAAGGACGATGACCAAGTGTGCAGGGCCTCCCGGCCGAGATACGTCTCCTCCATTGACTCCATCCACGTAGGGATGGCTGGCCCTAGTTTGTCAACGTGGTCTGACAGAGCCAGATCAACAGGACACAGCATGGACACTTTCTCCACGGGGTGGTCCAGGGTTGACATGACTTCGTCAATATATCGAAGAAGTCGCACATAATGTGTAAGACGGAGCTCGAAGAGGAGGGGAGAGCAGTCTGGGCGGAGCGCTAGACCTGTCCTGTTGGCCTCTTCGTCGGACATGCTGGCCTTTTGGCACAGCTGGAGGGCTCTCCAGGTAATGTCTAGAATCCGTCTGGTGTAGTATCTCGAGCTGAAGATGCGGTTGATCTCCACGAAGAGGACAAGCATGACTTCGCGCTTTTGCTTGTCTTCTGGCGTCTTTGAAAGCTCCGACTCGATACTCAGGAGGATTTGTGGTAGCATTGTGTATGCCACGCTGGGATGGTCAGTTGGAAGTTCTAGGTTCTAGTTTAGTGTAGTAAACGTACGCGCTTATTGGGAGTTTGTCGGCAACTCCGTGGATGATGAGTTCCTTGACTTTTTGTGCCGTTGATCCGATAGCCGTCACTAGGTCTGACCGACACGCCTCGATTCGTTTCAAGTCCTCATATTCCAGCGACTTCACCATGGTTATCAATCGACACATATGGTTGGAGACGGCCATGCGAGCAGACCTGGCCGCGTTAGTCCACGAAGTTCTCTATCCTCGCACCGACTTACTGGTAATATATGGAGAGCAGATTGCAGCACAGGGCAAGAGAAGAATGCAGATAAAAGTCCTTCCCCTCCATATGTTCCAGCCAATTGAGCTCCCATTGTAAAAGCGCTGACTTCGCCCGCTCCAGCTTTTCTAATTTCACCCGAGGGCCTTCTCGGTCGGACTGGCGAGACCTGGCGGAAGGATACACAATCATTGCCATATCGGTCACCGTCACGACAAAATGACACAGGCTAGCGAGCACTTGACTCAGTGCGGCCTTGGTATCTAGGCCATACACCTCGGAGTGGAATGCTTCATCCTGAAGGTCGTCAAACGTCAGTCCTTGTTGCGGTGGCTCATATTCATCGGGGGTGATTTGTATCGGCCGTCGCATGCCCAGAGATATCAGACGATCGCGGATTAGGCAACACCACCATACGCGTTTGAGATCGGTGCTGTTCTTGCCACCGGGTGACGGGACGCTGTAATATAGGTGGGCGTTTCCTTCTTTGGCGGAGTCGATGGCGATTTTCAGCCACGTCGAGTTGGTTGATGTTTCGGAGTCGGTGGTGTAGTAGGAGAGTAGGAGAGTGGTTTGAGCGATGGTGAGGGGGTCAGTTTCTGCGCCGCTTTCGTAGAGGAGCTGGAATCATTAGTTTAAGCCATTGGATTGTGTTGAGGGCATTACCTTGGCCCTCCGATATAGGTCATCCCGTGCGAGGAGTAATGTCTCATGGCCGCACTGTTGGGCAACTTCCACCGGGACGAACTATCGCGATCAGCTGGTGTTTTATCTGCAAAGCGTGGTACATACTGGAGATGCAGCAAATAACATGGCCCTAAACAGCACGATGGATATCCCGCTTCCACCGGCTTTGGTACATCGATACTCCCGCCAGAAGGCCGCTTCGTCGAGCAACGGTAGACAAGGATGTACATAGAGGAAATAGTGTTTGACGAGAGCGTCGAGCGCATGTCTGCTGGGCACGCGCAGACAGCCGTGTGTTTCCAGTAAGACTATCTTTTCATGCGTCAATCGTTTCAAGCCTGATGCGTCGAGACAGGGATAGTCGAACAGTAAGGAGCCTTTGGTGATTGTACCTGCACAGCAGCAAGTCAGTCACGACTTTCTATCATGAGTAGCGAACGTACCGATGTTGCTCCTGTATTTAGCCTGTGGCAACGTCCCGCGCTGTGCATTCCTGATAGGAGCCTTGAACAATTGCTTCACCCTCGACGTCTGGCGAAGCGTTGGCTGCAGTGTACAAGGATACTGATCCAGACGACAATTCGTGCACGGAAACCCACTGATCGCCCCATCACAGCGGACCTTCCGGCGGTGGCAGCGTTCACAGGCGCGGGACGAGCGTTTTGACCGTCTGCGCAGATTACGCCCGGCAACCACCAGCCGAGACTCGTCCGGCGTCTTCGGAGACGGCTTCGTTCTGTCCATTGTGGGTGTCTTTGCTGTGTAGATAGGTAGCAGGGAGGTCGTGATGGGGCTGCAGATGTCCAGGAGGGTTGGAGCTTCCCGTCCGGTCCGATACCTGGACGCGGGGTTAGGGTCTCCACAAACTCACTTAAATAGACTATTCTTTTGGCTGTAGATCTGCTCCATAACGCCTTTATGGGACTGTAGTACGAGGGTGTGCAGAGGCTTCCATTGGAGCGGTGGTGCCGGACCGAGTCAGCGGACTGACTCAGTCGGGATCGGTCCGGATGTGTTCTCTCATTCACGGATAGTGGAATACAATCTATTTGCGTTCATTTTTCTGTTGGAGACACCAAGTACATACCAGTCGTAGATCATCGGCCATCCTACACTGCAGTGGACCCCGAAACAGCCGCCAGCTGCACCAACTCGCCAAACGCTTCTCTGATCCCCTCGCACTCCTCCGCCCACAGACCACCATCCTTCGCCAGTTCTAGATCCTCTCCCGTCGCCGCTCGGATCACCGTTGGCTTGTCGGGGAAAGTCAGCGAGATCCTTCTGTCCATTGGGCTCATCCGCACTCCCCGGAGGACCTGGTGGAGTTGCGCCGCAGCTTTGCCACCCCCGTGACCGCCATAACTGACGATCAGCGCCGGCTTCCCTTTCCATTCATGGTAGAGATAGTCGATGGCGTTTTTGATACTGGCGGGATATCCCCAGTTGTACTGGGGGGTCACGAAGATGAAGGCGTCGTGGGAGGAGATTTCCTTCGACCAGGCCTTGGTGTGGGCGTGTGTGTACTGATCCGCTGATGTTATCTGCGAGGGTATGTCTGGTTCATTGTAGAGAGGCAGGTTCCATTCTGCGAGGTCGATCAAGGATACGTCTGCTGCTGGAAAGGCGTCTGTAATTGTGCGCAGGACGAATTGTCCGATTTGCAGGCCGGCCCGGGGGCTGCGTTGACTGCATACGATCAGACCGATCCGCGGGGACTGCATGGTTTGCGTTGTTGATGTTGTGGGCTTTGCTGATCGAGAAGACGAAGGGGGGTTGGTGGCATTCGCAATATTGGGTGCTGCCTGCAAGGCTTGAACTCCGAGGCCGAGCTTAACTCCGAAGACTGTGTGGGTTGCGTTTCTTTTCTAATCTCAGGTTCATTGATGATTCTCACTATCTTCTTTAGACCTCAAAACTCCGATGAGTCCGATGCAGCAGGCACCGCTCGAACAGGATGTCCAACTCGAGATTCACGCAGGAAATCCCAAGCTCCCTCAATCTCCACCACTGGATATACACTATCCGGATCTATAAGTTTGAAGGGCAAAGGGTTTGGATGCTCCTGCTGGTCACTTCCGTACGCTCCACCGTATCCTAAGATTCTCCCAGGCCAGGTCTGCAGCCACCGTGGAAGGAAACCCGATCTCTGTCCGCCGGAAGGATCACGACACAGAAGGACCCTAGACCATTTACATGACTCACTCGAGAAATTCCCGTAGGCAATAAGCTGAAGGTTGGGGAATCCAGCTGGGCCAAAGGCCCACGTCGCAAATTCCACCAGCTGGAGCAAAACGAACGTATCATCTCTGACCTTCATACTTCGCTCCCTCTTGTATTGGCAGCCCCTACGGATTGACGCTGGGATCAATCCTGGAGGATACCCTGAGTTCACCAGCTGCTGGACGACATCGACTTGCGAAGGCTTTCCATCCATTCGAAAATGTAGCAGCTTGAGGGAGTGGAAGGCCTCCGCAGATGGGATGTCCCTTTTCTGTCACCAGTCAGTCTGGTCTCTTCCAAACGGCGTGAAGAGCGAAAGCGTTGGCGGTGGAACATACGAAAGCCGTCGGGAGTATCCAGATTCCCAGACATTCCAGTCGAGGCAGGCTTTCGAGCAAGTTGCGAACTGGAAAAGTCGATCGGACTCTGTAGTCACACCCTGCAACATATAACCCACCGTTATCCCCGATGCAGTGGTTTTGATAGACGAGCCGTTTCAATGTGTCCGCGTGCGAGGCGACCGGGAGCGTCTGCTCAAGGCGTCTCATGACCTTTGGATTATTCTCATCTCGATGGTCGTAGCCACGGTTGGAATTGGTCAAAATCACCACTTCCTCGAGGCCGGAGAAAGATGCAATCACTTTTCCCAATGGCGAAGACGGAAACATATGCACACCCCATTCTGCGTCCGTGATCGTTACATTTAGAACGTGGAGATTGAGACGCAGCACTGAATCTGAGAGAGCCTCAAAGAATCCAAAAGTCCCGTGGCAGTTCACCAGATCCAGGGACAGGAGGCTTTCGAGTCTGAATGCAAAATCCCGTCCCGCGAAACAGTCGTCGAGGCGGGCTCTACGTAGGGACAGGTGATGTAGGCCGAGACGAACGCATTTCTGGTCAGCAGGAGGGACTGGTAAGAGAAGCCCAAGCTGTTCCAGGATGGAGTCATCATCGTCGACGCTGTCCTGCACGTCCTCCAGGACCCTGACCTCCAGACTGACCAGGGTGTCAGCGTTGTTTTGCACAACCGAGCGAAAGATCTCTAGGTCCCGCTTGGACCTGACGGCTTGCCACGAGAAAGCCTTCAGCCGACGGAGACCGGTCATCCCTTTGAGGGAAGCAGCATGTCGGCATTGTTGACTCGTCATCAAGGACAGCGTGCTGATCGACGGTTGTTTTGTCAGGATATAGCCAGAGGGCCCCAGAATCGACTCTGGCACACAACAGCCCATATGCCATCTCCAGCTGTCAGCAATCAGAGCAAAGTGTTGAATGCGTGATGGAGGACTACCTGAAAGTGCGCAGTCTACCCTCAGGAAGATGAGACAATATGCTATCGACATCTTCAGATAGTTGCTGTATCAGCTTTCGATGGTGCTCTTTTCTGCCCTTATAGGGTATTCCTGAAGTGTCAACACACACTGTCCCTTCATGCTCACGGATGGGCGCGTTGAACTCCAAGCATTGAGTCAAGCTCCATTGATGAGCTTCGCAGTCTTCGCCTCCATAGTAGGAGGGTGATGCCAATAGGTTAACAGGCAGTTTGACGCGGCCTATCTCATTGATTTGGATGACTACTTCTCGACGTAAATACCGCCGGAATCTCCGGTAATACGCTTTTGAAGCCAGGGAGAGGTAGTCAATGTCAATTTGGAAGAGCTGCGACTCCGGTCAGACGAGACAATCCATGGGCATTTAATGCAACTCACGTATTCCACAATCATGCCGATGAGCTCTTCTGGTAGCGTCGCGAGGGAAGCCATAGTGGATAGGCCATGCATAAGAACTGCAGTGGCACAGTGGTAAACAGCGGGCATTAATGCTTATCGATTGCGCAGGATTCTAGTGGATCACATGATTTCATTGCAGGGGCCAGTGAATGGGATAACTGGTAAAAAGAAGGCTTGATGTATGTATTTGCTAGATAATTGCTAGAGATCATGCACATAAACATATCGTGAATGCTTTGGAGAGTCGGACGTTCCGTTGCTCTCATATGAATGCACTCTATATCATCGACACCAGCTCACCACTTCCTCCACGGTCGCATTCACCTCCACAACAACATAACAGCCACCAAACGAGACCATATGTTACTCTGCTTTATCCCACATAGAAACCCTCTCCCACGGCAACATCATACCTAACGAGTGCGGTTCGGTATAGACAAACCCGTTCCGCGCGTACAACTTGCGCCCCGGCTCATCCGCCAGCAAACTCACATACGGCGTAAACGTCGCAGACGAGTCTCCGGTATATCCCGGGTCTGGTCCAACCGACGCGACAGACCGGATCTTCTCGATCAGATGCTTCAGCACCGCATCGCCCAAGCCCTTGCGCTGATGACCCGGAAGCACGGCCATATCGGCGATGTGGAAGTACCAGCCGCCATCGCCGATGATGCGGCCCATGGCGACGGCGTCTGTGCCATCGTGGTCGTCTGGCTTCTTGTCCGCGTTGAAGGTGATGTAGCAGCCGTACCAGCTTCCTTTGAGGGCGGCGGTGGCTTGCGGAGTGCTCCGCGGGCTTAGTCCGGAGGCAGAGCGGAGATGTAGATAGGCTGGGACGGAGGGATAGCCCTGGTGGAGGACATAACCTGGAGGGAGACTCGACTGGGTGGACATGCTGTGTTTATGGATGCGTGATGTAGAGGTTCGTGGAGAGGACAGAGGACAGAGGATATGTGGCTTTTCTAGTTGCTACCGGCAATAACCGAGACATGATCATCATACGAGGTCAGACAGATATTAAATACCACAGATTTATATCTGTTCAGGCTCTCCACCCAACTCCGAACCCCGTATAGCCACGGCTCAAGCCAGAGTCGCCTCCGTCTCCTTCTCGATCCTCTTTCCAAGATCACGGTCTACGCAAGAGAACATTTCTAGCCATGTCAGCTATCCGATCTCACGGCATACGAGAAAGCACCTACCGTAGACCCTCTTCCGCAATTGCGCATGTTTGATCTGACGGACGTTGGAGGCCACATTACCCACAAACCGATCCTGATGGCCCTCCTCGCGGCCCAGCACCTTCCACAGACCAGCCGCCTGCTCGTAGTCCTTGTCCTCGACGCCGCTGGCATAGCTGCACACCTTGCCGATCCACTCCTCGTGCTCGGTGATGGTGCTGGACACCGGCCCCGCCCCGTTGCTCGCCTTCGCAAAGGTATTGGGCTGCAGGCTCGATCCGACGTAGTTGGGCTCGTCGCCGTAGTTGGAGCCGAAGTTCATGGCGCCGCTTCTCTCGAACGGGCAGTGCACCGGCGCGCGTGCGGAGTTCACCGGCAGCTGCTGGTAGTTGACCCCGAGACGGTAGCGCTGGGCGTCGGGGTAGGAGAACATTCTCGCTTGCAGCACTGGGATTGTCAGGATTATCGTAGCTCGGAGGAGTTGTGGCACTTACTGAGATCCGCCGAGGGAGCTATTCCTGGAACCATGGTTGACGGGGAGAAACTTGCTTGCTCGATGTCCACGAAATAGTTCTTGGGCTATCGACGGTGTCAGTATCTCATACTCGCATATGCTGGTGCGACTTACATTGCGGTTCAGCGTGAGCCGTCCGATCTGTCGCAGAGGAAAGTCCGTGTGCGGCCACACCTTGGTCATGTCGAAGATGTTCCATTTGTAGTTCTCGGCCTGTTTGGGATCCATGACCTGGACGAACACGTTCCACACCGGGTGATCGCCGCGCTCAATGGCCTCGTACATGTCTTGCACCAGGTGGTCGGGGTTTTCGCCCGCCAGCTTGGTGGCCTCTTCTCGGGTGAGGTTCTTGACGCCGATGGTGGTCTTGACGTGGAATTTGACGTATTTGAAGGAGCCATCCTGCATTATTAGGGATTCTATTCTTGAAAAGGGCTGGTGATGATCTACACACCTCCTTGGTCAGCTTGTAGGTGTGTCCACTGTAGCCGTTCATGTGGCGCAGAGACGCAGGAGTTCCTCGATCACTGAAGAGGACCATCAACTGGTGGATACTCTCCTGTGCTCCCGTATGGAAGCTATCTGTTTAGTATCATCGTACAGCCGTGCAGACAACAACTTACTCCCAGAACTAGAGATGTTAGTGAGATCTTAGAAAGTGGTTGTGCGACACCTACCATGGTCGCATCAGGCAGATTAGTCGCAGGATGTCTCTTGTGAGAATGATTCAAAGATGGGAATTTCTGCGGATCCCTGATAAAGAAGACAGGCTATAGACCATCAGCATCGCAATCCGCCCAACAACCAAATAAACTGACCGTGTTGTTGAACACAAAGTCCTGGTTGCCCTGGTCGGTGTAGAGCTTCATCGCGAATCCATGAACATCGCGCGCGGTGTCGGCCGAGCCAGTTTCTCCTCCGACAGTAGAAATGCGCATGACGCATTCTGTTTTCTTACCGACTTGGTTCAGGAAGCTGGCAGAGGTGAGGTCGGTGCAGTCATGGGTGACCTCGAAGGTCCCAAATGCACTGCATTCGTAAGTCAAGTCTTCACGAGATGAATGCTGGAACCCACCCAGCAGCCTTTGCATGGACCACGCTAAAATATTGTCAGCTTTTCCCTGTAGAGAGTTATATGATTGCAGTGCTCGTACCGTTCCGGGATTCTCTCGCGTGCGAAATGCGCCAGACTCTCGAGAAGCTGGGTGTCTTGCAGCAGGACGAGACCTCCACCAGAGTTATCTCGTAGTTGAACGCTTGATTTATCATTGGGGACAGGGCAGCCTAGGTTTGATTGTCAGCTTCTGGAGAGGGCGGCTAGGAATGAGTCTACCCTCGGCCAGTGTATAGTAAGGCGCCATTGTGTAGTCAAATCGAACAATATTTAGAGCTCTACGTGATATGTTGTTATGGAATTCAACTATTATAATCTATTATACACATATAGATGGATGTAGTCGCTCCATCGTGCTGTCCCAAGTCGATGACGATGACGGTTGTATGTAGAGTTTATCCACCAGCGCGGTGGACCCAGAACAAGATCACTATTCTCCCTCCACTCCGATCTGTACAGCTGCGAATCACAGTATACCGATTATCATCAGATCGAGATGGTGACATTGTTGACTTTGCTTACGGGTGAGCCGGCATCATCAACGACTTTGATGGAGCGTCATTACGCTGCACGCACTACAACTACTCATACAGAATGAAAGGATCAAGAAACTGCTATTTCTCATTCAGACAACACACTACTGCAGCCACAACATGCAACAACCGTTCAACACTCAGTACACAGTAATGGACGAAGATCCACTGCTCTGGTATCCCTCAGTGGCAACAATCTGGTAGTTGTGGGTTCCCAGGTTCATTCCATGGCTGGCCCACGCATTGAAGTGATTCGCCATCGTCACGGTACCGCCGGTCCGCTTCGACGTCCGCACCGACCAGTACTGCGTGAAGGTCGCGGTGCCGATGATCGAAGGCGCATTGTAGCGCGTGGCAGTGTAGATGTTGTAGGTGCCGCCGTCGCTGTTGACGGTGCCTTTGTAGGTGCCACCGCTGCCGGGGTTGTAGGTGCCGTAGGACTCCACCACGTAGTACTCGACGAGCGGGTTGGTGGTCCATCCGTACACAGCCAGGTACCCGTTGCCGCTGGGGTTGAAGCTGCCGCCGTAGTTGATGGTTCTGTGCCCGCGGTCAGTAAGACTCATTTGTATATGATTTGGGGGGTGGTATACCTGGCAGAACCCGGGTTCCAGCCCTTTCCGCCGACAAAGTTGCCGACGTTGGACCACTGCACGCTGTACTGGCCGGCGGCGCCGTTGGTGTAGGTCACGGAGCCGCCGCCGTCGGTCCAGAAGGAGTAGTAGTATCCATTGCTCCAGCCGGTAGAGCTGGGGGTGGACCGTTCGGCGAACTCGTGGAGGGTGCTGTTGAACAGCTCGTCGGAGCGCTCTTCAAGAGACTCGACAGGGGCTGCCAGAGCTCCGACAGCAGCGAAGCAGGCAACGGCAAGACGAAGGAAGGAGACCATTGTGCTGGTAGACTTGAGGATGGAAAGGTTGATGAGCAATTGTTGCCGTTCTGTTGTTGGTGAAGCTGCACGCTTTTATAGTCCTCTCCCCGCACAGACAGCCCTTAACAGCCGTGATATAGACGGATCATCGGGAGTTGCGAGCATCTGCAGAAGTCTTTTGCCATTAGACTACGGTTAGTTTAGGCTGATCGGTTGATCATTTCTCTGTAGGATTCTTCATGAATATCACGACGGTCCTATTTGCTGTCGGGTCCGGGGTACTCGACCAGGTCCTGCCAGGCTGGAGACGACAATCAGAGCCGGATGATTCCGTCATGTCGGTATATTCGTACACTTGCAGACCCAGGTTACCTGCAGACAATTCCATTTACCCGGCGTGCGTGCTGTACGAGGTTGTCGCTACCCAATTGCCTGTACAGCTCCTTACATCCCAAGCCCAGCCCAATGCTTTTCGTCACGGCACCTCCGGTCATATGAGCAATCCATAGGCTAATCAATCCTGCACTCGCACTGAAGCCTTTCCCCAGGATCGGCTAATTCAGCGCCCTCCGCTGTCACGGCCACTTAGGTTCGCCAATACAAAGCCATTGAATTTAGCCTCGGCTCTCCAGGAGTGCGGAGAGGGCAGCCACCGTCAGGCACTCCGGCTGATTGCCGGAGAGCGGTGTTCTGCTCCGTATGGTCTAGGCTCGGCGAAGCCGTAGCGTTCTTGGTATAGTCGAGTGATTGGTGCCCGGCCTATAGCGAGACTAGTAGCGCAGCCGAGCTGGAGGTGGCGCTGGAGTAGAGGCAATTGGCCGTTTGGCTTAGATTGTGCATAATGGTGTGTGCTACAGTATCAAAGATCTGGACTCCACTGGACCATGGTGGGCGTCTGGAATTTAGCCATGATCCAGCATGTGTTGCATTGAGACTTGGCGATAGTTCCAGACACTACGGGGCAAGTACCGCAGTGGGAAGTTGGACCCGGTGTTCGTCCAAGCTAGTGTTTTTCGAATGTGGCAGCCAAGAGCAGCCGAGAGGACGGGGCCTGGGAATTAAGACGGTGGAGTTTCAGGGTCATCTGGTAGTTGGATGTCATTGTTTGACTTGCACATTCGAATAGGAATCTCGCGCAAAGCCTGTACGATCGCGCAATGTTGAATGTGAGGAAAGATGCATCCAATCGTCCGATGGCCAATGTGACAAATGTCTGCGCAAGATTGACTTGGCCAGAGGCAGGCATACCAGTGGAGAGCTTGCAAAGGGCCCCATTTGCTCATCTACCTCTACCGATATTGCTCCATCAGGGACGGGGCAGCCCTGGCCGGTGTTCGGCTCACCACAGCTATTGACAGACTCTGCAAGATGACATCTTGGGGAGTGCTGACTGATGCGTACTCCATAAGAGGAACGATACAAAGCAAACCCTCCAGCGGTTGAGATTGGACCACTCTGGTAGAGTACTGTAGTGAGGCTTGGAAATCAAATCGGGGAGTCGACTTGACCACAGCCGCGATTGCATCTTCTCCTGTAGAGGACGGCTTCTTCCTCGATTCTCGGGAAGCAACAGATGACTTTTCACTGTAAATAGCTGCTCTTTTCGGTCTCGGTATGTAGATACTGGACTCTCTGTCTCCCAACTCACAGTGCGAGGGACAAGATGCGGACGGACAGCCCCGTCAAACACTTGTTTCATATGTCCAAGCCTTCATTCGGCGCGCTTTATGATTCTTGTACATGTATTGACCTCTTTATTAGTGTTAAAGATATACACCGGATGCAGCAACGCCCCAAGCTATGTAGCCCTATTAATCCAATCCAAATCACAGCACAGCAGATCACTGATCTAGCCCTGTGATAGTAACATTGACATTGACCTTGGCGTTCACATTGCTCTTCATCGACACCAACCCCATGGCTAAAAGATCGTTCATGTCCACGGCAATATTCACGCCCATAAACCCCTCGGTCTGGTTCATGCCCCAGAATTTGATGTCGACGGGGAGCTGCTGCATGATCTCGTTGACGGTCTTGATCGCATTGGCTCGGGTCCAGTCGAGATTGAACATGCTGGAGGAGCGAGGGAGAAGAGATCGCAGGGGCGTCGCTGCCGAGCAGGCGGAAAGCAGTGCGACTATGGAGAGGATAGAGACGCGCATGTTGATCGAAAACGAGTGGATTGTCCTGTTCATCAGTACTTATATCAGGGCAGAGTTTCTTCGTGCTTACTATTTGACAGTTAAAAAGAGTGACTGAGTTTAATAGTAAAGAATGGCGGAACGCATTGTCCCAGAAGTCGAAATCTGTAGAGTGGCTGCAGAACAGAACCAGACCCCCGAGATGCGATCATGGCTATTATTATTCTTTTCCTGTGAGATCTGGGATCTCGTCCACGATTGAAATGGCCTCCACTTTGCCGCTACTAGGTTTAGAGACGTAATTTGAAGTCATTATTGGCAGAAGGGGTGACGCTATTCGAGTCAGAGATCCACAGACGGGATGCATCTCGATCAGGGCTGTCTTTTGGTCTTCCATTTGCTGGAGGGGATGTAAACATGGAGATTGTAATTCATTGAATAGGATGGGTGTAGATTAGGGTGCTTGCATAGGAATGCATGTCTTTCCAGTTGCATTCTGTGCAAAAGATGTGATTCCACCTGTTCATTGACTCCTGAAATCACATCCACGGATCTTCATCTTCGCTAATGCCGGCGGATCCACACAATATTGAACAACCGACGCAAGGGCTGCTGCAGTGGATCTCTCTGTCGGGAGGGTCAATCGATGCCGCTTCTAGTATAGCATCAATATGGAGCACAGCTGAAGAGCTGCATTCTCCAGTGCTGCAATTGTCAACAAAGTCGAACACGATCCACAGTCCACGATAAGCTCGGGAGAATGGAGAAAGATATCAACGTCCTCGTCCTCATTGACAGCTGTCTGTGGATCTAATAACATTTGGAGAACAGCTTGTTACCCACATTCAGACTGAGCGGGTGCGCTGGAACACGTAGAAAGTAGTATGATCTGCCCAGTGATACAGTGAATAATGCCCACGCAAGGACATGTTCCTGGCATAACATGGCAGAAAACATACCGAGACTGGCCATCCTTTTATGCAATGACTGTACGTCTGCAATGATAATAATCTCGCAGTGCAGTGTTCATCCAACCTCTTATGGATGGCATGGTAGTCGAGCCAGATGATTCTGCAACCATTCCTCTAATGACCATCTCTCACTCTGCTTAATATACCACAGATCACCATGGACAAAAACATATCTCTTTCTGTGAAGGTACTATTGACCGTGACTTCATTTCTGGATAGTATGTTAGGAAGATATATATCCAGTAGTCTCCTGTGACAAGATGACAACAACTTATAATCACAACCTCAACTACACTGCTTTTCGATAGAACATTCTATATTTGATCTATATTCACACGATCCGAATAACAAAGATAGTCATGTCACAGCTCAGGATACAAGAACCGACACGGGAAAAGAATTCCGAACTCTCTTGGCAATCAGCCCTTGATCGGTAACTGCCTGAAGTAGGGCTTCTCATCAGGTTCCCACCATACACCAACATAAAGCGCTATAACCCCATCTATAAGCCTCTTCTTCCCAAGGCCCCACAACTCACTGTCTAAAGCGAAGAGACATGATCACCGGAATCGCACATACCAATCTCCTCGTACCGGAAGGTACGCTGGACAATGCACACGAGTTCTACGCAGGGACCCTAGGCCTTACGGCTAGTCCTGTTCCCCAGCTGCAGAAGAATACTACGGCATGGTAAGTACGAACTATACGTCTTGAAATTGACCATATCTAATTGATATACATAGGTTCAATATCACCCCAGACGGTAGCCAGCAGATTCACATCGCATTTGGGACGAACGAGCGGGGTTCTCCGCGCCATCCGTGCCTCAGGGTCAGTTCCCTAGAAGCTCTGCAGGTGCTGCGACAGCGCATATGGGATCATCACGTCCGTGGTGGTGCAGCGGCTCCTCTCGAGGCGGATAAGCCTGGGGAAGAGATTTCTGGTGCGTTTCCTGGTTTTGTTCAACTGAGGTCACTAACGAGCCGTAGGAGAGACCACAGCGGAGTATCCGACGCGGTTCTTTGCGAGAGATTATGCTGGGAATCGTATTGAGTTCAGTTTATAGTCTAACGTCCCATCCATGAATGAATTGAATGAATGAATGGAAGTTGTATGTGTGTACGTTACAACTGCTAAGGCGCACATTTTCGGTTCCTCTTGGGAGAGTTCCACGCTCAGAGTCGAGATGCTCAGCTCGTGCAATTTTAGCGCAACGGGGCCACGTTCAGGGAAGACTGGCCGGAAGAAGTGAACGGTTGCAGAGCGTACTGCCGTCTGCGAATTGATCGAGGCTTGCTGGGATGCGTACGATAGGGCATGCGCCTCCGATACTGACTGTCCTGGTCAATCAGTGCCTTGGAGACATATAGGCCTTACCATTGCCGTAACATATGTCCTGTGGAAACTGTACTAGGCACGCATTTTCCTTGGGGAATTCCACGTCTAATGCCTGGCTGAGACTGATCTGGGAGATCGAAGAGTTCATGGCTGGAGATGTTTATATAATCTGCATGTTTTCGGAAGAGTATTCGATCCACTTTATATGCCAGCAACAGTACATGAAGCCAGGTATAACCCATGACACAGCACGCGTGCATTCAAAACGTGGCGACGTCCATCATCTACCGAACGGGCAGAAGTCTGGTTCGAAGATAGTCTCCGCAATGTAGTACCAGTCACTACTATGCTCCACGGTGCATTTGAGTTTCAATAAACCTGCATCCTAGAGTCCACATCGCCCATATCGAGCAATTTTATGTCTGCCCCTGCTTATGAATCATATAGAACGATCACAGTAGGTCTCGATCCCTCGATCCTGGAATCATACCTGGAAGGCTCTGATCACTCTCGATCTTCGAGTCACAGCATTCTGCACTTTTCGTCCGAGTAAACCCTTAGCTCCATACACCCAGATGACCAATGCACACTGCCAACAGTCATTCAGACTCGGCAAGCGGCTCATCAGACCCCGGTATCAAGCGGGCCGTCAAATCCGGTGGTTCAGGAAACTGAGTATCAAACGGCCACATCGGCCGCTGAATGCGTCGATGACCGAGCCTCTTGATATCCTGGTCCACGCCGCCAGGGGTCAACGCCAGGATCCAATCCGCCGCCATATCAAACAGCTCCGGCTCCAGGTAACCGATCTTGACGATAACAATGTCCGTCTGACGCGGGCGTAAGTTCAAGTCGGTAAAATCGCGTTCGTGGTGATACGGCTTGCGCAGCTGCGTGAGAATCACATACACACTCCCGACCTGGAGCACCGCTTCGACTACCGCATCTTTGTCACCGTGTTTTATCGCGTGCACGCGCCCTGTCATCGTCACCGGCCCGCCGTGAATATCATCGACCTCGGCGCCAGCCCTGACTGTAACCGTCGCCCCGACGCCAGCTGCTACCATGCTCAGTACGGCCGCTGGGCCTGGGAGGCTCGCGTAGATGACGCTGGCTCCGGAGGGCTGTGCGAATTCTGATCGACGCAGCAGCTGTGCCAGCGTCCATGTGACGTCGCCTGATCCGCCTGCGGTGGGGTTGTCGCCGGAGTCGGAGATGAAGAATGGGTGGACGGGGGAGGTCAATGCAGTGTTGACGCACTGCTCGAAGGAGCCCGTCGGCGCGACAAATTTGAAGTCGGCATGGTAATCCCAGAACTTCCGAGCCAGGCGCTCTGCGTTCGTGGCGACGGCCGCTTCATCCCATCCTGTCACGACTATCGCGGCGTGATTGCGGGGCTCGTCGGCCCAAGGGTATCCAACCCAGATGGCGGCGTCGATGATGCCAGGGAGGGCTTCGACTTTAGGGACCAGCTCGTAGAGGCTTTTGGCTGGTTCGATGCGAGTGGATGTTTGCTCGCCTGGGAGGAGGATGGGCACGGGGACCCAGGCTTTGAGCGGTCGGAAGGCAGTGGTCCGGGGCTTGGTGAGCAGGTTGACTAGATTGCGACAGGCGCGCTCTTTGGTTTCGAGTTCGTCTATATGTGGCGCCGTGCGGTAGCATGTTAGTAGGTCTGTTTCGTGGGCGAGGTCCCGCGAGACGTTCCCGTGGAGGTCCATCGATGCCGATACGATGGTCTCAGGGCCCGTGACGGCTCTGATCCGTCGGAGGAGCTCGACTTCCACGTCGTCGAGGCCTTCAACGCACATTGCTCCGTGGATGTCGAACCAGAGGCCGTGAATGGCTGGCACTGAAGCCTTGAGCTCTTTCAGCCGCGCGACTATCTCTCCGGCGAGCTCCTCGAATGCTTCGCGGGTGACAGTGCCACCGGGCAGCGCATGGCCGATCAGACATCCGTGCCAATCGGCTGTATCTGCAAGAGGTGACCCCGGGTGTAGAAAGGCGTACTCGTCGATGACCTCCTTGCCCCGTCGGGGGTGGAATGCTCGCGCGAGGGTGCGCGCAGGAGTGAAGGTCGAAGTCTCGCATGCCAGCCCTGCGATTGCGATAACCGGGCGTGGAGCCATTCTTAAATGGCTGGTTGATGTCTTTTTGTATATATCCTAGCAGGATAGAGGTTTGACTGTGGTGGTGATGATGTTGGATGCATCATCCGCGGGGATCATGTCAACCCCCGCTTACCAACTTACCAACCTGCATATCAGTTACACCGACCATTTTCTGCCACGCACTTCATCTTTCCTTTGCGATAGAGGAGCAGCTAAGCTCTACTCTGTCGCATTGATCTTCGTCTGGACGCTTCAGCCACAGGCTAGTCTTCCCCACCAGCGGTTCTCCATGTGGGATCGCGATCTGAACCCACATGGGGCAGATATAGTCATGGACAAGCATGCAATCAGCGCCCTTTATTACGCAGAAAGGAGTACCTGTACTAGGTGGACTTCACTCGGTCCTTTACTCCCTCACTGCATCATCATCTCAACATGGCACGCTGCGAAGCTCCCTCGTCGCTGCCGCCCATGAAGGACCTGACAACAGAGAACATCACCGAGAACGTCCACACAGTCAACTCGCAATGCTCGGATCCGCGCATCCGCTATCTCTTCGAGCAGATCGTCACGCATCTTCATGATTTTGCGCGGGAAACCCGTCTATCCACCGAAGAATGGCAGGCCGGGATCAAGTTCCTGACGGAAATCGGACAGATCAGCAACGACCTGCGCCACGAGATGATCTTGCTGTCCGACACGTTGGGTCTCAGCATGCTCGTCGACTCGATTAACCATCCGCGTCAGCCGCCCGCCACCGAGGGCACGGTGCTGGGTCCGTTCCATACCCACGACGCGAAAGACATGGCCCACGGCGCGGTGCTGCACTCCGACCCCAACGCGACGCGGCTGCTGTGCGTGTGCTCGATCAAGGACTCCCAGGGCAATCCTGTGCCGGATGTGAAGGTGGATGTGTGGGAGGGCGACTCGAAGGGGTTTTACGACGTGCAGAATCCGAACCGGGCGGGCCCCGACGGACGCGGTGTGCTGCGGTCTGATTCCGGGGGGAATATCTTCTTCAAGGCGATTGTGCCCGTGCCGTATCCGATTCCCATGGATGGGCCCGTTGGAAAGATGTTGCAGATGCTGGGTCGGCATCCCAATCGTCCGGGACATGTGCATTTCATGATGGACAAGCCGGGGTACGATCTGTTGATAACGTGAGTGGTGCGTGTCTGGAGAAGGAGATCGAGGTTGCTGACCGGTACAGGGCGCTCTACCCCCGTGGAGATCCGTATGAAACGTCCGATCCTGTCTTTGGGGTGAAGGAGTCGCTGATTGTCGACCTGTCCACCGTCGACGACCCGGACATGGCTGCCCGGTATGGCGTCGATGTAGGCACGAAACTGCTGACCTACGACTTTGTCTTGTTGACCGAGCAGGAGGCGCGCGACTTGCGCAGGAAGAATGCGATTGAGGCGATGGAAAGACAGCGGCGGAAGGTATACTTCCACAATGACTTGCCGGTGCCGGCGGAGTAGTATGGTTCTCTTGTATGATGCGTCCGCTACGAGTAACGATCACGTATGCATTTGATATTGCAGTGGTTCCAGGGTGTGTTGTGGCTGTCGCATCAGTTCTCATGATTAACTGTCTCTATATTACAAGCATTTTGCTAAAAAGAAGATTCTGTAGCGAGATATCGAGGAAAGAGGAGAGACTGTGGTCTGACCCTGCAGATACTATTGCTCTCCATAGAAACAGTTGCATGATTATAAGAATGTCCATCAATATGGATGCGACTGTCATGTGGGCTACCTAAATGAGGCAAGTAATGACTGTATACATGAACGTCGCATGGTGTAGAAGATGAAGGAGGATCTCGATGCACCGTGGATGAGTCTACCTGCCAGATCAGAATCCAACAGCTCCCCATGAAGTCGCTTCATAACTTCCATGGTTATGCTCCCAACCTGCCATCACACTAGTCAGGTAGTCATCCCCACTGTACCATCCATTGCCAATACCATGCTGGAAGAAAGGAGTCAAACTGCCGGAGAAGCTACCAGAATTGGTCGGGTCCACGTAGGTCATAGTCAGATCACCATTAGGCCAACTGTCGATTGAAACGCAGGTCAGAAGTAGTGGCTTTGGCTAATAATATGATCCAACTTACTGGTACAAATAGACATCCCATTCCTTTCCTCCGACATTCACATTCTGTGCCCATGGCACTGAGCCATCAGAGGTATATTTGTCGGACAGTGGATGATTAGGCGCTTGATATGCAACCCAGATCATCAGTTCGTACTTTGAATTGCGATCAGTTGGTGCGTAGCTCGGATCAATAAAGATGTCATAGCTGATTAACGAGTCATGGTCAATTCCCAAGCTGGAGCAAGGTTACAGAAGGATCTCACCAAGCATCATATCCTGCGCCCTGTGCCGGATAGGAATTCTGGGTGAACCAGGTCTTGTGGTCAGGGGCGAGAGCGTTGATCTTCTTGGGCAAAGTATGAACTGGGGACCAGGTGCCCCAGTCCTCACCAGTGACCATGACAGTGAAGCCTGTACCATTTGGGGCGTTCACTCCCCAAGAATTGTCATTCTTGTACCATGGAGAGATGGTACCCGCAGTACTAAAGTGCTTGAAGTAGTAGGTGCTCGAATCCGCTCCATGGACAGAGTGACTGAGCCCAGACAGAAGAATGAGAAATGTACAAATAGCGTGGCAGACTGGCTTCATCGTGATTGTCAAAAAGATGTGACCTGTTAAGGTTCATTGAAGACTCAGTATAATCTACAGATTGCAGACATAGTCGATACTTATATCTTTCTGAAGCCAGGGACAGTGAGCAGCGAACGCCAGCAATACTCCCATACTCCCCCATGGGACTTTAGCCGTCGGATGTGATGATCGACACGCATTGGAAGTCTAGTTACGCAGACATCCATACGAACGAAGGAAATCTCCGAGACAAAGTGCGGGAAAAGATCAGCTTCAGCCAACCACGCTGCTCAAATTCCGAGAAATGGACTCCATAGCAGATCACCATTCGCTTCTCCAACCTCAATATCGCTCCAGGGACGAGCTTTAGCTCAGCATTGTGGGTATATTCTTGTCTACATCAAACGGCTGATGGACCAAACTTGCGTAAGCATGCGCAGTTGCGAACAGTTGACTTTCCGTTGCGCCGATGGATCTCAACGCCATCACTGACGAGCATCGACAAGATGGCCTCTTCCGGCTAAATCATCCCATCCTCCGCGATACAGATCACGGAGGAGGGAGCCGATGAGCACTGCCCCCTTGTGGGCTGGGGCATAAGAGTGTCCATCATGCCGCACTACAAAGACCTGGAACGAGTCCGTTCGTCTTATCGGGTTATGCACGATGGTTCAATTGATGAAAGGGTCCGTGGATGTGGCACAGAAGAAGGGAATATCTGAATACAAGTCAGGGGAGTACAAGACTCCATAGGCCGCTATGTCTCGATGCAAACTTAGAATGTCGACCAACTTGATAGTGTGACAATGGGTCCATTGATAAATGATTCCATGTCTCGCCTTCCAAAGTCTCCTTATGGAAGGACCGAAGGTCATTCATTGACAAGGTGATCCATTCGGTAAGGTTGCGTATCGCTGCTGGAACTTCGACATCCTTTGAGGCCTTGAAAACTGGTACGGGATATGGTACGGATGCACCTAGTATCAGACGGAAAAAGCATGGAAATGCATCCACTGAACAGTTATCCGTCTTCGTATGATAATGGAGGTGCTGCGCAATATGCACCGGCATCCTGTCCTAGAACCGGTCCCCCAATGCCTGTGCATCAATGCATCAGCCGTACCAGTTTGCACCCAAGCTTCCAACGGTAGGGTTCTTGGACTCGAATAGTGTGTCAAGTCCTGGACGAGAGCATAGAGTATCTTGCCACATGCCCTGCCACGAGCGCCAAGAGAAATCCGATAGCCCAGCGATATCCTTACTTGGTAAGCGAAAGAGTAGGGTATCGACCTCCTAGACGACCAAATACATGTGCAGACGTGGTGCAAGCATCGGCAGCCTGTTTGAACAGACTCTCCAAAACGATCATCCAAGCCATGCAACCGATTCAATCGCTATCATTCTCCTCGCCATCCGGGACTATTTGAGAGCTCGGTCCGGCGGTGCTTTGGCGCTGCATATTCGTGCTTTTCCGCCGCCCCTGCTGGTACCGCTCTGTCATCGTAATCGCGCGCTCGCCGACAAACTGATCACCCGGCCATGCCTCCTTGCACACAGGACAGCGCTCCGCCTGCTGCATGCGGAAGAAGTTCCGAATGCAATGATCGTGTAGGCGTCCCGGACAATCCCTTTTCGCACAGCGTTGACCCTACACCCGTTAGCACACAATCCCCACAGAACCCGCAAACCACCTACGCAAGTAATGATATCCCTGCACGCCGCACAGAACTTGATCTTGTTCATCCGCACCCCGTCCTCATTCTCGTCGTTGTACGTCGCAACCAGCCACCCGCGCAGCTCCATCAGCCCGCGCGGACTCAAACTGTAGAACCCCTTCCGGCTCTTCTCCAACCACCCATCCTCGACCAGCTGGCTCATCACCGTCTCCGCCTGCGACATGCTCAGCGAGTTCACTGCCCCGCCCTGCGTCGCGGCGCCCGACTCGCGACGACCGCCATCCCCCGACGGCGCGCGCGCCAGCTGCGTCGCCTGGATGGCGCTGACGACCATGGCCTCGGAGCGACGGGTGTTGTGGGTGTCGAACATGGCGTCCAGGACGCGCTTGACGAAGGCGATCTCGTCGGCGGAGTAGATCGTCGCAAGCTGGGTCAGCGCGTCGCTGGTCGTGTTGACGAGGGCGTAGACGCGCTCCGGGACGGGGTTCGACGCGTCGGCGTCGACGGGCGACTGGCGGCGGGTGCTTCTGATTTCGAGGTCGAAGGGCGAGATGGCGGTGTTGGCGGCGGCGATGTAGGAGGACAGGTCGTCTTCTGTGATGTCTTCTGGGGAGACAGGTTCTCCTTCTATGAGGTGTTAGCGGGGCGAAGTAAGCTGGGGGACATGGTGATCCGACCTTGGACGGAGAAGATGGCGGCGAGGACGGGGCGCGCCTCGTCAAAGGTCATGGAGGAACGGGCCATGAAGGCCTGGAGAAAGGCCCGGTTGGAGTCATTGTAGCCGGTGTCGTCAGTTTCAGGCATTTTGGTGAGTGGGATGGAGGTGGGAGGGGAATGTAGGACAAATGTGTATCTGGAGCTGGCGAAGTATTCCGCGGTCACGCGTCGCGCCAAGACGTTTATAACAATGCCTCTACAGTAGGAGTACACACTCGACGCTCTAACGTCTCTCAACATACAGTATACCTCTAAAAAGGTCTAAAGTCTTACGAGAACATCATAATGCATGTCATTAATCTCGCAGCAGGGCTTGATATCACGAAAAACCCGATGGAATCACAACAGAGTCAATCTCCCCAACGCCACAATGAGTACAGTACGACAAAACCCAGCATGAACCCCCCACTCAGTACCTCCGTCGAGTCGGCTCCGGACTCGGACTGCGACTGACACTGCGGGCATCGCGACCGCGTTCCTTGAGCCACTTCTTCGTGCTGAGGCGCAGCTCGCGATCGAGCTCCGGGCTGGGGTCTTTCCGATGGATGAAGTTGCAGAACCCGCCGCGGACGCATCCCTCGCCACTATTTAATCGACAACAGGCTTCTCGAAAGTCGGTGACGGGCGATAGTTCGCAGTATATTGGCCGGGCGGCGTACCAGCGCGAATTCAGCGCATCGCAGGCGGCTTGCGCGTCTTCCTCGTATTTGAAGCGGGCGTAAACATTGCCAATGAGGTCTGTTCAGTTAGCGCGATCATCACACATACAGCACGGCACAACCCAACTTACGGTCATTGTTGTTGTCGCACACGACGAGCTCCTCCAGCTCGCCGTACTTGCACATCTCGCACCACACGTCCTCGTAGAAGGCGTCAAAGTGATTCTGCAGCTGGCTCGGGTTCATCTTGCTCTTCGGGTCGTAGGCCGGGTTCTGGTACATGTTGGGCATCAGGATGGTCTGCGAGTAGGAGGGCTTGACATGTTTGCGAGAGCATCGGTCTCCGTGTCGACAGGCGCCGATCTTGTAGTAGAAGGAACAGTTGACCTTGTCCTGTTCGGTACCGAAGATGGAGGCGAGATAGTTAGCCATGTCGGGTATTAGGTATTATTAGAGTGGAAGGAGAATGCGATTGAGAGAAGAGGAAGAAGTGAAGGCGATGTGAATGCGGAGAATGTTGGAGCTCCGATTTGCAGATTCTGGCCACCGCTGACTAATGTGCTGCCTGAGGCAAATTTCCCTGTATAGTTCTTGATGCTTCTCTTTTCGTCGACCTCTTTCTCCCATCTTCATCCATCTCGCATTGGGCTTCAAGCATGTCCTGGTCATTCTGGTGATGGAGATGGCCTGTCATAACGGCTAAATGTGCATCTTCATACATAGAGGCAATCGCGGATAGCGAATTGCAGCCCGTGTCGGATACTAAGATCACATCCATGAGCAGAATCGAGCAGCACATTCGTGTCCTGTCCTATGGACTTACTGGGAGACTATTAATACAATGACAGACCGATGAGAGCATACCATGTCTCGGCTCATGGCACCTTCATGGTTGACACCAGACTGCCCAAAATATATATCAAAACACTCAACTACTCCTTACAACCCGCAATCCTGAACACAATGGGTATTAGAAATATATAAGCGAGAACCTCACACTCGAACGCTACATAACACTCATCGACGAGACCATCACATACAGCACACCTACAGCAACCATCCAAACGTCACAAGGCCAACCACAACACCACCGAACACATTCACAGAGTTACCCGCCAGCGCAACAGCCCCCGAGTCACCAGAGGCAGTACCAGACGGCGAGGCCGACGCCGCAGTGCCCGAAGCACCTGACGCACCCGCAGCCGTCGTCGCAGGTGTCGTGGTCGCCACCGTCGCTGCCGTCTTAGCAGCGGATGCAGTCGAAGTCGTCGCATCCGACAGCGTCACCGTCTTCCCGGACGAGCTAGGGCCCGAAGTGACGGTAGCATTTCCCGCCGACGACGCGGTGGCCGTGTGCGTGGCTGATGAGTTGTTGCCGCTGCTGCTGCCACCGTCGGCGGTCGAGACGACCTTGAAGCCGCGAATAGTGACAGAGGCCTTCTTGGAGAACGATTCGGTGGCCATACCGGCGGCCTTGCCGGAGCAGTCGGGGGTGGTGAACATGAGCATGTTGATGTTCTTCTCGCCCTGGCCGTCCAGCTCGAAGACCTGGCCCTTTTCATTGTCGACTTCGATGCAAGGATGCGGACCCTCACCCGAGACGGTGGAGGCTTTGCCGTCGGCGTTGCGGTAGGTGAAGGTCCAGGCGTGGGCGGAGGCGAGCAGCGAGGCTGCGGTGAGGAAGGTGAGGGACTTCATTTTGATGATATTGTTAATTCTTTGCAATTGAGGGTTTTGTGATGTTGCGTCCGTCCCGGGTCAAAATGGCACATTTAAAAGTTCCCCTGGCTTGGGCGGCTCAGGCTGAAGGATGCAAAGCTCGTATTTGAAGTGAGCTAACGCTTGCTCCGAGACGAAACGGAAAGAGATCAGCCTTGGCCAGGCACGGATTGGCGGAGAATTCCACCAAAGGATATTAGTATGGTTACTGTCGCAGCGCCAAGGGCTGTTGTGTCAAGTCACTGCGTTCTATTCGATCTAGATCTATCTACAGCTTACTCTTATACCCTGCGTCCACCTCCACCCCTAGCCCGCTGACATCCACCGCAGGCTGCACCCCCCGGACCATATCTGCAATGACCTTGCCGGTGCCAACCGACAGGGAAATGCCCCAGGGTCCGTGACCAGCAGCGAGGAACACGCCGCCCGTCGCAGCGGGGCGCAATCCTCCCAGTACGTCGTCATCCACTCTTGCGACGACAGGCACACCGCACGCCATCGCAGGCCGGAAACACAGTCCTTCCCGCACAATCTCCAGGTCGTCGATATTGCGCACGGCGTCCGTCGACTCTGGCTGTCCTGATACCAGCCGCCCCATCAGCCTCACCGTCACCTCCTTCAATTTGTTCATCTCGCGATCGTCAAACAGCTTCGCTGTATCCTCCGCTCGCGGCGGCAACCGCAGATCCGGGTTCAACCCCGCGATGTAGATCTCTGCACCCTGCCGCGAGAAGATCTCCGGGCTGAACCCACATTCCGGAGGATGCGTGGTGAAGACGGCGTGGCTGCGGCCGTTGTACGTCTGTTCATGCTGAAGGGTATGTCGCGGCGAGCGCAGGACGAGTGAGTAGCCCGCCAAGGGCGTCATGTTCACCCTCGCCCGGGACGAGGGAAAGAGCTCGTGGAAGACCGCCGGGGTCCATGGGCCGGCGGCGACGATGAGATTCGTACAGGGAATGGTGGACTCAGACTTGGTGTGGAGATTGACGAGGTTCACGCCGGTGATCGTCTTGCTGACTCTGTTGGTGACGAGTGAGATCGCCTTCGCCGGATGATGCAGCGACACGCCGCGCGACTGAGCTGCCTGCAGGAGAAATGTCGCCAGACGGAGCGGGTCGACGACGGCTACAGTGTCGGGGTCACTAATCTGCTCCAGCTCTGCGCCTTGCTGTTTCGTCAGCCAGTCCGGGCTGTCCGAGAGCACTGGCGCGCTAGCCCCGGCGGCGGTCTCTGCGCGACTGGTGCCATCGCGCAACCAGTCGTCGCCACGGGTGCCGGTTTTCTTACTCGCTTCGGTGGCGAGGTTCAGCGCCGTGCCGCTCATGTACCCCCATTGCTCTGCGCCGCTATGTTCGGCGGCCAGGGAACGGTGCAGGTTGAAGGAGTATTCGCCGAGGGGAGTGAGGGCGGGGGCGAACCAGTCTTTGGCGAGAAATCCGGCGGCGTAGCCTGATGCGGCGCTGAAGAGATGTGGTGCAGACTCGACGATGTGGATTTCATCGTGGGGTTGGGATTGCGAGAGGTAGTAGGCTATGGAGGCACCGATGATGCCTCCGCCGAGAATGACGGTGGGCATTTTGCTGTTGACCGTCTCTTTCCTTCGCCTTCGGAGCCTCGGATTTATATGTCCATGCACCTCGGGTACGTTTCCGAGCTGTGGTGTTGCGTGTTGCCCGTGGGGGAATTGAAAATAACCGAAGAGTCCATCATTCTCCGGTCTGGGCACCGGCCCGGGGCTCAGGATGGGTCATGACTGTGATGACGTCCAATAACGGATGTGGCCCGCTGAGGGCATGTAATGTGATAGTGCAGTATAAGTAACTGAGTCAAGAGACTAGGCGCGTGGGTGTAGACGATCTGAGGCCTGTGTTTAGTATCTGTGTGGCTATGGTCTGTGATATATCTGGACATGATTCATTGGTCCTGTCCGTCGTAGGGTTGATATAAGTCATTTGGTATAGCAATAGAGAGCATCATCCTAGGATTAATGCGAGACGTAGTGAAGCAAGCGAACAGAGGAGAAGAGAAGAGAAGAGAGATGGTGAGGGGAAGAAAAGAAGTCACGTTCCCCTCCATGGGCGATTACATCACGGCACCACTTTCCCCTCCAACAAACTTCCCCCACAACAACCATCACACCACTCTACAATCACCTACCATACCTACCATTGACCATGTCCAAGACGATCATTGTCACCGGCGCCTCTCGAGGTAATCCCGACCCCTAAGATATCTCCCAATCCTCCACTCACCCGCCAGGCATCGGTCTCGCCATCGCCAAGTACCTCCTCACAGCCCCTCAATCCCACAATGTCGTCGTGATTGCGCGCAGCGTCGAACCCCTCCAGAAGCTCAAGGACCAATACACCAAGCAGGTCGAGGTGCTCAACGGCGACCTGGCCGACCTCTCCATCGGCCAAAAGGCCGTCGACCTGGCGTTGAAGAGCTTCGGTCGACTGGACGGCATGGTGTTGAACCACGGCATACTGGGCCAGGTCGGCAAAATCGCCGAGGCGGACCCCCAGCAGTGGAAGCACGGGTTCGACGTGAACTTTATCAGTCTGGTTGCGTTTGTATGGCAGTCCTTCGCTGGGTCTTCTTCTGGCGCGACGAACTAACGCAGTACAGGTCAAAGCCGGTCTCCCCGCCCTGCGCGAATCCAAAGGCAAACTGATCTTCACCTCGTCCGGAGCGGCCGTGTCGGCTTACCGCGGATGGGGTCTGTACGGAGCCACCAAGGCGGCCATGAACCATCTAGCCCTGAGTCTGGGCGAGGAAGAACCCGACGTGACGACGGTGTCGATTCGCCCGGGCATGGTGGATACGGAGATGCAGCGCGAGTTGCGCGAGGACCATGCGACGACGCTGGAGCCGCAGGTGCATTCGAAATTTACGACGGTGCACAAGGAGGGCAAGTTGCTCAAGCCGGAGCAGCCGGGGCATGTTATGGCCAAGCTGGTGCTGGATGCTCCGAAGGACTTGAGTGGGAAGTTTCTCTCGTATGTTTTGGAAATGGTTTATTCATTGGACTATCTAGCTAACCGATACAGGTGGAATGATGGCGCACTGGCGGCGTTCCAAGCATAGACTACGATCTGACAGACGTTAGTGATTGATCACCAAAGAACGGCAGTGTTTAGAAAGAAAAGAATAGAATCAGCCGAAAGATGAAAAGCAGGTACATTTTAGAAGCATTAGGTGCAGTACACCTTCATACTTAGCATGGAATGTAGGTTGATCATCATATAAATGGGAGACAGGGAACGAGGAGGCGTATGTACCTTTGAAATGCAGATAATTCGACCGACAATGATAATGCCTACTGAATCTTCTCGGGTCAGCTGGGCTCATGAATCGAGTCATAACAGAAGCATAGAGAAATGGAGTTCAGTAGTCCGTTTGGCTTGGACAGTGTAGGTCACCATAGAGGTCTGATAGGGGCGACAACAATGTTCATCATGATAGGGGGAGAAAAGCAGAACAGTATGGACATACCATGAGTGTTGTTAGTGCGTGTTGAGTCGATTCTGACTGATTATTCCCATCATTGAGGGAGAATCGCAAGAAAGAATTCTTTGTGGGAGAAGAAGAAACTGAAAGCGAAAAAGAAAACGGAAAAAAGATATAGGCACCAAGGCGGTGGGATTCTGCCGCCGCAGTTCTTCCGCCCCGATCGCGATCAATGAATTCATCTTCCTCTCGTGTCGACCTTCGCTTGCCCGTCTATCCACAGATACGCCATCATGTCAGATCGAGAGTTCAGCTGTGAGTTTGGATTTTTCATATTTGTTCATATACAGTTGCACTAACGCGACACAGCCAACGACGACCTGTCGCTGCCAAAAGGTATGTCCGCCGCTTCCTGCTCCACGTCGCGTCGCTGACGATCGACCAGCGACCGTCCAGAAGATCATCACCGAGATTCTTCCCCCCTCGTCCGGCCAGACTTTTTCCAAAGATGCGCGCGACCTCCTCATGGAATGTTGCGTGGAATTCATCACGTTGATCTCGTCCGAAGCGAACGAAATCAGCGAGAAAGAGGCGAAGAAGACCATCGCCTGCGAACACGTCGAGCGGGCTCTCCGTGATCTGGGATTTGGCGACTACATTCCGGATGTGTTGGCGGTGGCAGAGGAGCATAAAGAGCAGTTGAAGGTTCGTGCTCGTCGTTTGTTACTCGGGGTTACTCGGGCGGCCGAAGATGGTGTGTCCATACTAACGCATGGCAGTCGCGCGAGAAGAAGCAGAGTAAGATGGAACAGAGTGGACTGTCGGAAGAGGAACTTCTTCGACAGCAACAAGAGCTGTTCCGGTCGGCGACGGAGAAGTATCATGCGGCACCAGAGTGATGATGATGTCTACTCCGTATGGATGCGTTCGTGCTGGACATGGAGTTTGCGGGCGGCGTTGGGTTGTTTATTTTGATATACATTGTCAATAATGCTTATGCCACTGAATTCTGAGTATCATGGTGTACTCCGTAGGATGACTATGGTACATGTACTTCCTGGTACGTAATGCCACTGCTTAATAGAGAGGCGGCCAAAGTACCCCAAAGTATAGACCCGCGCTAAACCGCATTGGGCCACAGGCACGTCTTCCGCGCGAAGTGGAAAGCGAAGACGAAGAAACGCCGTGAATCTCGCCTCATCCGCTTGCATCGTCCACGATGCCTCCTTTCAAAGATGAGCATATCCTGGTATGTCTCTTCGCTGTTTTCTCTTCTTTCATTCTTCATCTCTTCCCCAAATATCCCCCACACCCCGCCCAATCGCTGACCCTCCTAGATAATTGCGCCAGGTTCGCAAGTGACCCTGGCGCAACTCGGTCTCCCCGAGTCCTTCACGCCAGCTCGCTTTCGGTTTCCCACGCGAATGTTTCCGGCTGAGAAGAAAGGCGAATATGAACCATACAAGGTCCGCGAGCGACGCCAGGTGGTCAATCCGCCCACCACGACCAATGGCACCAACACGTCCCAGAAGGAGGATGTCGAGATGAAGGACGCCGAACCCGCTGCACCAGAGAAGGCGACCGAATCCACTACAGAAGCCGACAAGCCCTCATCTGCAGAATCCCAGCCTAAGCCCGACGGCGCGGAGGAGTCCACCACCAACAGCGAAGAAGCCAAGCAGGAGTCTGCCCCCGAGATCGTCTACGAGGAAGATGTCACGTCCGACGAAGGCGCCATCTACCCCATGGAGAATGGGCGCATCGTGGACTGGCCCTGCTTTTTCGCCCTTCTCACCCACGTCTACAACACCCTGAGCCCGCCCTTCCACACCCCCATCATGCTCATCGCCGAGCCCGTCTGGTCTGCGCGCGACCGCGAAACCATCACCCAGTTCGTGTTTGAAAAATTCAAGACGCCCGCGTTCTGCCTGATGGATGCCGCTCTGGCCGTCTGCTACGGGTACGGCACCTCCACCGCTACCGTGGTCGATGTCGGCAAGGGCAAGGTCGATGTCACCGCCGTCACGGACTTCGTCGTCAACGAGCATGGCCGTGGTGTCGCCCTGGAGGGCTGCGGTGGAGACTACATGACCGACCGGCTGTACGAGCTGCTCAAGTCAAAGGGCTTTACATGGGAGATGTGTGAGCAGCTGAAGCGCAGCAATATCACCGAGTTGCTTCCCCCGGGCACGCCTCTGCCTGGCGCGGCCGTCACCGCGCATCAGGGCGTCAACCCTGCGGCCGCCGGAGGGCCGGAGGGCGCTTCTACCAACCCCACCGCGCGGGGCGCACCGAATGGCGACGGCGCGAATGGCGAGGAAGAAGACGAGGGCGTGTTGGATGTGGCGGCGATCGTGAGCGGCAACACCAGCGAGTTCCTGGCTAACCGCGAAAAGGAAAAGGCCGAGAAGTCGAAGAAGGGCGCGGCCGAGCAGGCTGCAAAGGCGGCTCGGCTCCCCAACTCCAAGAAAGAGAAGGCGACGTTCCAGTTTGAAGAGTTTGTCCGTCTCGAGCCGGAGAAGGACGCCCCTAACGGGCCCAGTCGGTTTATCCGCCAGACGCGGGACATTGAAGTTGGTGTTGAGCGGTTCCTCTCGACGACTCCGAAAGCTGCAGACGGGTGACCGACTATCCAGCGGCATCTTGGAGGATATCGCGACGCAGATCCACCACACGATTCTGGCTGTGCCGGAGGCCAACAAGCGCAGCGAGCTCTGGGATTCCCTGATTATTGTGGGTAACGGTAGCAAGATCAAGGGTAAGTTGGTGCTCTACATCGCTACGTAGGATGATCACGAACATGCTGACGAGATAGGCTTCACGCAATCGCTGGTCTCGACTATTACGCAAAAGTTTGTCCTCTCCCCCTCCGCCACCATCTTCACCTCCGAGCTCCCCTCCAATTTCTCCACGCCGCTCCCCACGGGAGGCACCAACACGCCGGCGCCGACGGGGCCTCCTGGGCCGATGCATCATCCGGCAGGTCAGGGCGTGAATCCTCTCCTGGTGGCGGCCACGCATTCCAACAACCCGACCGGCAGTATGCCGCCAGGCACGCCGTCCATGGACCCGGCGACGCTGTCGCACCACCGGTCGTCGGGCCACTCCCAGACCCCGACCTCGGTCAAGACGGTCAAGCCCCCCGAGTACTTCCCCGAGTGGAAGGAACAGGGCAGCAGCAATGCGCCCGGCGCCAGCGGCGCAGGCGTGGGTGGCGCGCCGGTGGTGGGCGGCCCTGGGGGACCGGGTGCTCCTAGTGGGGGGCACGGTATGGAGGAGGCGGTGTTCCTGGGCGCTCAGGTGGCGTCCAAGGTGGTCTTCGTTCTTGACCAGGGAATCAGCAAGGGCTTCATGAGTCGGGTGGAATACAACGAAAACGGGCCGTCGGCGATCCACGAATACAGCATGTAATTTGGGTTTGATTTGTGATATTTCGGTATGGGCGTCCTCGAAGAAGTGAGAGATGCGGGAGTCTGGTAATTTAGGTAGTTGAATAAGGATTGTTGTATTTGTGCCATATCTACTCTGTAGGTACTGTCTGCCTTAGAGGGAGTTCCCGATTAGGATGCGTATATCACGTGGAGATTGTGTCACGTGGCGATTATGTGATCTCGCCATCTTATCAATCCTCAATCGTTTCCTGCGTTCTTCCGCTTCACATTCACCTTTCCACTGGATTATCAAGATGCCGCGCGCAGAAGCTGGAAGCACAAAGGCCCTGAGCAACAAGCTGAAGAGCAAGGGGTTGCAGAGACTCCGCTGGTATTGGTGCGTCGACCCAGCCCCGTCTGATGGACACTGTACTAACTCTAGACAGCCAAGCATGCGGTAAGCGGTTTGCGATTTGCGATTGCGCACGAAGAGGATACTAACTGTGTTTAGAGCGCCAGATGCGCGATGAGAACGGCTTCAAATGGTAAGTCGCCCAACACTTCGACCGCAACAGGATACTCATAAGAACAGCCACGTACAGAGCGAAAGCCATGTGCGCCAGATGCTCCTCATCGGCGAGGACCCGAAGAAACACATCGAAAGCTACAGCAAAGAGTTCATCAACAACTTCCTGGACCTCCTACGGACGACGCACGGCGAGAAAAAAGTACACATCAACCATTTCTACCAGCAGGTTATCGCTGACAAGACTGTACGTCCCTTTCTTCCATCTCCATCCCTCCAGGAGCCCAGACGCTGACCAAACAGCACATCCACATGAACGCAACGAAATGGAAAAGCCTCACCCAGTTCGCCGCCCACCTCGGCCGCGAGGGCCTCTGCCGCGTGGAGGAGACGGAAAAAGGCCTGTTCATCTCGTACATCGACCGCAGTCCGGAGACGCTGCGCCGGCGCGAGGCGATCATGAAGAAGGAGCGCCAGGACCGCGGCGACGAGGAGCGCGAGCAGCGCCTGATCCAGGAGCAGGTGGAGCGGGCGCAGCAGCGGAAAGACCCGGCGGAGGAGGAGGAGGTCGATCCGGAGGCGAAGATCCTGCAGCGCAAGGAGGGGGAGAAGGTGAAGTTGAATTTGGGGTTCGGGAAGAAGACGGAGGGACAACCGGAGGGGGAGGCGAAGGCAGAGTCGAAGTCGAAGTCGCCGGAAGCGAGTGCTGCTCCAGGTGCTACTCCTGAGGCAGCTTCGGAGACCCCCCCGACGCAGGCACCGACGCAGGCACCGAAACTGTCGCTGTCGCTTGGGACGCAGAAACCGAAGAATGTGTTTGCGTCGGCGGCGAAGAAGAACCCGCTGGCGGGGAAGAAGGGGCCGGTGATGGAGCCGGCGAAGAAGATGACGGAGCAGGAGCGGATCATGAAGCAGGAGATGGAGGCGATGGAGCGGAAGAGGAGGGGAGGACCTGGCATGCCACAGGCGAAGCGACCAAGGGTTGCGTAGATAGGTTCTTGAGTGTATCCAGCTGGCTGGTTAATGAAGTATATTGCTCACTACAGATACCTGTGTATACGGATAAGCTCCTCCGTAGGTACTTCTACCTCTTTCCCTGACTATAACACCCAACAGTTGTGCCAACACTGTTATAACTTGTGAGATGCTCACTGCGGTGTGTATGATCCCCTGGATCACGTCCGACCACTGCAGCGCCACGCCCAACGTTAGAGATATGTAGATGTATAAGACACCAGGTTCGTCTAGTTTGCATTATCAGACATGATGCACAAGCAAATATGCCTATAAAGTGGTGCAATGGCAGCCCAGAGTGTGTTAATTGGCAGCCGTATCTATATCTATTTCTATATCTATATCATCGACTTGGTACATCCAACACTAGCTTCAGTCCAACACACCCGAACAAATGGGAAATACAGAAGAAAAGACAGCCGTATTGGCATACATACGCCTCGTTAGGCAATTCCAGCAAGAAACACTGTTGAACAATAGTGACAGATAGGGCAGTTATCTAATCCTCTGCTCGGCTTCTCCTCCCGAATCATTCATTATGACTCTTCTCCTTCATCCACCTCCATACAAACTACAACCACACACCTACACAACAATGGCGCCCTCAATTGCTTTCATCGGCTGCGGTATTCATACCCCATCTCTACATCCATATAAAACCTAACAATATGTAGGAAACATGGGCTCCGCCATCCTGGGCGGCCTGCTCTCCGCAACCCGCACCTCCGAGAGCACCTCTAAATTCTCCAAATTCATCATCAATACCAAATCCGCCAGCTCAGCCGAGCGTCTACGCGCAGAGTACAAGGCCGACGCCGCGCGTCTCGACATCCGCCACGGCCAGAACGTCTCCGCCATGCAAGACGCCGACGTCGTCCTGCTCGCCTGCAAGCCGTTCCTGGTCGCGGGGATCCTCCGCGAGCCGGGCGTGCGGTCCGCCCTGGCAGGCAAGTTCGTCATTAGCATTCTGGCGGGGATGAGTCCGGCAGAGATTGCAGCGTGTATCGACCACGCCTCGCCCACTGCTGATGCAGGCAGCGATGCTCGGAACATCGTCCGCGCCATGCCCAACGTCGCCGCCCGCCTGCGCCAGTCCATGACCATCATCGAGGCCGACCCGGCCCTATCCGCCGAGCGCGCCGCCCTGCTGACCTGGATGTTTGAGCAGGTCGGGCACGTCAAGTACGTTGCGGCGGAGCAGTTCGACGCGGCGGGCATGCTGGTCGGCGCGTCGATGGCCATGTTTACGGTGCCGCTGGATGGGCTGCTGGATGGGTGTGTGGTGGAGGGCATCCGGCGGCCGGAGGCGCAGGAGATGGCGGCGCAGGTGCTACAGGGGATGGCGGCGTTGCTGAAGGATGGTGCGCATCCGGCGGTGCTGAGGGAGAGTATTGCGTCACCACGGGGGTGTACGATCCAGGGACTGATGACGGTGGAGAGGAGGGGGGTGAGGGCTGCGTTTGCGGATGGGATGATTGATGGGACGGACCATTTGAAGTGATCATAGATATAGAGCGTATAAAAGGTATAAATCGAGGTAGAAAGAGGCTGTGATGTTTCTGCTTGATATCTCAATGGTGTATAGTTCCATCTACAGTCGATATCAACGTAGCAGCGGAACCCCCTCCCGAGCGGAGGGCGAACCGAGCATCTACATACACCTCCTCATGAGCAGATCATCAGATCATCAGATCATCTAGATCGTTCATAAGCCAATCGGTCTTCGAGCCGCAGACGCAGACATCCCAAGGAGTATACCCCTCACGAACTACAGATAAATAGCCAGCCAGCCAGCCAGCCAGACGCATGATGCATGCAGAAGTAAAGAAGCACGCAAGATGAAGCCACAGCGACTGTGTCTCCGACCTGCCCAGCTGTATACTTATACTCCTCTTCCATCTATACGCCATGCGTCGACCACGTCCACTGCTCCCCATGTCGTCGCTCCGCCCCCTCCCAAACAGGCCCCCATGGCCATCCTACCGACGAAGACCCTGATTCGATCGCTGCTCTTCACCTCCATCATGGCCTCTCCCCTGCTCAAACCGTGTCTGTCCGTGATGAAGTACGTGGTCGAGTCCAACTCCCCCTTGCTCAAGCCCTCGCGCAACCCCATCCTCAACTACATCCTGCGCACGACCATCTACAACCATTTCTGCGCGGGCGTCAACGAGACCGAGGTCCGCCGCACCGTGCAGGACATGAAGAGCCTGGGATTCAAGGGCGTTATTCTAGGCTATGCCCGCGAGTCCATCGCCCGCCTTGACGACAGCACGCATTCCAGCCCCGCGCAGAAGCAGGAGGCGGTGGCTGCCCGCGCCGTGGAGGAATGGAAGCAGGGCAATCTGCAGACGCTCAAGATGATCGGAACAGGCGACTACCTTAACGTGAAGTATGCCTTCTTCCCCTACACTCTATCTACAACAGCTAAGTCCTCCAGATTCACCGGCGCAGGCCCCATGGCCGTCGACGCCCTCACCCGCGGCGATCCCACCCCTCCTGCGGCCATCCACGACGCCATCAACGAGATATGCCAGGCGGCCGTCGCACAAAACTCCCGTCTGTGGATCGACGCCGAGCAGCAAGTCTTCCAGGCGACCATCGACGCCTGGACGATCGACCTAATGCGCCGCTTCAACCGACACGGCCAGCTCGTCGTCTACAACACCATCCAAGCGTATCTCAAAGCATCGACCGAAAACGTTCAGCGGCACCTGACCCTCGCCGCAACCGAGGGCTGGGCGCTGGGGATCAAGCTCGTGCGCGGCGCATACATCGCGCACGACGTGCGGGCGCGCATCCACGCCTGCAAGGCCGACACGGACGCCAACTACGACCACATCGTGCGCAGCCTGCTGACGCGGACGTTCCCGCTGCCGACCACGACGGCGCTGCCGTTCCCCGCGGTGCGGCTGTTTGTGGCATCGCATAATGCGGAGAGCGTGCGCCGGGCGTATGCGCTGTCGCGGGAGCGGCTGCAGCACGGGCTGCCGACGGTGCCCGTCGAGCTGGGGCAGTTGCAGGGGATGGCGGATGAGGTGAGCTGCGCGCTGGTGGCGGAGAATCGGGATGCGCTGGCGGCGAACGCAGAGGTGCCGGGCGTGTTCAAGTGTCTGGCGTGGGGGACGACGGAGGAGTGTCTGCATTTCCTGCTGCGGCGGGCCGTCGAGAACCAGTCGGCGATGGAGCGCACGCACGAGACGGCCAAGGCGTTGCGGGAGGAGGCGTGGAGGCGGGTTGGGTGGTGATGGTTCTGTTCTTGTCTTTGTACATGGTGGTGGTGTAGTGTACTTGGTCTGCAGGTAGCCGGCTAATCAGGGCGTGCCAGCTCATGAGGCGCAGCGCGTGATATAGTGTATCGAGAGTCGGATCCAGGTAGTACTCCGTATAGTCGACAGGGTAGGATGAAGAGTTATGGGACTTCGGATGGAGAGCCGAGCGGGAGGGGATTCCGCATGTATCGTGATGGAGTGGGTATACGTGGGTATACAGCAGTCAGAGCATGGGCCCTCGTCTGTCTTTGAGCATCTGCTTGACCTCGAGATAGTCCTCATTAGTGTCGTCTAGAATGCCCTCGTTCTCGCAGGCCTCCAGAATGTCCAGCACATACTCCTGGCAGTCCCATTCGAGCGTCTCGTTGTCGACGATGGCCTGGGCAACCAGTGCCTTGACGGTGGGAATGTCGGGCTCTCCGATCTCACAGACAAACAGCGACTCGATGAAGCCGTCTGCGTGGCAGGGCCTGCCATGCGACGTGGCCTTCTGGAAGGCGGGATGTTCGCCGTCTACCTCAAAGACGAGGTCTTCGGCTGGGGTGTGGAGATGCAGGGCCCAGTGCTGGAAGTTTCCATAGCGCGGACGATAGAAGGCTACGGCGAGATGGGGATGCATTTGGTTTTAGAGAAGATGGTGGTTGATGGCTGTAGATGAAGAGTATTCATCTGAATACTATCTATATACGGTGCTGCTGCTGCTGCCTACTTCTGCCTAACCATGCATCTATACAGCATTCATCCATTCATGCATTCACACATTCACAGCATTCAGCAACCATCAACATCCCTTAATATAACGTTCCCCGCATGAACCACCGTTCTACATGAATGATGATGCAAGAGGCTTCACTCTATCCCGTCTCCAACGTCATCCACCCTCTGGCAAACTCTGTCGGCCGTTTATCGGACATTCGACAACTCTTGTGCATGGCTGCTTTTTCCACCGTGAATACGAGCTTCTCCAGTTTTCTCCAGTTTATGCTCCAGATTGTGGAGCAGACCCAGGCGGGAGCACTGACGTTTGAGCGGATTATAGAGTAATATTATCATCGACACCGCTATACCAATCCAGGCAGCCAGACGACGGCCCTACTAGGTATTAATACGGCCCTAATACTGCCCCTGCATGCTCATGCACTCCATCCCGCCGTCAAGATGAAGCCGATCACATCGACAGTAAGTAGTACGACTCTTCTCCGAAGCGACTGGCATGCTCAAGATGAATAGGTCCTGGCAGCACTGCTGCTGCCTGCTGCCGCCCTTGACTCCCGCGTCTCCCGCATTCTTCAACGGCATGCCACCTCCACCACCGCCAACAACAAGGACACCCCTCCAGCAGGCGTCAATTCCTCCAGCGTCTATCAAACCCGCTTCGACGGCGTCACCTGGGACGACGACCACTGGCTGCTGTCCACCACCACGCTCCAACAAGGCCAGTTCCAGTCCCGCGGCTCCGTCGCCAACGGCTATCTCGGCATCAATGTCGCCAGCGTCGGCCCCTTCTTCGAGGTCGACCAAGAGGACGTCGGCGATGTCATCAACGGCTGGCCGCTGTACAGCCAGCGCCAGACCTTTGCGACCATCTCCGGCTTCTACGACTCGCAGGCGACGACGGACAGCACCAACTTCGAATGGCTGTATCAGTACGGTCACGACAGCGTCATTAGCGGTGTCCCGCACTGGAGCGGATTGATTCTCGACTTGGGTGACGACGTCTATCTCGATGCCACCGTCGACAACAGCACCATTTCGGACTTTCGCTCGACGTACGACTTCAAGGCCGGACTGCTGTCGTGGTCGTATACGTGGACGCCCGCCGGCAAGGGCTCGTATGCCATCACGTATCGACTGTTCGCCAACAAGCTCAACATCACCCAGGCCGTCGTCGACATGGAGATTGTGCCGGGGGCTGATGCCAGCGCCAACGCGACCATCGTCAACGTGCTCGACGGCTACTCGGCCGTGCGCTCCGACTTTGTCGCGTCCGGGGAAGACGACGGCGCCATTTACTCGGCGGTTCGTCCCCAGGGCATCGCCAACGTCACCGCATACATCTACGCCAATCTGACGGCCACCGCGAACGTCGACCTCTCGTCGCGCACGCTCGTCACCGACCAGCCCTACATCAGCGCCAACGACTCGTCCATCGCGCAGGCTGTCCCCGTCCGCTTCACCCCCAACGAGCCCGTGCGCATCACCAAGTTCGTCGGCGGCGCCTCCACCGATGCCTTCGCGGACCCCCAGCAGACCGCAAAGCAGGCCGCGTCCGCCGCGCAGTCGGCCGGCTTCCAGCGCTCGCTGCAAGCCCACGCCGCCGAATGGGCCTACATCATGAACGACCAGTCCGTCGACCGCTTCACCGACCCGTCGACCGGCCGTCTCCCCGACGACGACCACATCATCAACTCGGCCGTCATCGCCGTCGCCAACACCTACTACCTGCTGCAAAACACCGTCGGCCAGAACGCCCTCGCCGCGGTCTCCGCCGACGCCCCCCTCAACGCGCAGAGCATCGCCGTCGGCGGGCTCACCTCCGACTCCTACGCCGGCCTCATCTTCTGGGACGCCGACGTGTGGATGCAACCCGGGCTTGGTGGCCTCGCACCCCGAGGCCGCGCAGGCCGTCACCAACTACCGCGTCGCGAAACACGACCAGGCCGTCGCCAACATCGACACTGCCTTCGCCAGTTCCAAGAACCAGACGCGCTTCGACCCCGGCGCCGCCATCTACCCGTGGACCAGCGGGCGCTTCGGCAACTGCACTGCCAGCGGGCCCTGCTGGGACTACCAGTACCATCTGAACGGGGACATCGGGCTGTCGATGATCTACCAGTGGGTGGCGAGCGGGGATACGCCGGCCTTCCGCGAGACCATGTTCCCGGTCTACGACTCCATCGCGACGCTGTACAGCAACCTGGTGGAGCGCAACGGGTCGTCCTGGACGCTCACCAACATGACCGACCCGGACGAGTACGCCAACCACATCGACGCCGGCGGCTTTACCATGCCGCTCATCGCGGAGACGCTGCGCTACGCCAACACCTTCCGCGAGCAGTTCGGCCTCGAGGCGAACGAGACATGGACCGAGATCGCAGATAACGTGCTCGTACTGCGCGAGAACGGTGTGACTCTCGAGTATACCACAATGAACGGCACGGCCGTCGTCAAGCAGGCCGACATCGTGCTCGTCACATATCCCCTCGTCTACGACAACTACACCACGCAGGACGCCCTCAACGACCTGGACTATGTGCGCTCCCTCCCCCTCCTCTTCCCCTTCCCCTATACCCCCATCTCTAACCACCATAACAGTACGCAAACAAACAATCCCCCGACGGCCCCGCCATGACCTGGGCCATCTTCTCCATCGTGGCCACCGACCTCTCCCCCTCCGGCTGCTCCGCCTACACCTACCACCAAACCGCCTACGACCCGTACATGCGGGCGCCCTTCTTCCAGCTGTCGGAGCAGATGGTCGACAACGCCACCACGAACGGCGGCACGCACCCGGCCTACCCGTTCCTGACGGGCCACGGCGGCGCCAACCAGGTCGTGCTCTTCGGCTACCTGGGGCTGCGCCTGCTGCCCGACGACATCCTCCACATCGACCCGAACCCGCCGCCACAGCTGCCGCACATCCAGTACCGCACGTTCTACTGGCGCGGATGGCCGATCGCGGCGCGGTCGAACGCGACGCACACGACGCTGGCGCGCGCGGACCTCGACCCGCTCGACACGGCGGACATGCGGTTCGCGAACGCGTCCATCGCCGTGCACGTCGGCTTCGAGACCAACGGCACCAGCGAAGCGAGCTACGAGCTGCCCGCGACGGGGGAGCTGACGGTCCCGAACGGGCGGATCGGGTGGATCCCCACGACGGACGGGAACATGGCGCAGTGTCTGCCCGTCGCGTCGCGGGACGCCTACGCCCCCGGCCAGTTCCCGATTGCGGTTGTCGACGGCGCGACCTCCACCCGGTGGCAGCCGGCGTCGTCGAAGATCAGTGCCGTCACGGTGGATTTGGGCCGCGGCGCTGCGGTTGCGGGCGCGAACGTCACCGCGTTCCATTTCGACTGGGCCGCGATGCCGCCGGTTAATGCGACGGTGGTGTTCCATGACGTGCCGCTGAGGGATCCAGCTGCTGTCGCTGCTGGAGCGCACGAGGGCGGTGATTACCGGGTCGTCGCGACGCTGACGGACATTGCGCAGTCGAAGCCCTACCGCGCGGACAGCGAGGAGTTTACGGCCGTCGCGGTGCCGGTGGGCAACACGACCGATGTGCGGCTGGATGCGCCGGTGCAGGCGGCGCGGTATGCCACGCTGCTCATTTCTGGTAACCAGGGGCTCGCTGCGGGTGATGAAGATGTCGGAGCGACGGTGGCCGAGTGGGCGATTATCAGTCCGGCAATGCAGACGCATGCGCAGCAGCGACGGAGCGGCCGCGCACGGTCGGACATGTTGGATCGTACGATGTTGCGAGGACGCATTGGGAAATGAGACGGTGGAATGTATTATAAACGTGTGACTAGCTAGCTAATGGAGTGCTGCTTACAACGAATGTCGTGTGTCAAGTCACAGAATAGAATAGTACATACAAGAAGGCAACGGCACCAGACTGGACGGCCTTTACAGCGTGCCCCGTCAATTGTCCACGGCAAACCGGTCCAAAAACTTGAACGTGGTCAGACCGTTCTTGAGCCCGTTGATGAAATCGCCCGTCACCGAGTCCGCCACATACACGCCCTCGCGCGCCGTCGAGATGTTCACGTTGTCCAGGACCGTACTGCCGCTGCCCAGCGCGCCGACCGGCTTGCCAAAGCGGAAGCCGTCGACGAGGATCTGCAGCGGACGACCGGCGGGGAATAGGGACGCCGTGGAGGAGTTGCCGGGCTTGCTGGTGAACGAGTTCGGGGCAAACAGACCCTCCACGCCGGGGCCAACCACCACCGCATCGAACTGGACCGCGTCGGAGGCGGAGTAGGTCTGGTTCACGCCGGGGGCGAGGCGCTCGGCGACGGTGACGACGTCGACGTTTTCGCCGGCGAGCTGCGAGGCGATGGTCTGCCGGGCGGCCAGCGAGTCCGGCACATCGACCGACCCGAGCACAGCGACCTTCAGACCATCCAGCCGCAGCAGCTTGTGCCCGAAGGCGCCGATGTTGATGGTCTTGTTGTTATGGTAGAAGGTCGGATCGGGGTCTGGCTCGGCGATGCCGATGGCGCGGGCGACGCGCCGGGCCAGGTCGTTGTCAATGCGGTTCAGCTGCATGATCACGTTGCTGCGGACGACCTCGCTCTTGACGTTGGAGTTCTCGAAGCGCATCGCGTCGATCACGAACTGCTGCTCGGCGGGCACCAGCGAGTTGTAGAACAGCCGCGGCTGCGACCAGACGTCGTTGAAGGTCGGGCTGACGGCGCGGATGAGGTGGCCGCTGGCGGTGCGGCCGGGCGCCGTGAAGAAGCCCTTGCCCACGGTCTGGTTGGCCTGCTTCGGCGAGCCGTTGTTGAGCGTGTTGGGGGTGTAGGCGTTGGGGTTCAGCGGGATGTACATCTGGCCGGCGCCGTCGCGGTTGTTGTTGTGCCCACGGCACGCGCGGCTGGTTGATGGGCAGCTGCTCGAAGTTGGGGCCGTTGTGCCGGTTGAGCTGGGTGTCGAGGTACGAGAAGAGACGGCCCTGGAGGAGAGGGTCCTCGGTGAAGTCGACACCGCGCACGATGTGACCGGGTTGGAACTGATCCGTTAGCGTACGACGTCAGGAGGTCGGTGGAGGCAGCATACCATGACCTGCTCGGTCTCGGCGAAGTAGTTGCGAGGGTTGCGGTTGAGCGTCATCTTGCCCAGCGGAGTGATGGGCACCAGCTCCTCGGGGACGATCTTGGTGGGATCAAAGAGATCGAACCCGAAGCGCAGTTGGTCCTCTTCCTCCATGATTTGGACACCGAGCTGGTTCGTCAGTATTGGACAAATGAAGGCAGAACACAAACAACACATACCTCCCACTCGGGAAAGCGTCCGGCCTCGATCGAATCGTACAGATCCTGGCGCATGAAGTCGGCGTTCTTGCCCGACACCTGCTGGGCCTCCTCCCAGACCATGCTGGCCTTGCCGGTCAGCGTCTTCCAGTGGAATTTGACCAGCTTGGAGGAGCCGTCGTCGGTCACGAGGCGGAAAGTGTGCACGCCGAACCCATCGACATGGCGGAAGGATCGCGGGATACCATGTCCGGCCATGGCCCAGAACAGAGTGTGCATGGTGCTAGGCTGACGGCTGAAGAAGTCCCAGGCGGAGTCGTGCGCAGTCGCGGCCTGGGGGATCTCATTGTCGCCGCGAGGTTTGACGGCGTGAATCAGATCGGGGAAGAGGATGGCGTCCTGGATGAAGAAGACGGGGATGTTGTTGCCGACAATATCTGCAGGGTCAGTATGCGATATCAACATGGTCTGGAACAGACATACCAAAGTTACCCTCGTCAGTATAGAACCGAGTCGCAAAGCCATGGACATCACGAGCGAGATCCGAGCTACCACGGCTACCAGCGACGGTCGAGAAGCGCACAAACACCGGGGTTTGCTTGCCCGCGGCCGACAAGAAGGAAGCGGCCGTGATGTTGGAGTAATCGCCGTACGAGGTGAAGACACCATGCGCACCGGCACCACGGGCATGGACAGCACGTTCGGGGACCTGGATTCGCGTCAGAGCTGGCCACTATCCGGATCATCAAGAGGAGCATACCCGTTCGTGATCGAACCGCTGGATCTTCTGCCGGAAGATGAAATCCTCCAGCAGGGTCGGACCGCGCTCGCCCACGGACAGACTGTTTTGGTCTTCAATAGGGCCACCGACATCACTGGTCAGGTAGGCATCACTGTCGTCCAGATAGAATTGGGACAGAAAATCCTCCGTGGCACCAGTCGCGTCGCCATCATCGCGGGCGTTCAAATGGCCCGTCATGTACGGACAGACCGCATTGGCGACACCAACGAGGCCAATCAGTGAGAGGGCACGCATGATGACTGTTTCGGTTAGAATACGGCAAAAAGAAAGGAATGACAAAAGAAAAGGAAAGCAGAAAAAGAAAGAAAAGGAAAAGAAAAGGGAGGGTAAGGACAAGGAAGGAGGTGATGTATACCAGTGCCAACTTACCAATTGAACCAGACTATGTACCTCTACTTGAACCAGACAAACAGGCAAGAGAGTTCGTCTCTTTCTGGCCCAACCGAGGGAAAGCAAACACTACTTATAATTCTAAAGCTGTCGATGCAATGCAGATCGGACGACTCCACGGGTTAATTCTGGGCGACCTCATCCAGGTATGAGAGCAACCAACGAGAAGCTGTCGTTCCCCCTTATGTCATTCGAACGCTGCGCCCACGCTGCTTATTTGATGAACCGGGTCTAGATGGCCGACGTGATACGGTGGAACATCAGACAGACCTGTCCTCTGGCTGTTACTGGAATTGTCATCACCGCATGCACGGGGGCGCCTCAACACGCGGCCGGCTGTCGACTGTCTCATTCGCCCGCATCCATGGCAGATCCATTCTTGGCAGAGGCCTCCGGCTATCGAGGAAATGGTGCAATGCGGCCTGGAGGTGCGTATGGAGTACGGAGTCCCTAGGCAGGTAGTGTCGTTGCATCACGATAACTAATGCGCGCTCCGTGATGGGCCGTGGGGCATCGAGCCCGGCGTGCTTGGTAATAGCTCCGGTCTGGAGCAGCAGCTAGAACATGGGCAGAGTGGACCGGTATTATTAACGGGGTTGATATTAGTGTAAGCAGCAGACGGGCTTCATCTTGGCAGCTAACAGCAAACAGGCAACTCGCCACGAAGATCCATTCCAGCGGATGGCTGACTGCTGCTTGCTCGGCGAATCACGATGGAAACTATTGAATGATGCCGGTCCTTGGGTTGAAGCTCCTTGCATCGGATCCGAGAACCTGTATCGGGCTGATGCTGGGACTGTTTCGCGAAGATTACCACGATTCGGATAGCTCCATCTGTCTCAGACGACGGATTACGGAGACGATCTTATGAGCGAAGATCCGATGACTCCATGACGCTGTGCTCAACCCTAAATCCTTTCATCCTGAGCTGCCTGCGTCTCTAACTGCCACTTGCTCCGTACTCAGTCGGTCCTTGGCAGAGGCTGGTTGTAGTATTCCTCCGTACGACTTGGCCAGGCCTGTTCCGGGCTACTACTGCAGGTGCCTGCAGATATCACACCGTCCGGTCAGTCTGACAACGCAGGGGACGTTCACGGTGTCTATTTATAATTCTGAACTCGGAACCCGGATCATTCTTGCTCTACTATAGACCTATTTATGGTCTTCCCCATGTCCTCCTATGTTCCCAATCTCCCCAGCCTGCGGCAGCCTGCATAAGTAGGGGGAGACCAGGATGAACGGCGGATGCATGCATGACGAGGAGGCACCGGTTCGACTGGTCTCATTCCTGGCTCAGTAATCCAGCCTGTTTGATCGGCCCATGAGCCAAGGTTCTCTCCGCCTCCTGCCGGAGGTTAGCGGGGGCTAAGGAACGCCCCAAAGCCTATAGTTCAGGTTGTTCTGTTGTGATGATATTCGTAATTCTCGCTGATAACGCCATGCCATCGGCTATACTCCGTACATTATGGCGCCCTTGTAGCATATCAGCATATCTTATGTCTCGCCAAGTCTATTGTCCTTGGTATATTGTCCAGCCTATACTTTGGAAACGTGGGACAATTCCGCCTTTCCGCCCGTAATCAACCGCTGGCCTGCGCCCTCCTTACCGCTGCTCACATACACAACCTTGGCGTGCGACGCCTCCGTCCAATGTTGATATGGCTCGCGACGAGGGATAAACGCCACATCGCCCATCTCCAGCCTTGCAGCCCGTATGTCCCAATCTGCATTACGACAGACACTTCTAGCATTTCCAATGCGCATGCGCCGTTACCGCTCCAGGTCGGCCGTGTCCTTCTGCCGGCACATATGACGGTCGACAACTTAAAATTGGTGTCCCGCGCCTGGCTAGGGGTGATGAGTGGCTGCGCGATCTGGTATGCGCCGAGCTCTGAATTGAGGTATTTGGGCCGTAGTTGTTCGCGATGGATTAGGGCTCGTCCGGACAGACGTCGAAGCGCTCTAGGCTGGAAATCTCGCTGGCGCGGGGACCGGAGGTAGACGAGTCGTTGACGGCTTGCGGTACGTATGGTGTGTTCGCGTCCGAGGTGTAGGTCTTGCCGAGGGCGTAGAACAAGTCCCTGTCCAGAGCGATCGTCGATCAGTGTCTCATTCTCGTATTGTATAACTTGCGAACGATGGATTGCTTACTCGAATTCTCGAGGAGAAACATCTCAGTATCGGGATTTAGCATCCGGAAGGTGTGCGTCGTATTCCGAGGCACCGATCCTTAGTCTGCCTGGGTCAACAGCCACCGTCGCCGTGCTGCGCCCATGGCTGGAACAGACCCTTGAAGTTGAGGAAGTTCTCGTAATGCGCCTGGTGGATGTGCGGCAACGCGCCCAGACTGCCGCTGGCCCCAGCGTTGGTGTTCATCAAAGTGAAGGCATTGTCGCACGACGGACCCGTAATGGTGAAGCGATACAGCTGGCTGCCAACCGTGACGGCACGAGTTGGCGTATGCGGGGGCACATGGTTGAGGCTATGAGAGAGCGTTCTCGACGTAGAACCACCGGTGTAGACCGTACCTAGATACCTAAGTCCTAGGACATTATGCGCTGCCTGTGCGAATGGTGTTTAGTCGATAACAACCGTCTGACCTACCTGCAGGAGCATAACCTTTCGCGCGACGTTGCGTTGCATCGCGCAGGAATGTCCCTGACGCCCACGCAGCAGCTTTTGTCGATCAGCGCCGATCCTCGATCTACTGAGGTTCGTCGTCTCGGCGAGGCTCCGCTCGGCAATCCTATTGTCAAGTCAGACCGGTGTGTTCGACCAAACTGGGTCCATCGGAAGGGGCCATGACAACGAAGTCCCTCCCTGTTGAGAAGCGATACAGACTGACGACGACGGTGCGGCGCGGATGAACGGCAAGCGATCGCTAGGTCCCGAGGATCTAACCTTGATACACAGTCTCTCGTCAGACGGAAAATCTCCAGGGACAATCGCGGAGGCGACGGGGAGGATCAACCCACGGGAGAATACGCAATCACCATCTATGAAACGACGGCAGCAATCCGACGATGCTAGTGATGCAGACTGGAAATGAAGGATCATCAACCGTCGCCGTCGGGTATTTGGCGTTTTACCGTGCTTTTCTTGGCTGCGCCTTGCCATCTGCTGGAGTCGGAGAAGGCAGCCGCTGGAGGATATTTGGTAATCGGATTCCCCGTGGGGATGGATCGGCGGGTTATTCTTGATGACTTCGCCAAAGGACACAGGAGTCCTCGATCATCAAATGCGGTGGTATATTTGGCCACTGTGCAGTACATAAGAAGCCCGTAGACTGCTGAATTTTGAAGGTTGGTGTTCGATGTTTGAGTAGTCCACTGCCAAATTCGGAAGGCCTGACTCTATACTATGTACTGCTGGCCGGGGAATGAACATATTCTTGCGAAAGATTTGCGACAATGTCTCAAAATCAGTGGACAGGAATAGCTGGGAATCCGTCGCACGTACAGTTCGGCTATTTATAGTTCCATCATGTCATTGCGGCATCAAGCAGTGCCCTACAAAACGGGCATCTTTGGGCTGTATAGAGCATGATATGGCTTCACAATCGACTTATGTATTGATATGCGCTGTAGGAGACAATTCTAATGCTCAACGTACATTGCCTTGCTTAGTATCATGGATATTTTCAGTGCTAGTACCGCTATAGCTTCTGGAGACTTCTTCAAGCTACGACTTGGACTGAAGACCTTGACGTTGCCTCTGACGATATGTTTCCGTTGAACATGGCTCTCAACACCCATTGAGAGTCACAGCCTGACGCACTGTCGTTCTATCACCCTCAAGTCACTTTGACTTTCCAGTTTCCTCGCTTTGGGGGGGTATAAGTACTCCTTCTCTCCCTCCCTCGACCCTTCCTCGATTTCTCCTTCTTCCACATTCTTGCTGGCCATGTCGATGGACCGGTTTTCTTTCTTTCTTTCTCTACTTTCTGTCCCTTTTTTCCCTTTTCCTTTCTTTCATTTCTCTCTTTCTCATAGCAAGTTTCTAGTTAGTGTCTTTACAGGTGGTTGTATGTTGTGCTTTTAGGTGGTAGGAGCATGTGTAGCATGAGCTGTGTAGGAGGTAGTTGCTTGTGACTGGAGTTCCTTCCCTTTGTATGCTTCAGCGTCTTTCTCTTCCTCCCATGGGTGGTGGGTGGTGAACAGTCGACTCTCTGCTGGACCAGGTGTCCGAACAACCAGCGTTCAAGCCTTCTGACAAACAAGGCCTTTGTCGGGTGGTGGGTGGGAAGGCTCAGGCGACACCGCGGTGCATCAACACACTTCTGTTAAACGAGGCCTTTGCCGGGTGGTGGGTGGGAAAAGGCTTAGGCCAAACACTTTGGTAAGTGCCCTCCTCCCTTGATGTGGCCCTCATACTAATACCATTGCTAGTGTCGACATCTTCCTGTCGTGGCTTTCCAAGCCGAACTACCTTCACAGACAGATGAACCTCCCGGGCTTCTAACACAACCAGGCGTGGGTGGGCGGGTCATACCTAGGTACGTCCATCCTCTATCCTGATCCTACCTGCCAGGGAAGAGGACCTCAACATACGACAATTCCCCTGGTCCATGTGTACGTGGCTTGCTTTAGCATGACCGGGTGGTGGTGGGTCAAGGTCATGTTAGCTAGCTGGTTTGTATCTTTCATATCAATTCCTCCCCTTCTCGTGACGCTGCAGGGCCACGGCTAACATGGTGACTAGAAACATGTCCATGCAACACATGCTGCCTTGACACTGACAATCAACACACTGAGCCATGGAGGGAGGGCGGGGGCTCAGGGATGAACCCACTGTTCGCTTTCCTTTTCTTTCTTCTCTCTCCCTCTCCCTCTTCTTTCTACCTTTTTCCGGGTTCATCGGGTGGAGGCCTCTTGGTGCAAGTCACCCGAGGCCTGGAAGGGCTAGGCACGATTCTTGAACTTCCAAGAAGACTGACTGGAATAACCCTTCTCTCTGCCTTGAATGGGTGGTCGGGATGGGCCTGGGATGTAGACTCTTCTTTCGTGTCTGTCTTGCTTCTCTTTACTTTTGGTTTTCGCCTTCTTTCTTGCGCTACGTCTACTTCAGGCTTTCTTGCATTTCTTTCCCGTCTTCTCTACACGTTCATTTGTGCTTTTGGTTACTACTGTTACCTCCTATCACTGGTGCATGCGATTACTACACTCCTATATCACTACTGTCTGTTATCACTACTCTTTGCTATTACTACTTTCTCCTATTACTATTCCTTGCTATTACTACTGTCTCTTTCACTGTCTCCTCCTGTGTTACCTCGTCTGTGTTATTTCGTTCCTCTAGTTACTACCATTGCTATATTTCCTTTCCAACCTGTTTCTCCGGGCCTTGGCTGGGTGGTTGGGATGGGCCTGGGACACTCTTTTCTCGCTCTTCTGATCCTTTTGCCATTTTATCTGCTTTTTGCCTTTACTTTCTTCTTTCTCTCTTTATTATCTATTTCTTTCCTCTTATCTTTTTTCCTGTTTGGCGTCCGGCGTCCGGCGTTTGGCTTTTGTTGCTTTGGTCTTTGAATTTGTCTTTCCTTTGAAACTGATACTACTAACACTGGCATCCAGGACTCATTTCTAGGCCCTGGCTGGGTGGGTGGGATGGGCCTGGGATCTCGACATTCCTTTCTTCTGAGGCATCTGGCGTCTGGCGTTTGGGTTTTCGGGAGTTTATATACATGTTTTTTGCGTTCCGTCCCTTTTCGTTCTTCTCTTCTTTGTCTGCTACCTTTTCTGCTCCTGCTTCTGCTCCTGCTTCTGCTTCTGCTTCTGCTTCTGCTTCCTCCTCTGCGTCTGGTTATTGAATTTCATTCTTTTCCTTTATATGCTTGTTCTCTTCTTTCTTCTTTTCTCTCTCCCTTTCTATTCCTTTCCTTCCGTGCCTTGGCTGGGCGGTTGGGATGGGCCTGGGACTTACTTCGTCGGCATTTCTATAGGCGTTTGGCGTTTGGATTTAGAGGGCTCTTTCTTGCTTTTATTGCTTTTCTTGTCCTTTTCTTCTTTTCTGCTTTTCTTCGTTTCTTCGTTTCTCCTTTTCTTCGTTTCTTCGTTTCTCCTTTTCTTCTTTTCTGCTTTTCTGCTTGTTCTGCTTGTTCTGCTTGTTCTGCTTGTTCTGCTTGTTCTGCTTGTTCTGCTTGTTCTGCTTGTTCTGCTTGTTCTGCTTGTTCTGCTTGTTCTGCTTGTTCTGCTTGTTCTGCTTGTTCTGCTTGTTCTGCTTGTTCTGCTTGTTCTGCTTGCTGTCGTTTCCGTTTAATTTATACTAGGTCCTGGCTGGGCGGTTGGGACGGGCCTGGGTCTTCGACGTCGTTTGTCTTGCTTTTGTGCTTTGCCCATCTTGGGCTTCGTTTTCATCCGTTCTACTAACATTCAGCATCTGCGTTTTGCTTACCATTCACCGCCAGATTGATACTACTAACTCGATTCTCCTAGGTTTCTTACCCTCAGGCCTTGGATGGGTGGTTGGGTTGGGCCTGGGACTCACTACAACTTCTTTTAGGTCTTCCAGTTCTTGTTACTGCGAAAGTGGTCGAACTGATTTCATTCAACCAGGTAATTTTCCTCTCAGGCCTTGGATGCATCTGTTGAAGATCAACCTGATCTGGCTTTTGACGACTTCTGACGTGATTACAGGTCCAACTTTCAACGCTTTGGAACCAAGCGTTTCACGGGAAGATTCGAATCATCCCGGGCATGGGAAGGACCGTCTTCCGGACGATAGAGCAAGCTGCATGAATTCATGGACACGCAACTCAACTAGTTGGAACAGAGGATGGAGCGACACAACCCTGACCTGCAAGCGCTTACAGCAACAGATCTACGATACGCAAGGCAGGGGGCATATGGTTAGAATCGTGGAAAACGTGGTTCCGACTACGACACTCGACTCTCGACATTCGAACCCCGATGACTTAGATGCTCTGACACCTCAACACTTCAATACTACGACCATTCGACAACCCGACTACTCAATCGATTATTTTACGATCCCTGGCCTTGGTTGGGAGGTTGGGTTGGGCCTGGGACCAGGACGATCATGAACGACGTGATCGAAGGTATGACCGAACTGACTGTTAGCTAAAGCTTTCAAATTGACAGACCAGGTATCCAGCTTACAGCATAGACAGACGGACCCGCGATATGCGTACGTTTGACCACCAATTCAATACAATGGCCTCCTTTTCGGGCCTCCAGGCCTAGGTTGGGTGGCTGGGTTGGGCCTGGAACAACCAGCAACGATATGAATGAAGGTATGATTGAACTGTTTGTTACCACAGACCCCAGAGTAACTAACCATAGTTACACGCTACAGCATTCGGCCGATGGACCTTCGATACGTGCATGTTCGACACTAACTCGCGACTAATACACGCCTTTTCGGGCTTCCAGGCCTTGGTTGAGTGGTTGGGTTGGGCCTGGGAAACATGGTCTATATACTATCTTTGGTCAGTATGTCTTGTACATTGTCATGGAAATGTGCTAACTCATGCCCGGGGGTATTTTATATCCCCCTGTGGCGAGTCCAGAACCACTAATCACAGCTCCCAACAGGTCGGAATCGGAATCATGTCCATATATGTATTGATTCATGTTCCATATGTTTGACGGGTTGACAATCGTTTCAGCGATAAGCCCACTCTGTACCTCGCTATCGCCTTCTCCCAGGGTAAGCATCATACAAGCCTTCTCGGACATGAATGTTGCTGAAAGAAACCTCGCCCGCACCACTGTGGAAGAAGCGGATCTCTGTCGAATTGGCATACCAGGAACTGCGACGATATTAGCTTCATCAGTTCAAAGAGGTAAGAGGGAGACTGACCGGGCCCAAGTAGACATCACAAAGCGCGAGTTGGCGTACACCTCCAGGACCGAATTATCCACCACAATAGTGAGATCCAGCGTCTCAACGTGGGAGTCGCATTGAGTATGACGGTCACCCTCCCCGCCGCAACAATCGCTGATGTCAAACAGACGCAGATGTCCGGACTCTAGTGATTCATCAATGCCAGGGGTGGTCTTCGCAGCAGCGCTGGTGTTGGAGCGGTCAATGACGATGGATTCGTTGGAAAACTGGTAGTAGATGGTGGTGGACTCCAAATCCGACGCCAGGACCTGGAAGCCAGCTTGCAGATCCGATTGACGTGCCGACTGCGGGAAAGTGATTTGGGCTTCTAGGACGAAGAATTTTGCGTCCGGCGAAGTCCCGAATGGGATAATCTCGCGATCTTGATTTGTGATCGTGCGATCCGGCTCACTAAAGCCGTCCACACTAGTCATTGCACGGTAGGTTTCGCGCGCAATATTGATTCCAAGTGTCTCCAGTTCAGCGCAGCTGCCCGGCGCAGGATTCTGGTCGCTGGCGACCCGCCACGATCCAGTCTCCTGGGCCAGTTCATTATACACCACATTGGAAATGGGTAGCATACGGAGCTCGCGTGGCAGCAGCAGTGTGTTATTCCATCCTTGCTGCGCTGTAGGAAAGCCTTTGATTTGTTCAAAACCATCACCATTCAACCAGACATACGAGATGAACCGATCAGGTACACCATGCTGAGAGACTCGTGCCGTGCTAGGCACAACCTTGCCGGCCGCCGCATAAGCCGACAAGCCCCAATCGAGCACACCGATCATATCAGCACTGAAAGTGGCGTTGCTGCCCTGAGCTGAGACGTGGCCGGATGCCCACAGCATCTCATGCATCGAGGTCACGGACTTCCGGATGGGAACATACGAGCCCTCCACGCCAAACGTCATAAACGTGTCCGCGTTTTGATTGTATCCTGTCCGGTCGAGACTGAACACGTTGGCCGTCTCCCAGTTGTAACCCGAGACCCTGGGCCAGGGGCCATTGCCCAGGGTCGAGTTCACCGAGGCATTAAACCAGTTGCCCATGTACTCCCAGTCCTGGAAATCATCACTGATGCTGCGGTAGAGAAAGATACCCGGACCGACATCCCGGACACCGCCTGAGATCACTGCATACCATGTGTCCTCGCTGCTGTTAAGAGCTTTGTCGAGATGTCCATTCTGGAAGACGTATGGGTCACGGAAGCCGGTGACATCTGCTCGCGGAGGGCCCGGAATGACGGGGGTTCTATCCAGCTTGGTAAAATTCTTTCCCCCGTTGGACGTGACGGCCAGGGATTGCGATTCAGAACCCCAGACATATGGAATCGTCCAGTGAATGGGAAGCGACGTGACTGAGGTGTAGAACAGGGTAGGTTTGCCATCAAGACCCCTGGGAATGACAGAGCCATCAAAGACGGCAACAGGGTCATTGCGGCCCCCAGCCACAATAATGAAGTCGCTCACATCGTAGTAGTGGACTAGGTCATCCGTGTAAACGCTGGAAATGCCAGTGTTATTGTGAAGAAAGCCAACGTGGAAGAGACCAGTATCCGGGTCAACATAGTGCGCACAAGGGTCTCCAATGTGACCAGATGCTGGGAGAACGTGGATATGAGGTCTCCAGGTCTCGAAGAGAGAGAGAGCTGGGAGCGTGGTGAGGTTTGGGGGTGGAGCGTTATAGTCTTGGGATGCCACCAGGCCAAAGCTCCCAGCCAGGACGTGAGCTGCCGTCAACCGCTTCATGGTGGTGGAGTAGGAAGGAGCAATTTGTGTGTAGTAGCAGAGAAGTCAGTCAATCACTCAGAGAGCGGCCATACTCCGTACTTATACTCCGTTTGAGCCCCATTCCGATGCTCTTCCGACGCGTATGTAATTATGCCGGCCTGACCAAGAGATTCAAGGGGCTGCAGATCTTGCCTGTGGGAAGAAGGATAGAACAGTTAAAACTCATATATTCCAGAGTCCCATCTCAACAGAGTTCAGAAAAAGCCGAAGAGAGTTGGATCTGCCGGGCGATACTCCGCTATAAAGCCTGCCGGGTCCTTGGAGTCCCCGAGGTTTCACCGATGTATACGCAAGATGCTATGCGGGTCAATCGATATTGTAATAACAAGCCAGCTTATGCCACCTTTTTCGCCAGAACCCACAGAAAAGCGCCCCCATCTTCCGGATCAACAACAACATCATCTTGAATCAACTCGAACCCCATCTCCCGGAGGATTTCCCTTGTCCGGTGCTCTCCCCATCCGCTCCAGAACACCGAGCCCTCGGTTGCACCGAGCCATGACGGATCGCTCGAAGCGACGATCTCCCCAGCCGAGAAATTGATTAATGCCAGGCCGCCGGGCTTGAGCCAGCCAAAGATCCGCCCAAGCATTGTGGTCTGCTCTTCTCGTGGAAGATGAATGACGGAATACATAGCGAGGACTGCGTCGAACTCTTCCGGCTCGAACTGCAGGTCCATCATGTCGCCCTGGATCAGACGCACGGACGGCGGTAGATGGGCTCTTGCCAGATCTATCTGTGCGCTGGAGATGTCGTTGGCGGTGATCTGGACTGTGCCCAGCGATGCGAGGTACTCGGTGACGGGGACACCGGGCCCACAGCCTAGTTCCAGAACGCGTGCCTTTTCGTGGGTCTCTTTGCGTTCGGTGAGATGGGGAGCGAGGAGCTTAAGGTACGACATGCGTTGGGAGAAGGGGTTTTGGGTCCATTGTAGATAGGTAGGGGCGATATTGTCGTAGGCTTTCTTGGTGTTTTCTTTGATTTGGATGCTGTCCATTGTGGCTGTAGAATGTTCTTTTCTTTCAAAGCAGTATGTGCCTTGAAATCAGTGAGCCTAGCATACACACGTCGTGATAAGTGCTCTTATACCTCAGTGCTCACCCTAAGTGCTCATTTGGATGGGTGAGTCATTGATCGTCAGCAGGTAGGTAACTAACTAGTCGGCTACATGAGTCATTTGCTTTTATACAGCTCGGCCTCTGGGGACTACGCCGAATTGGGTGCCCGCTTACGAGGATGACTCCTACACGGTACGAGGGCAGGCAAAAAGCAACAACTTCGTCCTATCATCCAATATTAATGCTTCTAGCGGGAATTGCCGAGTTGCTTACATACAGACCGGTCGCCTGATTGACTTCACTGAAGAGGCTGTGGGAACAGACAGATGCATTTTGAACTATACACATACAAAACGAACAAGGAAGAATGACTGTCTCGTTAGCTGATCATAGCTAACAGTCTATCAAAATCCCACCGCAACCGCCCATTCAGCCTCCGAACCCTGCACATCAAAATTCACCTGGCCCACACAATCCCCATACTCATACGGCTTGGCCAAGCTCCCCTCGGTGCCCGCAACACTCGACGTCGGCGCCCCAAACGTAGCATTCGAATACGGTAATTGATCGCAGGTATGGCTCCCCGAGTTCCACGGATAATACTCCACAAACCCGAGCTGGGTATCCTGGATCCCTCCCGCCCCCGCCGGTAGGGTATACTTGCCAATATGCGTCGAGTTCTTCAGGACCGTATCGACCAGCGTCCCTGTCCAGGTCGTCCCGCACGTGTTTTTAATCACAAGGTGGTACATGTGCTCGTACGGCGCCGCAATCTCCACGCTGCAGCTGACGCCGGGCCCGCCGTCGGCGCCGTCGCTGCAGTTCGGGTCGGTGGAGGTGGACCCGGCGACGAAGCTGGAGAAGACGGCGTGGACGATGCTGGCGCCGTTGGCATCGGGGCGCGGCTGCAGGCCTGTGTAGCCGACGTCCGAGGCGCCAGTGAAGGCGAACTGCTCGGCGAAGTAGTAGCCGGTTTTGTGCGGGGCATTGGCGATGGAGATCGGGAAGGTGATGTCTGTCAGGCCGGCGGTGGGCACGTTGGATACTTTCCACTCCAGACCGACCAGGGCGGAGGCCAGGGGGAGGAGGGTGGTTGATGCTAGGAGGGTGGGTTTCATTGTAGCGGTGGTGAGTAAGGTATTAGGGGACTTGGGAGTATTGGTGTTTATATTGGACGAAAGGAATATGGAGGTATACGTGAAAAGTGGTGTTGAAATGGAGGATCTGGGGAAGACCCTGGGTTATATAGCAGGAATTATGGTTCTCTAGCTCGTACGACTGAAGGAACAGGTGATTGTAGCGATCTCGACTGAGGCCTTGGTGTAAAGTACGATGGATCGCATGTTATCAATATGAAACAGCATCGGCTCGATGGATTGATGGCCTCCTGTCGATCCATCGGTTGGCCATTTAGCACGACTAGATGCATATCGACGCTGGAGGTTACATTCGGCATCGGCTGTTGTTTCACGAGGCGTCGTTAGTCCCTGGATTATCGAACAATCTATACGTTCGCTCGTGTTAGTGCTGAGGTGGGCTGAGATTTACGTAACACGGCGCACATGTATCAGTAGACTGACTCTCATGATATTGCTTCATTTAATGGAAGTTCATGACAGGGAAGATGCAGGTTGAGTTGCAGGTGTTTCCCTGTAACATCGTAGCAGTGATGTACATCTCATACGAGGATGCTGAATCTCACTGCATGCGTTTTCATCCCAGAGGTCATGATAGGAGACTTCAACCCCACCGAATCATGCACCATCTCAGGGCTGAGCGTGGCAACGGCCGCTCCAGCCCACGAGACCTGTCGAAAATATATATCTGAATGTGAGGGAGAACATGACTTATCTGGACGACATATATATAGTCATGTATGTGGGAACGTGTAGACTGGTTCTAGAAGTAATGTCGGTCTGACTGTTCCATATAGCCACTGGCCGTAACGGATATCCCTGGGGCTAGCAGGCTTCGCAGTTTGCGGTGGCAGATCGGTAGATTTGTTGGCGAGCATGGCGCCCACCTGTCTGACAGCGTACCTGCACCCACGATAACAACCGTGGTGTCTTGTCATCGTGGTGGGAGGAAAAATACATGCTGGAATCCAGGTGGTAATGAGACGGACGAAACTTATGGTGATAAGGTGGGATTGTATGCCACTGACGATATCATAATGGGTGGAAAGTAGCTGATAGGGGATTTGCTGCATAATCGATCCAGTTCATGGCAATGTCGAGAAACCGTCGCCCACTGGCACATGCTATGCATAGTTTGGACGGTCCAAACTGCACAGGTCGAGGGATTCTCCGGCAGACACTTGCATTGGCGTAGGAATTGGTGTCGTTAGGCACGGGTGCATCCCTGCACATAACCCCCTCCAGGTAGAAATCATCTCAAGAATTGCGCTTCTGCGTCTTCCGCCAGGACCCTGGCCATTTGTCTTGATTCTGGAAAAGCAGGATAGGCGGACGGTTGTACATATCAGGCCATTGCCAGTCCTCACAAAGCCAGTCATACCACCAGACATACTCTCCTGCACGCACATAGATCCATCCCACATATTCGTCCGGGTCATCCGTCACGCCGTCCTCCCACTCCGGGTGCACCTGGTAGTTTCTCTCCTCGGGCGGTAAATACCCTGACCCTCTGCGCAAAATATTTACAACAGGGTCGTCCTCCATGTGGACTAGCGACTCCAAGCAAATGTCGTCCACGAAGACACAAAATTCATACCGGGCGGCATACTTGAACCAGCTTGGGTGATTCATTTGGGAGGTTTGGGCCTGAGCCCAAATGTCGAAATGATCTCGCACATCGTGTGAGGTGGCACCATCGAATTTTGTCTTGTCGTTGAGGAAGACCGGTTCGTGGGAGGGAATCAGATCAGTCCTCTGCTCGGATTCTAGCCAGCTTTGGGCGTGGTCTTGAATATATTGGACCATGCGTTGCCAGGCTTTGTCGTCTCGGTAAGTGCAACGGTAGACAAGGAATCCCTAGGGAAGGTACTTCTTGGTGTGGGTATCGCAATGCTATTCGGAGATGGTGGTCAAGGACTGAATCCCGTCCGAGTGCATTTTTCGGATCAGCTGGCCATACCGAAGACGAAGGATAGGGCCACGAAAGAAGGACAGCAGCAAAGGGCGACTCAATAGCTTCATCGAGTCGGATTGTCGAGTTTGTAGAGCGATGATTGAGAGTGAGACATGGAAAATTCAGGAAAATATCTAGTCACATGACCAGTTGGTCAGGAATGGAGTCGAAAATTGAGTCCAAACCATGCTCCATGGATGAATATACTCCGTATGGCTTGACTGACAATTCAGTATATCCAGTGAATCAAGAAGAAGAAAACACCGACATCATGTGAGAGTATTGTCCTTTGAGAAGAAAGGGACTCTGCACCGGCCGTTATCAATATATATCTTCACGACCAAGCCTCACTGAACAGCATAAGAAGTCGTATTCTCTCACATCTGTAGCTGAAAAGTCAACTCTCCCCCTTCTCAGAGGCAAGTCGATTCATTTAGAGGAGGCTCTAACCGACGACGATAATATCCTGCATCGTCTGGACTATCTTGAGCAACAGGATGACTTCCGGTCTTAGTTATTCCACCACAAGAAAGACCTTGAAGAATTGGTCACTTTCCATCTGGGAGTGAGGTCGTGCGAGGCCACGGACCGAGTTCGCTGGCTCTTTGGTAGCTATAATGTGTGTATTCTTGAGCGCTTACTATCTGAGGAGCGTGTCCTTATTTGGATACCTCTCCCATACAAACTCGGAAAGTCAAAGAACCCCGTCAACGTAGACGAAAGCTGCGATGTGAAGTTGCAACGTATATCTGGATCTAGGAACATTGTCCAACCGTGCCTATTCCAACGCCGTATGGCTTTGCGTTTCCGGATGTATAAAATGTGCGTTGTCTATAAGATATCAAGAATGTTGCTGACAGCTGTGTAGTTTGTGGAACCATCGTGTCCTTCATTCCTCTCTCGAGTTTGTTGGCAGATTACAATCTATGAGGTTACGGTTCGGGATCGCAACCATATCTATATATCAGCATGAACCGCCCAATCGTCTTACCAAATGGGTACATGTTGATCGGCTATGTGAAGCATGGCCAGATGCTCTCAGATTCCTGGACCACGCACATGAACAACGAAATACTGAGTCAGAATCTATTCAACGACCTGATAAACATCATGGTCTCACTGAGCCAAATCCAACTTCCCCGTATAGGATCCCTGACCCTGAACAATCGCGGGCTGGTTACGTTGACAAATCGACCTCTGCCGCTGGAGCTTCAAACCTTTGAGAACGAGGGAATCCAAACCATCCCCGGAACATCAAGGTATGAGTCGGTGGAGCCCTACCTCCTCGACCTCTTACAATGCCATGATAGCCGCATCTATCATCAGCCAAATTCAACCCGCAATGTCAAAGACAGCCAAGAACAGTTCGCTGCTTTGACCATGATGTGTGGACTCTTGTCTCAGTTCATATCGCGAGAATACCGCCATGGGCCGTCCGGCTGACATCGACGGATCTCCACCCAAGCCAATATATTCGTTAATGAAGACAGGCGCATTATATCCCTCATTGACTTGGAGTGGGCGTGCTCACCTCCAATCGAGCTCCAAACACCCCCTTACTGGCTGTGTGGTCGGCTGGTTGATGGCATCGAGAGAGAACACTTGGAAGTTTTCGAAAGGAGAATCAACGAATTCATCAATCCTTTCGAAGAACAGCACTCCAATCCTGTCCAGGCAGAAATTATGGGTTCGTGCTGGAAAAGGGGAAGTTTCTGGTACGTTCAGGCAGTGAACACGGCGAAAGGGCTCCTGCGGATTTTCACCGAACACATACTATACAGGCATGTACTGCGAGGCCCATTGCACCCAGAGCATACAGTATTCGACCACATTGTTGGTCCATACTGGTGCGTGGGTACGGATAACATCATCCAGACGAAGCTGGAGGATGATGACACGTACAAGGGGCGACTGAGACAGCGGTTTGATAGATGTTAATAGTACTCGCGGAGTATTTGACTGCACTCTAAACTATTGTCGAATAGTCTATAATATAACGTTCCTGCCATATAGTGTCGGACAATCTCCTAACCAAATATTGGAGGAATCCGCCTCCTATACATAGTACACTACTCTAGTACTAACAGCATGTCTCATTTCCATCATCACGCCGATCGCGGTGGAGCAAATCGACCCACCGAGTGAATTCTTCAGCCTGAAATGCCTCGGGAATCGACGGGAATGGCGCCAGAAATCTATGGAACCCGGGGATCCAAGCCACCGTGATGCTTAGGGGGACTCCTGTGGTACGTAGTATTCCAACCATGAAGCAAGTGAACGATACTAGTATCTCTATCTTGCTGTGCTGTTCATACTTACAATAGCTGGTTCATCACCCTCCAGCTCCTCCGTACTCTGCCCTCGGTTAAAGTCTCGGCAAGAAACGCTCGCCGACTGAACATGTTGTCCATTAACAGTCCCCAGAATGAGACATCGATGTAATGTGGGACGCCGTTTGCCATCCGGTTTCCTCGGCCTCCAGAAACCCTCTCCAGAAACCCTCTCCAGAGACCCTCTCGAGATACCGAAATAGGACGGAAGTCCGCCGATGTCTCGCCTTGAGGCCAATTACGGCCGCTACTGTGTCCCCGCCGGGATAAAATTAGTGATGAGGCCTCTGATTTAGCCACTCGTCAAGTCGCTGCCGAGCTGAAGATCATTTGGTTGACTGAGACATGGGGATGTCATGATGGCAAAGCCACAATGACGATGGCTTCTATTGTGCCGGGCAAGGTATAAAAGGCCTGCTGTGGCCTCAGTAGTCTCATCATCATCATCATCATCAACAAGCAAGTCTACTCCATACTACAAAGCAACTTCCTCATCTCAACTTCTCTCCATCCAACCAACTCAAAATGCAGCTCAAGAACTTCCTCCTCGCCACCTCGGCCGTTGCCTCTGCCGCCGCTCTCCCGGCCGCCGAGTCCGCCCAAAGCGAGGCCTTTGGCGTTGTCGCCATCCACTCCGGCAGCGACGTCCAGTACGCCTCCTTCAACGCTGCTAAGAGCAGCATCTTCGCCGGCCTGCCCAACCAGAACGCCTCCTGCGACCGGCCCGACGAGACGTCCGCCACCTTCTACATCGACAACGGCGCCCTGTGGCTGTACTCCAACTCCAACCCTCCTCAGGAGGTCTACGTTGACCGTTCCGGCATGGGTACGCCCCGAGCATACCTATTCCTTCAGAATGCGATGAGTGCAATGGCTAACGTGTCTTAGGCCAAGGCAAGATCGGCTACACCACCGGCGCCCAGCCCGCTCCCAGAAACGGCGAGCGCAAGGGCTGGGCCATCACTGCGGAAAACCACCTTCAGTTCGATGGATCCGATCTGATTGCTTGCCCCAACAGCATTGACGGAGCCTGGAGCATCTGGGCCAACGCGGGCGTCGCCAACCCTGGCGGGAACGAGGGCTGTGTCAGCATTGCTGCTCGTGTTGAGAAGACTAACAAGCCCAACAGCTGCCTCTACACCGAGTAGAGGCTATCTACGGAATAGTGCATAGGTGCTGGGTGATTGGTTGGCAGTGTCTGTGAAGGGTTGTGTATATTATATGCATTGAGACCTCTGTGGTCGCTTCTATCAATTAATAATCTATCTTGATCGTCGCAACATTGGAAATCTGTACACGTAGTATCTAAGACAAGGGATGGACTCACCCAGCGCATTATCGGGGAATTCTGAACGATGGTGCAGGTCCATGCAAAGCACATGGGCGACAAATATCAGGCCGCGAACGACCAACGTGATACCACCCACGCTCTTGACCTAGAACAACCTCGTTCATAATCTGAATTCCGACGTGTCTTACTGGCCGGCGGTCGCAGCGATCAGCGAGATCCCGTCCGGCTCATCCGTTGAGGAAGAATCGAGCCGCCGAAAGGCCTGGAAACGGCCTGGAAGCACCCGTGTGCCACATAGTTATTCTCCGAGGACGCTGCAGTTTGATTGTGATGATCGTTCTGCATCGGATTCCGACGTGAGCCCTGCAGAATCTTAGCCTATGCTTGACCATTTAGTGCGGGCTCCATATGGCCTCTGCCGACCACATGGCGGCTAGCCCGAAGCTGTTTTGTCTATAGAATCTGCACGGCTGCAGACACTGCAGGGTGGGTTGCATTCCACCGGGCCATACCCGTCTACATGGTCTAATCCAGCCGCTCTCACTGGCCGACTGATACCGACAATCAGCAGCCGGACGCTGTTCCAATGGGCCCGGAACCTAATACTCTGATGATCCAGGCAGATCGACAACGGAACGAAACATGGTTGGCAAGGGAGATGTGCTGCCCCGGTGTTTAGTCCGCCCTGCGATGCGACGCTCGGCATCATGGCTATCAGATTGGATGACGACAATACCGGATGGACGAACGTGTAGACCGGTAGAGAAGACTCGGCAAACCGAGTTGACAGCCACTTCCGTCACGATGTATATATACTTGATTCCTACGGTATATCAGAGGTGCAGATACCAGCCGTCTTTTTCTCTTCTTCTTGGTCCGATCCTTATTATAGACAATTTATTACTGACCAGAATGACTGCAAAAGTCTTAGAGTCCGTGGCGTCAGCCCCTCCCAAAGAGGATCCGCCGTACCATATCCTGTCCAAGAAGCAGAAATGGAATCTCGTCGTCTTTGTCTCTATGGCGGGCGCCTTTTCGCCTCTATCGTCGAACATCTACTTTCCCGCGATTGACACGATATCGACCGACCTCGGGGTCAGCGCTACTTTAGTCGCTCTAACCATTACCGTGTACATGGTGGCCCAGGGCATTGCTCCATCTGTCTTTGGCACCTTCTCGGATACCTTCGGCCGCCGCCTCACCTTCACCATCAGCCTGACTATATACACTGTGGCGAACCTGGCCCTTGCGTTTACATCCAGCTACCCTATGTTGATGGTCCTGCGGGGGCTACAGGCGGCCGGGTCGGCGGCGACGATTAGTATCAGTGCCGGAGTCATTGCAGATATAGCGTGTCCGGGAGAACGAGGTGGCTTTATGGGAACAAACGCTGGCGTGCGGTACGTTCCCAATGGCTTCCACTGGCAGCATCGTCACTGATTATAATAGCATGACCGGCCAGGCAATCGGACCGATAATCGGTGGCGCACTGAACAGCGCCTGGGGATTCAGAAGCATATTCTGGCTGTTGTTCAGCATGAGCGTGATCGTCCTCACCGCATTGCTAATCTTCCTGCCCGAGACACAACGCAGTATCGCAGGGAATGGCAGCATCCCTCTATCTGGGTTCCATAAACCACTCGCCTACGTGATCAAACCACCTGCTGCGTGGTCCGAGCCCCAGGACCTGAGCGTGCCTATAAAACCCCGCCAACCAGTGTCCTGGAAGAAAGCATTCGGTCCATTGAAGTACATCCTAGAAAAAGACATCGCCGCCCTGCTTGCCTGGGGCGCCGTCGCCTATACAGCCTGGAGCATGGTAACATCATCTACCACGACAATGCTGCTCCTCGGCTTCCCCTCTCTCACCCACTGGCAAATCGGCCTCTGCTTCCTCCCCAACGGACTGGGCTGTATCTGCGGCTCTCTCGGCACAGGCTGGCTGCTGGACCAGAGCTTCCGTCGCGTGCAAGAGCGGTACAAGGCTGAGCATAGCCTGCCCCAGGATGAAAACATCCCCTACGTGCAGGGCCGGCTGCGCCTGATGCCGTTTTTTAGTATCGCGCTGATCATCGCGCTGGGCCTGTATGGACCGAGCTTTGAATTCAATGACCTGCGAAGGGGGTTTGGGCCCAATCTTGCAGCGCCGCTGGTCCTGCAGTTTATTATTGCCTCCACGGCGACGGCGATTTTCAATATAAATTCGACTGTCTTGATTGACTGCTTCCCGGATCGGCCGGCGAGTGCGACAGCCCTGAATAACTTATGTCGGTGTCTGCTCGGGGCTGCTGGGGTGAGCGCAATCCAGCCGTTGATCGGGGCAGTACGGGCTATGAGGGCGTTCTTTATTGTAACAGGGGCGGTGGTGGCTTTTACGCCACTGATCTGGGTGCAGTGGAAATGGGGAGAGAAGTGGCGGAAGGAGAGGGAGAGCAGACTAGCTGCACAGTAAGAGATCGCTCTGCTCAGGTCTATATCTGCCTAGAGGTGGACATGGCATTCAGAATCCCAGAAGTAGATAGCAGGAGAAGTATAGATGAGAGATAGAGCATTAGACAATGGCATAACATCACGGACAGCGTGCTATGTTCTTCCATCTGTTCGATAATAGGTACTATACAATGAAGACTATACAGTCTCCTTCATACCCAGATACTTATAAAGTCCTGATATTTCCCCCTCCCTGACAAACACTCTCAATCACCGCCAAATCCGCATACGCCTGCCGTGGATCCAGCCTCTCATCCATCCTCCCCGTCTCGACTCCCTCCAGAAACACCCTCACCTCCTCACTGACGCCCCTCCCCTCTATACTCTCCTCGAGCAGCACCTCTCCGTCCCTCCCTTCGAGCACAACCACACTCTCACCCGCCGTCTTCGACGCTTTAACAACAACAGCCCCCTCCTCCCCAACAAACACAAACTCAAACGCCGCCCTCCGCGACGCAAACGAAATACTGACCGACCCAGCCGCCCCATTCGCAAACTCCACGGCCGCATTCACCGTATCCAGCGGCGGCAGAAACGCCCTCATCTGCGCCGTCAGGCTGGCCGTGCGCACGATCTCCAGCCCAGACACATACCGCACCAGCGCGATGAAATGCACCCCGCCGTCGAGCACAAACCCGCCCTGGTACGCGGGGCTCTTGCGCCACGCCGTCTCGAGCCACTTGTTCGCCTGCTCGGCCGGGTCGATGTTCGACCAGACGCGCGCGTGGACGTGGACGATCTTCCCGATGCGGGTGGTGGCGAGGGCGCGCGCGCGTGTGAAGGCGCGGTCGGTGCGGAATTGCTCGGCGATTGCGAAGTGCGTGCCGAGCGGTTTGTGGGTGGTTTCGTAGGCGGTGATTAGGGATGCGGCCGTGGAGAGGTCGCCGGCGATGGGTTTCTCGCATAGGACGTGTTTACCGGCGGCGAGGCAGGCTTGCACGACGCTGGGTTGGGTAGTGATGGGCAGGGCGATGATCACGGTGCTGATGTCGCTGCGGGCGAGGAGGGCGGAGAGGGTGTGTGTGCTGGAGTCGTCGGAGTAGATGGTTATAGCGGTGTCTGGGGAGATGCCGAGGGTTCTGGCGAGGGCGACGAGGGAGTCGGCCGAGGCGCGAGAGCGGGAGTATACTGCGCGCAGGTCGGCTTTGTGTTCGATCAGCGCGGGAAGATGGGCTGGCTTGTTAGTACGGTCATGCCTTTGGTGTAGCGGAGAAGGGGAGGTACCCTCTTTGGCGAAGAGGCCGGCGCCTAAGAGGGCGATTCCAGCCATTGTGACGATGTCGAAGTTGATGTCAGTGTATAGATGCAGTGCGGGGATGGGACGATTATAAATTATAGTACATTTTAGCCTGATAATATACCTGCTCCAGACTAATACCTTTTCTATCACGGAGACTTTGCCGTATCCTTTTTGATACTTCGCGCTATCAGAGGTAAGCATTGGGGTGGGCTTGTATCTTGCCGTTAAATTATCGGAGTTGGGTTTACGTCTTGGTTGAAGACGATGCCTTGTTTCTCGCGAATTCATGCCCTGTATGCGAATTAGAGAGAAATATAGCCCTGTGCTATGGAAACTCACACTCTTGGACCCTCTGGCGGATGATTCCTCGCGCTGGCTTCCAAAAAGCCTTCAATTGTTCGCCTGGAACAGGCTTAGAGAAGTCGACTTCAACAACCTGGAGAGTTCCTTTCTCTTGGTCGAGCTGCTCGGGATCAGAAGTCTCCCTCTGGATATGCCTAAATGCAATGAACTCTCGATCTCGAACACGAACAGCATTCAGCCACTGCAGCTGTTGCTCTTCCCCAAATAAAGCTTTGGATACGACTTTGCCGATGAAGAACCAGAATGGCCAGGGGTTATCAAAGTCGTAGGCGAGGCTTGCACAAGCCTGCATGATTGAGTCTAGTCGTTTATCTGAAAGCCTTTGATATTACCAGTCAGTGAAGAGTCTGAGCATCAGAGTAAGGCTACTTACTGGACGACAACATGGCCGATGTCGACTATCTGGAACGTTCGAAACCGGTCCTCAATAACCAGATCTACTGGAGGGATCAGAGCAGTTATGGCTCTATCATCTGGAAGCGTCTTATCCATGGGTTCTTGCGAGGAGAAACGGTTGATAGTTGACGTAGAAGATACGGTGTATAGTCAAGTCTGTCGACCATCTTGAGAAACAAAGTCTTCACCAGATTGACAGGGATGGACAACATGGCAGCAACGCCCACGTGACTATAGGTTACGTGAACATAGTATAGAGATAGGACCATGGTAGTAGAAAATGTTTTTATAGTATAGACAAGTAGAATCCTCCATATAAGAGATCCTATCGACAGAATATGAGAAAGATATTCATGGTGTAAAGATATTCACCAGGAACTACCTATATATCTCACAGACAGTCAGAAGCACAAAACACCACACCACCAATTAATTCACCATAGACCTCTAACTCACAATCATCTACATCACACGGCCCTTCACCTGTCTCATGCCCTTGACATTGATATCTCTCCACATCAACGTCGACGCCCAAGTAACACTGTACAAACAAGTCGCCGCAATCAGCATCAGCCGCTGCGTCTCGCTGTAGGAGCGGTCGATCGCAATACGCGTCGGCGATCCATCAGGGTAGGACGCCTGCACGGTCATACTGCCATAAATCTTGGCTAGACTGCCCTTCGCATCCGCCGGCAGATACTTCGCCAGCTTCTTCGGGAAGATGCCCGTCCACATGGCGGCCGCGATGGTCGACCCGACCGATGACCCAATGCTGGCGACCATGCCCTCCATCGCGAGGACAGCCGGAATGTGCTGCTGCGACGACGCCGCCATGACGGTCATCTGCTCGCAGATGACGAGGGTGCCACCGCCAAACGCGATGAAGATCTGGCACATGACGATGTAGCCGATGTCGACGCCGGCCTCGCGGAAGTGGATCATCAAGCCGACGCCGAGGATGGTGATGGGCACGCCGAAGCCGAAGGCGTGCCACTTGAGCCGGCCGAACTTCAGCAGAATGAGGCCGAACACGATCGCCCAGAATGACGAGCCGACCGTGTAGATGTTGGTGATGTAGGTAGCATGGGTGACGCTCTGGCGGAAGACCACGATGAGCATCGAGTAGAAGTAGTTGTCCCATACGTACCAGGCGATGTACAGACTGGCCGCCATGGTGTAGGTGAAGAAGACGGTGCGGTCTTTCAGCAGCGACCACGGGATGAAGGTGACGGGCGCGAGGTAGGCCTCATAGAAGCCGAACGCGATGATGAGCAGCCCGCCGAAGATCAGGAAGCAGATGATCAGCGGCGAGCGCCAGGTGTCCGGCTGGTTGGCGTACAAGCTGAAGGACAGCAGGAAGAGGGCCAGCCCGGCGCTCAGGAGGATCAACCCGCCGACATCGAACTCAATGGTGTAGTGTTTGACAGACTGCCAGAAGGTGCGGTTGCTGGGGGTCTTGGGGATCAGGCCCATGCGGTCCGCCTTGACCTGGTTGTGCCAGAAGAGCCAGAACAGCGGCGCCGACACGACGGGCATGACGATGGCCCAGATGCCGAAGCCCCAGCGCATGCCGATGGTCGCGAGGATGCGATCGCACGCCGGGCCGTACGCCCAGACGGTAGCAATGTACGGCGACGAGACGTATCCCAGCCAGAAGGCTCGCCGCTTCAGCGCAGAGGTGTCGGCGATGAAGATGGTCATGGTGAAGTTGATGCCGTTGTATCCGACGTAGTAGAAGACCTGTGCCGCGCAGTACGTCTGCACGTTGTTGCAGCCCGCCATCATGATCAGTCCCAGGGTCATGGAGCCGACCATCAAGGCGAAGCCCTGTGGACGACCCCAGATGTCAATCAGTTTGGCATAGGGCAGCTTGACTAGACCTCCGATGAGGTTGGACAGGATGGACGTCGTGGCTGTGAGGGAATGTTCGTAGAAGGCGCTGGTGACATAAGGGGTGAGAGTCGTGACAACACCTGAAGCAAATGCCATGATGAAGTGGATGACCCAGATGCTATTCCCATTAGCATGGACACCATGTGTTGCCAGTGCAAATCTTACATGATATAGGCGGCGATGAGATGAGACATCGACCACACCTGGGTCATGGCCTGCGCACTCTGCACGCCATGCTGGAACTTGCTGTTGACGATCTCGCTGCCGTCGTCGTCCGTGGCGTTGGCAGTAGGAGCGCCCTTGCGGTCGTCCTCATACTGCAAACCCTCAGCGTCAGTCTGTGTCTGCCGCTCCTCCGTCACAGGCACCTCGTTGGGCTTGAGGTGAGGAACCCTGAATCTCATGGTGAGTGCAGTTGATGCCGAAGGCTCGATTAGGTTGCTTGGAAGGTCTTGGTATTGAGAGACAAGATCCTACCAGCCCAAGGACGACAGCCCGGGACTAAATACTTGGCAGTAAGCACTGAGCAAGGACTATGCGAGAAAAAATCATCTAGTTTGTTTGTTAGACGGAAAAAGTCGCATGGTGAGCATGGGTATCTGTGGACACCACAACGCCATGGGACAAGCCGAACGCCTAGACTCCCGGAACAGAACGACAGCACCATCCTAGCAGAGGCCAATAGACAAGCTAGCAGGGAAGACTCGGACCTGTCTCGACGAAGCGAAGGTGCAGTGGGTCATCCATCCACCACAGTACTCGGTACTCCTACGCCGGACAGTCCATCCGACGCTCGTTAGATTATCTGATGATCTGATAAAATCCACCTGAAATGCCGGCATCGGCTGGCCAAGGCCCTAATCGTCTGAAAACGAGTCTAGCGAGTCATACGAAGGATCTAGTCGAAGCATGGGAGACGAGTCTCCACTCTACGGCCACAACCTGGTGCATTTTCGGCCACGGCCAGCAAGACAAGCGTATTACCGGAGATTGCCTGCTGATATTGACTAACGAATATTGTCTGGCTACCGCTGAACCAGGGAAAAGAAAAAGCAAATCTAATCAATCTAGGAGGGTCTGTTTCAGTTGCCTGCCGTAATCGGCAGCAGGAGGAATCCAGGGATAGGTGGCTGGAACAGCAGATTGGAAGGAAATATGTAGGCCGAATTTATTCAACTGAGACTAATCATCATGATTGATATCTATCATGAACAAAAACTAACAGAAAGAGAGGATGAACAAGAGATGTCTATAGAACCGGCGAATCCACCCGCATCACCAACTGCGAGACCGCCTGCACCATCTCCTCCAAAAGACCCTCAGCCAGTGCCTTCCACGATTCGACCGTAACAATCTCGATGCCCAGCATATCGCCCCGCGGGAAGGCCTGCACCTTGATCTCGCGCAACGGCTCAAAGTGTGGGTACACCGTCTGCATGCGACTGCTTGCCCCCAAGAACGACAGATCCTCGACGTGCTCGACGTCCTGATGAACTACCGTGTCGAACCAGTCCACCGACGCCGGCCAGTCGGTGCACTGAGCGACGATCTCCTTCAGCCCCATGCCCTCAAACCGTGCACTGGCCAGATGCTGTCGCTGCACTGCCAGCAGTAGATCCCGCGCCGTCCACCCGGGCTGGAAAGCCACGCGGACCGGCACATACTGCCAGCAAGGACCGACCACGGAGTCAGCATTGGGGAGGTCAGTATTGCGGCCGCTGACTACCTCGCCGAAGACTACATCTTCTATCGAGAGGCGGCGTGCTAGGCACAGCGCCCAGGCTGCAGTTGGCAGCGTGGCGATGGTGATATCGCGGGGGCGCGTGGCGATGCTCACTTCTTTAAACACGGCGAAGTGCTTGGTTGGATCCGAGGGAGTATCCGGCTGGAGCTTGGTCATGGAGGAACCTTGGAGCAGATCGCGCCAGTAGGGGATACTAGCTGGAATGTTCTCGCGGAGGGTGTGTGCCACAAAAGACGAGAAGGGCAGGCCCATTGGGACGGTACGGTCTTCGTAGAGCGCGGACAGCTGCTTTAGTAGGATCGGAAGGCAGATCTCGTCGTATTGGGCGTGCGAGATACGCAGGATTAGGCTGCTGCAGCCATCGACGTGTTGGACAAAGAAGAACTTGCAGAAGGGCGACCCCAGACGCATCGTAGACTGCACATCGACGCCACAGACCTTTCGGCTGAACTCTTCCAGGTCAGTGTCGACCTCGTATTGAACTATCGGACAAGGATGGTCCTCAATGACAACGCCATAGGACGTATTCGCGTGCTGCACGAACACAGTGCGAAGGATCTCATTGCGGGTCACGAGCTCACGACAGCTATCGAAGAGCTTCTGGCGGTCCACTGCCACGTCCATGTAAAAGATCTCGTAGCGGACGGAGTAGCGTGGCAGCTGCACGGTACCCTGTACGGCGATCTCTTGCAGTGGACGACTGGGATAGACGTCGGTTATTTTCCACGTAGGCTCAGCCAGGGCGGGCCGAATGGCATTCTCGATGAAGGCTTGCACGTCTGAGACGTCGAGTGTGCTGAAGGGCTCGTATAAGGCAGCTGCCACAGGGGCAGTCTGCATTTCCTCCGCATGCTCAGCCATGTCGAACAGCTGGCGGTGATCGAACACGGTCGTGACCGTGAGCTTGAGTCCGTCCATCCGCGCCTCCGAGACCAGCTTCATGGCGCGGATGGAATCTCCGCCCAGGTCGAAGAAGTCATCGCTGAGGACAATCTCGTCTGCCTGAATATCAAGCACCTGTGCCCAGGCATGCTGCAATTTCTTCTGCTTCGGAGTTGCTGGGACTAGACTTTTGTCGTGCGGTTCCTTGCGGCTACGAGCGCCTGCAATACTAGCGATCTGCTCGTCCTTGCGACGTATGATGATTATCTTGCCTTCAGCTGTGTATTTGGCCAGCTGGCTGGTTGAATACACCGGGATATTGCTTTCCAGCCAGCTGGGCGTGGAGACCGGTACATTGTTCGGTGGAGAGGACCACTCTCGCTGGATCAGCAGCTCCCCTACTGCTCCAGACGGCACAAGCCGCTCATGGTCACTTGGATCAACAATCCAGGTCGCTGTGGCATCTGCGTATGTTTCATCTGCAGGCAGACTGGCTGGACCGACGGGGGCCAACTGTTGCTGCTCGGCCAGCAGGTCCGACTCCTTGGTAGCCTCGAAGAGATCCTGGACAGTCTGCGTCGGATTCACCAAAATGCACTGGAAAATGCGATCAAAGTGCCGAAGAGCGCGTTCCAGATGCGGTACGTCGACCGTCTTGGAGTCAAAACTGGCCATGATGAGGAACCCGTTGGGATCGACGGTGAAGACCAGCATCAGCGAGTAAGAGTTGAACTTGAGGGCCTCGCGAGCAGCCTCTGACTCGCTAGTCGGCATGAAGCCGGTAGCAGGATCCCTCGTGAGGTCAACCTTCTGCTCCTCGTCCACAGTCGGGTGGATGACGATGCCAGTGCGCAGCTCGCATGCCTCCCGTGCATCCGAGTTGAGCCGCCGAATATGCTGCAGACCAGTGTGCTCGTGGAGGATCCTGTGGACCATCTGTTCATGGATCTGCTCTAGGTATTCAGCTGCAGTCGCGGACGGATCGATGCGCAGGCGCACGGGGATTGTGGTTATCATTGGGCCTTCGATGCCCTCGACCTCCGCAACAGGGGCATTTCGGCCGGTCAGTGTCTCGCCAAACACCACGTCAGACGTAGCAGTGTACTGCGACGCCAACAACGCCCATGCACCGCGGATAGCCGTGGCGATGCTGGTGGTCGAGCGTGAGCCTGTCTGGGGTAGCCGGACGTAGTGCTCTAGGAGAGAATCGGCGCGCGCCTGATACCCCTTGTAAGGAATGACGGGGAACTGAAGCGCGGTGGCGCCCGCCAGTTGTTCGCTCCAGTAGGCCTCGTTTGCAGCGCGGTCGTTCTGACTGAGCCACTTGATGAAGCTCTTGAAAGGGGATGGGCTTGTGATGGGCTCATTGCGATAGGCACGGTTGACCCGGTCAATGACTAGCGGCATGGACCAGCCGTCGTAAAGCGCATGGTGGATGCTCAGCACGATGTGGTATTTACCTGTGGTTTGGTCATGGACCCAGGCAAGGCGAGCCAGGTCTGTGCCCAAACCCATGATGTTCTGCGTGTCCTTTGCAAGATACTCGCTAAGACTGTGGCTCTCCGTCCAGGGAGTGTTTGTCTTCATCACCACCTGCACGAGGCCTCGACGGGGAACCTGCACGATACGGGTTCGCAGGATGGCACAGTCCTTTGTGACAGTATCAAAGGCCGCGCGCAGTTTCTGCGCAGTTCCGAGGTTTGGTAGCTCGACAACACGCTGTGCAGTGTAGGCATCGGCCACCTTGGCCGACAGCGCCATAAGTGCTTCCTGCAAAGGTGTGCAGGGATACACATCTTCAATGGCAGCTGGGTCCAGAACACACAGAGCAGCACACTCCACACGGGCCACGTCGGCTTCCCACCCTTCTGGGAGCAAAGAGAAGGGCGGGATAACTTGGGAGTCATCGCTGCGGATCTCGGTCATTGTCTCTGCGAGCTTGGCCAGAGTTGGGCAGCGGAAGATGTCTGTGACACGCAATGAGAAGCCTTTCTCTCGCGCAGCAGCCACAAGCTTCATAGCCTTGAGGGAGTCACCACCAAGACTGAAGAACTGGTCCTGCAGTCCAATATCCACGCCCTCGCCGAAAAGCTGGGCCCAGAGCGCGTGGAGCGTCTTCTCCTTGTCCGTGCGAGGAGGCTGCTTCTCGACGTTGGCTACCTTCAGCTCCGCCAGGCGACGACGGGTCAGACCGTTTCCAAGAGCGCGAAGCTGCTTTCGATCAGTTTTGAGCGACACCAGGAGCGGCATCTGGTCGAGCGGAATATATGCTGCGGGGATCATGTAGCGTGGCAAGTCGTCCCCAATGGCTTTGTCCATCCCAGCGATAATCTTCTGATACTCCTTTGAGAAGGACGTTATCTCGCAGGATGTACCTGTCTTTTCGCTTTTCTGCTCCGCGACGAAGACAACGAGGATAGCATCACTCTTCCTCCCGCCGGGGGCAATGACCTCTGCCGCGACGCTGGCTCCGGCCGGCAGGTGATTGCGGATGTGGTGCTCTACCTCCCCCAGCTCAACACGCTGCCCTCGCAATTTAACTTGCTGATCAGCCCGTCCGATGAAGACGACAGCGCCGGAGCCATCAGGGTCATATCGGACAAGATCTCCAGTTTTGTAGAGTCTGCCTTTACGGCCCGAAGACTGGCCATCACCGGCGACGAGCCAGGCTGGATCCTCGATGAAGACGGCCTTCGTCTTCTCCAGCTCATTCAGATACCCATCTCCGACAATGGGACCCTCGACAAGCAACTCTCCCACAACACCAACAGGCACCAGCCGATCATGATCCGCCGGGTCGACTACCCAGCTGCAGCCACCCACGCCCAAGCCGATACTCGTATAGAGCCGGTCCAGGGGGACGTTGTTGTTGATGGTGCATCCGACGGTACACTCGGACGGGCCGTACGCAATGACAATCTTGGTCTTCCGGCCCCAGTCCGCAGCATCACTGGCAGTGATAGCCTCGCCGCCCAGTCCCAGGACCTCCAGCTGCGGCATGATATCTGCATCCAGCACGCGGGCCACGGAGGGTGTCATATGCGCCATGTTGACGTTCATGCTGCGGATCGCACCGCTGAGGTCGTTCACGCGGCTGTCCTCGGAAGGCACGCAGATGCAGCCGGACTTGACCAGGGTACAAAGCATGCAATCGACACTGACGTCGAATGCGTACGAAGGAAAGTCCAGCACGCGGGAGTGCTCGTTGTAGCCGACCGCAGCGGCACGAGGCACAGCACCACTAGTGTAGTTTGAGTGTGAGATGACGACTCCCTTCGGCTTGCCGGTGCTCCCCGACGTGAACTGGATATAGCAGGTGGATGACATGGGGACGGTAGGGAGGGAGCAAGTAGGCGATAAGGGAGCGTCGTCCTCCTGAGCCAGCGCAGGGCCAACAATGATCTGCTTGCCACCAGGAACGATAGTCTGGCCAAGTGCTGTCTGTGCGACGGACGTGATGATGACTTCGGCACCAACCTCTGCTGCAATCGTCTTGAGCCGCCCTTCGGGCTGACTAGGATCCATCAGGACCAGGGCGCCTCCGGCCTTCAAAACAGCCAGCACGCCGACAATCGTCCACATCGACTTTTCAAAGCAGAGTGGGACCGGCTTCCCAATGGGCAATCCTAGCTCCATGAGACGGTAGGCCAGGCGGGTTGAGCGACGCTCCAGCTGATCGTATGTCATCTCGCCGTCCCAAGAGACCACCGCTGGCCGATGAGGCTGGCGGTGCGCGTTCTCGGAGATCATGTCGTGGATACACCGGTTAATGGTGGGTGGTAATTTCCGGTTCCATTTCCAGATATGGGCTAGCTCACGCTGCCCAATGCGCACAGCATCACCGACTGTTTGGTCCAAGGATGTGAGGGAGGTGAGGATATCCGCAAAGATGTCGGGCAAGGCGGGGCCGACTGGTTGTGTGGCTGAGGGAGAACGAGGGATTTGGCGAAGATAGATATGGCTTTTGGACCGCTTGATTTCGAGCTCGAAGGTCCACTATGCAAGGTACCAATATCGTTAATTCTCGATTGCATCCATTGGTCTTATGGCTGTTGGTACTTACATCGGCTGATGGTGCAGCGTTAAGGAAGAACATTGTACCCCCGTCACTATCTGACGTCTTGCGCAAGACCCGTATTCCCTCCAGTGCTGTGTATAACAAATCTGTCTCTGGCTTGATCACATCGGAAAGCGCTCCACCTTGTGTTTCTGCCGTGGATGTATTCTGCAAAGTGGATGTAGCCCATGAAAACCCGCCATCATCGCTCTGTACACTTCCGCGATACAGAAGCAGCACCCATGTCAGAACTAGCAGCTCCTCAACCTCGATTGGTGATCTCATTGAGGAGGGTAGTGCAAGAGGCTCGGACCATTCGTTATGCAGGCCATCAACCTCAGGGATTGTCACCCCCTGGGTGACGTCTGCAGGAATATACTCGCCCATGCCGGCTGTAGATCGAACGGGGTAGCATAGAATGGGACAACAGAAACCTCGGGCCCAGTCGACGAAGCAAATATATCACCAGATAGCATAGACAAAAATTCGACTGGCCTTCGGCTGAGTCCTCCGAATCGGACGTTGGTCACGGAGGGGTCTACGACTAAGCCTGCGAGATTCACTAAATATATTCAACCAGCAGATCTTCGTCCCGCTTGACATTATTATCAGGTGATCAATCATATCAATCAACTGGAGATGGGCTTTGTCTGTGCCGGCATCCACCGAGAGGGGAGCATTCGGCGTATGAAGGATTACTGCTGAGTACGACAACTCTAGCATTTCTTGCCCGTGTCTGCAAAGGCAATTGCAGGCTCCATTCAGATGTATGTTCCTGCTGGGTCCACACAGTGTTTCTGTACTGACGATACGGGTAAGAAATGCATACCAAACGATACCATACAACATTCCTCCACCCCCTCCATGCCATCTTCCTCCACTAACCCAGACGAGGAAGAAGGACTCTTGGCTGCTTTACTACGTTCGCTTAGCAAAGGCCCAGCCGGTGATGGGGACGAAAGGAGAAAAGAAATTCTTCGGATCAGATAACACCCCGAGTCCACTGTGGCTTGCTGCCTGTCTCACTCTGGGTTCTCTCCGACGTCGGCTCCAGCAGCTTTTCCTTCTTCCGTGGAAGTTGTTCGTAAAGCAGTCCGAATTGACAAAACACTGGCCCGGACGTCGGCTAGCTCTAGGCATTGTCCTTGATGGGACCGACTCAGAGAACTATTAGCACATCAGTGTGGCTCCTAGTGGATCTGCAGCGGACTAGAAACTGCAAAGAACATTAATCATGTGTCGTGGAGGGTGACCTTGTTCCTTAGCTTGCTCTGCTCCGTGACTTTTGTTGCTCTCCTCTGTCTGTTTCTCTGACTGCATTCGCAGAGGACATTCAACCATGGCCGCAGCATCACAGGCGTCTGCGGACGCGGCGGCAAAGGACAAGCCCAGTGTGAGTATTCTCAGCCCAGCTCAAATGGTATGGTGTGCTAAAGCCCCATAGGTGATGCGACGGTTCACAACTTTTCTGCGCTTGCTGGTTTATGGCGACCCCAGCAGGTCCGACTTGATATTACTTTGCATCGGTGTTATTTCCTCCATCGCATCCGGTGTGCCATTCCCCATCATGAGCATTGTCTTCGGTCAGCTAGTCGACGACATGAACTCATCCACCTGCAACGCCGACAGCTCCAACGGCAACATGTACCAGGATCAGATCAATAAGAAAGTATTGCTGATCGTGTACATCGGCATTGCGTATCTGGTGCTGATCTACATCTACGTGGTATCCTGGAACCTGACTGGCGAAAGACTGGCCCAGCGCCTGCGCGAGAAGTACTTCCAAGCGCTGCTTCGACAAGATGCAGCCTTCTTCGATAACCTCCCCGCTGGTGAGGCCTCCTCGCGCATCACCGGCGACATCACAACCGTGCAGCAGGGCACGTCCGAGAAAGTCGGGATCGTGATGAACAGTGTGGCCTTCTTTGTCACCGCCTATATCGTTGCTTTCATCAAAGACGCCCGACTGGCGGGCATGCTGGTCTCTCTGACCCCGGCCTACCTGATCATGTCGCTGGTGGGCGGCTACTTTGTGCAAAAGTTCTTCGGTCTGGCGCTGGAGAGCGTGTCGAAAGCATCATCGGTCGCATTGGAAGCTTTCTCAAATACTACGGTGGTACATGCCTTTGGGGCTAATGCCCGTCTGGAAGCCAAGTTTATTGAGATATTGACGCCTGGTCGAATCGCTGGCATCCGGAAGGGTATTGCAACTGCCGCCCAGGCTGGTCTCCTATATTTTATCGCCTTCTCGGCCAATGCACTCGCCTTCTGGCAGGGTTCGGCCAAGATTGCGAATGCGGTCGAGTCTGGTGATGGCGACATGACAGTCGGAGCTACATACACTGTCATATTCATTCTTGTTGATGGTGAGCCGAATGGTCCCAAACAATAGGCACAGCTAACAAGGGTACAGCCTCCCTTATTCTAAGCACGGTGGCCCCTTTCCTACAGAGCTTTTCTGCGGCCACAGTAGCTTTCACTAAGCTGGAGTCTGATATCGAACGGCACGCTACTATCGACGGTACTGCTGACGTCGGCCACGAGCTCACCCAAGTCTCCGGCCATGTCGAGTTCCGCAACGTCTCGTTCAGCTTCCCCTCTCGCCCCGACAAGCCGGTCTTGCAAAACCTCTCTCTGCAGTGTCCACCGGGGCAGCAAACCGCCATCGTCGGGCTCTCTGGTAGCGGCAAGTCGACAGTGGCGGGACTCACAACGCGGTTCTACGACCCAGACGAAGGCAGTGTGCTGCTCGATGGTCATGACCTCAAGGACCTCAATGTGAGGTCGCTCCGCAGCAACATCAGCCTGGTACAGCAGGAACCCTGCTTGCTGGATCGGTCGATCCTGGAGAACATCGCGCTAGGTCTGGTGAACTCGTCCGCTCACGCTCACCTACGCGAGATTCTCAGCGGCACGGCAATGGCGGAGATTGCGGCCGCTGTGCGTGAGGGCAAAGACATGGTGCAGGCGTCATTAGTGTACGGCGACCACGGACGCGAGGTCGTCGAGCTAGTGGAAAATGCAGCACTGTTAGCTGATGCCAATGGGTTCATCGAGAGGCTGAAAGAGGGATTCGGCACGATGGTGGGATCGAGTGGGAACCTGATCAGTGGAGGCCAGAAGCAGCGGATTTCTCTCGCTCGGGCTCTTGTAAAGGACCCTCGGATTCTCATCCTCGACGAAGCTACGGCGTCGTTGGATTCCGCGACGGAGATGCGCATTCAGCAGGCGCTGGAGAACGTGGCTGTTGGCCGCACGCTCATCACCATCGCTCATCGGCTGTCGACGATCAAGAATGCCGACAACATCATCGTCATGCGCCAGGGTAAGCTGGTCGAGCAGGGCACGCATTCCGAACTCATTGCGGCCAATGGTGCCTACGCCGAGCTCGTCCGTCTACAGAATCTCAATGTCAATGCCGAGGCAGAGCCCGATATGCCTTCAACGGCTAGTTCTTCGTCCGACGACAGACAGATCGAACTGGAGAAGTCTCCCATTGCTGCCAAGCTCTCTGCTGTAGACGAAGTCCCTGCGGAGCACGACAGCCATACTCCCGCAGAAGACGAAAAGGCCAAAAAGAAGAAGAAAAAGTCCAAAGATACTGACGCCTTTGCTGTCGATTCACAACGTCCGCTCGGCTCTACATTCAAGTCGCTCGGGTCCATGTTCCGGCCCTACCTATTCACCCTGTTCATCGCCATCATTGCAGCAGTCGTCATCGGCGGCACATACTGCGGTTCGGCCGTCATCTTCGGCAACGTCGTGGGAAAGTTGAGCGGCTGCGAGAAGCCAGACGAGATTCGGCACGCAGGCCACTTCTTCGGACTCATGTTCTTCGTGCTGGCGATCATCGAGTTCTTCGCCAACTTCATTGGTTGGTCGCTCTTTGGCTGGATGGCCGAGAAGGTCATCTACAAAGTGCGCGTGCTGTCGCTGCGGGCTATTCTCGAACAAGACCTGCAGTGGCATGAATCCAACGAGCGGAACCCGTCGATGCTTCTGTCGTTAATCACAAAGGATAGCAATGCTCTCGCCGGTCTGACAGGTTCCGTCGTCTGCACTATCCTCTCCATCCTGGTCAACCTGTTCGCGGCCATCATCATGACGCACATCATCGCCTGGCGCATAGCCATCGTCTGTCTCGCGGTGGTTCCTCTCCTCCTGATCGCCGGCTGGATGCGGGTCACCTCGCTGGCCAGTTTCGAGGAGCGTCACCTGGCAGCCTTCGCCAAGTCCGTTGGAATCACCGTGGAAGCCGTCAACTCTATCAAGACCGTCATGTCGCTCTCTCTCGAGCACGAGGTGCTGGGCACATACCGGCGGTCTCTGCGCGGGCCCATGCGCGAGACGACCAAGCAAAGTGCCTGGGCAAACCTATGGCTCGCCATCGGCTACGGCCTCAGCAACTTCCTCTACGGCCTGGCGTACTGGTGGGGCGCCAAAAACATCATCGCCGGCCGCTACTCGCAGACGCAGTTTTTCATCGTGCAGCTAGCGTTGCTCGTCAGCTCGCAGCTCTGGGGGCAGATGTTTGCGCTTGCGCCTGATGTCTCACGCGCCGTCCAGGCCACGCGTCGCCTCCTGAACCTGCTTGATCTCGGCTCGACGAAGAATCTCTCCGCGCCGATCCGCGCCCAGCACGACGTCGAGGCTACAGCGCCCTCGAGCGAAAAGCCAGCGCTTGACTCCCGGCCGGGTATCAGCGTGTCTTTCAAAAACGTCAAGTTCTCCTACCCAGCGCGTCCCGACACGCAAGTTCTCCACGGGCTGGACCTACATATCCGCCCGGGGCAGTTCGCCGCGCTCGTCGGGCCCAGCGGTGCCGGCAAGTCCACGATCATCTCTCTGGTGGAGCGGTTGTACGCGCCTGATTCCGGCACCGTTGAGGTAGACGGGCGCGACATTTCCCGCGGGGACATCCGTTTTCGTGAGGACATCGCGTACGTGCCGCAGCAGAGCGTCATGTTCGAGGGCACGGTGCGGTTCAACCTCGGACTCGGGGCGCGGCCGGGCCATGCGGCCACGCAGGAGGAGATGGAGGAAGCGTGCAAGCTGGCTAACATCCACGATGTCATTATGCAGCTTCCTGAGGGGTATGACACGCCGTGTGGACCGAATGGGGACCGGCTGTCCGGCGGGCAGAAGCAGCGGCTGGCTATTGCGCGGGCGCTCATCCGCAAGCCGAAGCTGCTTCTCCTGGATGAGTCGACCAGTGCGCTGGATGCCGAGTCAGAGCGGTTGCTGCAGGATGGGCTGGAAAAGGCGACGAAGAACATGACGGTTATTGCGATTGCGCATCGGTTGTATACGATTTGCAAGGCGGATGTGATTTTCCTCATCGAGGAGGGGAGGTGTGTCGAGCAAGGGACGCATGCGGAGTTGATTGATCGGAGTGAGAGCTACCGGGTTAATGCGTTGAACCAGGCGGTTGATGGGTGATATTTGTTATATTTCTTGTCTAATAGACTAGACACGGGTGTTCCTACCTAGGAGATGGCGTTGGTATTACTATTGCATGCATTGAATAGAGGTCATAATATTGCACCATTCTATACCAGCTTCATATCCCAAGCATAAGACCATGAAATGAAACCCTATCTACAGTCAAGAAACGAAAAATCACCTACGCAGTGGGCTCTCCCAGCCGCATCCACTTCCAACAAACTACCACCGTCAGCATCGCAATTTAACCATCAGACGAGGACACTCACTGTTATACCCCAAATCATCATTGAAGAACATATTCCGGACCTCGTCCCCAGACGACAGCCCCGTGGCAGGAAAGTATCCCACAGCCGTGGCACCCAGCGCCAGCGCCATCATGGGTGCCACCTCCATGAGGGACAAAAACTTCGGTTCCGTCTGATACATCTCCTGCATCATCTTCTGATGGATGTTGACCGCTGCATAGTGGCCCTGGTGCATCGCGGCCCCGCCGCGCTTAATGCCCGTCCATTTTGCCAGATCTCCAGCCGCATAGTGGTACTGCGCGTTTGGGATGTTGCCGGCAAACTCGACCGTTGGCGTGATGCGGATGTAGCCCTCGTCATCGACAGACGCAGCAGGGAGATATGACGACGTCGGTGAGAACCGCGACACGGCGTTGATGACATGACCGGCTGTGAGTTCGCGGCCGTCGGATAGTTTGAGGGTATACGTCGTGACAGTCTCGGACTTTCTTGTGATGGTATCCTGGACGCGAGCGCCCATGACCAGTTCGATCTTCGACTCCTGGAGCAGCTCGAGTGTCTTTGCGCTGAATTCGTCGGGGAGGGCCTCGGAAGAGAGCAGCTTGTTGCGGGAGTGCACAAGGGTGACTTTGGTCTGTGGACGGAGCAATTTGATCTCGGCGGCGATTTCGATTCCCACGGCGCCTGCGTCTTCTTAGCACATAGATCTCTCGTACGGCCTATTAAGCAGAGGAAGGACGAGACGTACCTCCACCGATAACAACCACCCCCTGTGTGGCGTTCTCAATGGCCGTCACAGACTCCCGCGTCTCTGCGAGATATTCCTCCCGGGTGACTGACTTTGGCGCGCTGGGCCATTCGCGCTTCAACCCCGACGCCGCAACCATGTAGTCATACTTCACCTGCGAGACCTTGTCTTGCTGGCTGCCAGTACCGCGGACCGTAGCTACCTTCGTTTCGCAGTCGACGGATTCGACACGGCCTTGCATCCAGTTGACATCCGGCGACTGCAGAGCCGGAATGTCTTCGTATTTCTTCCAGAAGGAGCTGGCGTATTCCTGGGAGGCAACGGCGAGAGGCACCCCGATCAGGTGGACTGGCTTGTTAGTTCCCTTGACTGGAGTCACGCATACTTCCGGAAGACATACAGTATCCATCGCGCTCGTCGACAATGGTGATGTGAACGGGCACCTTCTTCCCTGGGCCATTATCGGCTTCGTCCAGGTTGAACCGGCACTTGCGTCCGTGGCAGAGATCAAGCAGGTTCAGGGTCGCTGCAAGACCGGCATACGAGCCGCCCACGACGAGCACCTTGAAGGGCGGTCTTTCTTCCAGACTAGGCATGCTTGTTTCAACGGATGTAGCTATCGACTGAGTGAGGGAAGGCAGATAATCGCAGGTTTCAAGGGGAATGAAGGAGAGGGCACGAGGGGCAGCACACTCGGAAGCAGCGCATCCTGGTCCGCGCTATCAATCAGTACTCCACCTGTCAATAGTTTGGTACGGAGTAGATTGCCTAGAAGTAGAGTAATAATTCAAAGCGGGACCGGCGGGTTTGGCCTTTACGTAAAGTGCGTGGAACTAGGAAGTGGGCTTTAAGTTATCTGATCCGTAAGATTGGGGCTTGGCTGTATCGATGTCGTGTATGGGGAGGAGGAAGAGGAGATTGGAGTCCTCGGACACGTCTCTCTCACATCACTCAATTCCTCAGTACACATCATGGGATTCGTCGTTCTACCTGCTACACTCTCCGACATCCGCTCCGTCTACGATGTCTGGTTCGCCGCGTTCAGGGGCCAGGTCATCTTGGACCTGATATACCCGGGTACCAACCTCGACGACGAAGCCTTCCGCAAGCTGCATGCCGACGGCACCCTAGAATACTGGAAAGGCCTTACGATGGAATACACCTTCAAATGTGTCGACACAGAGACCGGAAAGATTGTCGGCATGGCAACCTGGCAGGTCTACTGGCGCGAACGGACGGCCGAGGAGCGTGTGAAGCCGTGGATTGGATGGTTAGAAGGCCAGCAACGGGAGCGTGCAGAGACGTTCCTGGGACAGCTGTGGGAGAAGAGGGAGAAGTATATCGGGGAAAAGAGACATGTTTGTACGTGCATCTTTGTTCGAAATATCGTTCGTGACAGCTTGCTGACGAGTGTAGACTGCCATACGGTTGCCGTTCACCCCGATTACCAAGGCCGGGGAGTTGGAAAGAAACTGATGCAATGGGGGTTGGATATCGCCGAGCAGCTCAAGGTGCCGATTTATCTGGAGTCGACGCACGAGGGCCGGTCACTGTACGAGCGACTGGGATTTGCGACGCTACAGGAGGGAGTGGTCTTCAAGCCGGAAGTAACACAGTTGAAGGAGGATATTGAGGCGCCGCTGATGGTGAGAATGCCGGCTGCGGCAGGAGGGATGACATTTGAGCAGTGGATGGATGGGGGGTATTCGCGACTGTAGCGAGATTGATGCGTTATGATATGATATAGACAATAGAGTGTTCATCCCAATGAGCCCGCGCTCCCAGTACATCGGCCATTCCTGGAATCTATCCCTCCCGACTACAATAAAACACCATCCACGGCACTATGAATACCTGCAGGTCTTGGTCTGACCTTGACGATACCATACTGTATTCGACCCTGTAACTGACGGAAATGTTTCTTCTGTAAGATACATCGGACATAAGGTAGAGTGGATTGACCTTTAGCCGAGCTTGGCCAACGCCCTATGGAGAATTATTGAGGGATTTATTCTCTGCAAAACAGTAGTCACCAGCCGATAGCCCAGAGCACATGAAAGGAGGGTAGTATCTTACAGGAAGACCGCATCCGTATAGACTAGTCTCTCCGCGAACTGAACTCACCCAGGCTGCAGACACCAGCAGATGATTCTCCATGGCAGCATTTTCCGCCAGCGACGGTGCCTATTCAGCCATGTATTCGGAAGGGCTGGTGTTGATGAAGCTAGGTGTATTCTATACATGCTGCACACATCCACGATAGGCAGTATCCGTGACATCCCACAACTACGTAAGTGGTGTCCACCAAGTAGATTATCAGATTGATAAAATTCTGCCGACAACCTCGCTGGACCGGAATCTCGCATTGCCAAGGGCCAGTGGTCCATGGCGTTGTAGGTGGATCGATGGTCCGATGTGACACAGGGCTCGGCTAACAGGAAATTATGTGGCCCCATGAATCAGAGGTGAAAATTACGCAGGAATCACGGCGGGATTGGATGGTTGTCTCTTTGTTTAATAAGTAAATGAGACACAGAAATCCTTTGCCAAGGGGCGTGGGTCTTGGTGTCTTGGACGTGTTGGGTCTGGCTGAGAACTTCCGCTGACCGGAGGATTCTGGCGGTAGATTATCTTGGTGCGTTATCAGATGAGATTCAGCATTTAGTTCTATTATCAATCTCGGGTAGAGCACCAGGTAGAAGGCAAGGAGTGCGGATATGGAGCTGTCGACGAGACTGCCTCGGACATACCGGAGGAGCATACCCACTGAGGAAGGCAAACCCTGACGGTTTATTCCGACAATAGGGTCGATCTTATCTGATCTCAGCGAACGCCCCACGGATTATCAGATGGCCGAGATTCGGCTAGTCCGGAGTATACGAAGTTCTTGACACACAGGTCGGAAGACCAGGCCATTCAGTAGAATCCAACACCACGAGATTAGCAGACTTTTCCTCGTCGAGATGATCCCAATTAGAGATTCTGATCAATATGGATCTCACCGACTCCGACATCGGGTAGTTGACACCAGCTCCTGTAGAAGTATACAAGTAGCTTATACTTGTGGCGACTCCAACAACCAGACCTTCTCTACGTAAATGCAGTAGAAAGCATAACATTCCAATGCGTTTCCTGGCCATTGCATCTCTCCTATTCGGCCTCTGTGCCGCCGAGTACGACACCTGGCCGTACCAGACCTTCAAGTCCAGTTCCCTCGAACCCCCCAACCTCAAAACCACCAAGTCCGGTCCAACCAGCCCTGGCTATCTCTTCTTCGACCAGTCATGGTCCGCTCACCAGTACGGCGTGTTTATCATGTCCGATGACAACGAGCTCGTCTGGCAGAGCCCCCGCGGCGACCTCCACGACTTCCGCATGCAGACGCTCGACGGCAAACCCGTGTTGACGTTCTGGAACGGACTGGGTGTTCCTGAACCCTTTGGCTGGGGCTACGGCCTTATCCAAATCCTGGACCAGAACTACGAAAGCATCTACAATGTGACCGTCACCGATGACAACTACCAGGCGCTGGGCTCCATCAACAGCACCGGCTTCTACTCGTGGCTCGACATGCACGAAGGCACCATCACTGCTGACGGCACCATGCTAGCCACCGGGTACAACGTCACCCGTGCGGATCTCAGCGCCGTCGGTGGCCCCAGGAACGGCTGGGTTGCCGATTCGCTCTTCTACGAGATTGACATCAAGACCAACGAGATCCTCTACCGCTAGAGTGCCCTAGACCACATAGACGAGATCACCCTGGAGGCTGTGCAGGAGTTCTATCCCATCAAGGACTGGAGGAAGAACTATAGCGCACCCTACGGATACTTCCATATCAACTCGGTCGACAAGTTCGCCGACGGCTCATACCTGATCTCATCTCGTTACTACTCCTCTCTGTTCCGCATCGCCACGGACGGCTCCGTCGACTGGACTCTCCAGGTTCATCTCCTTCTCCACCTTACCATACCCGTACTAATTCATTGCCCAGGGCAAAAACGGCGGCGACTTCACCCTTGCCCCCAATCTCCACTTCACGTACCAGCACGATGCGCGCATCCAGCGCGAAGCCAACGACCACATTCTAATCAGCATCTTCGACAACGACAACTCCGACGTGCACAACGGCACGCACCACACAGAGGGTCTCTACCTCGACGTGAACACGCGCAGTCGGGAAGTCCGCGCCGTACGCCAGCTCGCCGACCCCAACGACGAGATCTACTCCACCTCCCAGGGCAACCTGCAGCACCTGCCCAACGGCCACAGCATCATGGGCTACGGCTCGAACCCAAAGATCAAGGAGTACAGCGCCAACGGCACCTGCGTGCTGACCGCGCAGTTCGGGCCCGATGATGTTGTTTCCTCATACCGCGGGTATCGCTTCCCGTGGGTGGGTACGCCGGGTACTCCTCCGGATGTGGTTGCTTGTCTTGATCGGGTTCAAAATCAGACGAATGTGTATATGAGCTGGAATGGGGCGACGGAGCATCGGGTGTGGAAGGTGTTTGGTGGTGCGCATCGTGATGCCCTGAGACCTGTTGCTGAGGCGCGGAAGACGGGCTTCGAGACGCTGGCTGTGGCTAAAGGGGCGTTGGAGTTTGTGCAGGTTGAGGCGCAGGGTATGGGTATCAGTCCTGGTGTTTCCAGGGTTGTGTCTGTGGAGAGGCAGTGTTAGTTCGAGGGGTTTCTGGGGAGAACATCCATGTACTTATAATATTGCCTTCTGTGGGTTGATGCTGTCTATATAGAATGGAGAATGGGTGTTGTAGCATACTACGAAGCGATATATTTCCACATGCAGGTTGTATTAAGTAGCCCTATGCTTACTGTTCCTCATACTTAGGTCTCTGGCTGTCATCGGTGTTGTGGAACCAAGGGGCCAACGGAAGCCTTGTGTCTTTCAACACGAGAAGAGTCATAAGTAGAACACATGAGAATTCACGATAAAGCACAATAAAAGCTATCTCAGTGTGAATTACATGAAATAGGTATGAGAAAAGTCAAAAAACCCTTCTCTTATAAGTCGGGCTGAAATATATAACCACTCATCCACCACCCACGAATCGACACAGCACAAAAGCTTTCTTTTACCCACAAAGCCAAAAACTCGACCCCATTCCCAATAGTCCCTTAGAAGGCAGGATTGGCGTTTTTCAGGAGCTGCTCAAAGTATGCCTGCACGACGTTAGTCACCCTCCCCTCCGTAATCAACTTCCAATACACAGAGAACTCACCTGGAACCAAGTTCCAGCCTCAGGAGCAGGTTGGAGCGCATCACTATATCCGCAGTGCGCATCATACCGCGCAGAACTGGAGTCAGAGGTACCATCGCTCTCGCCGCCCGGCTTAACCCAGACAAACGCGTCCACCAGCGAGTTGCCAGTGTTGGTGGTAGGCCGGACACCGAAACCAGTTCCGATGACATTGCACCAGTCACCCCAAGCGTTTTGCTTAGTGGGCTGCACACCGTTGCGACCTGCGCCCGTTAGAACCATTGTCCGACCAACTGGGGACACAATACGCACCAGTATCAACAATAAAGTGGGCATCCCAGCCTTGATCCTTCAGAAGGGGTGCAATTGCGTTGATGTAGCGGTTCTCATCGCAGTTGGCATCGCCGGACGTGTACGACGGGCAGGTGCTTATGCTGAAGGCATTGTAGTTGGCGACGTTGGTCGCGAGGCCGCGCAGCGCGGCGGGAGCGCCGGCGTCCTTGTATACTCCGGCGAAGAGTTGGGCGGCAGGGCCGATGTTGGCGGGCCATCCAAGCCAGCCCGCGTGTCCTGTGAATGTGAGCAAGAAGTAGGCAGGATACTAGGTGGTATGCATACCGGCATCGATATACATGGCGACATTGGGCAAGTTCAGCTGGATGAGCGCATAATTGACACACTCCAGATAGGCGCTCTGGGCGTTGGCGCATTTGGCCACGTTCAGGTTGGTGACCAGATTGGCCAAGCTGTCGGGTTCTGGCGGAGGTGAGTATGGACAATGAATGAACAATCATAGCAACAAACGTACCGATGACGAGAATGGTGTGGACATCGGGGTAGTTCAGCAACTGGGCCCGGATGGCATCAATGTATTTCTTGTAGTTAGCAACACCGCCGTTCGCAATTGAGTACTCGCCATTGCTAGCCAGAGCAGCGCAGTCACGGTCGGGGAGATCGTAGACAACGAATTGGGCAGCGATGGGTGGGTTGGCACCGGCAGCATTCTTGGCCTTGATGTCTGCCAGGTAGGTGCCCATGGTAGGCACTTTGGCGGCAGTGTCCCTGTTGTGGTCAGATAGAAAAGAGAGACGTCAGTGGAGGTTACGTACAGCCAGGTGAACGACGGGACTTTGGCTGCCGCGCTGGCCGCTGGCAAGAGCGAGCTAGCGAGGGAGGGCATGGCCAGGGTGTGCACCTCTGAGGAATAGTAAGGGTTGGCATAGAGTTGATATCCGCTGAAGGGATTGCCAGACGGCGCAGAGGTGATGGTGGTGGAGGAGCCGGAGGTCGTGGTGGTTCCGGTTGACTTTGTCGTAGTGGTAGAGCCTGTAGAGGAGCTCTTCGATGTCGTGGAAGTTGTCGTAGTGGTAACCCTGGTAGTCGTGGTTAGGGTAGTCGAAGTGGTCGCAGTCCCAGGAAGGCATTGCGCATAGTCTATACGGTCAGGAGTCGGTTGAGCCATGAAGGGTCATGGACCATACAAGGATTCTGCGTGCTACACGCAGCGCCAGCGACACAATTTGTTGGGCCTGTCCACCCAATGCCACCGCCTGCATCCAGTCAGCATTGGTGTATACTTGTTAGAATGATTCAGCGTACATTGACCCCAAAGGGTTTGCTGGGCCTGCACAGCAGGGAGTAGAAGAGCAAGCGCAAGGGAAGAAACCCGTCCCATTGTTGATGACTGTTGTGTTTCTGAATGGCATACCAATGCTAGATCCACGAGGTTTATATATGTTTCTCACTACGAATGCGGAGAATACGGCCGAGCTGCCGGCATCGTGTACAGAAGGTAACATGTCGCAGGAACAAGAGGCCGTGAAGAATGCAGTTTAGCTCAAGCCACATCTCGTTGCAAAGTACCGTGCCTGGAAGGTTCCGTGTCTCCCAGGGACACATCTCAACACCGACTATATTACACGGACCTTGATCCGACGAAACCCTATTCAACCATCCACTCAGTTGGCCAAGTGATATTGACCAAAAGAGCAGTGGCTTGACGTGTGACACGCCTCTTTGTATTTAGCGGCCGCTGATTCGCACCAGACGAAACCCTTATTTTATCCGGCAGTTAGCATGCCCCGGTGGCGTTCATGCAATCCCACGGAGGCTGTCAGGGGAAATAGCAATAACATTGCCCGAGAACCACCCAGAATTGTCAGGGAGGACACATAGGGGCCGATGAGTTGCAAAATCCATGTGAGAATCGTTGTATCGATCGTCCAAGAGCATCGGCCGTCTATGACGATCCCATGGCTCATTCATTCATATCCAATCGGTAACTGTTGCAGCGAGCGTGGCAAGAGCTTAATTAATCTAATTTCCCCGCCTCCGCATCGGCATCTGTTTCTTCAGGGTTCCATCCTGAGCCGTGGCTGTTCTCGTCACGGCTGATTGAGTCCGGCATGCGGTTTGACGGGCCGTCCAGCCATAATCCAGATAGGACAAGGGGAGACGATTATACGATCCAGTGTCTTGACTGAATACCCAATACCCACAAGAGAATTACAAAAACAAATCTTCAAGAGAGTCTGGCGATAATGTCGAGACTAGTTGCAGCTTGTCGACTGGTACATTTAGAAAGTGGCGGATAATCAAAAAGGCCCTACTAATATAGCCTGAATTACAAGATCTCCCGGCACGCAGACTAGGTAGATTATAGGACGTTCCGTCCTCGACCCAGTGAGAGAGTCCCAGTAAGGAGACAATGTACAGAGGCCGCAGCTAATCATCCATATACGGTTTGTGAATGTTCGGAATCTGTCCCTAGAGATATGAAGACTGTTCATCGCTACTATGTCCCCTTCGTATATGTTACAAGCAAGTCAGACTGATAACCACCAATTGGACTTACAAGTGCTCGATTCTGTGTTATTCTGTTTGTTTCCATCGATTCCCTGCCCATAAATCACAGGTTCACCACTACACCCAGATCAAACGTGAGATTTGACTTAGGATTGATTGGTGTCGGCCACTCGTAGCAGGAGAGTATGCTTTCGCCAGGAGCAGAAATAGCTAATCAAGTGTCATACAGCTGCTGTCTGGGTCGGCACCACGGGCTCTTGTAAGCCCCATTCACCGTTCCCGATCCGCTGGCCGCAGTACTTGACCAGAATTCCCACTGTAGCAGGTCCAATGATCGTATTCAGCAGAATTGCCCAGACACCGGTGATGAGGCCCTCCTCGCTGACGTAGGATGTCTCGTTGTATCCAATCTCAATGATCAACAGTCCAATTTCACCCCGCGCTACCATGGCAGCACCCAGCAACAATGCAGAGAGCCAGATAGTCCGGTGGTCTTTCCGTTTATCCTCGACGTCCTGGGCTGTAGGGTGCTCCTCGCGGGCCTCGCTCTTCTCCCCACGGTGTGAGTGTTTTTTCCCAAATAGCGAAGAAACTGGACTCCAAGTCCACAGCGGCAGCCATATACCGACGATGAACTGGTCTGAGTTAGTGGTGAATGCAATTGGGAAACACGATCGGAACAAGAATACCTTGGCGAAGCCCATAAGCAGCGTGAATACGATACCTCTCCATATTCTTTTACCCGTCCAGAGCTGCACGAATGGGATGGCGAATCCGATACTCGCGAAGAACAACGGCTCCATCAGATACTTCTGCACGTCCATAAGGTACCGTTCGAAGGTATGGACGAATGTAGGGCTCTTGTCCGCGAACCGTTCACCTTCCTCGCGGCTCATGACGACGAATGGACCCTCTGGATGCTTGCTGGGTATGTAGGTTAGGAATGTTCCTGCCAAGAAAGCACCAAAGAGAACCGAGGTCCCAGTGTATGCAGCAATCGTAATGAATGCAGACAAGGACAAAGTCATCAGAATGATGTTGGAAATGTGGTCGTATCGCGCAAAGTGGTGCTCGATGAAGCGTCGGAAGATCGGGGCGAAGAGATATTTCGTCACAACTGGAGTGACAATCGCCATGCCAATGGAGGCCACGATAGGACGTCCAATGAGCCAGCCCAGGTTCACGTCCTGACCTCCTTCGATTTGACCCAGGTTCCCGATGACGCTGCGCCTAATTAGTTGTCTGGTGGAAACGGTGTGGTTTTGGGTGTACAAACCTTGCCATGACGAGGCCGACTACATCGTCAATCACGGCGGCACTGACCAGCACAGAGCCTACCCGTGTTTGTGCGAGATCTACGGTACTGGAAGCGGAAGAAATGACAGCGAAGGTTGTACCTAAGATGCATTGTATTAGCTAAACGACAGAGCGGAAATATCTAACAGTCTGAACGAGCTCTTACCTAGAGACGTTGCCGACAGGGCTGCGCCGATGATAAACGTTTCGACGGCACCTAGGCGGTCAGTGTGATGAACATCCATGGACAGGTCCAGACATACCATATCCGAATCCAAGATAAAGAAGCAGATAGGAGAGGCCAATGGGCATGCAAACTCCTGTCGCGGCGCCGAGCATGCTAAGCATCAAGTTGGCCTTGAGAAGATCGATCCGAGCGCTAAGGCCGCCTAACCACAATGAATATCATTCCAGGGCCGTCTTATTATCGTATCAACATACCTTCGAAGATGATCAAGATCAAACCAACATAGCCCAAAGATAGGAAAGTCTTCTGCCAATCCGCCTCCAGAATATCGGCGAGCGGTTTCCCATATATTATGCCAACCGCAATGTGGCCGATAATTCCGGCGCGGATGATCTTGGCTGACGCCCATTCAGCCAAGGAGAGAATGAAGAAGAAGGAGATGATGATTAGGATTTCCACAACTGTCGATATGATATCAGTAAAGAGGTCATTCGCGGAATGGCTTGGCTGGCGGCATACTTCCTGGCTCGTGGTATGGTAAAAAGCTACCCGCCATGACACGTCAATTGTATGCTTTAAGCTCTAGGAAATCGGATATGAAGAATTGACAGACGACAGAACAGAGGTGATTCTTTTGCACCCGCCGTAAGAATCTGCTGGAATGCCGAGCACAATCCACCCTTGGCAGTCTAGGCAGTCTCCCTTGGCATAGCGGGTATCTGACGTCCGCCTAGACATCCTGCGTGGTGGGCTTCAGGTCCGCCGCCAAGAGGGCGGCGATGATCAACACTGAAGGCACATTGTTCTCAATATCGATTCTCGCAGAAGAGCTACCTAACACACATGATACTGGGTCTCAATGGTCACCGGGCGTAAAATGGCTGCTCGGAAACAGTCATTCGGTGTCAGATATATTCGAGATGGTGAGCAGCGCTCCATGGGTTCGTTCCTGCCAAGTACGAAGATGAAACTTCTGCTATATTGAAAAGGAAGAACGAAGCAAAACATGATATGACTGAAGGCAGGCACGTGTCTTCGATAAGCATGCTAGGCTGTCGTTTCTGTCCTCTATGGAGACAGCTTGATGGTTCGAGCATCATGATCAGGAGCCATGGTTAAACGATTCTGAAGAAACAAAAAAGGCCCAAGATTGCCGTAATACGTCTATAGGAACCACTTCCATCTTGACGGCTCTTTCTGGACAGAGGGCCGTTAGGTACAGCCCCTATCGTACTTCAATAGTGTTTCAGATCTCGCAGAAGTTTATCAATTGATCGGCGTCAGTCTATCATAGAATGTCAAGTTTACATCCGACAACATCATCAAAGGCCTTCATACTATCACTTGAATTGGCTTACACGTTGGTATAGCTTCCCATCGGTGATGTTGGTATCTTCCACGCCCGGAACCGAGCGGACAGCAGTTGTATGATTCATGATGGGCAATTCTCAGCAGTCAAAGCATGCCAGTCAGTTGATGTGCCTGATCGACGTCTTACACAACACCAGGAGGACATTCGTCAGCACTTTTTACCTAATTAGGCCAACAGAAGACCGTCAATGGGGCGGACGTAATCTCACCTATCAGGGATATCCAGTTTACAAGAACCACCTGACAGATTATTAGAGCAGCACCATGGCGTAGAAAGCACATGCGGTATTTCTGGTTATGGCGGATAGCATAGCTCCATGAGAGCCAGGACCATGATGATTCAACGTACTATAGTTACAGTCGTCTACCCGGAATAGCTTAGCTAGCACCTGCTGTGGGGGCGATGGAACATGCTCGCCCGAACCGAAGCTATTAATTCACATACGTGTGAGATATCACAACAAAAGTACGGCGGTCAATTCACCTAGGCCTCGCTGCCTAGCCTCTGAAGCATATCTGCAAAACGCTTTGCCCAATCTCTATCCTACTCCTCCGCGTCAAATGGCCTTAACTCCGAGCGCCTGTCTAGGCTGCTGCGTAGTTCCACCTGTTCCGCACCCACGCATGGGCCCTGGGCCTCTAGCTCAGCCGTCCGGCTGTGCTGCAGGTGTCTCCACCGATGTACTTTTGTGTGCTTCATAAACCTGAGTCGTGGCGCCTAATTCTTCAATAAGAGCCGCTACTTGGTCAAGTTGATCGATCTCATCCGAATTCATCCGGCGCTTATTTAATCGCCGGTAGGCCAAAGTTGGGCGGCGCTCAGCAAATAGATTCTTGCTCGCTTTTAGCTGCTGAAGCACCTTGGAAAGGAATCTATGATCACTGAGACCATTGGGACCAGGGCCGAACACCAGAATGCAAAATTTTGGACCATAGAGCCTGATGAATAAGGCACCTGGAGCCATCTCATCGGATGATATTTTGCGCCCAGGCCAAGCCCAGTGAAATGTCGAGTAATGTCTTGAGGTCCGGGGGTGCATGTCGTACGCAACAAGCTTCTCAGATTCCCTGCTTGCAGGGTGACTATAATCAGCTTGGTCTCTCTTACCAGGAAACGCCATATGGGTCCAAAAGTGCAGGCCCCATTTTGAAGAAAAGAGCGGGTCAACGGTGGTGGCGATGTAGTATACTTCAGGATAAAGAAGCTGGCTGACTAAATGGCTGGTTCCGGGTGCCCATAGATGACGCACTATATCCTGGGGCACCAGACAGACGGATTCAAGTGGGTATGAGCCGAGATCCCGTCCAGCCTTCTCGAAAACGAGCTTTGAGGCGGTCAGACAGACAATTTCCCTAACAACTGTGCCGGAGGATCGGTCCAGGTGACAGTTGTAGAGCAAGCATGCAGCGAATCTGGAGTCCTTTTCTGATTCGATCAATGTAGCAGTGTTCGTCCATCGTTGCTCAAGCGAATTCAGTGATTTGACGTCCCATATTTTAGCATATGTCAATAGTCCTCGCAGTCCCATTCCCGCGCTATTTCCACTACTATCCAAGATTATTCCAACCATACACTTCTCGATGAAGAATCTTAGGTGGGAATCATCTTCAGGTATACGAACGTGTCGAAATCGACGCAGCTCGAGGTTCAGGTGGCTGACCATACACTTTTCATTGAGAGCTAGCCACATAGGCGGGCCACGTCGCTGACGTCGCAAAAATATTTCCTCCCCTGAGCGTTCGTTCTGGTCTGATCGCGACCATCTTTCGGAGACTACCGAAGTGCTTGAGCTATCGGATGTCGCATCGTCATCCTCCATAGTTCGCCCCCTGAATAGATTCCCAGGCTGGGTGTTCGTACTTCCGAATAGACTTCCGGGAGTCGGACTGGCTCTGATCTCCACATTGTCTTCCAGGGGTGGCTGTGGCACTCTTTCCTGAGCGTTTATTTCCCGGTGACTTGTGTGTCGCACGTCGCCGGTGTCTGAGACTGCAATGCTTGATCTGTTCCTCACAGCAAGGGTTACATGGCTGATTTGAGTCACCATTGAGTCCCCGAGGCTGGATATTGGGCTCTCATCGGATAAGCAATGAAGGACATTTGCTCTATACACATCGCGAGCCCAGTCCGCGATGTAGTCAACGATGTAAAGAAGTTGCGCAGCATCCTCAGGTAAGGTGACCATTCCTTTCCAGAGGTGGAACACCCGCTACTCACGCACAGTCAAACGATATATCCCCGGTCACTTAAGAGCTAACGGCACTTACAAATCGTTGCCCGTCGGTCACGCATGCATAGACCCTCCAATCTTCACCCTGGTTTCCCATAAACCAAACCAGCGGATTCACTCCAGCTCTGGAATCGGCTCCGGTAAATAGATGTTGTTGCAGTCTCAACATAGTTCTAATCGGAAACGCAGTTTGACGCTCGATGGAAGAGAACCCTGGGCCTCCTTGTTCTGACTTCCACTCGACGACAAGAAAAGGGTAAAGTACTGTCTCGTTGCCGAATGGACTGGTCCACAATCCATCTCCGTGCCGTTCAAGTAACGAGTCAAACACGCCCGTTCTTCGTAGTCCATATACACCGTCTGGTTTTCGTGTACAGTATTGCTTGACTTCGATATCATCAGAAGGGTGATAAGTGAATGGCATATCATAGACCACTTGGAATACGTTGTCTGGATGATGGTTGTTTTCCTCGTGTAGGCGACTGCGTCGATCACCATTAGCATCACACTGATAGGATCCTGGCACAATCTGATGTGCGCGTCTCACATGAATGCGCTAGCCAGTTCTTTCTCACTACAGAGACATGGCGTTCTTTTCGCCTGTCGGATTTTGAGTCGGTCGCGAAGGACCGGGTCCGCATGGAGCGCTTGGAAACTCGACATCCAGCGTCGGTTACCGCAGCGTAAGCTATTAGAGTCAGAATTGTCTAGGGAAGGCACGGCCGACGGATATATCTCACAAGCGCGCGTCTTTATCGAAAGTGTTGAAGATTTTGGACATCAAATTGACCTTCCAGGTTTCCTCGTTTGACCATAGCGCACGACACTCGTTTGCTGACATGCTCAAGGTCAAGGCATCCACAACACGTTGTTGTGTCAGTCGATGTTCGTCGCTGTCTGGAGAATTGGATAGAGACTCCTTGAGCTCGTCAAACCTCAAGTTTTTCATATTCCAGACGACCTCAAAAGTATCTTTATGTTGTTTTGGCCATTGGCTGGGAAGGGCTGGGCCCTCAAACTTCAACCCGTACTTTTTGGTCAGCTCCAGGAAGTCCGGAACGGTTTTGGCATTTTTGGGAGGCATGGCAGGTGACTGTTCTCGTGAATGGAATTGTGTTCTAGTTCAGTGTGATGGTCTGTCTCTCTCCCTTCTGTGTACAGACAGATAATTGCGAGGGAGTGCAGCAGTGTTGGGTGTGTTCTCCGGGGGGGCGATGGTCGGAAACAAACAGTCGTGCAACCCGCGCTAATTTAGTGCGCTGCTGCATCTGCGGCGTGTGCTATTATGCCGCATTATTACATCTCACGCATCATTGGGTGGTGAGATGGTCATTCTGGTGGACACGGCGCTTCCTGATCTCTGCCCTGGCCAAAGACAGCCACCGGCAAGGACAAGGACATCTGGTGCTCGCCACATGGCGATACACGCAGAGTCCTAGGTAGGCCCTCGAAGCGAAGCGCGAGGTGCGAAAGGAGAGGCTTCTTAGCAAGATGTGGCTGGAAGTCGAGCTTTCAATGTGCAGGCTTGTGGCGCTTAGGTAGGCGTGGGCGCACTATCGTGATCGCGAGGAGATACTAGGTATATATCGAGGGTGATACCAACAGGCTCACGCCTGGAGATTCAGCAACGTGAGACCTTCCCCTGCTAGGTCTTTGCTGCTACTACCAAGAGGTGTTCCCCTGTCTAGGGAGTAGACAAGAGCCATCTCGTCAACAAATGTACAGCCAGGATTGACTGGTCGCCAGCCAACTATCAACTGTGTGGGAGGAGGCAGAAAGAAGCCGAGGCCGCTTTTGGTAGCGTGGCTGTGGGTGGTTTAGGGTGAGTGCACAATATGTGGGATTAGCATTTCTTTAGATGGCTGACGAGTCTATAACTGAGGTCCAGAACTCTTGGCAAAGTGCACAGCCATGCTGAATATTCCAGGCAGCAGTGAGTGGCTAACTGGGCAATCTTTGTGTGAATTCTGGATTCTATCTCTCTCCACAGTATAGACCCGAATGATCTATGTAGCCATAGATTTGTAGTTGCTCCGTAATAGCTGGAGAGAGGCGTCTAAATCCAACGTAGCAAAAACGATCCGAACATTTCGACACTCGATTAGTTCATAAGGTAGACTCGGTCTCTACAGCTGTAGACCCTAAGGAAGTGGCTCTGACAGCACAGCCCGTGGCTTAGACGCCACTTCAAGGCACTGCAGAAGATATTGAAGAATTGAGTTACTCCCGTTGGCTTAAAATCCGAGGAAATATTGTGCTGACCAGCCAACTATCCACGGGTGGGAATGACGAATACGAGGTGCGATTCTTATAAGTCCTGCGAGTTCTCTTGGTGAGCGAGTGCACCAATTTACCTCTTACCAGATCATTGAATAAAGATGGATATCTTCAACAGAAACCCGCAGCCGGTCTGCACATTGGCCTTTGACAACACCGGCCAAAATCTGTGCCGCGTCGACCCAAGTGGACATCACATTCCCATCTTCAAGGTGCACTTTCAAAAGAATGAACCGCATCTGATCGTCTCTCGCCTGCCTTCTCCGGGGATGTGGAGCACTGCCCCGTTCCCCGTCGGAACGAGCCGCTTACACAAATCGCCGTCGAGTAAAATCGACGTTTCGGTTCATGGCCATGAATTCCTGCTCAAGCGAGACCTGCTCAAGAGCGACAACCACCACTTTGATTTTCCGTCTCTTGGCCACTTCAAGTGGAAGCCTGATGGATGGGGCGGGAGCAGCCTGAAGCTGTACGACAATCAACAGCGATTGATTGCGAAGTGCAAGGGAAAAACTCCCCAAAGCGGCCGAATTGAGATATTTGTTCAGGGGAGCGAGGGGCTGCTGGATCTAGTAGCGGTGACAGGGTTGGCGATGCAGTTGTTCACCATGAGAGAGAACAAGGAGGATGACATGTTTTTTGATGCTTTGGACCAAGTAGGCAGCGCGTTGGGCGGGTGATTATACGGCGTGTGTTTAGTCTGTTCATCCATGTATCTATAGCCGTGAAGGGTACTGTATCAGGATATGAGGCTCCATCCACCCTCAACGACAGACTCTGCTTCAGCTCGTATCCGCACAGCGAATTCCGTCTCTCTGCCTAGCGAAAGCTTGTGACGGACGGATTAAACAGCCGATGCTCGGTGGGTCGTTGGCACTAAGCAGAACGCTAGATAACTGGTCTGTTGGCCTCCAGTCCGTCCAGCACTGCTGCTGAACACACACCCCTTTTCGCCCCAGGATTCGCTCGACCCGCTTGACATGCACGCAATACCGTCGTCTTCACAACGACGCCGGAAGTTCACCAGACGATCCGCGACAGGATGCCGGACTTGCCGGTAAGCACAGTCGAATCGCATCCTTCGCACGGACAATCGATCGATCATCTTCGGCTAATCTCCGCACAGCGCTAGGCACATCAAGTGCGATGAAGAAACCCCATCCTGTAGGAACTGCACATCCACCGGGCGCCAGTGTGACGGCTACGATCTGTCGAGGTTGCCTGCCATAAAGCGAAAGACTCTGCCAATTCCACAGCTGTCAAGTCTGGGGGTGCGACTGGCGTGGGTGCCTACGTCCGCCGAGAGGCGCTGCTTCTCCTACTTCCAGCACCATTCCATTCCGAACCTCGTGGCCTTTTTCGACTCGCAGCTATGGCAGCAGCTAGCGCTGCAAATCAGCCATGCTGACCCTGCGGTCTACCATGCGGCCAACATGTTGGGCGCGTTGCATGAGGACTCGGAAGAGAACCACATGCGCCTGTTGGGAGAGGATCTGGATCGCCCGCGCCACCAGTTCGCTGTTGAGCAGGCTGCACGGTCGTACGCTCTTCTAAACAGACGTCGTGCGTCGCAGGATCCTCAGTTGCGCAAGGTGGTGCTGCTGTGTTGTCTGATCTTCGTGCTGTCTGAGCTGTTGCTGGGGAGGTATGACAGTGCCCTGCAACACCTGCGCAGCGGCCTACGCATTCTCAAGGAGATGCAAGGGTCTGAACGGCTATCAATTGACCCTTGTATCGTCCAGACGTTTCAACGCTTAGACATCCAATCGTCGCACTTTGGTCCCGGCGCTCCCTTTCTCTTCGCTGGCGATGGGCTGGAGGAGTTATCGGACGGGGACTTTGTCACTGTCCTGCGGGACTTGCACGAAGTAAGACACCGGCTGAATCTCCTCATGAACGCAGGTGCGTCGTTTATCGCCAAGTGCTGGTTGATGACCCCAGCCGAGATCCAAGCACAGTACGGGGTGCTCTGCCAGCAACAACAGCGCATCATTTCCTTGTACCATCGATTCCGCCACCAATTCGACATATTCCATCGCCAGAATTTTCACCGCGTGAGATACAAGGAGCAGCGTGGAATGGAGATCGTCCGACTACAGTTTATGAGCCAGCTGGTGACCATCAAAACCTGTCTGGTCCGAGAACCGATCCCGGATAACCTGACGCCAGAATTTGTCGCCCTGTTGTCAGCCCATGAGGCCTTTCTGGCCAAGTTCCCAGAGCGCCCGACACTTACGATGGACTACGGTATTATCCCGGGCCTTTATACGGTGGCCATCAGGTGCCCACGCCCTCACATTCGCCTCAGGGCCATCAACGCCTTGAGGTCCTGGCCGCACTACGAGGCAATCGTGAATTCAAACATTAGCGCCGCTGTCGCCCAGGAGGCTCTCAAGGCCGACTTGAAAGATCGACGTGATATCGCTCCAACCGGAGTTGCGGATGAAGAGTTGACTCGGTTTTTCAACCACACGTTGGTGTCCACTCCGGACATCCTAAACTGGTCGCCCATTCGCACCATTACAGTACTGCAAGGTCGGCAGAAGCCAAAGCATGAAGATCGTGGAAAGTGATCCGATGGACTGTTTGTTTGCGACCATCAGTGTGGTTGCTGTTCTGGATAGTACCATGGCCGTCACCGCTCCAATAACTTGCCCTGCCTGGAACCGTCGCATGGTGCTGTAACATCCAGTACCGGGCCACTGATTGATCAGTCTGGTGTCAAAATTCATGGACGATCCCGAAGGTCCGAGCCGTTGACAGTCAATGACAATGGGCTCCTAGCGTTTGCACGCGCATAGAGATTGCCTCTTCTCCTCGTCACTATGGCCTTGTGCTTGGCTTGCGATCTGGTCGCGTAAGGAGTGATATCTTGCGGGCAACGAAAATTGATCATACTGAAGCCATGCCAGAGGCTTGTTGGGTCTGGGGATTGCAGCGTAAGACCCAGCTTTGGAGAGTGTGTCATCGGAAGAAAGCACCAGCTCGCCCGGGAAGATTTGATTATAGATCAAACAATATGGGGAAACAAGTCCACAGTGATGTCCTCATATTCATATATGTCATGCATGCGCAGACAATAGGCCCCTGAGACATGTTGGCGGGTGACGGGTTATATCGTCGAAGGATCACACGCGCTTGCCAATACGAAGAAGATATCTTCACGAGAGCCCATTGCCCTCAATTATGTAGTAATTGAGAGTAGGCACTAAGCTATTTAGCCGAAGAAGCAGCCTTCTAGGGCCCACCTGGATTCAAGCAAGATATGTGCCGTGCTGTTAAGATGCTTTGGCCATCATCCAACTGCATCAGGAGGCCAGCACGAACGAGTACGAGCTTGCAAGCTCCTACCTATGCTACCGGTAGGTAGAACCATTGGAAGCTGATAAAGGGACGGCGACAGTTGTTGAGGCAGACAGGTATATTGCTATAGGAAAGCATAGCTCCTATGGTACACATAATGGCCGTAAACAAAAGTCATGCCCTCCACATAGATCGACAATTCCAATCAGCCAACCCCAACCAAACCATTTACTGGATCGCAATATCCGCACAAGACAAGTAGATCTGCGGAGTCTGGTACGAGTTCCACTTGAACGACAACAAGGTATGCTTGGAGGTGTAGTCCGGAAGCTTGACCTTCTTGGTCACAGTGTAACCCCCAGCGATAGAAGTATAGCAGGAGTTCAACTCCGCATTATCCACGCCCTGACACTTGGTATCGTCGAACCCATTGCACGTGAACCAGTCCTTACGCCAGCACGCCTCACCCTCCGAGCAGTCGGGGCTGTAGTTGCACTCCTGCCCATTAACATCCGTGCAGGGGAGCACGCCCTTCTGGAAGCAGTCTTCTGCAGCCTGCTTCTCCTCTTCCGTCGGGGTGTGGCTGGGGTCCAGGAACTTGTCGACGATGGTCTGGTCCTGGCAGATGCGGTAGGTGAACATGCCGCCGTGGTCTCCGTTGTGGTCCACACACCACACAACCTCGATCTCCTCGCCGGGGGAGTACGTTTTGACCACATCAGCGCCCCAGTCACCGGCTGGCACGTTGTAGTCGGTGCTGACTCGGGCATTGTACCCGCAGACACCGCTGCGTCCGACTTTGGCCTCGTCGAGCGTCGGCCAAGCGGTTACGGGCTCCAGGATGGTGCATTCGGGGCAGGTGTCATTTCCAGACTGTGAATGTTAGAGAAGTTTGCTTTGCTCGGGATAGGTCTGCGTACCTCGGCGCCGATTCTGGTGCGACTCATCGGAGACCACATGTACCCGTGTCCTGCGACGCAGGTCACCATTGACAATGAGATCAAAGCTGCAACGCCCTTCATTATGAATAGAAGTTGTGGTACAAGGTGTAGGAATGAATGATATTCAAGCTTAGTCTGGACACTCGAGCATGGCGAAGGCGTTTGGCCCTTATATGTGCGATGGAAAATGCGATCAGCATCGGACGGCTCTACACTAGATACTCGGCCCTATACAGGGAGCGGGCATTGAATGTCCGACGCAGATCGAAGCCATCTCGTGGAGAGGCGCTTGACGATGCGGGGTTGAATAAGTGATGTTCTTGGTCACTATACATACCAGCATGGCGATCATCACCGCTAGAACGCGGTAGAACTAAGCCCATATCCTGTATAGGCGCTACTGAAGCGACATGATGCTCATCAAGAAGACGACGGACTATCACCCCTGCTAGCTTTATATGGCCTGTCTTGGCACTTAAAAGGATTGGGCCAGAAAGTCCGGTAAAAGTCCGGATGTCGCTTTACTGCACGCAGAAGCATATGGCCCAGTGTACGGAAAGGCCATTTCCGCCCCTGCAGATCTTGGAAAACAATATAGCTGAGACATAATTACCTTGCAGCCTTGCAAAATGGAGTAAACTGGCTGTTGTTTAGACGTGCCAAGCTGGATTGATGCTATTCCAGCCATCAACAGGGCAGCAGGCAGTATGAATTGCATTAGTGCTAGCCATCTCCGATGACATACCGACTGTTTTGCATGGCATGACTACTTCTTGGCATGAGCCTGGTCAATCCCCGAGTCGTGCTAGCCAAGACAGCCCGGGGATCTTCGGTTATGCAGCATCCTCGTGCCGCAATACGAGGCACGGTGAGTATGCGAATGAGCCCGTGGTCTGGATAGACAGAAGAGTATCAGAGTACCTGACATCGACGACATATAGGTAACTAATAGAGCAGGAAATACTGTAGTTCAGGGCCACCACAAGTATACATTCATCGACTGACCCAGCTCCAGGCTATGGCAGGCCCTGTCTCACATCCGTACGTTCATTCAAACCCCAAGCATATGTACCTGAATCATGCACCGTGGCGCGCCTCATATCCCTGCGATATTTCTTGAGAAACTCCCCTCCAACCGACCTGTGCATCACACATGTGTTGTCCCAGGCGATCAGATCCCCAGGCTGCTTCCATTCAACTTCCGTCACATACTTGGCCTGGGTGCAATGCGTGAAGACTCGATCAAACAATTTCTGCGAAGCTTCCGGACCAAGACCTTCGATATGATGTATGTGCGCCGCAATGTAGAGATTCATCCGGCGGGAGGGTTCATGGCGCTGTACCATCTTGTGCCGGCCCATAGGATAGTCAAGCGGGTTGCGGTCAGCGTAGAATTCCGGTGCTGCAAGCTTACGCGAATGATGAATGGAGTGTGCTGCTACATAATCATTTGCCACGAGATCGGCCTTCAGGTCCACAGGCAGCTCGTCAAAGGCCGTTCGTGTATCTGCAAAGGCTGTGGCTCCTCCCATACCCGGTGGAGGGAGCTCGTGCGATAGAAGGAGGGAGTATCCTGCTCGACGAGGGTTAAAGCTAGAGTCAACATGGAATAAACCATTTCCCTGCGCCAAAGTCCATCAGTGACGGGCTGCACAAAGTAGGGTCGGTGCAGATATACTTTATTTCCTTGGCCCCGCGGACTCTCTGGGTCGAGAATCGATCCGTCAAACTCAACGTTACTGACATCAAACAGCTCATTGTATTTCAGTCGATTCTTCCGGCCCAGTGCCAGGTATGGAGTTATGTCGTCTAGTTCTCCAAACCTTTTGGCAAAGGCAATATGGCCCTCATCGGTGAGACCAGTGTTTCGAAAGACGAGGACTCCATACTAGAAATAGCAACAAAATTAGTACGCGTTTCCCCTGCCATGGAACTTTTCTCTGCCGACCTTTGTGATAGCACTATAAATCTCCGAAAAGACCTCATCTGTCAGCGGTTTGGAAAAGTCAACTTCTCTGACCTCGGCTCCAAAGGTGGGGTGAATTGGGTTGACAGAGATATGACTGAACGAGGCGTCCGTTGCAAAAGGAAGATGCATTATGAGGATATGGCTTCGTAAAGATAGGCTGTTGGTATTTGTGGTATTTGCTGGAACTGCTACTTTTGATGCTTTATACGATGACAACCCCTCCTGTTGTGCTGATATCTCGGTCATATCATCCCTCGCCGCTCTGAAGGCCGAGTGAGCAGTTCTACGATCTCCTTCGGACTTCTATCCGACGGCGGAGCAGGACTCAGGTCATCTGTTGATGGATTCATACAGATAGGACATACGGATACTGTTTGTAATCCTTTAGAACTGCCGCAGACGATTGGCTACCATGGCTGGATGCCGCGCCATCTCGAGATTTGTTATCTGAACACGGTTGACAACCCCGCACCCTTTTGTCAACCTCCAATGGAGAGACTCAGGTGGCTGGATAAGTGTTGTGAGGTTGTGTCTATCGCGAGTGGTTGATCCTGGGATGGCCATCATTCACTCACCCACTGTGCCTTCTGCTGAGGAGCCTGGGTTGCACGCTATCATTACACTACCAAGTTCATATGAAATATTCAGGAAACTAGGGGATCTGTTCTGTGAATACCCAAAAGCCTCTCAACTGTACATCAGCAACAGGCAATTATTGCTTACTCCTACTTCGGTTGACGAAAAAGCAAGTTCTCCAGCAATGATATGCTTTCCGCCAATCAAAAGTCCATTTCTAAAGGATGTCTCAACATCAAATGACCACATACTAGATTGGGCAAATGAACAGGAAGTTCTAGTGTTGCTTTGACCGTCATCCAGCCTGCACACTAGGAGAATTACAACCCACACAAACAATTACAAAGGACTGGGGTCTTCATGGTTAGAGGCATCGGAGGAAAGGATTATCAAGCAACAAATTGCAGGATTTGAATCCAGGCGCTGTACAACACCCCATATAATCAGATGTCTGACAAGAGTGACTAATGTTCCACGGCGGTTGGTGCCATTCAACAATGCTGTGGCATGTATTCATCATGGCCTTCCCCAACAGCCATAAAGCAGGACATATTGTGGGAAAACCTCTCCCATCGATGTGACCAGAAACAACTGATCGATATCTTCAGGGATCTATCCTTTGTCAAAACTCAAAGTGGCGCAAAGCAAGCCCATGGTTTTGCCAATGATGGTACTTGAAGGAAATTCTATCAATGACGACGTACAAAGAGCTTCTTTGTAATAATAATAATAAGGGATAGGAGGGTCATCTGGACCGACATGTCTATTTTAACAGATTAGACCTGCTCATGTATCACTGTGGCGCTTATTAATTATTGGTCTGAGTTTGAATCCCAACATATAGGACGGGTTTCTCCGGTTCGCTTGAAGAATGAAGGAGTCAGGGAATGTGCATGGATCACGCATATGCTAAGGATCTTCGTTCTTTCCGGACCATTCTAGACAGGCTTTTGGCTAGCGACCAGTCGTTTACAGTCCCAGCGGACCTTACTGCATGGTATTGGGCCAAAATGGAATGCAACCCTCTTCCTCCCCAAACAATAGCGCCAGGGGTAAGTCAAGCCCACGGCAATCCCATCCATGCCTTCACGATTGCGCCGACAGCAACGACTCTTATTTGTCTGCTGCTTAGACCAGCTTATTCTACATATACGAAGGCGGTGGAACAGCCCGTGAGAGTGCCAAGGACTTGAAGCTGTTATGAGTGCTGTCCTAAGCTCCTATTAGCGTGATCCCGCAGAGCTCAGACTTATTTCAGGTAAGACAAGATGATTAGGAAGCCCGCAGGTGTCATGCGCATTGAACCTAGTGAAACATTGACGAGTATCCTCCGATCTCGGGTCTTCCTGATGTTCGGGTGCCATCCAATCGCCGGTACACTGAGTAAACCCCATTGGCAGACAGATCCCACACCATGACTTTGTGGACTGTAGTCTTCGTTGTTACTTTATTTGTGCATGTCTCATTTAGAACAATACTAGACTAGTTACCCTATATAATTGGAAGGGCTGGGGCAGGCGCTGGCTGTCCAGGGCTTGCACCCCGGTCTATCGGACTATTTCTGTTGCGCAGTGGACGTAGGATGTCGGATGGCAGGCCATGGATTTGGTCCATCATGTCAGATTAGCTATGTAACGTCTCAAGACTGATTTGTAACACTTCGAATCGTACTGTATGCGGACCATAAGCCAACTTTGTAGTGTTCACAAAGAGATGAGTACCTCCAAAGATCCGTGACGTCTCAACTTCTGTTCTGATCTCTAAACCTGACCGTGAAACTTCACTCATAAGTAGAACATCTTGCGCGTATACTATTTACATACGGTTCCGACAGCGTAGCAATGACTGGATCAGCAAAACGGAAGCCAGATGTATGAACTCCATTGATTCGAAAGTACGATATTGACGTGAGCCTTATAGGCGTGGGCATATCCTGACGGAGCATGCACAAATTGTCGGAATCGAAAGATCAAGTGTGGAAGAGAGAAACCACGATGCAGCAGCTGCTATCGGGATGGGCACGAATGTCTCTATTCTTTGCCTCCTAAGAGGGTCAACCACATCAAGGTTTTGTATGTCTTTCTGCCCTGGGAGACTTGGGTACACCTAACTCGTCCAGATGCCAAAGCTTCGACGAGATCCAGAGCCGATTAGATGCAATCCAAGGGGATCTATCTCGACTCACCGAGACCATAAAGCGCTCTAATCATACCGAAAGGGTCGATCCTTTTCCGGTTGACAGTCCAACCTTACCAGTGGTTCCACCTTTCGGCCATATCGTACGAGATACGGAACATCAGGTTGAAAGATATCACGGGCCTTGGTCATTATCTGCCCAATGTCGGCGATTCGGGGACGATCTCACAGCTCAACTTGGTATCGATGACTCCGGGATCAAAAGCTTGCTGCAGAAGATGCAATTTGATTGCATTGAACAGGATTTGTCCTTTTATTCGGATGCTACACATGCAGCGCAATCTGACATACGAATCAGCCTACCCCCGAAGCAGCTTCTCTCGATTGTGCTGGAGTCGTTCCTCAAGGACCCGGATTACACCACCGATATCTTCCATCACCAATTGGTGTACCACGCCATGGACCGTGTTTATAAGGATCCATCCAGTCCGAATGCAGAATCATGGGCACTTTGCTTCAATCTTATTGTCCTACTGAGTCTTGGCAAGGAGCATCCTCTCGACTGTCAGGACCCCTTCGTACGACCGATGCTCCAGGCAGTACAATCAGCCGTCAGGAACTGGAGATTGCTAATGGAGCCCCGGTTGATTAATATCCAGACATTATCATTATATGTGAGTCTTCCGGTGCCTTGTTCTAGCCAAGAACCTGTTGCTAAGTTCTTCCGTCCAGGCTGCCCTTGCTGAACAGGGTTACACCAACGAAGCCCTAGGGGGCTCTTTCATGGCACAGGCTTGTGTTCTTGCACGAGAAGCAGGATTGCAACAGACTTTCTTCGATGGAGCCGTTTCGTCGTGTTTATCAGTGTCAGAAATGGACGAATGGCGTAAGGTTTACCAGTCCTTGTATATCCGTGACCGGTACTCCATGATCGCTTCGGGCTCCCTCATATCCCTTGAGGGTGCGACAGCAGGCGTGACTCATGTTTCAGACCATCCGGCACATTGGGAATTGGCGAAGATACAAGACAAAGTCCACAAAGCACTTTCTCTCAATGGGATTTCACATTCCGAACGTCGCAACATAGTACGCAATCTACAGAAGGAGCTTCGAGCATGGCAGCAAAAGTACAGCGTCCCCTCATCCAAACGGCCTGCTGATGTTTGCAGCATTGTGCTACATTTGCAGTTTGTCGGCATTCGCATGCACCTAGCGATGGCAAGTACGGGTTCTCCCCTAGGTGACGTCTTGGATGATGCTCGATTCAGCTGTCTACTTCTTATTCTGTCCTGTTCGCGGTACCGTACCGAAGCACTCGAAATTAGGATGCAAGAAGTTTTGCGAAGGATGGACGTAACTCGGCAGACCCATGAGAGGTTTCGCATGTCGTTTCCATCATTATCGTCACCCGTGCCCTCCCCAACACCATATCTGGTAAATGGGACGTCAGAGACACCGATACCTTCGCACCGCCTGATCAATAACTTTCCAATAACAGCCATTTTTATCATTGCCAGAAGTATTCTTGATATCGCTGGGGTTTGTGGTGATGAACAACGCATTCCCAGGGAAGGACCTGACATCGAAAAAGATGTGGAACTGCTGCATCAATTGCTCTCCTGCTTCCAGAATACTCCACCTTTGGTAGGCCATGAGAGACTGCCCGGTACATACGACTACAAATTAGGACGCATAGTTGAGCATCTCATCAGAGTCATCCGCGTCATGGGGCAGCACAAGCGACTGAATGGTCTTGCTACCCATCATACAACAGGATGTGGGACATCATCATGTGCAGGTCGTCCAAATTCTTACGGGGCAGTGGAAGTGCCAGACGTGTGGTGCCCAGACAATTCACTCCCTCCCACTCAGACAGGATTTCACGCTCCCACAGTCCCCCCTGCTTGCTCGAGAGAACCGGAGATGCTAGACTTCTCATTCACTCCATTGGCCCCATCGCTTTCCACGTCGACAACGGACCTGACACCTATGGTTCCAAGCACACCATTGGATATTGGACGCCTTTTTGGATCATCTGATTGGGTCGAAGCGGATGTTTGGGTGGCAGAAGATACAGAGCAAGCACGGAAGCGACAACGAGTGGATGGTGAAGAACATATATCAAACAGCTAGGTACATGGATTTGCAGCTGTCTATTGGCTATGAATTGTTCGCTGAAAGATGAGCGACGTATTAGTTCAAGATATATATTGGTGTTGGGATCCAGAATATATAGGTATATCACCCAACATGACACAGGTCGAGACAAGAAATTAGTACTAGATTCTGACAATGTGAAACCCAGCTATCCACCAACTCCTGTGATCTATTTTCAAAGTGATTGTCATGATGTCCCGAGTCAAGTAGGCAACCGACCGAAGGGGTCTACATTCCATCGCCTATTCGGGAACGGCAGGTGTTACAAATAGTGAGACGGGCGTTCAAATAAAGATCTCGAGAAAACAAACCAAGCAAACAAACAAACAGACAACGAAAAAGATTGCATGGAATGTGGAAACAACCCTCGTCTATACAAAACTCCCATGACACGGCCGAAATGGACAATAATAACAAAAACACCACATCACTTGTGATTAAAAAACTTTGCCAGGATGTTTCCCATCTTCTCCATCGCAGGCCCGCGGTCCATCAGGATAAAATGGTTCACCTCATCCAGCACCTCCACCCTCAACTGCTGCCGTCCGAGTATGCTAGCCCAGCCATCCGCGGAGAAGTCAGTACGATTGTTGATGAGCCATAGCATTTCTCGAGGGTCGTCCGGTCTGATCTCCATCTTCGGACCATTTGGGTCTTTGCACACGCCGTCTCGAGCATAAACGATTAACGACGCTGGGGCATTGTCAAGAGGGGTGGGCTCGTAGGCATCAAGAACCCGAATGAATGCGTCGAAGTGCTGGAGCAGCCATTCAGGGGTTTTTGGCTTCACCTTGCAATCAGGGGTTGCTGGGGAACCGCCGAAGATGCCCAGTGAGTCAAAGAAATCGTACATGCGCTTCGGGGGGTTCTGCAGGCCGATTGGATTTGGCGAATCTAATAGCACCAGATAGGAGATCTGGGTCAAGCCTTGCGCACGGACCTGCCGAATTGCTTCGACAGCGAGAATGCCGCCAGCAGACCACCCTCCTAACGCTATGGAAGGGTCGTTGCCTTGCGAGTGGCATAATTGAAGCAGTCTCTGTACTTCCGGGACATATTGAGCTACCATTGTAGCCATTGTGATACCGAGACGGGTCATCCCTGTTGCCGTCTTCCGCCAAGGACAGTTAAGTCCGTAGACGGCCACTACCTCTGGATCTATGGCGGGTGCCAGAGCTGCGTAGGAAGAAGCTGATCCGGAGCCATCTGGAAAGAGGAAGAAGACCACTCGGGCTGTCTGAGGGGACCCTGATAACAATATTGACGTAGCCTGCGGCAGAGGCGCCACACCTGAACATGTCCTAGGCACCGACGAAGCCGGAGAAGGGCCAGTTGAACGGGAGGCAGCTTGGTCGCCAGACCAAGGCGTTATTGTTTTTGGTTTTGCAAACCCAACTTCACTGTATATCTCGTCCTCAAGGTCTTGAATCGTGTCGAAGCTCATGACGGTGTTTCCAGCGATATCAACCCCAAGAAGCTCTTGAACCCTACCACTGAGTGTCAGCCCAAGCAACGAGTCAATACCAATATCTGTTAGGCCAGTCGAGGGCTTCAGCTCGTCAATGGGGACCTGTGTTTCCTCGGAGATGATCTGTCGTAGTACAATACTGGCTCGAGTCCGATCAGGGCAAGAAGGCCCCTCAGTTAAAGGAGTGTCAGGATATACAGATGTCGCACTGCTGGTTACTTGGGAATCCCGCATATCATCGCTGCTGCTGCCGCTGCTGATCGTAGCGCTCGTCTCGCCCTCGTTGCTCCTTCCGCCAACGAGGACCTGCAGTTCACCGACAGTCGCTTGATCAACGAACAAGGAGGAAGGGAAATCCAACCCAAGTTCTTCCCGAATCTTCGCAGTGATCGTAAGCGTGAGGAGGGAGTCGATACCGAGAGCTGCAAATTCAGTGTCTGCTTTGAGCTCGGAAGGGGCGATGCCAACTTCCTCACTTATGAGGTCCAGAATGCGACCGAACACACCGGAGGACGATGGTGAATGCGAGCTTGACTTTGGTACTGGCCGACCATCTCTTTGGGCTGGGGGCATGCTTGGAGAAGGATCCATAGGGACAGGAGTGCGTTGTTTCTTGGTCAAGCCAGCTTTTTTCGCACCACTGCTGGGAAGCAAATGGTCGAGCACTCGGCGCGGAACGCCTTGAAACTATATCCAGTCAGTATATTTCAATGACGGGCGAGGAAAGCACAAAGCATACTGTCACTCCCTCAAAAATTGCCACAATACGCCCATCATAGAGGATATATGTGTCACCAGCGTAAGTAGTGTTCTCAACAAGCTGCATCCGGTTATACGCGCGATATGTCCTATTCTGCTGTAATGGCTCTGCAATGCGCATCCTTTCCCATCCATGGTTGATAAAGACCTGATCTCGACTGTCAACTCCAACATTCGCGTTCATGATGAACCCAGCAATGCCGCCGAGGCTGTCAATCCACCGCGGGTTGAGGTAGAACTCTTCCTTTCCCACTTGAAACTCCACCGTCGAAACAGCTTCTAATCGATGGCTGTCCAAGATGATTTCTGACATGCCTTGATATTCCGTCTTGTACTGCACAATAGCAGCAAAGAGCTTATATGCCATACCGCGCTTAACGAGGTGTGTTTCTGAGTTTGGATCGTGAACGGCTGCAGCCAAGGCATCGATGCGAGCTGTAATGAGGTGAGTGTTGCGTTTCCATTCAGCTAGCCAGCGCTGCCCAGGAACAACGCGAACTTCGACCCTGGCATGTGATACGATACGTTTACCGGTTAAATCAACACTGAAGATTCTCATGGAGATGGCGTTACTTGGCCAATCTGCCGTGGCAGACATGCGGAACAGGTGCGATGTCTCATTAGACTGTGCGATGAGTGGATTGTCGACCCGCACGTTTGCCACATCCAACCCGGTTGTGTCGACCAGGAGTTTGTTGGGAGATTGCGAGATAAGGTAGACGGCCACCGTAAGGGCTAGGTCCGCGTACATTGACTGGAAAAGCCGTTAGTGATCACAGCAGGCAGACAAAATGCAAAGAACGTACCGACGGGGCGAGAGCCGCGCCATTCACCAAGTGCCCTTGTAATATGGGAAGCAGCTTCTCATCAAAAATATCCGATTCCACAACCATGGATGACTTCTCTGTGCCATGAGATTCCTCTACAATGCACTGGGCGGTGGGCGAGAGATGTTTGCGAAGTGGACGAGAGGGTGGAGCGACTGGCAACGGCTGCTCTCCTTTCGTGAGGAGGAAATCATTGCGGTACTGGATCCAGTAATTCTTCAGGTCCCACGAATACAAAGGAAGCTCTATGACGGTTTGTGAGGAAGGGAAATGGCGATGGTACTCATTCCAGTTAATTTCCACGCCGGCCAGATACAACGTTTGAAGCCCAGAGACTATAGTCTTGTAAGGCTCGACATTTTGGCGAAGCGTCGCAATGGTCCTTATCTGAGGGCCCAGTGTCCCTTTTACCATACCACTGCAGAGTGGATGGGCTCCAATTTCCAGCCAGATAGTGTCTTGTATGTTGACCACGTCTGCTGCAACACCAACTGCTTTGACAAAGTTGACCGTGCCTCTGCAGGCAGCCGAGACATATGTTGACGCAAGAGCGCCAATATCTCCCACCGAGATGGCTCTCCCAAGAAGAGGGGATAGGAATGGAATAGTCGGTGGATGGAAGGTTACGTGGCATGCACTGGCCTCAAAATCGGTCAAGATGGGTTCAACCTGAGCGGAGTGAAAGGCGAATGGTACAGCAAGCTGGACGGTCTCAATGCCAATTTGCTGTGCTTGTCGAGATAGTTCAGTTATGCTGTCCCTCGGACCTGCGATAACATGTCCAGATGGCTGGTTGATGCATGCGAGCTCACAGCTACCGGATGTAGTGTGCTCGACCATCAGCCGCTCCACGATCTCCCATGAAGCTTTGATGGCGAGCATGGAATGCGTGCCACTGGTGCATAGACTTTCCAGAAGTGTTGCCCGTGTCCCAATGAGGTATATAACATCGGCCGCGCTCAAGACACCAGCGGCATATAATGCCGGATACTCGCCTAAGCTGTGCCCGATAACTGCTGCTGGTGTCACACCCCACGTCTTCCATAGTTCAAAGAGAGCAATTTGGACACAAACCAAAGCGAGATGGGACACAACTGCACTGACGCTTGGCAGTGCAGCAGCTGTCGTGGTACCATCAATGATCTCGACAAAAGACGGGAATCCCAGCAGTCGTGATAAACGATTCAGCTCGAAAACTGTGGACCGAAATGCTGGATTAACTGTGAATAATGACTTCGCCAACTCAGAGTACAAGACTCCCTGGCCCGAGAACATGAATATCACTCGGGTCTGTTTCTTTGCTCCCGCCGGAATGGGCTTCATATCAGCCAGCGACGCTTCAGTATCGCTTGCAAGTGACCTCAACTCAACCAATATAGAGCTGAGGTCAGTGCCCGTTACCATCGCCCGATAGGTATGATGCATCCTCCTGGCGGTAGTTGTGTATGACAGAGGACCCACGGGGAGAGAGCCTCGTTTCCGGTCGATGAATGCTATCAGTGCATTGATATTGCCCACAAGCGATTTTGGAGATTTTGCCGAAACAGCTACCGGATGGAATACTCGAGCGTCTGCTTTATCGACAGCACGGCGTCGGATTGGCGCATCCTCAACCAACATCGCTGTGTTTCCACCAGCTGCACTGAAATTGTTCAGGAACACCGAGCGCTTTCCCGATGGCAAAGCATCCCGTTTCCAAGGTGCCACATTGAGAGCAATACGGACGCCACGCTGCTCTAAATCAAGTGGATAGTTGTGGTTGATGCGGTTCTTTATTCCACAGTGTGGTGGGATTTCACCGTGTTTCATCATCAGCATGACCTTAATCAGCGAAGAGACACCCGATGCAGACTCGGCATGACCAATGTTTGCCTTCGCTGATCCGAGATGTAACGGTCTTGCTGGGGTCATCTGCATTCGCTTATACTCCGGCACAAAAACCGACAAGACAGAATTCATCTCCGTCGCATCCCCAGCTTGCGTCCCAGTTCCATGCATCTCGACATAGCTGATATCCAAGGGATCGATCCCCGAGTGACGGACAATCCGCTTGAATACGCTGACCTGGTCGCCTTCATAAGGCCGAGTAATGCTGTCGGTTTGACCGCAGTGATTCGTGTTTGTGCCTACAATGACGGCAAAGATAGGATCGTTGTCTGCCTCTGCATCCTCTAGTCGTTTGAGAATCACAGATCCCACCGCGTCAGACCGACAGTACCCACTGGCTTCATCGTCAAAGGCGTTGCAGTTCCCTACCCGGTTCATGATATTAGCGAAATTTTGCAAATAGTGCAACAAGTCAAGGATAGCCTACCCGTTGTCGAAAGAAAGTGCCCACGGTCCAAGCCTGCAAAATTGTCAGGATTCGTTAAAACATTGGTGCCACCAGCGATTGCTGTGTCGCATTCTCCTCTCCAGAGATAACTACAGGCAGCCTGGATGGCAGCAAAACTAGACGAACAGGCTGTGTCAATGCTAAGACTCGGACCAGAGAATCGAAAAAAATAACTGATACGCCCTGGCACAAACGCGCGATTACCGCCAGGGATGAAGTATGTTCCCACGTCTTGGCCACTGTTCACCTCTCTCCAGTCATCGCTCGTTGTGCCGAAGAAGACTCCCACACGATCCTGCTGGGTGGAGGGAGTGCGGTTGCGTACCATGCCGGCTATTTCCATTGCCTCGTATGTCGTGGTGATAGCAAGCCTCTGGGCCGGATCAGTATTTTCGGCTTCCTTGGGTGACATGTTGAAGAACTTCGTGTCGAATAGACCCGGTTCGTCGATCCAACACCCATATTTGACCCTGCTGGTATTCCTTCTCTTCCCCGTCGGATCGTAATATGTCTCCCAGTCGAAGCGATCCCGTGGGATCTCTCGGTGAACATCACGACCGGCCCGGAGAAGCTCCCAAAAGGCTTCGTTGGAAGCGGCAGAAGGAAACCGACCAGAATACCCAACAATGGCTATTTTGGAATGTTCAAAGCGGCCTGTAGGCTCAGAGTCCTTCCATATTGGGCCAGCGCTGGGGACTTCCCTCGCAGTTACCTGGATGTCTTTCTGCTTTGTGAGGGCAGCCGCAACCATCGCGGTTGCATTGCTGGAGAATGGTAAAATAGTCCATTTTTTCCCATGTTCCTTGGCCATTAAGCTACGGCACGATTCCAATATGAGGTCCCATCGAATGGGTTCACATAATGTCTCACGAACAATCGTACGCAGCAGACCTATGAAGTCGACTTCTGGGATGATCCTACCACTTGTGGATGAGAGAATCGGTATGCGGGATCTTTGAGGTGCCCTGGCCGTATCTGCGACATGATTAATAATGCCTTCAACATCGGCGTCACCAAACAGGCTGCTGGCGTGGTATGGTGATTCAATTTCCAGATACCGATATTTCAATGTGCCTTGGTTTGTCTCCAGGAAATCTCGTAACCTAGAAGGCCGTCCACTCAGTGTGCATGTTGAGGTGGTGGTGAGAGCGCTTGTCCAATGCATGGGCTGATGAAGCGTTGTCGAGGTCTATCCACCGTCAGATACGATCCACGCAAAGATCAGAGAAAACTTGCTGTATATTCCGTTAATAGTTGCTCCAGGCTAACGTTCCCTGATGGGGTTACCACTGCGGCCCAACTGTTCCTCGATGACGGGTCATGGAGTGAGATAGCACTGGCTTCGAGAAACGAGCGGAGTGCTGTTTTGAATGCACTAATTGATACCTCCACGCCATTTGACACGAGGTCTGAAACACTTGTTGAACAGCTCAATGCAGCTGCGCAGAAGCCACCAGTGCAAGGACCGATAAGATATGTGTTCCTTGGAGGGAAGATGCTCGAGTGGTCATTTTCAGTCGAGAAATGCCTGTGTCCATCAGCATATGTCACTCGCCAAACGGAACCTAGAAATGTACACGATGCATTGTGCCACTTGTTGGACACATAGAAGAAAGAAAGCAAGGGTTGGTGTTCCCGGTGTCTCTCCAAACCGCGCGAGAAGATCTATCAATGTGGTGAAACGAGGGAAAAGGGCTTGTTGATCTCCGGATAGATTCTCCAATAGCCTGCGTAGAGAATAATTCGTGCGGGCAAAGAAAGATGTTAGCAGAGGGTTTGACTTGACATGGAGAAGGTTCTTCAGTGTGTCTTTGATGTTAACTAGGCTCAAGTCCCCAAACAGGATGACCTGGCATGGTTCTTCGGGATGGTCTCCGTTCATCGTTGTCGTTACCCAAACCTGGATGAACGCTCGGAGTTGAGTCCTTTTGCTTAAATCCTCAATTTAGATTCTAGCGGACATGGGTTACGCACATGCTTCAAGTTTTTTATATTGCTCTCCGCATGTTCATGGTAGTGCCTCTCACGACAGGGCATGGAGATGTCTCGGACTACGGACCCCGAGGACTGGATGTCAACCCAATCGGCCTAGCCGATCCAGGATCGAGGCCTATTTACTATCTGTCCAAGATGCCGTTTATTTGTTGAACATAGCTGGAGAAGTCCGCAGTCATAGCTTACCGATTGGCTAGCAGCTGTTGATGATATGGTGCAAACATCCCACATCCCTGCCCACACTGCTTCTGCCAGGTTTCTTTCCGAGAGATGCAGCATCGCCTCAGCTTATATTATAATGGAATTCTCCCGTACAGACCAGTTTGTTGAGGGCCTCGCCAGAATACGCACTGCCTCGAAGCCTAGCAACGTCTCAAAGCAATGTATGCGATTACAATACTAGGGTACAGGAAGGATGGTATGAGCGAGGACGAATATCACTCTTACATCAGCAATGTGCATGCTGTCCAGCTGAAGGAGCTGTTAGCAAGAAACGACATTGTGTCATATACAATGGTATCTTTACCACCGTCCCCTGCTAGTTCTGTCCGAAGCTCACATATGGCCAGCAACATAACACCACTGAATCGAAGCATGACCTCGTGGATACAATTTATGGAGGACAGATCTCCCATGACAAAGTGGCTGGCTGCGATGCTGTCATTCAAATCGTGTTCAAGGACATGCACGACTACCTGCGCGTGAGACAAGACCCATACTTCCAGAATGTGATCAGCCCGGACCACTCCAATTTCGCGGACAGTGTTAAGACGACTTTCGTCATGGGATGGTTTGAGAGACATGTTACAGATGGGGTAGTAGTGTCCAATGGCTAGTTTGGACGGGTAACATACAGAGGTCCTAATCTTGAGCGCACTGTCATACAACGTGTTCGGAAAGAAACTAGCAAAATTTGAACACTGTAATATTTGGCTCTGGGCCCTCGAAAAATAGAAACACAATGAAACATGACCATTGGCCTGTTCAGACATCCACCCAAATCTCCCAAAGACCACGACAACCGTGTGAGGTATGTCTTTCCTCGTAGCGAAACTAACACCGAGTCAATATATCTCGTAACAATGCGAGAACAGAGACATACTTTGAATAACGGATCCGCCGCAGCGATGAGATGATTCCACTCGGCACTGGTCCGTTGCTTAACGTTGTGCATCGTCATCAAAGTCACGTCCCGTCTTCGACATGCTCTCTCGACATGTGGTTCAAAAGTGGACCACGCTGGCGAGACCAAGTCGCTAACGAGAAGCCGAGGCCCCCCAGGAGATCTCATCACGGGACAGAAGCTTTGCAAGAGAGCGATGACTTGGTCGTCATTAAGATTCCACAGAATGCCGCGCAGCAAAAATATCACCTGTTCAAAGAGACCAGCAGCACGAATCTCCTCGCTGGTACGCGGACTCTGCAGATCTCTCTGCCGGAAGCTTACCTGCATGCTCAGCTCCGAACTCAAGCCCGCTTTCCCTTCCGTGATCAAGTCAAGAGAAGAATCTTGGACTTCGAACCGGATGTTGGGAAACAGACTTGCCAGATGGCGTGAAAACGCTCCAGTCTTGCCCTGAACCTCGAAAATCATCATGCTCCGCTGCACAGTAGGTGGAAAAGCCCGAATCCAATCGATGATCATACCATCACCTGCGTCAAGCCCTGCCAGCCGACTTTAGAACTTGGTTCTATTTGCAACCAGTCAGTCACTATGCACTCACCCTTTGAAACACTTCTCATTGCTTCTGCAAAACGCCGCCCTTTGTCCGAATGCTGCACATGCCAGTCGTACATGGGCATACCCCACCTGGGTTGATCAGCTTCCAGACAATACAGGGTCATGGATGGGAGGAAGCGACGTCCTGCGTAACTCACGCGAACTCAAATGCAGACCTTCCGGTCCAGAACGGATTGGACTCGTGCAAGGAATCCGCCAGATGAGCGCTGGCGACCCTCGTCTCGAACAGCTGAAAGCCAATGAAGCTCTTGTAGCCTTGGTCCTCAACCAGCTCTCGTGAAATGGCAGTATGGGCGAACTTCCCCTCTTCTGGTTCCAGCAGGATCCCGGTTGTTGCTATCAGCCGGCAAACACGGAGTAGTTTGTCTTTAGGCATGCCGGTCTGCGATGAAAGCTTCTCAATGGGAACTGCAGCTCCCGGAGAAATGGGTATCTTCTCAAATACATCAAACTCGAGCAGAGCGTAAAGAGCTCCGTGCTCCCAGTTCCGAGACACATATTCATGGAGGAATTCGTGGGGCCCCTGGAGCAGGGTGGTCATGTTTTGCGCAAGGCCGACAATGGTGGAACGGAGATTATCAATCTTGGTGTCATGAGTCGTCCACAGGTCGGATGTAGAGTCAACATCAATACCAGGCGGCGGAGCTAATCCTCGAGTCGATAAAATCTCCGAGAGGGTCCGTGTGTGCGCAAGGATTTCCTTGGCTACCTTGACCAGGGAATCTTGCTCCATGTCGTTGTCGTAGACCTGATCATCGAAAAGGAAAGACGTCGCGTGTTTTGAATAGTGCATATGGTGTCAATATATTGACAGCTTTGCCTACAACCGAGACCTGGTGCAGGCAGTCCTTCAGAGAGGCATCTCTACCTATCACGATTACGTGCATCCTGATGTTGTTGGGCCGTTTACTTACCCAAAATTAGCAAACAAAAGCCACGAACAAAAGCAACACATTACACACACTTCCGATCCATGCGCGATTGGCCCAATATTGGCCTTGTGTTTAGGCTGCTGCCCCTAGTAGCTAGCCACCATATACAAGGCATCCGGATGCCGAAAGCCGGCTGAAGCATTGGAGGCAGGAGGATGGTCGTGCATGTGTGGTACAATCTCCATGTCCTTCCTATATGTTTCAAATGAGGCGAGGGTGTGGAGAGCTAAACACTTCATGGTGCCGCGAAATAGCGAATGAAGTGTCCGCGTCATTCTTCTCGACCGCTCAACAACTCCCCAGGAAGCAAAAATTTCCAAGTTTCCACTAATTCCTGTCTACCTACAATTATTGCCTGCAGCGTTGACAACCCAAGGCATCAAAGTATCAACCAATTTTAAGCGACTGATAGATGAAGAGACGCACATTCATCCCCGCCCTGTCCTCGCTGCAACAGCAGCAAAGCCCCCGCTGCTTCCGCTGGCCATCATACCCCTTCCGCGAGGTGAATTTGAGCTCGGGGTCTGTCATAGTGTAATTGCCGACGCCATGCAATGTATAGACATGACGGAAGGTCACCCTGCCCATTACCACGGCCTGTGATGAGACCGGACCCACCTTACGCGGAGCTTCCCTATAATGAGAACTGACTTATTTTCCCCTAGCACAACGACGATACTTTGGCTGTTCTCCAAACCGGGATCCACGATGTACGGGGCGCCGGGCTCCTCCTTTTCTATAATGCGGACGTGGGACTCTGGTCCCAGCCAACGTATCACCGCTGCTTTCACATCTAGGCTGGAGGCTGTCCATCCTTCGCTTGTCTCTATCCAGTCACTAAGCTCTGGAAGTTTGATTCCCTTGGGAGCGGATTAGCTGCATAATCCTCGGGTGAGGCACGGTATGCCGGCAGGCGTATCCGGCCTTGACTGACTTTGGTATCACATATTTTCTTAATGTCGTTATCTGCATCTCCATCAAGCGGCGTCCAGTCGTCGTACGTATTGTGATCCGGCACATCAGTCATCGCTGTTAGGGAGGCCTAAAGCGTGGCGGCAAGCCTGTCAGAATTATGACTTGCGGAGTCTCGGGGGCGCCGTACGTTTGATCAAAAACTCTTCGACTCTACCTCTGCTGCGTTTCGACGGAGCCTACGAAACGGATTGCATGCAACAATGCGACGGCGGCGCTTTCCAAATTGTAAGAGGGACTGGCTGTCAGGGACAGTGCCTCGGAGCAACTTTTGAGCCTGAGGGGTAGTCTGCCCCACGCCCGTCAGCAACGGCGGTCAAGCATAGGACTAGCGAAAACAATTACTATCCAATGGTTGGACGCAAATTGAGCAATACCTCAATGGAGCAACATCGGTAATATTAGTGCTAACTAGGAGCTTGTAACTTCTGCTTTTTCCTGAACGGCACTGTGACCATCCATGGGTTTGAATCCACGACGGAACACTGGACTCTCCTGGATCTTGTTCCAGTCATGAAGCATTAGGCCATTTTCCACCGAGCAGGAGACCTCTTCCTTCCCTCGCGGAATCATCTCCGCCTCGTAAGCCCTAATAGCATCTTCCAGCGCGTTCGTTCCCTGGCAGACGGAAAGTAGTGCAGCCAAAAGATGGGAAACATCACAGATGCAGTGATTGAGCCCCTGCCCGCGGTCTATCGGAACAGCGAGTTAGTTTATCTGAATGTACACGGCAAGGCTGTGATAACCCACATGGTGGCATGGGGTGTGCTGCGTCTCCAACGAGGGTCAGACGGCCGTGTCTATTATCCCACGGTTGGCTAATCCAGTAGCTGATATCCGCCTTGTGAACTTCAGTGTCATCTGGCATCCAGAGGAACGCCGAACGAGCAGGCTCACCCATTCCCTCGGCGCGAGCTTTGATCAATGCGAGGCGCTCTGGGTAACCCATTGTATTGTCAGAGTCCCCCAACCATGCCATTGCCATGTGGAAAACCCAAGACTCCGGGTGGTCAGGCCCGTCTGGCATGCTTGATACTAAGAAGCTCTGTTAGACAGTTATTCCATATTCAGAGCGATGGAATCACATACTGGATTGGAATGCATGGAAGCACTTCTCGCTCAGCGCGAGATAGCTAGTGGGATATCTTTCGCGGACGTACTTTGCCTTCTCCGCGTCATTATAGCATACCGTCATGTTCGTATGGAAGATGGGGAATTTGGTGACAGAAGCCTTTTCTGGATCACGCATTGCTGTTTCCCGCACTCGTGAACGTGATCCATCCGCGCCAACAATGATAGATCCCGACACCAGTGTACCATCGGAGAAAGCGGCTATCACTCCCTTGCCACTCTCATTGAAAGCAACATCAACAAGGCACTTTCCGTACTATAGTCAGTTGGTTAGCAGCTTCGGGCTGAAGAAATGCATTTATTCGGCGCTTACCTGAACGTCGATTCCCTCAGCACATAGCTCACGCATCCGGCTTCGTGGAACTCGCAGCCCATCTTTATATGGTACCCCCGTTATCAAGTCCCCGGTCTCGCCGTGAATGATGGGATATAGGCCTGAATGAATGCCGGCAACCGGGTTGCAAGCTATTGTCGGAAGCTTCTCCCGCACTTCGCCTGGCAGAATCTCATCCAGCAGAGGAAGTGCCCAGTGGATTGCCATGGTCCATTCATTGCTGCGGTAGTTCAATGCTACGTCCCGTTCAAATATTGAATATCGAATTCCAGCCTATTGGAATACCGAGTTAATCAAAAAGGTCATGTCAACCAATACCATAGACCTACTTTTTTGAGAGCTTGGCAGATAAGCAACCCGGTTATACCTACGAAATGGGTCAGTATCATGGCCGAAAAGCGTTTGACATGTTGCACTTACCCGCGCCGATGACAATAACATGAAGTTCATCTCCAGACATCTTGAACTTTCCAGGAACCTGCAATCTGATCTGATAGTTCTGCGGATTTGTATGATATCACATACGGCGTGTGACTTTCTTCGTTGGAATCACAGGGCACCTACGCTGGCTGAACGGCGATAAGGGAACACCTAACACAGAGTTTCCCACCAAGTACCGCACGATATAGTAAGAGCCGACCTACCGATCAAGAGGATTAATCACTTGCCCCTAGATTTGAGGTTACACTGATTGGCTTGGGCGAGCATTCCCGGCGCGCGAGAGCCTTTTGCGGGAATCGGAGCCCGTATCGGTGAATATCCGCCACTGGAGGTATCCTGGGGTAATTGACAGGGCTTTCTAGACGGATTCTCAATACAGCTGGGAGGAATACAATGGCCAAGCCCGGACGAGGGACTGCTGGAACAGAACTCGAATTTGACAAATCATTTTGACTCCCTCTGACAACCCAGACTTCAGAAGCTGACCAGTAGTTTGAAAATCGCACTGGCCAGCCGATGGCTGGAGGAGCACACCCTGATCCTGATCAAATGGATGAATTGTCTCACACGTGCATCATGTTATCCAAGCCCTCCCGACGACTCCGGCTGTAAGTCGGTGAACAGATTGTATCGAGGCATTAGTGTTGCACATTCGTCACTGGCATAGAGCAGGAAGTTGGAAACACTGACACTAACTGTATTGAAGTCATCCATTCCCTCGTTCTGTATGCCGTCGTTGAGCGGTATCCGTCCGATCGTCTGATTGTGCGGAGTAGCTATAGGACGGACGTACAGCAAAGGTTCAAGATCACGGCAAAATGAACATGCCTAGGCCATTGACTACACTTAGGACTAGGGTTAGGCCATCCTTTGTGTCGTTGGTCAACCCGGTTGTCCATTTCAAAATTGAGTATTAATGCTGACATTACTATTCAGCGCCAAAACCAAACATATGTCTCTTTACTCATATTCCCGTACATCGTTATTCCATTATAACATAGATCTCACTGGCTTCTGGGTCTCTGAAAATGGCGACGAAGCGCTACCCTTCAGGCGACTCTGTTGTGGATCGAACAGTGGCTCTGCCACCACGGTAGCAGCAATGCGTCGTCCAAAATATTCAATCTCGACGACGTGGCCCTCGCCCACCTCACTAGGTAACCATGCGTAGGCAATCGGCTTTCCAAAACTGTACCCAAATGCAGCGGCCGTCACGTACCCAGATGGCTTCTTATCATAGAATACTGGTTCCTTCCCCATGACAACGGACCGGCCATCATTGACGACCAGGCAGCGGAGCTTGCGCGCGGGATTATCAAGGACACGGCGGCGTAGTGCAGCTTTGCCGAGAAAATCACCGTTCTTATCGAGATCCACGGCAGAAAGAAGACCTGCTTCTAGGGGGTCATGCTCGGTGGTCATATCGATGCCAAACGTGCGATAGCCCTTCTCCAGGCGTAGCGAGTTGAAGGCGCTGCGGCCGGCGGGAATCAGGCCATGTAGCTTTCCAGCCTGCAACACGACATCCCATAGTCTCTGGCCATATTCCGCCGTTGTCTGGATTTCCCAGCCGAATTCTCCCACGTAGGACTTTCGGAGCATTATTACGGGGATCCCCGAGAGGATTGTCTGCTTGGCGTTGAAGTAGGGTAACCCGGTGTCGGATAAGTCGTCCGAGCAGATGTTTCGTAGAACGTCCCCAGCACGAGGGCCCCAGAGGCCCAGGCAGCATGTACCTCCGGTGATATCGCGTACCTCGACCCACTCGGATGGTCTTGTTTCTCTGTGATGGCGAGCGTGTCTCGTGAGATAGACCAAGTCGGTGGCACTATTGGCTCCGATTTGGTATTCGTTCTCGCCCAATCTTGTAACAAATATATCACCGAGAATATAGCCGTGGTCATCGAGGAGGAGCGTATATGTAACCGTCCCCGGCTTGGTCGCGACATCCCTGGCGGTCAGTCGTTGGAGGAGATGAACTGCGCCAGGCCCAGACACGATGAATCGGTGGAACGAAGTCATATCGTACATGGCCACAGCATGCCTCGTCTTCCATGCTTCTACTGCGACGATAGGCGAGTGGTATCGTGCCGACCAAGAGTCTCTTTTCACAGGACGCCATTTAGGCGGAAGACTCTGCACAAGCTCTGCGTTCGATTCGTACCAGAACGGACGTTCCCAGCCTCCAAGCTCCAGGAAATATGCACCTAGCTCGCGCTGTCTGGCGTGGAACGGACTGACACGGAGATTCCTTGGCGACTCTTTTGGCTGTAGTGGGTGGATAATATCGTATATCTCGACGAAATTCTGCTGCGATGTCTCCTCAACGTAGGGCCGGGTCACCTGCACGTCTTCGAAGCGAGACAACAGGCACTCGGTAAGATCAATCCGAGAACGTCCAGTCGTGAGCAACTCGGCGACAGCTCGCGCAACACCGGCAGAGTGCGTGACCCAGACAGCTTCGGCAACATAGAAGCCGTCAAGGTTGGGGGCTTGTCCGACCAGTGGCCCGCCGTCGGGCGTGAACGAGAATATACCGTTGAAACCGTCCGCGATCTGGCTGTCCCTCAAGGCTGGAAGGAGCTTTTGGGTCTCTCTCCATGCAGGGGCAAAATCTTCCGGCGTAAACTCGAGTCGTGAGGGCATGTTGTATTCGTCGACGTGGTTGGGGGTTAAACCCAGCGAGGCGGCCACCACGGGCATGGGACGGTGCCCGTAATAGCCGATGCCATACTGGTCACCATGCTCGCGATAATAGAGGTCCTGGTCCTGGTGGCGTAGGATGGGGAGCATAGCATTCAATCCATTGGGCTTACTGTTGATTTCGCGCCCGGCATGAGCAGTCACGGGTGTCGTCTTTGCATATTGATGCGCAAGCGGAAGTAGAGGGATCGATACGCCGGCCATTTCACCCAATTCCACGCCCCAAAATCCTGCGCAGGAGACGATAATGTCGGCCGGGAGAGTTCCATTCGGCGTGACCACCCCTCTGACTTTGTTCTCCATCCGATCGATTCCCGTGACAGGTGTATGTTCCAGGTAACGGACGCCCGCTGCACGGGTCCTTTCAATGAGTAGCTGTGTCGCCCGGGCTGCGAGTGCCAAACCATCGCTCGGTATGTGCAGGCCACCAAGCACCACGTCCTTGTCGAGTAGAGGATACATCTGGACGCACTCGTCGGCCGTGACAAGACGAGCATCGATCCCCCATGACGATGCGTAGCCATGCTTGCGCTTAAGTTCCTCCAGTCGGTCCGGTGTAGTGGCAACTTCAAGCCCTCCAACCTGGTTGAAGCAATTCTGGCCATCCTTCTCGATCGACTGCAACTTTTCGATTGTATACCGAGCGAGATGCGTCATTGTCTTGCTCGGTGTCGTCTGGAAGACAAGGCCGGGGGCATGCGATGTGGAGCCGCCAGGCATGCTCAAAGGACCCTGCTCAACCACAGTGATGTCCCTCCATCCCCGTGAGACCAGCTCATCGGCGACATTGGTGCCGACGATGCCTGCGCCGATGATTACCACGCGCTTTCCGGGTGTCATATCAGACTTGGTGTTTATCTGCCAATGGTCACTGTCACTGAGCCGGCCTGTCCTATTTGTAGGAAACCAATACAGCCCATTATGGTAGTGATAAAGCCTGACCTCCCCTCTCCCCGCAGGAAGGACGGGATGATGATAGCATGATATCGGCGGGATCGGTGTATCATCTGTGGACATGCTTCCTAGAATTGGGAAAGCGTCCATTCTCATGTGGAGAGTCTCCGCACGTCACCAGTCATGGTTCTCAATATCTAGTGGCTCATAGGATGCTCAAACCTTGGTCCGGTCTCGACTTATCGTGGCCCGGCTGATAGAAGCTCCAAGACACGGTCCGTACGGTCCGTCGGAGATAGACGCACGGTTGAACATCTTGAGCCGGGCCGCCCCACAGCCATCTGTGCTGGATGCTCGGGGGATGGACGATAAACCCCTCTTGGGGCTGGCTCATTCTAACGGACTCGGGCCAAGCATTCCGTGGGGCCCAGCTCCCTAGTTCTATGATGCTCGGGCCTTACTCATAGACGCGTCCGGGATAGTTTTACCCTATGGGGTTATCACCTCGGCCCAGAGACAATGTGGCGTAACCAAATTTTGAGAAATATGGAGGTTTATATATGGGAACATGATCACGGTTTAACAACTGCCTTCTCCATTCAAAGACTACCTAGCATCCCAACTCGTCACTATCGCTTCCTAAAGAGGCCCCTCCTTCTGTCAGAAACTCAGGACCGAACATAGACCTTGACGGCCACGGTGTTGAATCAGTAGATGCCCAGGCTCTAGTTGTAGAACCACTCAGACCGAGTAGAGATCGCATCAACATCATTGGCCTCCTCCGAACGCTTCTTGTTGTAGAACCACTGGGACCTAGTGGAAATCTCATCGACATCGTTCGCCACGTCAGCGTTGTTCTCGGCCGCTTCGGCCCGCTTCTTGTTGTAAAACCACTGGGACCTAGTGGAGATCTCGTCGACATCGTTGGCCTGGCCAACATTGTCTTCTCCGGCCTCAGCACGCTTGTTGTAGAACCACTCAGATCGGGTAGAGATCGCATCGACATCGTTGGCGTCTTCATCCCGCTTGTTGTAGAACCACTGGGAACGGGTGGAGATCTCATCCACGTCATTCGCATCGTGGACATGAGCACTGGCATCGTCAGCGCGCTTTTTGTTGTAGAACCACTCGGATCGGGTCGAGATGGCATCGACGTCGTTGACAGCCTCGTCCCGCTTGTTGTAGAACCACTGAGAGCGAGTTGAGATCTCATCAACGTCGTTTGCATCCTGAGTAAACATCAGCTGGCTTTGTGGTAGCATGGACCTGGAGGGATATCATACGGCTACGGCGTTCTTCTCAGGTGCAGGAACCGGAGAGGAGGACACGCCAACGGCAAGCATAGCAATTGGGAGGAAGGCAAAGAACTTCATGTTGGGCTAAAGACTGTCTGTGTTTGGATTTGCTGATTTCGAGATTCTGATGGTGATAAGCAGACTGGTTCCTGGAGGAAGATGGACACCGATTGATACAAGGAAGACTCAGCTACTTATACCCGATGCCACTCACAGACTGACCAACTACAAGCCTATAATGAAGTACACAACTCGCAGCCCTCGAACAAGAAATCACGTTTATGGTGGTAAGTGTTCGTGGTGTAATGATCGTCGTCGGCAACTCTTGCTTCGGCTGCCCGACGAGTTGTCACCATGAACTGCATCAATGGGATCTAAACATTCATGATGGCTGGCCACTAGTTCTCATCATTGGAGAGCTGAGTCTGCCATCGGTGTTACTCTGCTAACGTGATTTTTACTTCTCGTGCATAGAGCTAAAAGCTCACTGCGTCAACTCCGCACATCAAGGCGTGAGAACATGAAGCTTATTTGCTGCCAGTATGGAGGCTTCTGACATACCTAGGTCAGCTCCACGCTCCAGAGCCTCTAAGCCTGCTATGTGACGCCTTGTCCTTGCATTTCTACTGCAAAGTATGCTTTTCGCAAGGGATCGTCGGCGCATATGCGGTGTGATACCATTGCGGCAAACATATCAGCTGCAAACAGAGTCCGGAAAAGAGGAAACTCAGCCATTGGGTAACCATGGGAAAGTACGTGCCGATCATAGTATCAGCTCGAGGGGAGGCTGTATATTTCGGTGTCATGTGTTATGACGTTGTGGATCTGTCTACCAGATGGAGGCTGAGGTTGAAAGTTGCCTGTCTTCACTTCTCATTCCGAATCGACTAAGCAGAAAAATACAGAGCCCTCCGTTGAGCTGCCGGTGAATAGCACTCCATTCACTCTTGTACACCTCAGTTTCCAAAAAGCACAATGTCCTACAAGGAGACGGCTCAATATTCTCCCCTCGACCCCGGCGAAAAAGATGTCGAAAGTTCAAAGTCTCTCTTGAGCAGCGACAGTTCTTCCGTACACGAAGGAGAAGGTCGGGATTACCGCAGGCATCGAACAAATCGAACAAGATGGCTCAGAGCTGCCGGTATAGCAATGCTTGGGATAATGGGAATGCTTCTTTCGTTCTTCCTAGGCCGGAATCTGCGGCCATCATGGAACGAGCAATGCATTGACACTCAATGGGGTATCCTTTTGACCAGATACTGAAGGAGTTGGAACGAGACTAACAAGTCTATAGGAGATCTTAAACAGAATGTTCGCTTTATTCCGCAGACGTTCAACCCTCGGTTTGAAGGCCCAAAGTCCCCGTACATGGGGGAGCCTAACCCTGACGTTGATCAGCTATGGTATGGTCTTTCGAAAAGTGAGTCCCCATGGAACACCAGCTCTGCTCCCCCAACTGACGGTTGTTGGAAGTGTTCAACTATGGGGTGGACTATGACACCCTGAAGCGAATGAATCGTACAAAAGCGGCTGCTCAATGGCCTGGTACCAAGAAGTATCAGGTTGGTCTGGAGACATTTCACCAGCTCCATTGCCTGGTGAGTGATATGGCTCTCTACGGAATATAGTGGCCCTCGCATGTCTGATTGAATCCAGAATTATGTGCGCATGTACACCTACCAGTCGTACTACGAGAAGATTGACTACGATATGGTTGCCGAAACCCCTGAGGAACGGCAGGAGCACAAAGGTGGGAAGGATTACGCCCTGGGATCCCCTCTAATACTCCATACTGACGACTTTTTCAGATCATTGCGTGGAGGTTCTCCGTCAGAGTCTCATGTGTTCACCTGATCTGAACATATACTCTTACCACTGGATTGGGCACAGGAAATTTCCATACGCGGAGCTGCACACCCCGCACCAGAAATGCATTGACTGGGATGCGTTCTACTCATGGCAGCGTACACAGGCTGTTGCATCGCCTGCTTTGGAGAAACCTGACGGTGCTGAAATATTGTTCGAATGAGGACTGTTTGGGGGCCTAGGCGCCGATTGTCGTTGGATTTGCATGTATTGTGCGTTGGATGGGAGGATCGTCGCCTCACTGTCAATACTCTATTCCGAATACATCCTGCTTCGCATTGCTCCTACGAATACCTTTTTTCCATTTGGTAAAAGTGATTGAAACCGATCGGAGCATATTTCGCTTCGGCCCTTTTCGGTCTGCTACCAGGCAGCCACACATGTAATATTGGACAGTTTGCGTTGCATTGTGCCACTCCCAGGGCTTTTGCCTTTACCACTTCGTGCATGTGATGCTGAATGATAAACATCGCAACTTGAACAAGTAAAATGCTTCACTTCCTTGATTTTTGGCTCCAGGCGGCTGAATATGTGGCTTTGGGTACGTGTAACACGGGGATGCATTTGGTGTCACAGTTGCACAGCATGTGGGAGCCTCGGCGTGTCTCGGCCTCCATCAGATCGGCATTTCCCCCATCAAGTATATGCTCATAGTCTGACTGTAAGGAGCGGCAGTGGCGTGATCTGCGGCACCAGTAAGTTTCATGGTTTGGCCAAGAGGACGTGCAGAATAATCAGAATCCTGACAACAGACTGCTAGAAGAAGCAATACTGATCGCGTCGAGCAAGGTTTCGACCTGCGATGTACGTCGCGCCGATGGTCTGACCACCGGTTCAGAACCCATTGCAGCACAAATGCCATGACAATGTCTCCCCGATAGGGATGCTCGGATACTACGTCCCCTGCTACGAGCAACATGAAGTGGGATATCGCGTCCTCGAAGTTGGGCTTTTTGAAGCTGGGTCGCAGTGAAGGCAAGTATGAATTGTTAGGGAAGTATGCGAACGCAAAGAATGAGAGTATACCAAGAAGCCGCCAGATGTCGGGGTTTTCTACTTGGGCGCTCTCTTGTCTAAATGTACTGCTTTTCCTATTTTCACTGTTGTTGCTGGTTGTCTCATGGGACAATTTTCACCAACAGCGGGAGCTCCATAATGAAGGATACACAACGAATATCAACTACGATCTCAAGCGAGTGTCATCATTCTGTAAGTTGGACATTCAGTCATCGTTTCAATATGGGAAGAAGGAGAATTAACCATACTCAACAGCCCCAATTTTCGATGAGATCGACCTACATCCTCGGCTCCAGAAATTCAACGGCGCAGTCAACGACAACTCTTCCATATTTCGACAAGACCCTTCGCCAGAAGTCGATGCCGCATGGGACCTGATATCTGCTGAGGGTTTCGAGATAACCACGGCCGAGGCCTCATCGCTGGCCAAAGCAGGCCAAGATCCCTCGGTGCTGGTCCATGCGCCTGCATCATGGAATCGCGGGGACGACGCAGTTGTGGTTCAAATCGATGTATTCCATCAAATTCACTGTCTCAATGAGCTACGCAAAGAGATACACTTCGATTACTATTATAAAAATCGCTATGGTGACCGAAGCAAAGCGCCCGCCGAGCATATGATCCACAAGAAGCACTGCATCCATATCTTGTTGCAGAATTTGATATGCCACGCGGATGTGGATCTTATTCCGCACAACTGGGTACATTATGAAGGATTGAATCAAAGCACACGTCCCTGGGCCGAGCCTCTGGCAGATTTCAATGCTGTGAAGAAATGTCGTGATTTCAGTGGGCTCTTGGAGTGGGCGAGGGAGACGGCTATACAAGATCTTCCGACAAGGTGGAAGGAGTTGCAGTATCAGAAAGGCAGGCCTGTGTCGGATGGAAGCAATGGATATTTTCAGATTCCGCATCAACATGAATGAAGTTAAATGTTATAATATCTAGTCATTTGCCTTTTGCGGTAGTAACAAGTTTGTTAAAATCTGAAGATTTCTATAGCGAAGGCCCCAAAATATATTTCCAAACTTGGAGGACTACATCGTAGCAATCTTCCCTCCATACATGGAGCGGCAGAAATATTGAAAACATAAGATCCAGTACAGGCTCAACTTATGAAGAGCGTATATTGTGTATGAAATATATGGGTCCTACAGACATTGACGGAAACAGGCAAAGACGTTGGACGACAATGGACACATGAGACGTCCAATACATCAAAGAGGCCCCGACTAATCTAGCAAGTCATCATGAACATGTTTAGTGCGATCAAATGTTTTGATATGGTGCTCCTGCGCCCAATCCTTGATGGCATCGAAGTCACGACAAGTGTGAATCACCGCCGCAACTTCTTTGACTCTTTGATCCCGTTCGACCCAGACGAAAGGCAGGGGAGTGACATCAACAGCACACATCAAACTCTGTCGGATGGTGTCAATGCAGTGATCGATATGTTCAATACCCATGAGCTCGTCTTCTGGGAGATAGACCTCAGTAGACCAAACCCGTTTTCGAACCATATTCTACCATACCATGTTAGTAAGAGAACTTGCGAAGAGTGATCCTGAAACAGAGAGCCTAGCTTACCAGGCAATGTAGCTGATGGAAGACATCAAGAGATATCGCATACTGTCCAGGGTCGTCTGCGATCGGTACAGTTTTGTTGACAAGATGTGCCGCGTCACTTTTCGGAATCCTACTGATCCCGACTGTGAATGATTCCATCAGCCCTGATATTATACGCGATGACAACGCACAGATTGACGTACAGTTATAAAGATCACTCCATGCGGCATTGTTTTCCGGGGATGGTGGGCCCTGGTACTCGCTTAATTCAGAACCAAACCCAGCCACATAGACCACATTCCGATGGCGGATTAAGTGTTGAACGGGGGCTATCACTGTGTTAGCTGGTATATTAAAGGGAGGGTCATGGGCTGACAGAAAACTTGATCTTTGAACTGACTGTCCCCAGATGGAGCTGTCTTAAGCAACCCGAGCCATGAAACGACCCCAGGAATTGAAAGGAGCGCGATGATGACCCATTGAATGATCAGGAGTGATTTCACTGATCGTGGAAATCGAGGTTTATACCACCGAGCAGGGTAGAGGAGTGATTGCTCGGCTTCACTTTCGCCAGATGGGCCAAGCTCAACTTCATCTTTGAAGGGAGCCATATCCATCTTTCGGGTGAACTGAAAACCCATGACGGCACAGAGGGTAAGTGGAAACCAAAATTGCGAAGGGTCTACGAATCTGACCAGCTCTCGCAGACGACTAGAACAAGATGTACTGAAAGTGGTGCCAGGGCCTGCCGAGTCTTGATGGCTTGGGCAAAAGCTGACAGTCAAACCAAGTTTCTGCGCATAGATCACTCTCGAGCCCCCGCAATGGCTTCGCTGTCATCGTCGGTACTTTTGTGTGCATTTACCTTTAGCAACGTGATGGAGGGATAGGGAGTATGAGATGCAGTCAGCATGATCCAGACAGGTCTCTACAGAGGCGCGTGTCGATGTAGATGGATTCTCAGCCGTACCACGCATGGTGTCGATCCTGTGGTTGTTACACAGCATAGTCGCCAGCGGTCCGCAACACCAAGCCATGACACATAGATCTTCCCCACATCTACTTGGGTAGAACCGAATAGAGCCGTGCAGTAAGGGGGAATGATGCAATTAAAAGCAAATAGTTGCCACACCTGGGCTATGCCGCTCAAAAAGCAATATCCATACTCTGTGCAACGGCTGGGACGGGTCTAACAGAACCTGTGCATGAGGCAACACACTTGCCCAAGCTAGATGAGCTCATGGAGTCTGGACATGGAAAAGTCTCTGTAAAGCTACCACGTTGAGTGGATAATTTATCGCTGATCAAGCAGTAATCCATGCGTCGTACAACCGAGAGTCAGGTAGAGGGTGCATGAGGTTTCGTGGCCGAGACTAGACACCATGTCAATCGGAGCTGAATTGGATCTTCCTACGTAATATCTTCCTTAACGCTACAGGAGATCATCAAGAATGCTTCCCTTGCTGGCGATGTGATAGAGATAGTGCCATGGATGCTGTCGAGGGACAAAGAAACTATGATGCCTGCCTGGGCTAACTAACCATGTAGGGTTACAACGCCACCTGACGGGAGGAGCAACAATCCCCTGAAGCGCCATCCACCTTCCAAGAGCCTCGAGAAACCTACACACCTTCACAGCAACACACGCGCACCCAGCAAATCTCTAGCATCTACAGTGATCAAACATGGCGGTCGAAGAACAACTCGTTCACGCCAGAAAAATCGCAACCGAGCGCCTAGGGCTCAAGGTATGTACAACTGTTAAGATATTGTTGTGTGTGCTGACACACACAGGTCGTGGACATCGCGCCACAGGGGAGAGTATACAACAACTTTACCTACAAGCTCTCTGTGGATGCAGCGGACGGCCCGCCTGTGCTCCGGTCTACAGGGCAGCACGGAACGACTGCCCTCCCACCAGATGTCCAATCTCTCATTCTGCGCATTCCGAACCCGGATGCATCCCTGAACCAAGATGCTAGGGTCGAACATGAGGTTGCTGCCCTTGCACTCGTGAAGAGTTCTGGTCCGCCCTTGTTGCGGTCATTGATCCCAGATGTCTATTCCTGGGCGAGTGTCAGCCAGGCTAACGAAGGAGGCTGGATACTGTACGAATGCAAGGAAGGCGTCAATATTGGGCTTGACTTCCCAAGACTCCCACACGAGAAGCAAAAGGTTCTGTTGTCCCAGTTGGCGCAAATTACCGAAGCTTTCCAGGAGCTGCCCTTGCCCGCTAGCATTGATCGGTATGGAGGGCTGCGGTTCAACGAGAACGGTGAAGTGGTAAGTGGATCGGCGGCACTGCCGATTGGGGAACCTGTGGAAACCTATCAGGATATGTATCGGAATGTCCTGCGTCGTCAGCTTGAGCTCTCAGACACCAGCGAGTTCATCAACGGGTGGAAGAGCACAGACCTACGGGAACGGCTGGACAAATTTGCAGCGAAGGGAGTGGAAGAACTGTTCAAAAGAGTGTCCATCCCAAACAGAAAGACCTTAGTACACGGTGATCTGAGTTGCGTGAGCCCCAGTCCATCCAGAACAGATTTTCATACTAACGAAGACAAACACCAGGCACTCAAAACGTCCTGGTTGACCCCAAAACATACCAAATAACCGGCCTCCTAGACCTTGAGTTCTCACAAGTAGCATCACCCCTGGAGGAATATCTGTATTCCTTCCACGACGTCCATGGCCTGCTACCAGGGGCACACACAACGGATGAAGGGCTCTTGGCTCTCCGAAAAGCTCTTCTGCACGGCTTCCCCAACCCGCTGCCGGAGTCGCCGCCTCCTCCCACGGGCCCAGTCAGGTTTGGATCCAAGAGGAATATCCAGTGGCACCTGGCCAAGGCCTGGGATGAGGAGCTGGCTAAGCTGGAGGTCCAGCGGCCGGCTACTATCCCGTCTGCTGATGAGATCTCTCGTCTGCACTGGTTTGCGCAGGATATTTGTCCGTTTTATTTCCTACAAACGATGTGGCTGGAGGCCGTGGGAGAGGACAGGGCCAAGGAGGAACGTGAGAAACAACACCGCCTTTTAGACCAATACTTGAAGGGATGGGGTTATTGATTTACTCGTGTATTCAGTTCTTTCTCAGACGGATCTGCTCCAAACTCGTTACAATATCAATGAAGTTCCTCAATCCCTTGCTTGCCGGAGTCCCTTGTTGATGGCTAAGTTGTAAATTCCCCAGGCTCTGATAGGCTATGGATTCGCCCGAGAAGGAATTCAAGCTGACGATAAGCTGCGCCTGGGGCATGTTGCGGGATTTCTGCAACATTCGTAAGCCATCAATATGGGTATACCGAGATTCAACTAACCATGCCCGGCCAAGTAGACAGTTGTAAACGTTAGACCTCGCTCGGTGTGGGCGGTTCCCAAATATCCAGCCCCAGCATCGAGCGTAAACGGCCTCGGAGCAATCGTTGCGTTCGACACCTCGGCCAAACCATAGTGGTACGGAACATACAATGGCTCGGTTGGTGGCGTCTGGAACCCCTGTAACCCATTCCACGTCATGTTCTGTATACTGACGAGCGACCCGTTCATGAAGAGCAGAAAGTCAAGCCAGCCGTGCGCGATGATGGTGTTGTTTGTGCGCTCGATCACACTGGGAAGAGGCCCGAAGGAACTAGGAGGCGACCTATCCCCGCTGGGAAATATGTCGTAATCAACACAAGGCGAGTAGCTTGTTCTAGGAACATGCAGAATGTTCTGCACATCTGACCGGTTGAAGTAATTGTTCGGTCCATCGGCGAGGGTCGGAAATCCCATCTCATTCCAGAGATAAGGGCAGTAGTCTGTGAGGTGATAGAGGTTGAAGCACGGATTAACGTAGTAAGCTGCCCGGACGATCTCATCCCAAAGAGTGCAGTTGTCTTTCTTTTCGTCCGGGGCGTGTGGGAATGCGCTTGGGGGAGGATAAGTAAGGGCTTCGTCGAGAAACTTGTTGAAACCACACTTCTCGGCCCGATCGTTCACGTCGTCAACGAACGTCTTGTTCAGGGAGAAAATATTCCGGTAATGATTGAAATGTGCAACCGCCGGTGCTGTGGAACCAGTAAGCCGGTATACAATATAAGCGACAGGAGTCCTGCCTACCGTAGATCATTACACTGTCCGTGTTGATCATAGGGTCGATAATTTGGATACCGCGGACGTTGAAGTAGGCTGTGTCGTGTTCATCCAACATTGCAGAAGCAATATATGGCACATATTGACCCGCGTAGCTTTCTCCAGTGATGTAGACCTTCCGACCATGCAAACCGAACGTATCCACAAAGTTCTTAAACCAGGTCTTGAACTGACGAGCTACGTCCGCCTCGTCCCGCGCAGTGGATGGCCCAGGAGAGAAGCCGGTGCCCGCAGGTTGGTCCACATAAACCATATTGGTGAGATTCGTCCATGAATAGGGGTTGGGGATCGGCTTATACGTTCCGGGTCTCCAAATAAAAGGACCGTTGCCCTGGAGCATCCCGGCAAGAGAGCTACATCCAGGGCCGCCATTGAGCCAGATCGTTATCTATTCAACGACAAGTTGAGATTAGACATCTCAAAATATGGTCTTGTGAGTGAACCTACCTCGTCCTCGGCATCCGCATTGTGCGAAGGGAAGAACCAAAAGAACAGACTCGAATTTCCCGCGGGTGTGTTGGGCAACAGGCCTGCATAGGATTCGCCGACATCGAAGTCGACCTCGGGAATGATACTGCCGTTGACGAGAAACCCTGCTCGAAATGAGTGTTATGTATAGAACCAGGGGGTGAGTCCTTACTGTCTGTCTTGCTATTCAAATAGCGATAGGGCTCCCCTTGCTGAGTCGGTGGGATTGCGTGCAACGTTCGGTCTTGAGTGATCTGAGACCTTCGCCAAAGGGGATTTTCCAAACCATTTGCACACAATGCGAGCAATAATATGAGGACAGGTGTCATGGTCAGAATTTTGTCGAAATGTTCACATACGTCGCTCCCCGGGACAAGTGCGTTGCCGGTATAAATATGGTCTGCGCCAAGGGCTGATCCATGCTCTTTGCTTTTCTTCAGGTGAGACAACACAGCCTAAAATCATGGACACGTCAACAGTAGATCAGTTCCGTCTTCTGGCTCTTTTAAATAATATGCGCGGTCTGTTTCAGTCCGAGAAGGCTCTTCGTTAATCATACCGCAGACTTGGAAACGATATATTTTGACGGAGATGTAGAACTATCTGTGACTCCTTACAGCATTTGCTCGGAGTTCCGATACAGTCCACGCAGGACCGACCGCATAAAATCACCCATTCGACCAGAAAGGAGGACATAGGCGTGTCCATGCGCGTCATAAAGGCTACGGTTCGGTATATGACGTTGTGTCGCTGTGGCGCGAACAAAGCTTTTGAAGTATGATAGAGATGCCTTACTCGTACGACACACATAACTAGACACATAGTAGGAGACTAAGCCACGATCTGTTTTCCGATCTAGACTGCAGCACGGCAAGCTACCCGAACAGCGAGGCCCTGATGGAGTAGAAAAATGCAAACTCTGATTAGGGTTTGATAGACCGTCGGCCGAAAGTGGCGGATCTTGTATGCGGGCTGTGCAGTAGGAAGCCATGGTAAACCACGAAAAGGCGAGCATGATATCATCACTACTATAAATCAAAACAATATACAAATAGGATGGACCGTATGAGTCGATTCAAGGGACTTTCTGCCAGAGGTCCATCCATGTCACATTCATACAAACCACAATGTCAGTGCTCACGGCAAGAGGGACAAACGAGCAGCTCGATCAAGAAGAACCAAACCATTGGAGCCGAACGCTCATCGCCATAGCTATCATGACAATGACCCTAGCTACCATCTCATTCGTTCTCCGTCTGTACAGTCGTCAAAAGACCAATTGGAAATTAGCAATTGAAGACATGTTCATGGGTCTGGGCCTACTCTGCTCATACGGTTTGAACGTGTGTGTGATTATAGGTATGTTGTGCCTTGCGTATTCGAATTAACCTTATTCTGCTACTGACAGTCAGTAGCTGCGTTCAATGGAGTAGGACACAATGTGTGGGCATTACCCGAACAGACCCAAGGTCGAGCAGCTCTTGTATGGCACCTTCGAGTATATCATCGTGTCAATCATTGCTAATTAATGTTGACAGCTATTCTGGCTCGGCCAGAAGTTCTGGGCGCTAGCACACACATTCGTGAAACTGTCTATTGTCCTTCTCATCCGCCGCTTGCTCCACACAGTGGGACCCTGGCAGGCGGTTACGACGGCGCTGATTGTGTTCACTGTGGCGTGGGGTATAACCGCAGTCATTGGAAACGCCTTTCAGTGTATACCCGCTCAATACTTCTGGAATAGGGACATTGAGGGTCATTGTTCTGTTCACCAACAGGCCTTCTCCATCTCTATTGGATCATTGGCGCTGTTGGAAGATGCTGTCCTGCTGTTGATACCGGTCCTCATCGTCTGGCGATTAACATTAGAATGCGCCGAGAAGATCCGGATCACTCTGTTATTTTCCGTCGGAGGGCTGTAAGCATTTAAGCGCCTGAAATTCCGCTTGTTCTAACCACAGACAGGGCATGCGTTTTCAGTATCTTGCGCGTGATAGAGTTGATTCACTATCAAACAGACAACTTGACAGGTATGTTGAAGACTGTTATAGCATTCAAGGATGCCAGCTAATACACGGTATAGCAAATGGATCCCTTGAGGGAATATGGGCCATGCTGGAGATCAGCTTGGGGATTGTCTGTGCATGTGTTGTTCTCTTGCGCCCACTTTTTCACGATTGCCATACATTTTTTAGACGGCACTTCGGAAGCGAGAAGAATTCCTCATCGGCGAATGATTCAGTGGTCAATTCAGCGACCAGTGCTCAGAAATCAAGACTAAACTCATGGTCACCCGAGCCATGGTCGTCAGAGGTGGAGATTGTATAGTGATATTACATTCGAAATGGACAACATTTTAAACAGCTAGTTCAAAATAGCTCACAATAGTTCGTAAGTATGGGTAATTAGTTGGGTCTTTTAAGGGGTATTTTATAACACTTCCCGGATCATAGTACACGGATGGGCCTGACAAGAAACAACAGAGACATGTACGGGAGAATCGTCTTTTCACATAGAGCTCACTAACTCGACAGAAAATATGATGCATACACCATTAATACGATCCGTTCTTTACTACCGTTATCTTATGACAGTTGCATACTTAGGCCTATAGAGGACATCATCGATCTATCCGCCACCACCACTCCCTCCGCCTCCTCCACTTCCGCCACCGCTTCCTCCATATCCGCCGCAGCTTCCTCCATATCCGCCGCCGCCGCAACCACTGCTCCCCCTGGAGGAATATGAGGAGCCCTTGTACCGGTTGTTTGTTTTAGGACGGCTGGAACTCATATTGGACTTGTCCAAAGTTCGAACAGGTTCTAGCCGAGGGAGAACATCGGCCTTTGTGACCGAACCACATCCGGAGCCGCAGTTAAATTCCGCTCCCTTGCTGAGATTCTTATCACCAGCTAGCTCATCGAGACGATAGAGCTGAGCGTCCGCGCATTCCCATCCTCCTTGGGACGAATTCCGTGAAAGCGCCGCGTGGAAGTATGGGTAATAGGATGTTTTCCCTTCACTTAAGAGAGCGTCGCTCTGAAACGCACCCTGAAAACCGTAGAATGCGAGGCGTCCATGCCGTTGAGAGGTAGCGTAGAACTTCGGCACCTGGAGGGCGACTGTAGCAGGGATATCCTGCGCCCTCATACGTGCATCTCTGAGCTTTTCGTACTCATGTTTTTGTTTCTCTTCATCCAGCGCTGCCCAATGTGCGAGAAAATAGTTCTTCCCTACTCCGACATCGTAGTAGTGGCTACAAGGCTGTGCGCGATGAATCCCTCCAGTCCGGACGCGGGACAGATAGGGATGCGATTGCAACAGGCCGCGATCAGTTTCATGGAGCCAAGCTGTCAGCTTGACAAACGTTGGGGTTAGTGACATAGCCGCCGCGGCCCGATGGAGCTTAGACGAGGCTTGGAGCACTGATAGACGCAATTGCGTCCATTTTTTGAGCTTTGCAGGGTCAGTCATGCCGACGAATCCGGGATATTGATGCTGGTCGCGCTGCAGATGCAGGGTGACAATGGACCAGGAATCAAACGGAAATGCCCAGACGTGCTTTGACAAGTTGCATTGTCCACATTTAGCCTGGGAACCTTTATATGCCTCCGAACAATCCCATGGGAACACATCCTGGTGCTCGTACAGCGGCTTGGAAAACCCGCCCCAGTCGTACCAATATTCTTGGAGGGAATCGATGATATCGGCATCGTTATGTCGACCGAAGTGGAGTCGTCTTATGTACTCCTCTATGAAGCCTTCCGGAGCGTCAAATTTGCTTCGCAACTGGGGCTTCATGTATCCTTTCTGTGGTGGGGAGACAAAGCTCATCAAATACAACGGAGACAAGCCAGGGATAGTCTGAGGTGGACCGTTCACGAGAGGGCTATACAACGTATAGTCCAGAAGCGAGTCGCAAAAGGCGCGACAGTTGTTGTCCAGTGGATTCCACGTGAGAGGGTTGTCCGAATCCAGCAGACGCTGGACAATGCGGTGGAGATAAACTTTCAGACGACTCTGAAGAAGAGCTTTCATGGATTCAAGTATCGAGTGGAGGCGTTCATCGAGTTTTCGCTTTTGATCCCCGGAAGAAAGTACTGCGCTGTCAAAAGCATGCTCACTAGCTTCTACGACCAGGTTGACAACATGCGCCTCCTGATCGCTCTCGACGAAGCGTGACAGTGCACCGGAAAATGGAGCCCCGACGACTTGCTTCAGCATGACCTTGTAACGCTTTGGAGTTCCTACGACACGCTGGTGTTCCCACACGCGCCTTTCAACATCCGTCCCAATGGATAAGGCGCGTTGATGCGAGCCGCGGATAGCGAAGCGTTCGATGAAAATAGGCAAATCGCGCAGGGAGACCAGGGCTCCAGCATGAGTACTGCTAAGAGGTAAGCGTCACACTCATCAACGCACATCCACACCTAGAGAGATACTCACTTTGAGACACCATTTTCGATCACAAGTGGCCCAACCCGCAGAGCCATATGTACCCCCGCGAAGGGATTTCTGTCTGCACACTGGCGGAAAAACAAAGGAACGTCCGCATCGTCCGTGGCCAGCACATCGAGAGTAGCATCTCGAGAGGGTCTGGATTGGCCTCCGCTACCTACAGACGTACTCTCCCTGGCGGCTCCTGACAGCCGTCTTGCCTTAAGCTTTTCACCAGCTTGGCTAATCCGTCTTGAGAGTGATGACTTCTGGTCCTGGGGAACATCGCCCACTGAAGCCAGGAGCCCCGTGTATTTAGCTTCTGCTTCGCGTTCGGATAGGCCATCTGTTGAAACAGAGTGCTTGTACGACTTGGTGAAAGATTCATCCCCATAATGGCGTGACCAGTAGCAGGATTCACACACAGTCTTCGTATGTCGGTTGGGCTTCCGTGAACGTTCACTGTACATGCTAGCCGTGATAAGGCTGTTACATTCTGCGCATCTTAGCGGCGCATACTGAGGACCTGCGTCTTTATCCACCGAGGCGACAACAACTTGGTTATATTAGCATTGGTATGGAACGGGATATGCCAACAGACCTTGAGGAATGCCTGGGCGCTTCGCAGACTTATCAAGCAGCGGGCGGTGCTCGATTATCTTGTCAATGTCGAGGAAACCTGTATCGTCAGTAGGTGCTGAGGTTTGAGATCTCGTGAAGTTACTTACCAGATGACTGCAAGAGCAACCAAGCAAGTTCATGAGTGAAATCAGGTTGCATTGGAATTTCTCCATGGAAGGGCGGGTTAGTCCATCACTCCAGGACCGGATGAATACTTGCGACGTACCCTTCATTTTCGCAAGAACTTCTTCTCGAAGCATTTTGCTACTCCGATCCGCGATCGTGCCCTGAACGGCTGCTTGTATAGCAGCAAGCTTGGATACGGATGTATCCCGCACCGCATTCTTTGACCGTAACTCCTCCGATTCGGTCCTTTGTAGAGCACTGACTCGTGATGCACCTGTTGAAGAATAAGCATTACACCGCACGTTGAAGTCCATTTTAACACCAACCATATTGGAGGGCAAATTCCCGAACATGCCCGTTAACTTGGTTGATAAAAGTATCATAGCCTTCAATATCATAATTTTCGTAGGGGTCTGGTTCGTCGGCCGGATATTTGTTCTGTCTCCAGGCCCTCAACGTGCAGACGATATTCTCCAGCTCATCTCGAACCCCGTCCCAGTATAGCTTTTCCAGCTCACTGGCCAAGCAGTCTCTACCCGGACCTATTGATGTCCACGGTACGTCAGGACATTCAGTTATGTTTGTTGGTGACGATAGATATTTCCACCGTTCGTGAAGTACTTTCATCGCTGCCATGGTGAGTTGGGAGCCAGGTGTGCATACTAAGGAGATTCCTTTTTGGATGTTTTGATATATTATACCAGCAGAGCCGCACTAGGACAGGGCTTTCGAGGCCCAATGCGTTCGTAGGTTGGAAAGAACTACGCCTTGCTGGCTGAGTGCGCCTGTGGCGTATGAATACGAGGATGATCGCGTGGTGACCGGAGGGCGCGGGAGGATTGTCGATAGCCCCGTGGCTGCCATGGATTCGATGCGCGTACCCTCCCAGGAACTAGCGTCTTCCGTTGCCCTGCGCCCTGTGAATCACATTCCCGTGATAGATTTACTTGCACCAAGGCAGACTGAGATGCAACGCAGGCAGCTGTATAGAGAGCAGGCAGCTCTATATGAGCTTGGAGAGAGCAACAAGCGTGTTCGAGGACATCCTGCCCTACTTTACTATATCCAAGATCACAATCATGGCACTCGGCGCAACACACCATCTCGCGGACCTCCACGCCATCGGACTTGAGGAAACGGAGCTTCTCCTGTCAGCCGCATCGGGCAAATCTCAAGGAGCAGAGTATCCTTCTGAAGAACTCCCCATTCCCAAACCTGAATTGTTCCGCACGCTCCGGGGAATTGCCGGTCCGGACGATGCTCCCACTATCGGCGAGTGCGCAGTCCATCTGGAGATGCTTGAAGTATTTCATACACTCCGGACTAAGGTCATACAATCCAGAGATCTGGATGTAGCATTCGGGGTCCATCCACGGACAAAGTCTGTCTACAACGGGAGCCAAAACAAATGGCATGTACCTGTTGCGGTGGAGAAGAAGCTCAAAGACGACACGTTCGAACAACGGAGGGCCGAAAAATGGACATGTTTCTTGCAGCTAGCTGCCGGTCGATTCCATCGCTGGATACGCGCTGTAAATGTGTGTCTCAGGCTGGAGACTGGCGGACCGGACAAGCAACCGCAATGGATTCTACCACCATTAGGTGCGCTATGTATCTGCAACCTCTATAGGGACGTGGTCTCACTAACTGGCCCAGACATACTTGTGGTGTGGCATGCGTTCCTTTTGAATCCGTCTGATTTAAAGGACTACTATGACAAGAGACATCTCAAACGTGTGCAAGGAATCCGATTTCCTTGGGAGGAGATTGTCAGTGCTATGCCCCTCCACGAAATCATGCACTAACTTCTGAAAGCACAAAGCCATCAGCTCAAGTGATTGGACGTACACACTCCCTTCTGGGGTGGCTCACTGGCTACGCGCGGCAACAGGCCTAGAGCCCGACCTGTTCAAAACTCTCACCAAGGTTTCGACAGGCGATAAACCCGCTTGGGAAATCCTCAAACGCCATCCCACCTGGAGTTCCACCATACTCGAGCAACCTACCGACACGGAGAAGCCGCGGACGTTCGCGTATTGGGTGGAGGAAGCAGCAGCGAATCTCTCGGAGAACAAACCCTTGGTTGACAATGTGCAGCGGCAGTGCGTGTTTGTCGATAAAATGCATGCCCATCGGTGGATCTGTAGCCCGGCTGTCGAGGGGACTCTCCGACGGGCTGTGGTGCGGTACGAAAAGTTCATCGCCTTGTTCCGCGATCTCGACAGTTTCCTGGTGCCGACACTCGATGTGGACCTTGTCTGGCATACGCACCAATGCAGTGCTGATCTCTATCGCCAGTTTGTCGTGAAACACGCTGGTCGGTTCATCAACCATGAGGATAAGATCAGTCGCGGTACACTGGACAATGGCTTCACCAGTACCGAGCAATGGTACCGGCTTAAATTTGGCGATCAGTATCAGACTTGTCTGTGTTGGCATTGCGAAGCCATTTTGTCAGCTGTGGAAGACGCGGATGTTACAGCCGTCGATGTTGATGTTATTGTCCAGCGGGTGGAGAGACAGGTCCATCACTACAAGGAAGTTGAGATTTCTCGACGTCTTGGAGGGGGACTTCCCAAAGGTATTACTACCTGAGATGCATTTGCTTCTGATCGTGCATTAATATGACGTTTTTCATCTGAAATATGTAGTACATGTCTCTCTCCTCGGCCATACAACCACCCAACATACTGTATACTAATCAAACTAAACGGGCAATGAACCTCGGCAAGATCGATCGTTGAATGCCAGCAGTGGCAATTATTGGCCCAACAAACCCGCCCTGGGCTTGGCAGCGGCTGGTGGGTCAAAGGTTATAAAAATACAAACTTCGCCCGGCGCGAATTGATGATCGTGGGATTTAGTAGTGTATATAGACCATTGCGACTCTCAGTCATTCGGCACGTCCTCCATAATATAATACATAATCCACCCATGCAAGCAATCCGCTCGTTACTCGCCTCCCTCTGGGAATCCACCAGCTTCTGGAAAGCTGCCGCGCTCCTTTTCGCCCTGCTCAATCTAAAGACCCTCCCGATCGTCTGGCATGTAAGTATACCCCTGGCCCGCATGCTCCATTCCCCAGTCAGCACCAAATACTCATCCTCTTCAGCTGCGCGTCTACCGCTACTTCTTTCAGCATGGCTATCTCATAACCCCCGCCGTCGAGCAGCCGGCCCGTCCGTCCACGCAGATCCTCAAGCCCGTCAGCCTCTTCTCGCGCGCGCCCATCATGGAGCTCGATTTCAATATGCACAAGTCCAACTCGACCTATTTCTCCGATCTCGACGTGTCGCGCACGGCGCTGATGTCCAGTCTCGTCGTCAAGGGCGCTGCGCTGTTGGAGCGGCGCCTCGAAGCGCAGGGCAAGAAGGGGTTCCTTGGATTCATCCTCGGCAGTGTCTACACCACGTTCAAGCGCGAGATTCCGGCGTATATGAAGTACGAGGTCAAGTCGCATGTCGCGAGTTTCGATAACAAGTGGATCTACATTATTACGTATTTCCTTCGGCCGGGAAAGAAGGGCTCGGATAATGAGGAGGTGCTGAAGAAGAGGTTGCTGGCGGTGTCGATTAGCCGGTATGTGTTGAAGAAGGGCCGGTATACTGTCCCGCCGAAGGATGCGTTTGAGGCGGCCGGATATACTCCTATCCTTGCGACTGCGGATACCAACGGACATGCGACTGGAGCTGAAAATGGACATGCCAATGGGGACGCTGTGTCGCGGAAGGAAGCTGTCAATGGCGATTCGGATGAGTGGGAGCGCCTGAAGAAGGAGATCGATCATGGACTGGACGTTGTCGCGCCCTTCATTGATCAGGAGGAGAAGCTGCTCGACGACTATGTCGACAAGATGCGTCGTCCTGGATTTGCATAGAACGGTAATTATATACATACATAGATTAGACATTGGTTTCATAGACTGGTTACATTGGGACATGGCGAATTTCGATATGCGATAGACTCGTCTAGCTCTATAATGCAACAATATTATTTTCCAACCCGTTACTGGACCTTTCCCCTCGAGTCAACCGGCCAGATCTCCTCAATGACCCCATTCCGATACCCGTAGTACCAGTCGTGCAGGTTGATCGTGGGATCGATGTGACTGGGGATCATCTCCACCCGATCGCCCACAGCAAGATCCGGCGTGCCTTCTTCCCACGTCAGCGAACCGTGCTCGTCGCCGAGAACATCGTACGTATACCGCGGGTCCTTGCACTCGGCCAAACCGCTATCCGTTGTCAACGACTTCAGTCCAGCGTCAATGGTGACCGCCCGCGGACCTTGCTTGCTGACGACCGTCGACAGGATCGTAAGGCTGTTGGAATAGAACGTGCCCACCGCCGCGCGGTAATCCGTGTCCATAAAGATGAACGACCCGGGCTGCAGCTCCGTCACGCCCGGAACAGAGGCGCAGAACTCGGCCGTCCCCGTTCCACCGGTGGTCACCACTTCGATATTGAATCCCGCCTTGCGGAACGCATCCGCAGTGCTCGTCAGCGTCCGCATAGACTCGAGACACTGCGTCTTGCGATCGTTGTAGTCGTGAAGATGCTGGAGGTGGCCCTCGTAGCCCTGCACACCGATCAACTTCAGATGTTTCAATCCACCCACGTGCCGGGCGAGAGCCAGCGCTGGCTCGCCGGGCTTGACACCCGTGCGGTGCAAGCCCACATCCAGGTCAATCAGCGTCGCGATCGGTTCGTCGATACCGGAGCGCGCCAGCGCGTCGTTGATGGCACTAGCTGCGACCTCACTGTCCACCACAATCCGGATCTTGCGATGCTTGCGATACAGTTCCACCAGCCTCTGGACCTTGGCGGGGCCGACAATTTCGCATGTGATGAGGAGGTCATCAAAACCCTGAGCGGCGATGGCTTCGGCCTCGCTGATTTTCGCAACGCATCCGCCCTTTGCGCCTGCTTTGGCCAGCTTGCCCGCGAGGATGGCGCTTTTCGTTGTCTTCAGGTGGGGGCGGATGCTGAGGCCAGTGGGCAACAGCTTGTCCATCAGCTTCTTGATGTTGGCCTCCATCAGGTCGAGATCGACGATCATGGAAGGAGTGTCAAGGCTATCGAGCCTGTCGCCGATTTGAGGAGAATACATGCTGTCTGGGGGGGTTACGGCGGGGTGGAGGATTATTCGTGTGGAGGAGTTGTGGGTGAACGAGGCACGCCGGCTCAATATATATTGCCGACGCAAGGGGTTATGGTGACATATAATCACGATCGACGGAGTTTCCCTTGGAAAACTCGCTGTCGTAGTATCGGACAGTCACCCCCACCGGCCAGCGCGATCAAACGGTGGTATCTGTCTCCTGCGTGGTACTGGAATGACGCTCTCCCACGCTAAGGGTATTGGAGAAACCCCCACACTAGATATGGTGGGGGTGGAGTGTTCCCATTATCGGAGCGATAGTAACATCCATAGCGTCGGCAATGCGGGGTATGAGAGATGGCTATGGTACGTTTGCCGATGACTCGTATGCTGTCAACCGCTTGAATGTTGAAGGAGATGGCTGAAGATGATGATGGATTGCCTCAAAGGGAAGTTGGTTAAGATCACGGTGATTCTTATCTTATCTTCATCTATCTTATCGATAAAGAATCATGTGACCCATATCTATCAATCCCCTGATAATAGGTAATAATATTCACGCGACAGGTCAATTTCTGCCAGCACTCGTCAATTCCTGGGAATCCCCCCCAACACTGGGGGGCTTCGATCCCACGATCTGAGAATATCTCCTTGACCCACAGCTCGGCATCCCGAACCCGCAATCTCATTTCGCATCCGCCACCCAGATGTCTCTCCCTGGACCCCGGGTCGCTCCGCGACGACGACGCCATCGAATCCGAGATCCTGCAATTACAGGACCAGCTGCGCCGCGTACGGAAACAGCGGGAATTATTGGAGCTTCGCCATGCTCTTGCTGAAGAACAACGTCTGTTGGAGGATGTCAAATACCGGTTAGCGGCGTCAGCCTCGCACACACCCACGACGGCGTATCCACCCCCTCCAATAGACTCGGTGCCTATGAATGATGCTCAGCCTGTGCATGGAATCAAACGATCCCATTCTGCGGTATCTTTGGACGACGTCGAAGAACATGTGTCTCAGGTATCCTCGCACGATAGTGAAGACAATGCGTCTGATCCTGGGTGGGTTGCGAATTGGCCCCAAGGCGACGAAATTGAGCTGTCGGACGACGAAGACTACCCGTCCTCAACGACCACCAGCGTCGGGAATGAGTCGGTTCGGTCCGATGATCTGAGCGTTGACAGTGATGCAGAATCCAACCCGTCGGTTTTCTCGTGGGATTCATCATCGGATATTTTCCGACCGGAGCTTCCCTTTGACGGGTTTTTCACCATCACGACGCGCGGGGCGTATCGCGACTTCAAACGCAAATTGGCCAACCACTTCTCTCAATACAGCAAAAGGTTCAGCCTTGACAAATGGAAAGTTCGCGAAGCGGAGGTCAACCTGTCTGGTGGACTATTAGCCGAATGGCGCAAAGCAAAGCGCGACGAGACATGGTTGGAGTTGCACAACTTTCTACTCCAGAAGCATTCTCGCCGCCGCGGCAAACGGAACGGAAATATCAATGCCATGTATTGGGCTGCTAGACAACGCGAAGACCAGTCGGTGCACAACTACAACTCATATCTGCTTGACTTGGAGGTCGAGATGCCACAGCTCCTTAATGAGGACCAGCTTATCATGAAGCTCCTCGATGGAGTACTTCCGGAAGTGCGCTTTGCATGGGTTGGCCCTAGTGCCCCTCACTCAGTTGAATCTGACTATGTGGCTATGGTCAATTCGCTGGCAGCTGCGGAAAGGAGTCTTCCGAAAAGAGTAGAAAAGTTGGGGGACAAGATACACCCCCCCAGCGGGTTCAAGAAACCTCGAACCTAGCTAACGGTAAGCCATGCTTTTTATGGGATGTGCTCTACTATTTGTAATATACCATTCGTGTACATCATGTGAGTGGTTGAACGCCCCCAAATTGTCCCTATGTTACCCCATTATCCACATGCCATCCCTTGGTCCATGATACACATTCCTTTCCATTCAGACGGAATCCGCAGGGAACAATGATGTCGATCATGTTTGTGTAAGATAATTTAAGAATAATATGTGATCATCGCAGGGTGCTTGAGGCCTGGCAATCATCTCGCCACCCCATTGCCTTACAATCTACCATTCTCTTTGATCATATCCGCAGCCCTCTCCGAAATCGCATATAGAGTGCTGGTTAGATGCCCACTAACCTGCATGGGCAACACGGATGCATCTATGACCCGCACATTGTACGTCCCATACACCGTTAGATTCTTGTCCACCACTCCACCAAGCTCGCGAGGGAGCATCGCCGCTGTCCCCAGCAAGTGGTGATTCGCACTGACTGTCGAAACATGTTAGCCTAATCAGCCATGGAAATCTCATGGACACCACCACTTACATGAACTCTTGACCCAGGTGGTCCACTCCTCGGTCGTCGAATTGTCAGGGACTGCGGATACGTTGGGCTGGATTCTATCACCCACAATTGAGGATATAGGGCCACTTGTCCAGTACGTCATCACCAACTCTTTGATCTTCATCTGAAGTGCAGTATCCCAGTCTACCATGAAGTAGTTTGGGTTGATCACAGGGTAATCCAGCGGACTCGCCGAGCGGATATGGACGTTGCCTCTGGAGAAGGGGAAGCTGATCCAGAATGCCGATGCCAGGTTGTGGCCAGAAGCCGTTGTCAAGATTTCAACACAGGATATGTTCTTGTGAAAAAGCATATCATGCTGAACGCTCAGCAGCTTCTCAACGCTGGCAGCATTCACACCGTCCCCATTTGCTTTGGCTATCTCCCGTGACCAAGCTTTGATCTGCTGGGCCGTTGATCTTGCAATGTCATCGACCTGAGATCCGAATAGGTCGTGAATGCTTTCGTATGTGACGTATGGAGCGGTTCCGTTCAGTGTCATATTAGTCGAAAACATGATCGCGGTGTTGGCCTGATCCTGTGCGTTCTCTCCAACTCCGGGAAGAGGGACCTTCGTCGAGATATTGTATCTGTCGAGGATGCTGCAATGGACGTTAGAATCTCACACCTAACAGTGTATTGACCAGTGCCAGACTTACCTAGGATTGCCAACTCCCGAGAGTTCGAGGATGGCGGGAGAACGAATCGACCCTGCAGAGAGGATAACTTCTTTCACCGCATGGATGGTCCCGAGGACTCCATCCGGCGAAGCATATTGAACACCTGTAGCAACTGCCTTTCCTGATGATTGAGAGCCCTTTTGCCATGATATCCTCGTCGCTATCCCACGATAAACGACCAAATTTGGTCTGTCCTCCACGGGATAGTAATATGCGCGAGCAGCATCCTCACGCACATTCGCAGCTCGGTCCAATGTCTGCGGCCAGACCGAGAATCCGTGCAAATCACCCCCGTTCGCATCCGGGTTTTGGAACATCCCCAATCGTTTCCATGTTTCTCGCACGAGCGACGGGAATGAACCGTTCAAAAGTCGATATGGGTAACCGACTTTCATAGGTCCTTTCCAACCATGATACTCTTTGACGTACGACGCTCCAGCCACAGCCTGCGCCTTCGTTGGTATCTGGAATCGCTCGCTCTTGAGATAATACGGGTACAGGCTGTCCCAGTTCCAGCCTTTGTTTCCCAAGGCTTCCCATGTATCAATCTCTCGTTTCTGGGACCGTATGTACGTCATCCCTATATCTGAGTGAGACCAGCCAAGCTTTTGTTATCCATGGATAAACCGGATTTAAACACACCATTGATTGTACTTGTCCCTCCTAGGGCCTTCCCGGCATGATAATCAATCTCCTGGTTGTTTGCATAGGCTTGGGGCGCAGTATGATACTGCCAATCGATCGATGTGCCATACGATAGTCCGAAGCCTGCCACACTGGTCACATTCGGGTTATTGCGTTCGTCGCCGCCAGCCTCAATCACGGCCACGGTTACCCCTGGAGTCTCACTCAGGCGATTGGCGACGGTCAGGCCACACGTACCTCCTCCAATAATGACATAGTCGAAGGTGTCTGTCGCCAGTCCGTAGGCTGCTGTCGTGAGGACGAGCACGCTCGAGATTGCACGATCCAATCTGAGCAGCATCTTTTCTATGCATCGATGTACGGTGAGGATTTTGTGGAACACGGGTTCGAGAACTCGGATTTATGCGCAGCCACAATGCTTACTCCCGGTAAGCATCTAGGATGTTGTCAGCAATGTCTGTGCTGTTGATGTTTACCCCGCATGGCTGATGGACGCCTGAAAATCACCAGAGAGGCAGGAGTAGTGTGGGTGTGACCTGTTCTTTCGGCGGGGATTCCTTGTCGCTTTCTGCGTATCCCAGGCTTCCATGCACATATTGAGATATTTAAGACGCTCTCTTCCTACTCGCGGCAGTCGCATCGGAGCGCCCCAGGATATCCGTTACTTTTTGGGCCGTCTTATGTGCCTTTATAGGCCCGGCTATTCGAAACGAGGGTCACGTAATTGACAGATGTTCGACACGGGGTTAGCTCCGCCAAATAACATCTAAATGGGACGGTTAAATGGGCTTATATCGCCAATTCTGTATTTTCCACCAATTATTGGTTTCGACGGTTAAGCTATAAGATCAAGTACAGACCCTGCGCAAGCGAATTCCCGCACCATGCTTAGGTGACTGGCTAATTCCCAACGATTGGTCTCGACATGAAGGCCCGGGACGCGTTGTCCCTCTTGACGGTCTTTGCAATGTCCTTTTCAGCAGGGTCCGTGGCAACAACACCCAAGAACTCGACATATACGAACCCCATACTCCCCGGCTGGCACTCGGACCCAAGCTGTACCTTTGTGCCTGAAGAAGACAACACATTCTTTTGTACGACTTCGTCTTTCCTTACATTTCCAGGGATTCCCGTCTACGCCAGCAAGGACTTGATTCACTGGAAACTGGTCAGCAATGTTGTCACCCGTCCCGAGCAAGTACCCGAGATCGCAAATAGTACATCTCAAACGCAGCAAGATGGCCTCTGGGCGTCGACAATAAGATACCGCAAGGGGAAATTCTATCTTCTCACTTCTTACGTCTCAATGGTCCCTACATTCAAGGCAAACGGTTTACTCTTCACCACGACGGACATTTACTCCGACAATGCGTGGAGTGATCCGATTAGGTTCCACATTGGGGACATAGATCCTGACATCTTCTGGGATGACGATGGGATAGCGTATGTTTCTTACGCTGGGATCTCGCAACAGACGATCGATCTGGAGACAGGGGCTACTGGACCAGCCACCAAGATCTGGGCCGGTTCAGGTGGCCGTACTCGCGAAGGGCCTCATATCTATAAGAAGGACGGTTGGTATTATTTGTGCATCGGTGAGGGAGGCACGGAGCTCGATCATCGCCAGACAATCGCCCGATCGAGGAACGTTACGGGTCCGTTTGAAGGGTATAGCGGGAATCCGATTCTGACGAACGCCAACACGACGGAGTATTTTCAGACGGTTGGCCATGCGGATCTCTTCCACGACAGTAATGGAAAATGGTGGGGGATTGCTCTGGCGACCCGGTCCGGTCCAGCCTGGAGGGTTTATCCCATGGGTCGGGAGACGGTGCTGTTCCCTGTGACGTGGAAGGAAGGGGAATGGCCGATTTTGGAGCCTGTACGAGGGGAAATGTCAGGGTGGAAGCTACCACAGCCTCGCAATAAGAAGATTCCCGGTGATGGAGCGTACGTGGACACACCGGATCTTATCGATTTTGCTCCTGGGACTCCCATTCCTCGACATTTTCTCTTCTGGAGATTCCCGAAGGAGGACGCCTTCACCGTCTCGCCACCTGAGCATCCGTTCTCCCTGCGTTTGCTGCCCTCTTCACACAATATAACCGGAACTGGCGTTCCCGGCGTCAGTAGCGAGGAAACAGCGATCACACTTATTACCCGTCGCCAAAGTCATACGTACTTCACGTACAGTGTGGATGTGTCGTTCACTCCGACGACGGAAGGAGAGGAAGCCGGTGTAACAATATTTTTGACGCAGTATCAGCATATTGATCTCGGAATCGTGATGCTTCCATTCGCGGGAAAACTAGTGCCACACATACGTTTCCAGACGACTCTGTTGGATGATCTAAATACGCAGGCGACTCAGAATGTGACAGTACCGGAGACCGTCGTCAAGACCGTCCCTTCATCTTCAAAGGAGGTTCGCGCTCGCTTACAAATTCAGGCAGTGGATGATACGCATTACATCCTGTCTGCGACGGCCCCTGGGTTCGATGACTTCAAATTCAGTCAGAAGGCTGAAGTTGTACTTGTTAGTGGTGGGACGGGAAGGTTTACTGGTAAGGCAGTTCCTGTTCACGCTGAATGGCGTTGTGCTGACTTTCGTGTAGGAACTCTTCTTGGAGCTTATGCCACTAGCAATGGAGGATCTGGTTCAACGCCGGCCTATATTAGTCGGTGGAGGTACGAAGGGCAAGGCCAGAAAGTTGCGCAGGGTTATAGATGCGGTTGCCCTACGTATGTGGCGAGTTATTCGACGATTACAAGTCTGTCTTAGCTGGTCATGGGGTTTGCATGAAGTACGGTTACATTTTGGTCTTTTAGCTGTAGTTGGCGAGAGCGCCGACAAAATATACACCTGCAGATGCACCAACGCATCCTGTTCTACGTGGTTCTCATCAAAAACAAGAAGCCCTCTTTAGGATCATCTACTGACGACATTGGCCATAGCCAGATCCGTAGGAGTCAGTAAAAGTATGATTTGGTGAAGAAAAGATACTCATGGCCCCAGATGAGGGACTGAAAGCCAAACTTTGTAAGGTTCAACGCTGGGCAATATCAGCAACAAAGCGAAGTTGTGACATGTCGTGCAGTACAATTGCAATGAGCTCAGCTAGGTAGAGCAGGACTACCGCGGTGTTATTCTCTTCAATCTTTATCCAACGTAGCCGTCTGTTTGTTACTCGTAGAAGCCACAGCAACTAGCAAATCCGCAGTTCTTCTTCTTTCATGTCCTTCATTTTCAACACCTCCCCATGCATCATGCCATGGAGATATCCCGCACCGAGCAAAATATAATTCCCATCCTCGCAAGGTCGCAAGACATAGGGTACCTTAGCCCCGTGGAAAATGCAAATCAAATCCCCTTCTTGGGCCGCCTCTGGCGCCCAGCCAAGCCGGCCCTTTTCCGTAGCACAAAAGCGACGACGACGATTGCAAGCCCATGATTCTCGCACCTCATCCCACCTCCGGTATTCGTCATCGTAGAGCACTGGTTTTGGCCCGGCGTGATACAAAGGGACAGTAGAGCCAAAGCTGCCGCCGACCTGAAAAGGAGCCATTCCATAATCGAGACGTCTTTTCCCCTCGCGTAAGTCGCTGAGTAGCTGCAAGTGTTTCTTGAAGGTCCATTTAAACCAGCGTGGTGCGGGAACATCTTTATCGACCTTGGCCCCAGTGATCGTCCGCCAAAAAGCTTCATATTGACCAGTCGACATTTGACCGCTTCCTCGTGTGGCGATGTCTTTGCAGTTCTCAATCCAGACGATGTCTCTCAGAACGGCAGTAGAAGTTTTACCGGGGATGCTGTATTTCTGTACCATGTCGTCTGCCTGGAGAAGTCCGTCCAAGTAGTGCTCTGGCAGGCCTTCCGAACTGAACCGGGCGATCATTTTATCCCGAGCTGCACCAGTCACCCCAGCTTTCAGCTGTTGCACATAGTTGCAATGACGGTAGTCGTCCCATATTGTCATTTGGTAGTACGAGACTGCTAGCCGCTCGATGCGGTCAACAACGTACCCCGTAACCAGAAGGACGTCGTCATTTTCGGGTGCAAGGCGAACCCGCGGAGTATACTTTCGCCCGCCCGCACATGTGCTGGTCTCGAATAACTCGGTATCTCTTCTCCCTCCCCAGTCCATCCAATCCGGCACCCAAGAGGGCAGGCCTCTGAGACTGGAGTGAACACGGTAGTCGCGTATGCTGGAGAAAATGTCCAAGCTACGCGTCACCGCGATACTCCACAACGCGAAATCTCTATAGATGGTCTCCACAGAGAGATTATATTGAGGCAGAAATGGCTGGTCGTTGGCGGTCTGGTCAGTCGCTAGACCGAGAAATCCGTATATTTTGTCGCGTGGATCGGTGCATTGCCGCAGATTGTGTCTCCTAACCAGCTCATAGAGTGTTGTTTTGTCGAGGTTAGAAGCCCTTGATGCGCGTAATCTACTTGTTTCCATAACCGACCAGACAGAATTTATCGGGAAATTGATAGTCAGTCCCAACTCCAGTGTTCGGGCGGAGTCGACGTATTGTAAGAACAATTCCACAATGGGTCGTGCGAACTTGTGGAATGCTGCTGTTCTCCCACCACACACCAATACTGCTTCCTTCGCGTTGACGATCTCCTGCAGAGTCCACACTCTGCCAAACCAGGGCAAGGATAGAAGGTCACTGATGGCATCCCAGTCGAGTTTTCTTAGTTCCTCAGAATCCTTGAGGGAGAGGGATCGGATCGGAATACGGGCCCGGCCGTCGGCGCCAAGGAGGCGCCGGCGATATTTGGCGTCGTCGTTGTAGTGCTTCAGGTGCCGGCAAAAATATACATGGAGTTGTCCCAATGCGTTGAGGCCGCGCTCGAGCTTCGGCGAGCCACTTCCTAGCCAGACCAGTACCGCAGATGCCTCTGAGTAGATATCTTTCATCAAGGGTACCTGTGTATTCTTCTCGCCGAGGTCGGTCTGATTGATACAGATCGCGTCGGCCCAGAGGACTCGCTCAGCATTTGGGAGGCGAAATTGTTGCAGGGCGGCATGTAAGTTCTGTGTGATATTGATTACCCTGCCAGAACAGAGTATGGCTGTTGTATCACCTGGATCGCCCCATACGTAGGAGATCGCCTCGAATTTGGGGCTCCATGATAGATGTGCCTGGATTAGACGAACAGATACGGGGTCTTGGCCAGTTCCTGGCTCCAGAACAAGTAGACGGATCGCGTCGGACTGCTCAAGAGCTTCATATCTGTAGCTTTGTGGTGGAGGCTGTCGTGCATTCCATATGGGCCATCCGCGTTGCCTCGTCTCATATCCGATAATGCTGATGGATACCCCGGCGACGAGTACGTAGATGTAAGGCCTATTTCTCCAAATTGGTGTTGTTCTCGCGTCCGCTGCAGAACACGATGATCTACCTAGAGGTGGTCGCGGGCCCCATCTTCTAGCACAAGCTTGTAGATTCTTTCGAGCGGCAAACATGAAAAGAAAAGGCGGAGGCAATTACAAGAGCGAGGCGTAAGGGGATTTGGATGCGGTATGGAAAGCAACAGCGGCGACGTTGAAACTCATCCGAACAACGACAAGGCAACTTCGCCGGAGAGGTAGGATTTATTTCCAACCCAGCTATCAGATTTTCACCGAGAGGAGAGGCGGAATAGCGGAAAATGCAAAGGCGAGTCAGATGACACGAGTGCGTTGCTCATGTTTGCTTCCTTCTCGGCAGTCATCTTGAAGCGATACGCCAGGACGGTGCAATGTGTACCAGGCCCGAATCACTATGCAGCATTTTCTAGAGCTAGTTTGCACCACTACAGCAGATGAAGCCGGTAAATTAAGGTGGGTGTAATTATGGATATTTTGGAATACTTCTTAGCCTATCTTCGCCATGAGAAAAACATGGTCAGGAATTTTCTAAACAACCATCACTCCGAAGAAGACGTATCTGACCTTCGTTCCGTCTCTCTAAGTTCGTCTATCTCGTCCTGCAATGATTTTTAGATCTATGAATATCATTCCGATACATAAAGTGACATGTTACCCGGGATATTAGCTCGGGGGTATCTATTACCCAGCTATTATTGAGCAACTTTATAACTCGTTTAATCCTTTAGGTTCACGTGTGACGGTAATAGCGACCAAACCTGGAGGGACCATCGGCCTGGAAACCGTTCCTCAAGTATCCGCACCAAGGTTCTTCTGCGGAGAAAACCTGACGTACCCGGCTCGATGGTATGAATGAATCCATACCTAGAGACCTGGTTGTGCTGCTGAGTAGACTTTTGTTGTTGTATAGTGGTCCTTTACCCTTGAAGCTTCGTGGAGCATGGGAACATGGAGTCCTCTGAGAGCTCCCCGTGATGACTGAGAGATCGATCTCTTATGTACGTATTATCGTGATGAAAGGAGTGTGTTATAGGCGCCTTGTGGCTGGGGGGTCAAGGCAACGTGGACAGCCTCTACTGGAGTATGAGACTGTACCCCGCCAGGAGGAGCAGATTGCGCCGGCGTCGCTGTCTTGGGGCATTGTGATAAGGAACTTGCGCACAATCCGAATCAGGAGGCTACAGAACTCCACTCACTAAGGGTTGCCTCACGTTCCTGTATAAGCCTACTATCTTGGAGTATACGGCCTACTTCCTGCAACAAAGGGCGTGAATATCAGTACTATCGGTGAAACTATCGATAAAATCCCCGAGGTGTGGAACCTCAGCAACTGATTTAGCTGGGACTTTCCGATGCTTTCCATGATAGAATCTAGACTGGGGAATCCACAGCAAGGGGCCGACTACTTGCTTGATCCTTTCAGTTGGACGATGTTGTCAACCCTAGAGGCGGGGCGATGGCACCCACCCCGTACTTCCCTGCGTCTTCTTCCCTGATGCTTGATGTTGCTATGTTGTCCGGTGGTTGCGATGGTGACTATGGGTTGCATTTCTAAGGGTTGGAGTGTCCAGGTTGAAGGATTTGGCCCAGGATTGTGAGAAGACATCAGCCTTCAAGCACCTTAATGTAGTTCTGGGCAACAACACTATGATTTGTCTCTGCTTGGGTAGCATAGAAAATAGTTCCAATTTTTAGTGATTAAGGCTCAGCAATACAACGTGGTTTCTCTATAACAGTGACCTGCAAAGTGAATCTAAACAATGAACGGAGTTAATCAAGCAGTCGCCAGGGATCGTATCTGTGCTTGGGACCTCAAAAGACTCGGGTGGGAGATCTTTCACTCTGGGAGTATGCGCCCTTCACCTAATGAACCTCCAGTTCTAAAGATTCACCAGATCCTCCTTCATCTGGGGACTGGGGACTTCAGGAAAGTCCCAATTCAACCGCACTTTCCAAACATCTATAAATATACTGACTCGATCTCATCAGCACCGTTATCTCTACCACTTTCCGCGCAAAGATGCCAGAACGAACGGAGCTCGTGACAGCCTATAGCGCCGTATAGAAGATACAAACCGATCTGCCTCAGGTAATATACTGCAGGAACCGTGATCCCTCCCGTACATTCGTTGGAGCCCTAGCGCAATGGACTACCTTCGTCGCGGACGTCCAAGCGGCGTTGAATGCGCCTGACTGGCACCCTCATAGAAACCGCAAGTCCCTCTATCTGCGCGCTGTGAAAGAACCACTACATTCTATGCTCTTCACTGAGCAGGCAGCGGTTGGGGACAAGCTCGGTGTCCAAGGCCGCTGGCAACAACAGTTCAGCCAGATGGTGTCCACAATTCTCCGAGACCAGCTCACCAGGCTCGAGCTAGACAGTTTCAACTCCTTGGCCAAGCCTGATAGTTATCGAGAAGTCCCAGGCATCGCAGGGATTAATGTGTTCGGCCAGCTGCAGTGTGTTGTGGAGTTGAAGACGCATTGGACACATCCACAACGAAGATCAGGTTCGAAACATCCTCGGTAACGGCATCCCGTATAACCCGAGAGGTGCTCTCTTCGTTAATGATATCTGATAGGCCAAATTGTGGAGTACATGTTCGACCCTCGACTCGAGCATGGCATAATGTCGACATACGATGAGGCAATCTTTCTCCGACAAGTCCCCCGTTCATCCTGGCCTACGAGGTTAGGCAGATGTCACAACGTTGCACGGGTAAAGCCACCCGCTGGAATCACAGACTGTCCCAGGGCGGGAGAAAGCGCTACACCGGCGGGAGCATGGAGACTGAAGCACAGGCCGATCATTAGCGACAATCAAGCCATAGCCCCAGGGGTGATGTCTGTCCGGCAAGCGATCTGGCACATTGGCCATGAAGTCCAGATTGGTTATGTGGCCAACAACAACATGCCCAAGGACAATTGGATCAGAGGGTTCGTGTCGAACGAAGAATTGGATGAGAGCCGCAGTCGTCAATGATACTCGCAAATCGTTCGCCATGAGGAGACATGGGAGACCTCCGGGCTCTATGGTTATAGATCATCCGGAAGCACGACTGAAGGCCATTTGGTTTTGTCAACCGAGAGACAGACCTCAGTATTACACAATATCCCTTGGTCCCTTGGCACTTGTTCTAGCATAGGTGTCATTTTGGTCAATGGCTTTCGAACGCGCCTACGCTGCCCCCACGAATACGCGCCTTTCGGACGCATGGGCCGCCATTAATATTCTTTTCAAAGTTCCTGCGACAAAACGAGGCAACATGTGGCCCTACGATTTTACAAACCGTGGCCTTATCCGAGCACCGCGATCCCCCACGGTTTGGGTTAGCGACATGGAGACTAACACAATCTTTCACATCGTTTTCGCGGGTTATCGCGTCCTAGGAGGGCTGACCGCGGTCCATAATATGCCATGGCTCGTCGGAGACGTCCCTGCGCCACTCTCGCGATGCGTTTCGACGCGTTCACTGTTCCAGACTTCGCCTTAACTTGGGACCAGTCTTCATACACGTATTCATATTTAGATGACGGTTGTATATTTGCACCTGCTAGGTTTGTGAATTGCTTACGTCTTGCTTAGACAGCCGCATAAACAAGCTTGCTTTTGTAATCTTCAAGAAGTTGACCGACTGCTTCATTTCTCGCCATATCTACTCCTGTGCATTTCCCCGACGACGTTTGGATCGGGGAGGATATCAACGTTCTTCAACAGTCATCATCCACGTGGAAACATCTCAGCATCCTTGACGAGGCAGCTCTGCAGTAGTGGTCAATGCTTTCTTTCACGATCCAATCGAGATTGGTACGCGGCGTCTTCTGAGCTACTTCTCTCAGCACCGTGGACCTTGTCACTGAGGAGATAATACTACCGCGTGTCGAGTGATGGGGTTGGACGTGACGAGAATTATTTTCGGGCATTGGACTTAAGGAATCTTCCAATACAAGTATGTACTCGGGTTCTGGTCAGGCACATGTCTCATGCATTGGGCTTGGCCTGATTTGGAACATCACTATGTCGATTCCATGTTATGAACACCCAAATTTGATCTAAAGTTACATTCTAAGTGTTCAGTCTAGCGAAACCACGTCAGTTTGCATACAACAGATCACACTGTCCTAGGACATCATCTCTCCACCACTCGCGCCTATCGATTCTGGTTCGCCCCATACATTATATAATTGGGTCATATCTCGACCCTCACATGTAGAACAAGCATGTGGCTGTCAGATAATGGCTCCTCCTCGCAAGTACCTATGTGAGAGATTGGTCGGATGGCTGTCCCATCCACGGTATGAATTAGACGCAGACCTCGATCAACACCTATAAGTACATAAGGCAGACAAGGTTAAATCCAAGGTTAAGTTGTTCCAAAGATCTTCCAAACCGGTTCTTTGCAGCTTCGTCGACCTTCCAGCCAATCAGGGCCTGAAGTTTCACCAAGCTCTCTTGACGCGATTGGGCCAATCAGAGCGCGTCCCTGAAACACATCGACGCGTTTATTGATACCTGAGGCCATAAATATCACATGCCTTGTCTTCCCATCTAGAGCTTCATCAACCAATGTCCTCCATACTTCTCCAGACGACATCATGCCGCCCATCCCTGACGATGCCCTCACCTTCCCGGACTCTGATCGCGCCTTTCTAGAACCTCATTTACCACCACAACATCATGTGGCACGCACCGACTTCAGTCTCCCCTTCACCACTCTCACCTTCGCGACCTCGCTAGACTCTTCCCTCGCCCTCTCCCCAGGAACCCGCACTGTTCTATCCGGCCCGCAGTCCAAAGCCATGACACACTACCTGCGCTCCCGTCATGATGCAATTCTGATCGGCGTGGGCACAGCTGTCGCTGATAACCCGGGGTTGAACTGTCGGATACAAGGCGTCGGCGGGTACGGCGGTGACGGACTCCAGGGACAGCCTCGACCGATTGTAGTCGATCCCGCCGCGCGGTGGGCCTTCACGGAGGACTCCAAGATCTTCCAGCTAGCGCGAGAGGGAAAGGGACGGGCTCCGTACATTATCACGGGGGAGCGGTCTCCACCAGCGATACAGCAGGCCATCTTGGAAAAGCATGGAGGAAAGTTCATCACGCTTGAGGTCGTGACGTCGGAGAGTGGGGAGCATACGATTGACTGGACGGGGTTGTTGCGCGCCCTCGTGCGTGAAGGTCTGCACAGTGTCATGATCGAGGGAGGAGGCAGGATCATCAACTCCCTGCTGGAGCCATCGTTTCAATCGCTGATCAACTCTGTGATCGTTACTATTGCGCCGACATGGCTGGGCCAGGGAGGTGTAGTAGTCTCGCCTAAGCGGAGGGTCGATGCCCACGGAGCTGCCATTCCTGCGTCCCGGTTGACGGACGTGAAGTGGTATCCTTTTGGCGAGGATGTGGTGCTCTGCGGCAAGATCAAGCTGAGTTAGGGGGCCTTATCCTCTACTTCTATGTTTGTGATGAATGGACGCACATATACCCGAACAATGCATTGTCTAGTCTATTATATACAACGTATAATACAAGCGCATGTGCGCTGCTCTCACCGCTTCCACTTCCACGTAGAATTGCGATGGATAAAGTACTCCTTACTCTCAATCGCCTTCTTAATACCCCACATACCACCCAGCGGCCAGAACGACCTCGCCCAGCGACTCCACGACTCCTGACGCTCTTTGCGGTCCGCCTCCACATCAATCTTCACCTTGTCATACACACTAGGCAGCGTGGTTGCCGAGTACTTCTGTCGCAGGCCCTCATACCACTCGCGATCATAGATGTTCCAGAACTCGTCCTCGCCGTAGTACGTATGCGCGTAGAACCACTTCATGCCTCCCAGCTCGCGCAGCCGCCGTTCAAGATCCCGGTTCGCAGCGACAAACGCATCCGGGTCCGCAGGACCAAATCCCCAAACACCGATGTTCAACATCTGCTGCGGCGTGCGGCCGTCCGCCTCGACATCGCCGCTGTGCGGGTGGAACGTCGGCGCAGGGCTCTGCTTGAGCGGACACAGCCACAGCGGCCAGATATCGAGCTTCTTGTGCGTGTATTCGATGAACGACTCCGCAGTGGAATACGGCAGCGCCAGATCCTGGACGACGTAGCGGCTCGCCTCGCCGCTCGCATGCAGCGCTTTGTACAGCATGCGCGTGTGCAGGAAGTCGTCCAGCCACCACCGCGTGTACCGGTTGAACGGGAAGCGGAAGTAATCGAACGCCGAGCGGCCGACCCAGAACCCGCCGCGGTCGTAGCGGAACAGGTACTCCGCCAGCGGGATGTAGTCGGTGACCGGGGCGGCGCGGGCACGCGTCTTGTCCTGCACGTGCAGGTAGAACCAGGGGTCCCAGGCATGGCTGAAGGTCTGGGGCTGCGCGAGGGAACGGGGCAGCTCATCGGTCATCTCGCCGGCGACGACGACGCCGTGGTCGGGCGAGAACAGCATGCCGTCGACGTAGTCGTTGTCGGCGTTGCCGGTGTGCGTCTGCACGGCCTGGATGGACTCGCCCACCGACTTGTGCGGGTGGTATGTGGCCTTGACGAACTTCTTGGCCTCGATCAGCTGCAGCTCGATGAGAGTGGTCACGCCCAGACTGCCGACAGCGCCAGCGGCGCCGCGAAACAGATCCGCGTTCTCGGTCTCGGACGCCTTGAGTACGCTGCCGTCCGCCATGACCATCTCGACCGAGTTGATCGTGCGGTCGAAGAACCCGTACTTGAACGAGCTGCTTTCGCCCGCTGTGCCGGCGAAGCCGCCCCCGGCCGTGATGCCGGGGAACTCCATCACGACGGGGGGCACGAGGCCGTGCTTCAGCGTCGCCTCGACCAGCCGGTCCATGGGCACGTTGGGCTCGACCAGCGCCGTGCGCGTCTTCGGGTCCACCGACAGCACATTGCGCAGGTCGCTGATGTCGACCTCGCGGTTGCGCCGGATGGGGCGCGTGCTGTTCGTTGACCCGTGAAAGATCCGGAAGGGCTCCTTGCGCTCGTAGAAGCCGCGGACGCTGGACGCGATGCGCGCGACGGCGCTCTTATGTCGCTCCAATCCCATGGCCCAATTGAGGTGTCTGGCTGGGGGTCTCGCTTTACATTCTTTTCTTAATCTTCATTCCGTGTTGATTTCGCGAAAATTGTGATGAGTCAGCCGGTTAACCTCAAGTGGTTAGCGTTGATGTCTGATATATCAGGCATGACTATCATCTTCACAGTATTCCAGCGTGACGTTGAGAGAATTCAGTCTCGACACTGTCAGGACTTTTTATTCATCCTTATGTCAGGTTTATTTAAAATTTACTGGAGAAACAACAAGTAATTGATCTGGTTGGCCTCGCTGTTGGGTGTCCCAGCAACGTATATATTCCTCTTATCACCTCTTTACAGCATCAAGCTCAAGACCAATTAGAACTTCATACACCATCATTATTTCCATTACAGCAAGAAAAGCCATATGCTTAAAACCAAGAAACAGACTATCAACCAAGCCGTTCGCAGACTCCGCGCGCCAACACTTGATGCCATCTCATTCACCGAGCAACACCATCCGCGCCTACTCCTGCAGCAGGTTGCGAGACATTTGTCCCTGGTCCAGGATCAACCGGCAATTCCGCTGGTAACTCTGCAGGCAACCCAGGCCGTGATTCCCCATGCAGCTCAAACCCAGCTGGGTGCGGCGGAGCACCTGACGGCGTATCCGGCAGCTCTGATATGGACTGACCCGACGCCGCAGCCTGCGATCCTACCGGGCTCACAGGCGAAGCTGCCGGCAACTCAGCACCCCCAGGCGCTGGAGGATGAAGTGGCGGACGCGATCCCTTGGGCTGGAAAGCCTCGGACTGCAGCACACGCATGAGGGCCTCCGCCTCACTGGGGGGCGGCACCTCGCCACTAAGCAGCTGACGCGCGGTAAGCTCGCGATCATACAATTTTCTGTTGGCGCTCGACCGCTCAACCAGCATATTCCCCTCGAGACTGATGCCGCCGAATAGCCCCTTGGTCTTGGAATACGCGAACATCGACGCGACTCCCTTCGTGCTGGCTCCAGCTGAGACCTCCGCGCTGCGACCGACGGGCCCTAGCGCGACGGAGACATTGCCGCCGAGCGTCAAGCTGCCGGCCTGCGAGAACGTGCGCACCGCGTGGTCGTCGTTGAGGATGAAGACGAAATCCGTCAGCTCGAGGCCTATCAATCCGCCGAAGCCGCCGCCCACTGTTGCGATCGCGGAGGGAGCTGACCAGGAGCCGTCTGGCAGACGGGCGACGAGAATGCCGGATCCGAACCGAAGGGATCCCAGGAAGCCGGCTCGAGTGACTGTGCAGATTACAAGGCCCTGGGGAGTTAGCTTGTTTGTCCAGAAGCAAATCTGCTCTGCTCTATACCTTTGCGTTCGCAAGAACTCGCGACGGAATCATACGAGAAGATGGGCTCGTAAAGGACTCCAGAATCTTGCCCGCCTTTTTGCATTCGCCTGTGGGCTGTCAGCAATGTGCGCCGGGGACTTGGGGAGGTGATACGAACTGCGCATAGACGACGGCAGCGGATTATGTATTCCCAGCGGCATTTTGGTGCGAAATAATGCCCACTACCTACGTGAGGACGAAAATTTATATGATGCGCAAAAGTCACAAAATATTGACAGGGAGCGCCATTTTTATCGTGATCGATAAGGCGCAGACGAGGGGGCTATGCCCGTCAGCGCGCGACAGCACTAACCAACAGCCCCCGCATAGTGCCCCTTAGTCTGGCGATGTGGAAATGATCCAGCGTCTGATATTGGCCCGTTCGGAGCGTTGGCGGACTAGTCAACGGATTGTGGCGTGTAAGACTGATCCGCGTTTCTCTTTTCATGCTTATCCACGACGATCGGGGCTGAATATTCGCGGTAAACAGGGTCCTTTGTCTGGAATCCGCCTTGGAAATAGGTCGAATCTCGGGATATGAGTGGCCTATATTATTCTATGAGAGTATAGGGCCTGGTGGTACTGGTCAATTGCAACAGGACCTATACGAGCCTTCATTTATCAGGGTTTGGTTTGCCCACGGGAAGGCTCCGAATCTCAGCCTCTAGTTCGTGCGCTCCCACATTCTTCTTCCTCATGCCAAGGAGGAATCCCTTGGAGGATCCTTCAACCGGGGCTGGGAGGAATAAGGCCCTAAAGAGCGATCGCAGCATACAAAGCAGAAAAAGATGACAGTTAGCATGTATGATCTTGGTTGGATTAATTCGAATTTAGACCTGTGCAGCCAAAACAAAGAATCTGCTTGCTTAGCCGAGGATCTTTGGACATTGCATAGCCGAGATATTCACAACTATCACTGGTAGTCTATTAATCAGAATTCAGCATCCTTATTCTGACTGTCAATCATGAGCATACAAGAGAGCAATAGAAGCAGTGATGCAGATTTTCTAAGGAGGAGCTAGAATCTGGAATCAAAATTCGATCCTCCAATACATATGCTTTAAACACAAAGATGATTCCCCATAGAACTCCAGCTAGAGAAGACAACATCAATCATGCGTGTATGGAATAGGCTCAAATATTCATAAGATTCCAAAATCCCACCAAGTCGAAAACCCATCAACATTCCCAATCGTAGAATCCGGCTCTTGGAACTCCATGTTCTCCATGTCACTGAACTGCCCTGGATCGGTCCAGAGCCAGGGGGTATTAAACATAAGACTGTCCGCAGGGGCGACCACCTTGTCTCCGAGAACAATATTGCCCGGGGAAGGAGGCGACGCAGACATCTTCGGCATGTTTGGTGGCATGTGGGCAGCCTGTCCTCCATCTGCCGTATTAACCGTCACTTCTGGTGATGTCGCAACAATGATCTCCAGTGTAGAGGTAGGGTTGCCATCTCCATCATCCTCTCGGGAGATGGAAGGGACAAGCGAGGAGTGCAGAAGACTACTACCGGAGGTGTCGTGGGTGCCGGGGTTACAGTTAAGCTGCAAGATATCCCACATCAAGGGCACACTCAGATGAATCTTGCACGGTGTCCAGTCGTAGTCAAAATGGGTTGATCCTGACGCGATATGGATCAGCCTGTCTAAGGTTCGGTCCTTGTAGCTGTTAGTTCTGCATCAAGGGCTGTCGCCTCCAGGACCTTACCAGAGCCGCGCAAACAGGCGAAAACGAGATGAAGTTTTTCAGAAACCGTCTGCATTTTACAAAGTCGGTCTTGGATTTCTGCTTCAAGCGAGGATCCGCGGCGCAACAGTAGTACAGATGCACCGTCGCGGCAATGGCTGCACTGTGGCCGAAAAACGGATCTATCAGACGCATGCGCTTCTCGTGCACCATATCGATCATTCGGACGATCCAAGTGGCATGCAACAATACCAGCTCCGAAGACCTGCGCCAGAAGGCATTCGGTATCGCGAGGTTGGGGTTGTACTGCGACGCGACGATATACAGAAACGGGTGGTTCAGCACGGTCAAGATGGAATGGTATGTGAACTGCAGTTTGAGCCACGGCGCCCAGTAGCTCCGATTGATGTTGAGGTCGTCCGCCGTGCGCTCATAGAATTTGACAGAATCGTACCGATGACATTGAGACAGCTTGTTTTCCACTTCGGTGAGATCAGACAGGATCATCGTGCACATCGAGTCGTATCTCCAAGGCTCCGTTAATTTACTCTGCGCGGAATCGGATATGTAAGTTCTCACCCGGTTCCAGACCCATCCGAAATGGATTGATAGATTCCATATGCCGATATCGGTTGCACTGGAACAGCCCAGGTGGTCGCTTGGCAATGGGGGCCGGGACGCTTCTATCTCTTTCTGCAAACTCCGACTTCCATTCGTCGGGGTCCACGAAGGGCGTACATTGTCTAGCTGGTTGATGTTGAAACTGCACTGTTGACCGTATGTCTGTTCCAGTGACTGGAGACTCCAGAAAAGGCGTCTCTTCTCCTCTGTCAAGGAGTCTTCGACGGTATACGTTGATGCCTGATCTAGTGCAGCGGACCGACAGAGCTGGAATGCAAGTCCAAGATGGAACCGGCCTAGGTGTAGATCTCCATCTGCCCAGTCGTTAGCGTCTCTTTTTTACATTCTTTACGTGCTGATACTAACCGATGAATGATGAGTATGATAGCAAGCATAGACTTTCAATCGTCTCCAACTTGACCGTTCCATTCGCCACACGGAGCATCACTAATGTTCGCGCGGTGTTGGCATGATGCTGTAGCTGGGCGTGTTCAGGCGTAAAGCGTGCCGTCAAGGCTAATATGCTGTATATGAGTTCTTCCGAAAGTCGGTCCGGGTCGTCAAGGTCATCGCGCTCAAAGCACCATATCGGTTGTCGGTGACAGTGGCGAAAGTAAAGATCGATTGCCTTGGCGAGGGAGGCGGTCGATGGTTGCAGGAACGAGTCACCGCCACCGAGGCCGAACGCAAATGGATCGTTAACGGCATATCCAGGGTCGCTTGTGGATGGGTGGTTGTCCGAATAGGATTCATGCGTGTCGCCTGGATCACCTTCCGTCTGCTCGGAATGCAAGTTCTGGATCGATCTATAGACACAGTCAGGTCTTTGTGGGACATGACCAAATAGTATGCAAGCAATCTTCTACCTGGATCCATTCAGAAGGAGATTTACCTTCTCTTCCAGGGACGCCAGTCTGTCTTTCTATAAGTACTGTCAGCATCGCAATCCACCGAAAAGCACCAAAGGCATACAGAAGGATCACCACGCGAGGATCGCGTCACAGCAGCGTAGCTGCACTGTTGTCCCAACCTCAGGCAGTTCGAACATGTTGGTTTTTCCGCTGGACAACGTGTCTTCTTCCTCCTGAGAGATCTACCCTTAGCTCATACTCCCAGCCAATCCGAAGGAAAATGGGCTAACCGGCAATTGAGGCAAGCCTCGTGCGATCGTAGTCTTCCACGGGTGCCTTCACGCGGCATTATAGTCCCAAGGGTGATCAATTATACATTATGACGAGGTCTGGACAGGTAACTAGGGAGGGGGGCGAGGAGTTCAAAGACAAGAGAAGCTGCGGGGTACGAGGGGCCGCGCCACGGAACAAATACTAGACATGCTGTCGGACGAGATTGATAGTACACACTATAGAAGTGGGCTCTAAGTGCAGAGTTGGCGACGATATGGATCTTTTACATCAGCAGGAATAAAATCCCAAGTACAGCCAAGGGCGCTTGACAGTCAGCAGGGCGATTATTCTGGTTAAACAGACAGCTGCCAGGGCCACGACAGCGATCACCCCGCTTTGAATGGTCCGCAAAGTAGTGATGTGGCGATGAACAAATGGACGGGCCGTGACACGGACCGTGTCGATGGATCTGGAATCCGTCCGGTGCTCCAAGTGGAGTTGACATCCCTTTTCCTAATTAGGTCAAAATTTCCATAGCCTGGGACCAAGATGATCTCTCTTTGACACGATCATACACAGTGAGGCCGATCCTTGATAGGGAGGTTACCTAGTGTCGGCTATTATCTGATAGAATGAAGGTTCTGCTCCCATTGTGGAGTAATATCAAATCTCAGTTAACAGTCATAAATTATCGCTTTCTGCATGCAATGAAACCAACGCTAAATTAAGATAACAACAGTCTTGTCCTATGAAAGAACAATGAATATGATGAATCATGACCTCATAGCAATATCCAATGCTTCTTGACCTTAATAAGCCAGGGCTTCGTTGAGCTGGCAACTCATCCCCGAACACCCGCCATCCTGGCCGGCCGTACTCGTGCAGTCGCGACCTCCCTGGCTTGATGCATCCAGCTTGGAGCAAAAGTCCATATCGTCCTTGCTGGTTGTGGCGGTCTGAGGAAGTGCTTGACGAGCCGGCCAGATGTCGTGTCCAGCTGCTTGCTCCCGTTCATAGTGTTGCTGGACAAGGTCGCGAACACTTGTCTGGAAGTAGAGTGATCCTTTCTCCATCTCTGGATGCAGTTCCCCATCGATGGAAACGCCGTTGTTGAGGGTTTCCTGTGTCTGATCGCAGAGAGACTTCTCCTCGGTCATGATGCGTTTGTACATCTGGTTAATCAGCTCAAAGTCCTCGTCGCTGGAGGTCTTGTTCCGGTACACCTCGTAACGCATAGTGCACTTCGTCGGCGAGGTAGGGACAGCTCGTTGTATGAAGAACAAATGTGGCCTGTTTCGCATGAGTAAACTGACTCAAAAGCCTCCAAAAAGTGACCATCACTTACGTCATGGTCATGGACACATTCGGGAAGTAGTAGGTGCTCGCAGTCTTCAGCCCCTTGGTGATGTGCTCCGGGATAGATTCTGCGAACTGAATATCGCCCCCTTCTCTGGTCTCAACAGCATACCCCTTAAGGTCGGCAATGGAGGGAATATCCGGCTGTGCTGTGGGGCAGTATTCATTATAGTTGTCGGCGAGGATCTTCCAGTTGTATTCGCCTTCCATTTCCCAGGTATGGTCAAAGTCGTACTGCTCCCAATCGACACTTGCATGGCGCTCCAGGTGATCAATTCCACCAAACTCATCTTCCCAAGCTACCTCAGGTTGCTCAGCACCATCCATGTTGACCCAAATGAACCCGCTGTCGTCAACGTGGACATGGATGGGTAGGAGACCGTTCTTGCTCTTGTCAAAGCCTCGGAGGTCCTGGTATCCCGGAGCCTTGGCGAGCTTCCCATTGAGCCCATAAGACCATCCGTGATACTTGCAGGAGAAGATGCGACTCGTTCCCTTTTCCTCAGTCACGACTGGGAACGCACGGTGGCGGCAGACGTTATGAAATGCATTGATGTTGCCCTGGCGGTCCTTGACCAGGATGAAAGGGAATCCGGCAATATCGTAGCGCACCCAGTCACCCGCGTTGGGGAGGCGGATTTTGTGCGTGGTAAGGAGCCACTTCTTGGAAAAAATAGCACGTTTCTCAAGCTCGAACATCTCCAATGAAGTATACCACGACGCCGGAAGCGCTCTCATGGTCGTTTTCCCGCTGTCCACGGCCTCCGCCGTCCCCTCCAGGCCGAAGTAGTTTTTCAACGTCGACATTGTGTAGATATAAAACTGGGATAACAAGAAAATGCAAATGATTTATGATCTAAATCCTTCCGTAGGACGCCAAGTGAATTGCTGTTTGGGATGAAACACTTCATGCGAGGATGCCGAATGTCTCATATAGTCCCTTAAAACTTTCGTATTGACGGCATGACGGTTTGCTCGGCCGTATTGTAGAGTTCTAGACCTGATAAGGGGAGATAGCACCTGACCGATAGGTTTACTATCTCGGGTTCGGGGACGGATGTACAGCCGTGTGCCGCCGACGGTTTTCGGATGAACAGTGCCTGTGGGGTTCCGCCAGTATCTCCCACGACTCATCCGTTCAGGTGCCGCCATGAATCCCTCCTCCCGTGTTTGCTTCCTAAGATTAGTTCCAGATGATCATTGTGCTGGGAAATTGAACCTGCGGGGTATCTTATACTAAACCGGTTACTTTCCGTCTAGTGGGCTGCTTTAAAGATCAATCACGGACTCTGAAGTTTCTAGGCGCCCCCTTACCCCATGACACCATGACGATATCAGAGACTTATCACTGCCTGAATAATAGTTACACTCATCCAATGATATGAAAGGTAAAATAAGATAGCCGAATATGTCATTGTACCGGTTCTATAGTCCGATCCGTCCCATGCCTGCATTTGCATGGCATATAATTCAGCAGGAGGTCGTGCTCCAGTTGTCTCCAATGTACATAGTATCCTATGTCAATTCCAATGCCACATTACTGAATGATCGCCGATTGTAACTGTATCCTCTGAAACCTTTCTTTGCTCGTTCACCCTGACCAGATGTGCCAGAGCGACATCATGTCCCCCGAGATCTCCGACAAGTCCTCCCCCGAAGCCCGGCCCAATTGCGAATCGGAAATTTCTACAGGTCATGTCTTGGGAGACAATGATGCGGATGGGCTGCAGCGTAGACTCTCCCAGAGACCTATCCAGCTCATCAGTATCGGCGGCTCCATCGGCACTGCATTGTTCGTGACCATTGGAGAGGCCCTCACCAAAGCAGGCCCAGCCGGCCTTTTACTTGCCTATGCGGTTTACAACATCATGCTGGCGATGGTCAACAACTCCATGGCAGAAATGGCTACATATATGCCAGTGAGCGGCGGGTTCATCCGTCTAGCCTCGAAATGGGTCGATGACGCCGTTGGGTTCATGGTGGGCTGGAACTTCTTCATCTACGAAGCGCTTCTGATCCCATTCGAAATCACGGCAGTGACACTGGTACTGTCCTTTTGGCGTGATGATATTCCGCCGGAGGCTGTCTGCGTTGCCTGTATTGTTCTTTATGCGTGAGACTTTCCCAAATGCACCTCGATTGCCATGAGACTTCCCTTGCGCTGAGCGGTTTGACCATACCACCCCTGCGACCCCGTCTGACATTAGATCTTTTCTTACGTCTCGTATAGTTTACTGAATATCCTAGTCGTGAAAGGCTATGGCGAGTCCGAGTTTTGGCTCTCCAGCGGCAAGGCCATCTTGATGTTTATGCTTTTTGGCTTTACTTTTGTCACCATGGTAGGCGGGAATCCAAAGCATGACCCATATGGATTCCGCCACTGGAATCACCCTGGTGCGTTTGTCGAGTATCTTCACTCTGGATCTCTCGGACGGTTCGAAGGGTTCCTTGCTGCTCTGTGGAACGCCTCCTATACGTGTGTCGGACCCGAATACATCTCGATGGTCGCTGCTGAAGCAAAACACCCTCGAATATACATCAAGAACGCTTTTAAAACGGCCTACTGGCGCTTCGGAATCTTCTTTATTGGTAGCGCTCTGTGCGTCGGCATCCTCGTTGCCTATAACGATCCTACCCTGATCGCAGTCAACTCGGGTCAGTCTGGAGGGTCAGGCACGGCTGCAGCCTCACCGTACGTGATCGCAATGAACAATCTTGGTGTCGGCGTTCTCCCTCATATAGTCAACGCACTTCTTGTGACCACGATCTTCTCCGCCGGCAACACCTACTTCTATGCCGCGTCGAGGAGTCTGCACGGGCTTGCAGTCGATGGTAAAGCGCCTGGTTTCTTAAAACGGTGCACTAAAGGGGGCGTCCCCATATATTGCGTGGCTATGACCCTCGCATTTCCCTTTCTTTCCTTCCTGCAGTTGTCCAACAGCGCAGCCCAGGTGCTCACCTGGCTGATTAACCTGTGCACTGCATCTGTCATGATCAATTACATGGTGATGTGCGGAACGTACATCTCTTTCTACCGGGCATGTAAAGCGCAGGGTTTTGACCGTTCAAACCTCCCCTACCAAGGATGGTTCCAGCCCTGGTGCGCGTACATTGGCCTGGGGTGGATGTTCCTCATTGTCACCTGTTACGGGTACGAGAGCTTCACGCCATGGGATGTCACTGGGTTTTTCACGCACTACACTATGCAGATCTTTGCTATCTTTCTCTTCTGCGGATGGAAGCTTCTCAAAAGGACGCGTCATGTGCGGCCTCATGAAGTTGATATATACTGGGATGCGGATAAGATTACGATGTACGAGCAGGCAGCTACGGTAACGGACCCTCCTGTTGGTTTTTGGAGGGAGATCGCACAGCCCTTCCTGCCTAGCGGTCTATCTGTTCGTGCGCATAGGGACACCACAGCTTGACAGAACCATCACCACGTCTCTCGAGCTCCTATGGAGCCATCCTCATTGAGCCTCAAGGGAACAAGAGAACATTTGTCTATGTGGACCGAGAGACCAGCCTCAACATTGTCCAAGTCTTGTACATAGGAAAGCTCTTTAGTACCACAAATTCAACCAAATGAACTCGGTCCAAGACAATCTATGTATTATTGATTGACAGTATGCCGCTTCAGACACGCTCTCCCTAACACCAGAGTCCAATCTTGACAGCGATCACCTGATCGGCATACACGGACAGGACGGTCCGTATGATCAGTAGTTCAGCGCCGGTAAATGGTAGCTCTGCTGCCTGATACGCTGCTAATGCAGTACACCCGGGTGTCAGTGCGAGGGTATGGAGTTGAGTATCCATCCATTTCTTTCGGAGTTGTACACCCCACAGGGCCAACGAGTGGCTGTCAAAACAGGACACCATTGGTGCGTCTCTATCTCTATCGCCTTTCCACCAAAAATAGCTATATTATGCAGAACGGCGATCTCCAGCTCCGAGGCAGGGTAAAGTGGAGCTCTCCCGATAGGTGGGAGGAAGACATTCCCTGATCAGGAATTACTCTCCCTGATACGCTGATAGAGGCCGAAGTGGGCCGTTCCTTGTAGCTTCTGCAGCACAGCTTTCATCTAGCATCTTCACTGTGGTCTATTTTTGATATAACGTTGTTCAAAATAGACCTATATGTATCAGGGCTGTCTCGGGAGTTCTGGTTATTTGACTTCTTTCCATTAAGTATTCTACCACTTGCGTCGAAGTTGCATGAGACTCCCAAGTTCAATGCTGAGATATATACATGGCAACACGCCAGACCTGGCTCTCATCATAATATATGTCAGATAGGACCCACGAGTGCCTTATCTGTTCTATAGTGAGAGCTATTAAGCAGTCTGATATTTCTGAGATCTTGTAGCACTGGTGGACTGGACTGCTTTTCAACCCAAGCAATAAGCCGGTCCCGCAGATATATAGTAACACGGCAGGCACATCAGGGATTTCAGCAGAAGTATATCGAACAGTATCTCAACTGTAGCAGAACAGGATGTATAGGTACATGTTGTACTAGTACCCCACATGCCCAGCTGCCGTCTAGCCCGAAAGGGATACCCCACCGGCACGTGAGGGTCCAGATATCAGACACCCGAAAGCATCGACAATGACTACCGCATAGACGGCAACACGCTCAATCGCCATGAGCGCATCAAACGACAATTACTGCATACACAAAGTTTCCTTAAGACGTACTCGCCAAGCCTGTGCTCCCTGCCGGTGCGTACACCGGTCTCGATGACCGCCTGGCGAACTCGCCACTGAGTTCGCTGGGTAACATAAACTGGATGGACCAAATGGAACTAACGCTTAGTGTACGCATGTAGCCGGAAAAAGGCCCGATGCCCAGGGGAGAAGCCAGCTTGCTCATTATGTGAGCGGCTAGGCCAACGATGCACATATACCCCTCAGGCTGCCGTAAACCGTGCTGGCCGGTCCAGGTCTTTATCTACTCAGCAACATGACGGCTCGGATCTACAGCCGGTGAGTGTGTGCTGGATACTGCCAACCCAAGTCCATCCCGCGAAGCGACTAACGCTCCTCATAGTCGATACCGGCAGATAATGCCAGTACGGAGAGGTTCCAGCGTATCGAGGCCAGACTAGACCAGATGACAACTCTGCTTCAGTATGTTTTGTCAATCAATATATGCGTTCGACATCCACGAAAAAGCATCTAATACGGCCCTGACAGAGAGACTCTGCCACAACTTAATGCATTGGGCGAAGCGTCTTACCGGAACCTACAAAGCCTTCGCTCCCCCGGCCGCCGCAGTGACGGCAGTGGTCAATCTCCGTTGAGCTTCCGGGGTGGCGAGAGGGATATTCCAAGGTATGTAGCCTACCTCACAAACCGTGCTCCTACAGTTGAATAACCATTTGAAGGACCCTATTCCCACCAGACTATATTCGGTCCGAAGTAGAAACATACCTGCACTACTTCCACGACCAGCCATACTGTGTGTTCACAAAAGATTGGCTGACATGTAATGCGAGCTCATTACCACCGGAGATTGCGTTTCCTCTGGTTGCCCTCACTAGCCGATTTCGACGAGGCTCGCCCGGGAGCATGTCACAAGATGTCCCTACTACTGACTACTGCGCCAGAAAGGCCTGGACTATCCTGTCAAACCGATACCAGAGTTCAGATCTTAGTCTTTCGTTCCTTCAGGGGACGTTCTTGATGGCACAACTGGACTTCGCAGATGGCAGGTCCCATCGAGGCTATGCCAATGTAGCGCTTGGGCTTCGAACGCTTCAATCGGGCGGGCTGACCAGAGACAAATACGTTTCTACCCGGGGTTCGGCCGAGACAGAAGCTCGGAAACGCATCACGTGGGCTTTCTTCATGTTGGATCGCTGCTACAATGCCTCTCGCAACTATTCGCTATGTCTCTCTGATAAATATTTCACCTTGCCATTTCCGATGCCAGACCCGAACGATCCACGTCGAGAGGAAGGCCCACCGCCAACGGGCACATTACACGATGGACCTAGAACTCTGGGCGAGAAGGTTGACCACGGCATTTTAGCGTGTCTCATACGCTTGTCTGCGATATGGGGAAAGGTCACGGAGTATATATTCGAGCCCTTCGACAAGAGTGCACCGCCCCCGTGGCGCTCGGGGTCAGCTCATGCTACCCTGGAATCAGATTGGCTTCAGTTTGAGACGCATTTCGCTGACACTCATCGTTACATGAATGTCGATTTCAAAAGGCGGGCGCGCGAGGAGCCTCAATGCCGCACGTATCTTTCCACCTGGCTATGTGTCCAGTTCCTCTTCCATTCGACGCAAGGCCTGCTGCACCACCCTTTCATTACGATGACCAAGCTCCGACAAATGGAAGGGAATATACCATCGACATTCTTACAGAAATCGTACGAGAGCTCTCTGATCCACTCACGATGGATTGCCCGGTTTGTGCGAGAAATGGCCGAAGTCGACTGGGAGCTTCGCGACCCTTTCATCGGGTACCTATGCGCAATTGCAGCTACAATTCAACTCGAACATACCGTCCGCAGCAATCAACAGGTTGCACTACAAGCCAAGGATGACTTCAGGATACTCGTGGATTTCGTCACGAAGGCGTCCATGCATTGGCCGAACATGAGAGTCTTGGTAGGTTCTACCGGTCAAACTTTGCACGCTACGCTACATTTCTAACCAAGTCACAGGTCGACCGGATTAACAAACTTGCAGCGAGGCGCAACAACTATGGATCGTTGTATTATAATCAAGATGGATCCTTCGGAATCCTTCCGCGTATGCCGACTTCGTCCAATATCCCCCGGATGTCTGCAGAGGATGAGGCCCTGGTGTGGGACATTCTTGACATCAGCTCATCATCGAGCTTTGCAGAATTTCCACGACTCGGGGACACGCTACCGCAGGCTCAAAGGACTGAAGATGCCCTCATGCGCTCTCCAGGCAATTCATTTATGGCTCTACCACATGAAATCTTTGCCAGTTCCGCCGACCGTCGCTCATCACTGGCTCCCCAATTTCCACAGGGGATTTCACCTCTTCCCCGGGTGGGACCTGACACTATGGAAGACGGCGTCATCCCCGAATGGCCGTTTACTACGAGGGAAGAAAGTGCCGGGTTGGGTCCGGCTATGCCCGATATTCCGGACTGGATGCTCTTCGGGCGATACCTACCGGAGCAACTCTAGAAGTGTGCGATTTAGCTAATTACGACGAATGTCTAACTTGGGATATTATAATATGATGAATCATCATTAGGCATTCTCCAGTACCGGCCTCGCTGGAATGATTGACGCCACGCTATTAAATTATATGCTGCCAATGCAAAACTGCCATGTCTCGTTACTTAAATCTTGCTCTGTCTCGCCGCCGACGCCGCTGTGAGGGCAGCATTGAACGTCTCCCGCTCCTGGGGCGTCAGCTCTCTCCTCGCCGGTCCTCCGCGGCTTCCATCGCCTGTGAATACATCCGGCTGGAAACGCTGACGGAACTGCGTGGGGAACTTCCACTTCTCCAACAGTTCGGTAGGAAGCTTACGCTCCAGACTGCCAACGATGTATTTGCCAATCACGGGAAGGAACTTGAACGCACTGTTTCGCCCATTCGTCAGAATTTATCCCTTGTGTGACAATCTTTCGAGGATGCACTTACTGTCCGCTACCGCCAGTAGCGATGAACAGGTTCTTGTGTTCGGGGTGATAGTCGAAGATGAAGTCGCCCGTCGGCGTGTCGTTGTACCAGCACAGACCGACCCGCTCAAAGCCTCGCGGGGCAAGATCTGGGAAGAGATCTTTCAAGCCGGCCATGAGCCGTTGCAGACCATCAGCAGGGATGAAGTTGGCGCGGGTGGACACTGCCGAGCTGGGAGGTGCAGACACGGCCTTCTGCTGCGACTGGGACGTGTACCCAAAGCCGTGAACGGCCACCTTCAGATATCCAGTGCCCTGATGAACAGGGAAGCAGAAGAAGCCCGTGGAGAAGTTGAAGTAGATAGGAAGGTTCTTCAGCTTGACCATTTCCTCCGGCGTGAGTCGCAAGTACCCGACGATTTGCGCAGCTGCAATCATGGAATTCCACGCAGGCACAAGACTGGCCGTCCACGCCCCCGTCGCCGCGATAAACCGGTCGCCCGCAACTCGATTGCCGCTGGCCGTCTTGACAGCAGTCACCTCTCCGCCCGGACCATACTCAAAGTCGGTGACCTGGCCGCTGGGACCGGTGATGAAGTTCACACCCGCAGACACGCACCGACTAGCGAGTCGCTGAACCGCAAGACCGGCATCTGCCCAGCCAGCATTGTTGTTCACGAACCCGTCAAAGCCAGGGGTCGCAAGTCGTCCTGTCAACTCGGGAAACCGCTTCTTCGCGTCTTCCACGCTAGGCACCGCATGCCACTCCTGGCCCATGTCCGTGAGCACCTTTTTCGTCTTGGCGCTGTATTCCGCCGCACGAGGCTGGACGGGCTGCTCGGGGGTCCCTTCCTGACATACCCACATGCAGGGTGTCTGATGGAAGGCTTCTTTGTATTCGGGCGTTTTCCATAGATCGAAGGCCTCCTTCGCGATCTGTGCGTACACAGCATCACCATAGTCGAACCGAATCACACGGGAGATGTCGTTGCTGCTGCCATCCGGGACGGGAGGCATGGATCTGTCGAGAACAGTGACGAAGCGATAGCCGTCCTGGGCGAGTTTGAGCGCGGTGGAAAGGCCAAAGGCCCCCGCGCCGATGATGACGATGCGCTCGTTCTTGTCCATTGCGTGGATGTGAAGTAATGCAAATAACCAAGGCACAACGAATGCAACAAAACCAGTCTATGCGATATGATTCAGTACAATAGATTTTCCAGCTTCTTCTTTATACGTTGCTGTCAACGCTTTCGCCTCTGTTGAATGCGAAGTGTACGGGCCGTGAGCCGGTACAACCCATAGAATGCCCTGTATTAGGATTGCCATGATCAAGTACCACAGACGGTGCTGATTAGCACAAATCCAATAGACGAACAATATGCGGAGGAAGTAAGCACATTCCCACTACCCACAGGCCCTCTTTGGTCCGAAACTCTAGATAATATGGGAAAGCAATGACCCTGCGCTGGACAGCTGCGAAGATACGGCCCGTACACGGACCGTCCCCGCCGTCGTGGCCATTCTCGCCGGATCATCTATCTCGATATGTGGATGGTATCTACAGCGAGGCCTGTGTCTACCCGGGCTTATACTAGAGTAAGCCAAGTATGGTTATAGTTTAAATGATAGAAAATGGAACGGTTTGATACTGTTTGTCCTCAATCATTCCATCCAATATGGACATGCAGAGCACATCACGCTTGTGCAGAACTATATATATCGTTGCAAATATCCACATCTAGGAAATCAAAGAACACCTACTAGTCTAAGAAAGGGGATATATATAAAGAACAGTTCAGTAGGCTCCAACACGTTTCCCAGCAAGTGAAAGTGGCTTTTGTATAAACTCCCTGACTGTTAATGCTCGATATTAAGGTACTTTTGCTGGCCAAATCATGAATGACATGACTAAGCAATGTATCCTACCCAGTCAGCACGACGCGGCATACTGGATCGCCCTTCCTGCTTCTAACCAGCTGAATGTGCTACTCAGCATCCTATATAGAGGTCTCTTTTCACTGAAATCCATCTGATATGCAATAAATCAGACCGTATCTCTTCTATTGCTCGACACCCTCATGGCAGACCAACCAGCCCCTTTTCAGCCCAATACCCGAGTCATCCGCAGACGCCGCCGCAAGTTCCTGGCCTGCGACGCTTGTTCCAAGAGGAAGGTTGTCTAGTTCATCACTGACACAACTGTTCATATATCTAACCGTTTGTCTCGAAGATTCAATGTGACCGGGCAACTCCTAGGTGCGACTGGTGCCGCCACCACGATTTCCCCTGTGTATACACACGGAACGAAACTCAGCTGAACAAGCAGGAGAAGCGCAATTCACCGTATGTGTATTGGTCCGTGAATTTTAATCGCCTAACGCTCCACTAGGTCAGTCAGTTCCTCATCGGGCTCCAGTCCACACTTCAACACGCGTCGTAGTCCCAGAGGTATGTCCGCCACCGTGAGTTCATATCGCATATCGCAGCTTGATATGTCAGCTACTAATATTAGACAAGATCCTTCTTCACAGACGGACACCCATCTTGCAAATACAACCAATGCAAAGCTCCATTCCCCCGGACTTGCCTTGAGGAATATCTGTGTCTTCAATGGCCTGCCTTTCTTCTCATCTGGCGGCAGGGAATGGATCAAAGCACTGGTAGGGGAAGAGGTGGATTTGACCCAATATAAACCTCCCAAGCAAGTATCTTGGATACGTCCTCAGGCTAAGCCTCCAACAATACCCTTGCCTAGTGAAGCCGTCTTGCGTCAAGGTCTCGAAGCATACCAATCGTGCCTCTTTTTTCACATCTTTCCTTTCATCCACCCACTGCTGTTCGAGGAGACAATTCGTGCAGCCTACCAGGAGGAACACACTCTAGAACGCAGCAACGCGGATGCCAAAGCGTGCGTGTTTGCCTTTGTGGCAGCTGCACCAAGATTCGCAAAATTTCTACCTAATGAGGCCGTCGCCAAGACGGCCGAGTATGCCCAGGCAGCTTATGATCTGGTCCCGTCGCTTCTTGCAGATTCGGGCACTTTAGACGGGCTACAAGCAGTGCTTCTTCTGGTGAGCCACACAGGCAACGGCCTGCAACAAACACTAATACGCTGCTGGTAGTGCTTCCACAGTCAAGGTGTCCTTGGGGATATGTTGAGCGTGGAGCTGTTGTTATCAACGGCGACACGTTTTGTATTCCACCTCGGAGGCCATATTAACCCCGAAAGACCTGCGGACGTGGATAGCAGGCCCTTGACCCTACGATTACATCTCCGTTACCTGTTCTGGATCTGCTACGAGTTTAGTCAAGAGTATTGCATGCGCACAGGGGTTCCACCTAATTTCGACAGCGCGTTGTGCGACCTGACCTTGCCGAAGTCCTCCAGAGAAGTATCCAACGAAGCCACGAGTGGCACATGCTCCCCTCTCTTTATCTCGTTTATAGAGTTGTCGAAGGTCGAATCCCAAATATACCGGAGACTCTATTCGGTTCCCGCGCAGAATCAGACTGATACAGAGCTCCTGAGGGCAATCCGCGATCTGGATGAACTCCTGGAGGAGTGGAAGCTGTCGTTGCCTGTGCATATGAGACCATCCTTGACCCATCGACCGACGGATGTCGAGGATCAACCGTCTTCCATCCTCCAGCTGAAATACCACTACTGTTTGACGATGATCCACCAAGCTAGTGGTCGTTGTATCTCGTGGACGCAGAACACACGTGGTCTCGGGTCAAGTCTTGCGATTAGCACGGAAGCAAGTCGATCACTGCTCATGATATTTGCATGTTCTGAACATTCACTTCATCGCTGGAACCTTCTGTAAGTATACCCCGGAGAATTCAATGCGTGGTGCATCCGAATACATGGCTTATGCTATATTCCGTGCTGCAGCTTTTGCTTGCCTTATTTCACAGCAGCTATGGTCCACCTGTTCTGTGACATACTTCTGCACCCTCTTGATGAGAGCTGCCATGAGCATCTGAAGCTCTTGGATATGGTTCGTGACAGGATGGTGGCAGCGCTATGGCCTCAGGCTCCACCCTCGACTCAAATGCAGGTCCAGCTCGTGAAGGACTTGAGTGTGGAGATACAGCGTCTGGCGCGGAAGGCAATGCAACGAGCAGCCGAATGATCCTACGCACCTGGCGCATGGTCTCTGTCTAATTAATTTGCCAATCTTCTTAGGTCATAATATACTCCACCTTAATGTTGTGTGCAATGCTAATGAACAAGTGATATTCTAAGTATAAAATAAACTAAGGTACATCTATGAGGAGATGCTGCATAAAGCAACGCACAACAGTCACAGCTAATCAAAACTACTAGCACAGGCAAGCGTCACCGTATACTCTAGCCCAAGACCGATCACTGAGAAAGGTCAGCAATAACACCCTCCCGCCAGGACCACAACGCAGCCCACGTGGCTCCCGGGCCCACGAGGACCTGGCCCGCCATGACCGCAAGGGCAGCCTTCAGCGCACTGCGGGTCTTGATGTATCCAAGCCGCCGGAGCTCCCAGACCGAATACAGATTGCCACCCACATAAGCAGCCAAGGCCGTAACAGCATCGTACCGGAAGAATGTAGCCAGCTGCTGCGAAAGGCTTGGCAGATTCCACTCAGCCTTGAAGGGATTCGGTAGACCGAAAAATGTTTTTGCAATGGAGATGTCGGGATGGGACCACGCGTATGCCATCGTCGCGATATGGACCGTGGACTGGACGGCAAATGCATACATATACGCCCTCTGCAGCACAGGCACGTCGCGCTTCTTGTAGCGCTCGAATTCCTTTTCGTGTTCATCTGGAGGACTACGTCTCTGCCGCAATCTTCGCAGCCCGGTGGAGAACAGGGCTGTGAGCACGTTGACCAGCGGCGGTGCAAACTGCCATAGTGCGACCCAGTGCTGCCACGCGCGGACGTTGGCTGTTGGCCAGAGAGACATGATCGTGGGCAGTGCAAAGCCCAAGGTCACAGCGGGCACAAGTGACATGGCCACTTCCTTGGGGACCGTTCGACCGGGGATGCTCTCCGTTCCGAAGACCGCGCTCAATATGGCGTACAGGGGGCCTATGCGTCCAATGCCCTGGACCTGCATACCTGCGGTGAACAGGCTCGGCAGAGCGAGCAAAGAGCCCTGGTTTCCCAGACGGTATCCTTCGATCGTGTAGATCAAAATCGGCGATATGAGCTGGGGGAGGAAGTTGATGAGGTGCCACTTCACCGAGGGATCTTTATCCAGGAGAGGATAGGAGAAAATCGACACGAGCGCCTTCAAGAACTGGGACGCTGGCGTGCCGCCCAGCCATGGGATGACGATGGATCCCGATTCTCCCCAGCCGCCAAGGCGAGAAAAGGGCAGTCGCCATGCCTTTTTTGTGATGACAAGGACGAGCCCCATGCCTCCGACGAAGCCCCATCGCACAGCACTCGATACTGACTCGGGAACGGGTTTGGCCGGCAGCTCATCGGCGAAAGGCACAGCTCGCGCCCTGTGGGGCACAGGAAGATACTCGAGTTTCGATGCGCCCGTAAATCCCTTTCCCAGGCGATTGAAGACATACTCATTTCCTAGCTGGGGCATAATTAATGTTTGGATAATGGTGGACGTGATAGGGTCCTCGTAGGCGTCGATGGCCTGCCTCTTGTGAGCCTCGCGAACAATCATCTCGGCTCGTTCGTGTCTGGCGGACTGAGTCTCAGTGAAGATGTCGAGTATATCTTCGTCAGCAAGCTTGTCCAAGCTTCCACCGCGGCTGTCCCTCTTTCGCAAGATTGCATTGACGAGCTCGGCGCAAGATTCAATTGCCCCATTGCCTCCCTGACCAGTGAGTGGATTCGGCTATAGCGAAGAGGCCTGTCAGCGATGCCTGTACGAAACGCAAAGGATCATCTTGTACTTCTGCCACCACTCACCTTGTGTGCCGAGTCCCCAAATGTAATTATCCGCTTGAAAAACCATTTCTTGAACACGACCTCATGAAGCGGCGTCAACGTGGACTGAAGTCGCTTCGCAAAGACTTGGCCAAAGGTAACCTTTTCAGTAATGGCACGGGAGGCGTTGGCCTTGATGAACTCGGCTTCGTCCTGTGTCGTATACTTCGGTATGTCTTTGCCGTACTTGACCGTGGGTAGCCTTTCGAACAAGAACCAATACACACGGTCATCTGGCCCAGAGACAACCAGCTGCGAGAGACCCCTTCCCGACACGACGTTTTGCTCACCTGCAACCCAACCAGGAACATGCTGAGCAATACCGAAGCTGCAGCGGTAGTAGCATGGGACTCGGTCCTCCTCATCGGGATCGAAGTAGCCGGGGCTGGAGCCTAGTCCCTAGAGCTCTCATGATAGACCGAACCTTGCTATGGATCCCGTCCGCGCCGACAACAATGCTGCCACTATAGGTCGATCCATCGGCGGTAGTGACGTTTACACCCCCTTTGACGAGGTCTATGCCAGTGACCGCCTTGTTCAGCAGTACCCTGTCCTTGTGCTGGATATGGTCGTACAGAATCTGCAACAGTTGCTGGCGATCAAAGAAATGCAGACCATAACCAAACCTATTGAGGCTGTCAGGATGGAGGGCATCACTTGCCACGCAGACGCTCACTCACCGGCGCTCTAGATGGTCGAACATATAAAGTATATCAGCTATAATCTTGCCATTCTCCTGCCGGGTGTACCCCTTGTTGAGATGTTCATGAGACAACTGAGCGATGGCCTCGTAGCAGCCAATTTGGTCCAGAATGCGCAGGCCGTTGGGAAACAGACCAATACTAGCGCCAACTGGAGGAGCAATTGCGGAATAGGCCTCCAGCAGAACATACTGGATGTCAAACTTCTCCAGCATGTTTGCCAGGGTTAGCCCGGCGATTCCTCCCCCAGCGATGATGATCTTGAAGTCCTCGTTTGGAGCCATGTTGCTGATGCAGTTGAAGAATACTAGCAAGCAGGTTCCCCTTGAGGAGTTCTCCCTGAATTGACTACCCACGAGTCCTCTGGGCGATTAAATAGCGATCCCAGAAACTAGTATGCCATCCCTATATCTGATCGGGCGATCGATATATGCGCTTATGTCAGCGGGTGTAACAAACTTAGGTACCTAGCTACGCTCTCCCGACTCGTTTGTACTTCGGATATACCTGACGGAGTACATAGTCTGGCCCTAGTCATCTCAAAGAAACTAATCGCATCCCGAAAATCCCGAACACCCGATGTTTTAGGCTTTCATTGTAGGGTTTAAGCTGGGAGCACGCCACATATGCGGTGATCTACGCTGGGCACAGCCGCTTGCATGATACTATGCTGGAGTACCCACTGGACGCGCTGGAACGCGTATGTCCGCCGATTTATGCCAGATACGGCACTGAGACAGCCCAGCTAATGAAAGAACACCTGCATAAAACGCCTTATGTTGCCAAACAAAAATAACGACGGAGCTATCTGGTGCCGAACGACCGAGATTAGGCGCCGGAATTGGCTTCGATCCGTGCCGGGGCCAGTTATCGCTTTGTTTATTTCTGGTTTTTAGGTCGTGGCAGCATCGACGACGGATGAGAATCTTCCGACGCTCATTTCTTTGTGAGGTAGACATATCAGATAGATTGCCCGTGCGCATATGTGTACGGTATTCCACACCGCTCCTTGACATGTCTGTATCGATCAGAGACATCGGGGAGTTTCTATAGTATTCGGACACTCCCGAGATTCATAAGACTTGACGAAGGTTAACCTATGCTGATCTTTCTTGCTTTGGTCAGTCGTGTATCCTTGCTATTTGTGCAAGCCCTCCACGAGGAATGACGGAGGATCTGCTCCGTGACTTATGACATGACTTGTTTGTAGCCAACCTGGATTTGTGGTGCGTATATTTAGGAGCAGAGAAGCATGTGCCGAACGGCAATGCGGGTCGGCAATTACCCTGCTAGTCTGTGTAAAGGATATTTATATATCTATTGGTTACACTAGTTACCTGTTGGCTGGTTGTCAACATATCCAACGTCATTGTTGGACCCAAGTAAGGGAAATAGAAGGACAATAACAATGATATACTCCACAAAGATACTATCCAACATATACACAAAGATTCATCGATGCGTGTCGACCGCGGACAGGGCGGATAACCTCAGGATGTGCTTGACCACCTCCGCCAGCTCATCTGTCTTTGTAGGCAAATGATGCCCAGTATCCATTTGAATGGCAGTCGCAAAGCTAGGCCGATAATGCTTCTTCACCAGTTTCCGGGCGCAGCCGAGGTAGAAGTCTCTACCGCCGTGTATGTGGATTGCCGGGACGTCAATGTAAGATTCCTCATGCTATGGGCCTGCGTCGAGGCGCCGAGCCACAGGACGCCTCGTTGGGAAAGAAGCAGCAACTCAAGGCAGCAAATTGAAGCCGTGGCATACATGGCACCAGTCCTTGCTATTGTTGCCAGACCAACAGAGACAGGACAAGCGCACCCTCGGAGAACCAAATTGCGCCAACAACCTCGGCGTCTGGGTTCCGGTTGATTGCTTTCCATTCATCCACTGCCTGTTTGACAGTTTTGTTGACCCTGCCCATGCTCTTTTCAAGAGTCTGGTCATGCCCGCCAACCCAACAATAATATACCTAGTAGCGCTTGACCGCTGAACATGGGTAACACAGCAGGCCCGGCCTTCAACCCTCCCGTCCAAGAAGACGAATTCAAACGTATTTTTTAACAGAAAGCATGTCCTCGCCGTTGAAAAATGGCGCCCCTGGAGCCCGTACCATGAAAGCAAAGCAGTGCTTTGGTAGGTTCCCCAGACATGCTGAATAGCTTGTCGGTATGTAATCTAGGGCGAAGAATGCTGGGTAGTCAACGGGGCTGTACTCATTTCTGGTGTAGTAGCTTTTTGTTGAAGATTTCACAGTTGTAACACCAGGTGCATCGGACAAGGTATCAAAGCGACACTGGGGAGATCACGTCACAACGTAATGAATGGGTATAAACGCAACGGAAAGCATTGAACTCGCGATACAGTTAGGTCGCGCCGACGTCTAGCTGTCGGCGTCCGTCTCGCCAACACCGAAGTGACCATAAAACCGCCGAATGATACCGTAGAAGATGACCAGCACCGTGTCGGCAGGCCGGTCGCTACCGTTTTAAATGCGTTACAGAATTGACACTCGTTTTACGGCGAGACCGAGTAGTTTCGTCCCCCGGTGTGAGATACTGGTGCCGGCGGCACGGACAGACAGTGTTGGACTCGTCTGCCGCGCCCGTTTCTATATCATCAGCGTTTCCCTGCCGAGCTCTCAGGGTTATGACCCTACCTAGGCTATCTTCAGACACAATTCCATCCTTCTGACAACGAACTCGAGCAGTACTTCGTCGCAGCGTGCGGTGATTATAGAGACTGATCTCCATGCGTCCGAGACGATGTACCCTTGCGTCCCGCGCAAGGACCATTTTTTGATCCGCACCTGTGCCATCGTGATCAAACCAGCAACACCAAGTTGCGGGCAACTTCATAGTCTCTGGTGGTGTCTGAAAGACTGACTACCAGAAGTCACAAATGCGGCTGTTGGCAATCGAGTCTGCGGAGCGCAGAACGCCATGAATGCCAACACACCCTATCGCGGGTCATTTGGAGAATACAATATCCCTGCCGGTAGGATCTGGTTGAAGCTGTTTGCCTCAATTAGCTCGGCAGGGGGCGCTACCTTTGGTGCCGGTATTTGCACTACGGGACTTGCCTTGAAGCTTCCAGGGCTGCCTTTGAGACAGATACGGGCAGGGATAAGGCAAAGGAGGATTGTACCGACAGACTGGAGGCATAATGGTGTCCTCGATCAAATTCCATGCGAAGGAGGCAAAGGATTTTTCCTCCCCGAATCTGACTTCCTTACGCCCAGGGTCCACGCACGCATGTCAGTCTTCTATCAGCTTTCCAATTCTACCAAGCAATCCCGCCGGGATATTGTTCCGCGGCTCAAATCTGCCCTAGAGCTGCTCCCCTCGCAGGTACCATATCTAGCAGCGACGGCGGCCATGGACCCAGAATTGCAGCGTGGGGCCGTGGAGACAACTGGTAACGACAATGGACTCTCCTCCTCATTATCGGCGCTGATACCATGCAGCACCGATCTTTCGTCCTACGGCAGCTGGAACATGACCACTTCGCTCCCGGGAAGCTCCCTTATGGCAAGACGCATCCCTAATCCATGATCAATCCAATAGGAAGGTATCGGGGCCGAGTCCTGGCCTGCCCACCTGTATATCCCAGGTCAAGTTTATCTGGAACCTCATGGCTGCCGTGCACCATTTATTTCGAGACGGCCCGAGCGCCGACCTCCAAGTCTACACCGACTGTTCCGTCCTCTCAAGATCCCAGAATCCCAAGCCATCCGATGTTCCAGGCTTGGAAGAGGCCATGGTTGAGCGTGGGTGTCATGTTGACTCAACCATGGAGAGGGCGATGTCTATATCACAGCAGGAGCTTAGCCTTCCGATATCCCAGAAATGTCGTCCACGAAAAATCGACGAGTCTACTTTAGTAGTGTTATAAGCCAAATAACATGACTCCTCCATACGCCAGATTGGGAAGGTCCATTAGACGTGACATACAACCGTTGACCGAGTAATTTCCGGGGAAATGATAGATATAAGACAGTATTAAATAGGGTCCTAGTTATTTATAACTGGGTGATTGGCGGGCTACCAAGGAAAGATACAGTTTACTCCCCAGCTCTGATTCACAGATGGAAGACACTCGTTGAGCTCTATAATCTAGACAGCAAGAAATGAAGGTGGCTAGAGGATATTCAGAAGAATGGTTTGGATGGAAATCTAGCCCTGTTGCATTGCTAGATAGATATATATCCTCTAACAGCACCGTCGACACAAATTACAACACGCAGCACACGCAGAAGCCTTCGAACTTGGTTACGAGACATTTCAAACTTCTCAAAGATAGATTTAGGTACTTCCAAGTCTACGACTGGATGTTGCGTATGGCTTCTTGCTTGTTGTTCTGGGCGGCCATGTGTTGATGCCAGGGGGGTTGATACGTGTGAAACCGACCCACATAGACCGATTTAGATGATATTTTACAACGTCTCAGAGCCCTATGATTAGTTCTTCTGGCGAACTATGCACTAAACCGAAATGGCATCAAGCCGGAGGTCGGGCAAACAGCGAAAGCGCCGAAAAGGGCCGAACTGCCATCCTTTTGCCTGCGCCGCCCTGATTCCTGCCATCTTGTCCTCTCCCGCTTGACCCGCCGTGCCTTGACTCACCACAGCAGCCGAGCGTGCTCTCCTTTGATCTATTTTATTCTTCTAACTAGTCCCTTCTCCGCGTAACTCATTCTTTACCATCACAATGGCTGCATCTCCTGCGGTCGTCGCCCAGATCGCTCCCCAGAAGAAGCCAGAGGGCCTTGACCTCTACGCGCGCTTCGCCTTTGCCGGCGCGGTCTGCTGTTCGGTCACCCATGGCGCCTTTACTCCCGTTGATGTGTATGCTATCTATCTGTCTTAGCCCTAGCATGGGCACTCCCGACTCAGGGCAACTTACCGACTCCCAGCGTGAAGACCAGGATCCAGCTCGACCCGGCCACCTACAACCGTGGTATGATCGGCGGCTTCCGTCAAGTCATTCAGGCCGAAGGCGCTGGTGCCCTTCTGACCGGCGCTGGTCCGACCTTCGCGGGTTACTTCCTGCAGGGTGCGTTCAAGTTTGGGGGCTACGAGTTCTTCAAGCAGCAGTCGATCAACACACTCGGTTTGGAGAAGGCCCGCCAGAATCGCGCGGCCGTGTACTCGGTTTCGGCGGCTTGCGCCGAGTTCTTTGCTTCCATCGCTCTTTGTCCGCTTGAGGCTACGCGGATTCGTCTTGTTTCGCAGCCGGGTTTCGCCAACGGCCTGATTGGAGGGTTCGGCAAGATCCTCAAGAATGAAGGCGTGGGTGCCTTCTACCGTGGCTTTGGTCCGATTCTCTTGAAGCAGTATGTTGATTGTCAAGTTTATCTTCTCGTTGTCTTTGCTCCATGCGACCCCTTCTCGACCGAAAGACACATGTCAGAATAGCAGTGCTAATATAGTTATGCAGGGTTCCCTACACCGTGACTAAGTTTGTCGCCTTCGAAAAGGTCTCCGAGGCTGTTTTCGCGCGCCTTGACAAGTCCAAGCTGTCGGGCGGCGCCCAGACCGCCGTGAACTTGGGATCCGGTCTGATGGCTGGCTTCGCCGCTGCTATCGTCTCTCAACCCGCTGACACCATGCTGTCCAAGATCAACAAGACACAGGGTCTACCGGGCGAGAGTACCGTTTCCCGTCTGATCAAGATTGCGGGTGAGCTTGGTCTTCGTGGTTCCTTTGCTGGCCTTACCACTCGTCTGTTCATGATTGGCGGTCTTACTGCTGGTCAATTCGCTATCTACGGTGACATTAAGAAGGCTCTTGGTATGTCTACTGTTTCCCTGGTCTCCTTGCGTAAGACTGACTTGTCTAGGTGCCACCAATGGCGTCGAAATTGCCAAATAAAAAGGTACTGGGGAATGTTGATGCTGTCTGCATGGTCATAGACCGGATTGGTGAAGAGGGCGGAAAAGATGATATGGTTGGTTTCGTAGGTAGACATAGAGGTTGATGGCACCGAGTTGTATTAGTAGCATTCCAATCTGGCGGCTGTAAGTATCTTTTTTAGTGTAGACAATGGAATATATGCATATCTTAGACTCCAGTATTATCCTTTCTATATACAATCTGCGTGATGGTGGTTGTTGATGTGGGGTATTTAATATCTACTAGGTAGAGCGCAGGACTTCGTCCAAACCTTTTAAGAGACGGAAAGAAAGGAGGAGCTAAGAGAAAGCAAAGTCAAGATCGATGTTTGGTAATGTTTAGGATTGTGGACCTACAGCACCGGAAGAACGCTACCGTCGATGTCTTGCTAGTGGAAACCTCAGAATTCCATATCACTCTCACGAAGCGAGCTGACAAGGAAAGCATCTCAGCGCCTCCACCAGATAACGTGTGCTGATTAGAGTCAACTTCGTCTTGGAGGTTGCAGACGATATGGGTCCGGCTCCCAGCTCAGATGGTATCCCAGGCGCCTTTTCTGTCCTCATAAGTTACCTGCTCCCGATCTGGACGACGATGGCGGCATTGTGCGCATGACTGAACGGATATGGCGGGGCATACAAATCGCCCAGTCGGACCCCCATTGCCCCCAGTCGAGCCGCAGCACGTACTCCGAACTACGTATGGTACGGAGTAGGCGGCTCCGATGGGGACATCATCTCGCGGCCGCTGCGGCCTGTGGGACCCTGGCGAGGGGGAATTTGACACCGAGGCGGGCCCCCACCACTACCGGGTCCAAGTTACCCAGCGGGCGCCGCGATCCTAGGCTAGTATGGCCGCTAGATCAACAGCCCCATTCTGATGTGCACCCAGAGGAATCCCCGATCGTTCCTTGGCCGAGGCTTCCGTTTCTTGCGTAATTGGACCCCTGCCCGGTTCTTCCAGCTTTTTCTACAAGCGGCAAGGTGGTATGCACTATTTTGGTCCCCCAAACTAAGCATTTAGTATATCACTCGGCCATAATCGGCCTTCCTGCCCTAGCCGAGTGACTTTTCGGAAAGGTAGCCGAGGAATGCGAAAGGCTTCCATACTTCGGAGCGTTGTTTGAAACGGGCCCTGGGACCATTTTTGCCACAGGTTGTTGTATTTGACCATCGATCTATATTCACAGGCGTTTTTGTTCTTTACTCTTCAAAATCCGATGGCCCTATTGTTACGTTCCATCTGTTGTCGTGCTCTGTCACCGCTTAAAGTACCGACCACTTTCACTAGCATCAAACCTGGAGAGGCTTTATACTAAATCTTATTTACCACAAGATGCGGAGCACTTAGTGGCGTAGAAATAACCTGTCCGGAATTGTTCAGTTCGAACCTTAAGTATACTAAGCCCCGGAGGGAGACACCCGCTCGGATGTATACCAGAAAGCAGTAAACACAGCAGAATGGCTACTACCTAGTATCAGTTTCCCAGTCCAACACGGCTGCTAGAGTAAGAGCACTTGCATGTACGTTCCGGTGATCTTGTTGAATGGCTGGGGAGAGACAAATCCAGCGACAAGGTTTGCTTCCACCACAGGACTTACATTAATCGGGACAGACTACTTCAGCTGAATCAACAGGCCCGGCTGCAATCGATAATCCAATGTTGCCAGTTTCTACATATATCGGAACGTCTTCCATACTGCGTTTCATATGCACAGAACAACTATTAGGATATACAGTTCGATCAGCGGGCACCGCTTATTCTAGAGGTTTTACAACAGGGGGGTGGTCCAGCCCTGTTCGGGGGATAAGGATGGTGAGATTTATGGGAGACTGTATGGGCTACTGAGGTTGAATGGGTCACAGCGTACGAGACCACGGCGGTGTGTGCACAGCCTTGATAGGTGAGCGTGAGGTCTGAAATCTGACAGCCGATAAATTAAATCCCCAGACCTGGATCTGTCAAATCTATAAAATATGGTACACGTACCGAGACTACTTACATCGGGACTCCCTCCTTCACCTGCCTCACAAAATCCACAACCGTCTCCCGAAAACCCCGCAACTGCACCCCGAGCTCCCGGGTAACCGTCTCTCCATCCAGCTTATAAGCCTGCGGCACCTTCTTCCCTACCACATAATTCTTCGTCACAGTCTGCGCAGCCCACTCAAACTCCGCCCGTATGATATCCGCCGCAAGCTCATACGAAAACGGCTCACTCGACGCAGCAACATACCTCTTCCCACCAGCGGCCGGGGTAAACAGTGCCTGAACATGTGCCTCAGCAAGGTCCCTCGCATCAACCCACCCGGACACCTTCGCCAGCGGGAGCGGGTCCGCACCAGCCGCAACACTCCACAACACAGCGTTGGACTCATTCAGCTGCGCGACGTTGGCGACTGGATGCACCACGGGACCAAAAACCATCGGGGGACAAAATGTGACCAGATCAAAGTCGGGCTTTTCTCTCTCCATGAAGCTCCACGCTTCGAGTTCCGCGAACTTCTTCGATCCACGATAGCCTGTCACGGCGGTGGACGCGGGGTCCACGGCTTCTGCGTATGTCAGCGGGTTCCAGTGTTCGCCGGTGTATACGAAGTTTGGGTCGGCGGGACGGTTTAGGTCGATGACGGAGGCGAACGAGGATGTCATTACGACGCGTTTCACCTTGGTGCCGGGTTTTGCGGAGGCGGAGAGGATGGATTTGACCCCGTTGATGGCGGGGATGATGAGTTCTTTTTCGTTGTCGGTGGTGTTGTATGTGAATGGCTGTGTCGCAGTTAGGGGCTTTCCAGGTTGTGATTGAGGTTGGGGTCAAGCCAACGCACACTGGCAACGTGGATAACGGCGTCTATGTCGCTCATGACGGTGTTGAACACTCCCAATTGGGTAAAGTCTCGGACTTCTACGATCTCTAGCTTTGATGCATATTGCGGTCGTGCTTGTCTCAGCAGTTCTCCCTTCTGCTTTGATCTGGTTGCTGCGCGGACGGAGACGCCCCGCGCAAGGAGGCTGTCAACAACATGGGCGCCGATGAACCCGGTGGCTCCTGTGACCAGGACGCGGCTGTCGTACGATCAGTATCAGGTAGTGGACGATGGGAATGGGCTTACGGGAACTGATCTACTGTCATTTTCTCAAATATTTGAACACAGTGCACTATGAAATCATCAGCTGCTCTGTGTTTTTATTGTTTGAATGCGGGGAATCGGAGTACTTGCCGAGTCGGAATTATTCCGATGCTTGTCCTAATTTCCGCCAATCGGAGGTGGCGGGTGGTTATACCATCCCATTATAAAACGAGAGCTCTACCAATATCTAGATTCGGTAAAATGTACTGCATGTCGGTAGATGCCTACCCAAGCAGTGAACCATACTAAGAAGAATATATAATGTAGCTCTATCTATTTCTTCTGCAACACCTCCTCCGTCGTCTGCACAATAATCTCAAATGCCCGCCGGATATACTTCTCCTCCGCAGCCGCGTTGGCACTCACCACACGAATGGAATATACTCCAGCAATGACAGTCGACGTGATAAAGATCTCTCCACGCGCATTAATCAGCTCATAGATCTCCTTCGTCAGAGCATTGGACGCCTCATCCGGCTGGACAACAGTCGCTCCATTCGCAGCCGCAGCCTGCGGGCTCTTCACACGGAAAACGGTCAATGCAAAGGCCGGCTTCGTGACAATATCGAACAAGTCGGACCGACTCCGGATGAGATCAGCAAACGTCTCGCCCAGCGCGATCGACTTGCGGATGTGCGCCTTCATGCCGTTCAGCCCGTAGCTGCGCATCACGAACCAGATCTTCAGCGCCCGGAAGCGCCGCCCCAGCGAGATCGACCAGTTGCGGTAGTCAATGACGCTGCCGGCGTCGGAGTACGGGTTGCGGAGGTACGCCGGGGTGATGTCCAGGGCGTTGGTGAGGTCGAGTCGGTTCCGCACAAACAGCACACTACACGCATCATTAGCACAAACCCCCGCACATCCAACGCCCAACATACCTAGCGTCAAAATTGACAAGCAGCCACTTGTGCATGTTCATATTGAAGCTGTCCACGCCCTCGGCAAACTCCGCCGCGATATACTGCCACTCGTCGGCCACCAGCGCGGCACCCGCATACGCCGCATCAATATGCACCCAGATCCGCTGCCAATGCGGCTTCTCCCGCAGCACGGCCTTGATCTCCGCAAAGCGGTCCAGCGCACACGAGTTGGTCGTGCCCATGCCGAGGGTGATATAGTACGGCGTGAGCCCGTCCGCATCGCACTGCTCCAGCACGGCGCGCAGCCCGGCCCCCGTCATCTCCATATTATCCTCCAGACGGGCCGCAACGCTGCGGTAGCGCGTGCCGGCCAGCAGCGCGCCCTTGGCCGTGCTGCTGTGCGCCTGGTTGCTCCCCAGCGCGACCAGCCGCGGCCGCAGCTCCATCACGCGGTCCTCGTACTCGGCGCTGCCCTCCTTGAGCCCCGCGGCGAGGGCCTGTTCGCGGACGCGTCGCTCCCGCGCGGCGATCATCACCGTCGCCACGACGTCGCTGGCGGAGACTTGGATGACGCCGCCGCCTTTGTTCTCGGAGTCGCTCAGGAAGCACTTGGGCAGGCCGAGCGCCTGCGCCATCCAGTCCATCACGATGGTCTCGAGCTCGGTGCAGGCCGGCGAGCAGAGCCAGTTGAAGGCGGGTGCGGTGAAGGCCGCCGAGTACATCTCACCCAGGATGCTGGGGTAGGTGACGGTGGCCGGGAAGAAGGCCATGAAGTTGGGGTGTTGCCAGTGGGTCAGGCCGGGCTTGATTTTGGATGCGATGTCAGCCTGGATTTGGGACCATTCTTCTGGTTCCTCTGGCGGGTGGGTTGGGATCTGGGGGCGGAGGTAGCCGGGCTCGATGGTGGGCACGACCCGTTGCGAGGGGAGGTCGTCGAAGTAATTGATGACTGGGGGGTTAGAAGGAGTATAAAAGGATGGAAGGGGATATCGTACTGTCATCAATTGCTGCATGAGCAGCTGTTCTGAATTGTTCCCGGTCCATGTGTGTTGTCCTGCGCGTTGAAGGCGCAGTTGGGAATGCTTCGCGTGTCTCGACAGGATTGAGTGCAGGGGTTGAGTGCGACCGGAGTATACAGACGGAGGAAGCAATTGAGACAGAATCTGGAGAATTGACACCCAGATGTGAATATATACGGAGCCGAGGGAAAACGAGGAGGAAGAAATTGAGGGGATGCGGCACTATCGCCAGTGGGGAAGACTTGTCATTCCAAGGGCGAAATGCGCTTTAATTCCGCGGGGAGATTATGTAAGGGTTCTATTCAACACATATGCGAGACAGACATACGAGACATATATTCTATGATTGATATCTAGTATGTCTGGGAAAGATCCCTAATAGTATGAATATAAGATATTGTACGTTGGGAGTTTGCTCAAGACGGAGGATCCGCATGGCTGTTAACTATGGTCAAGCGGAACATTCCGAACATCCCGCGATAATATATCCTCCATAAAATAGTAGATTCTATTCCATTCCTTGAATCGAAATGACCCAGTCCCCAATATATATACCCCAAGTATATATAACTGGCATAAGTGATGATATGTAGGACAGGTAACTATATGTGGTGTCTGGAAAGATGGTTTCATAGAAATCCTCTAGTTTCTGACTTTGACGTCATATGGACAAGGGCCAGAATGCACAACTGACGCCAATCATCATCACCATCAATTCTGTCTAGGATTCCAGGATCAAAAAGTACAATTGAACCAGTTTGGGATATAATCACAAGAAAGTGGTGTGTTGGTTGACATCGAATCAGACGTCATACTGACGAAACTGCAATTTTTGCTCGATGATGTAGTATACGTACTAGCTAGCTTGCATAGCTTTATAGGGCTGGACTCTAGCTTCAATAACCAACAACTCTACCATACACTCGCACGCAACGACACGCAAATTCAACATGGAAGCCCACACCGAACGCACCGCCCGCGGGCCTCAGTCGCAATTCCAGCAGGGTACGACTCCCCCCATCGATCCTATTCCCTTCCACATAACTAACAGCATACAGGCCACCAAGCCCCCGTACAACACCAGCAACAGCCCGGGCTGCAGGAGCAAATGGAAAAACCAAAACCCACATCGACCCAAATCCCGACCGAAGACCAAGGCTACCAAACGTACAAAGCGGCAGGAAAGTTGGACGGAAAGAGAGCGATCATCACCGGCGGCGACTCGGGCATTGGCCGCGCGGTGGCTATTCTCTTCGCCATGGAGGGCGCTAGTAGCCTCATCACTTACCTGCCCGAGGAGGAGAAGGATGCGCAGGAGACGAAGCGCAGGGTAGAGGAAGCCGGACAGAAATGCTACACCCTCGCGGTGGATTTGCGCACGAAGGAGAACTGTCGGAAGGTGATCGACACGGCTTTGGAGAAACTGGGCGGAATCGATACGCTCGTCAATAATGCCGGGTATCAGAATATGATTCAGGATATTGGGGATCTTGATGAGTATGTTCTTTATGTTCGCGCGTTGGGGAGAATGGAACTAATCTTCACTCCTAGAGCCCAGTGGGAACGCACATTCGACACGAACATCCACCCCTTCTTTTACCTATCCAAGTACGCACTTCCCCATATGAAGAGCGGTTCGACCATCATCAACTGCGCTTCGGTGAACGCCTACGTCGGTCGACCGGACCTGCTGGACTATACTTCCACAAAGGGCGCCATTGTCGCCTTTACCCGTGGACTGTCGAACCAACAGATTGGAAAGGGAATTCGGGTTAATTGTGTCTGTCCTGGACCTGGTATGTGATACTGATATTTCCGTTTGGAATGCTCTTCTGACCGTTGATCAGTTTGGACTCCCTTGATTCCAGCAACGATGACATCCGAAGCTATGGAGCAGTTCAGTGGCGTGCCAATCGGACGCCCGGGACAGCCCAGCGAGATTGCCACTTGCTTCGTCTTCCTTGCCAGCCAGGATAGCAGCTACATTTCCGGTCAGAGCCTGCATCCGAACGGAGGAGTTGTGGTCAACGGATAGCTTGTTGGGGTAGGCATTAATTGAGCGCGTGGTAGTAATATGAAATTGATTCATCTTTTCATGTGACTTTGAATATCCACTCAAAACTGCGCTCAGGGGAGATATTCGGATGGTTTCAATCAAGGTAACTACCTTATCTCCGAGCCATCGGACGTATTGACAAGCTCGGCCGTAGACGCGCATTATGTCCGAGCCGCGCATGGATTGGTAATCAACTGAGATTCATCAAGCTGCATTCACATGTACCAGGACACATACATCCAAAAAGCAAATCGCCATTCATAAAACACCCTCGTAAGAAAGCCTAATGCTTCGCAGCTGCACCAAATCTAGCCACCATCCCCTTTCCAACCCGGTCCTCATCATAGATATAATTCACACTCTCCTGCTGCACCACCGCCTTAGCCCACTTATTAAACTGCGGCGTGCGCTTCTCCAACAAGCCAGGCAGCTCAGCGCTGAGCAATCCGTACTCAGGCTTGGCAAGGGTGAACAAGCGGAGGAGGAACGAGCCAGTCAGGCACTCCGCCAGAGTCAGCTTCTCACTACCGTGGAAAAACGGTCCAGACCCCGAGCCCTTGGGATAGAGCAGGGGCTCCAGCTCCTTCTCGATGGCGGCAACCAGCGCCTCACCGGCAGCCAGTCGCTCCTCGTCGGTGGCGGACCGCATCGAAGCGAACAAATGAGGGAGGACCTTGCTGACAAAGGTGTCGACAAAGAAGGAGATCTGGGCGCGCTTGATGGCCCCCTCGGGGGTGTTGGAGGGAGGAAGCAGGTGTGAGGGGTGAGCGTCGGCCAGGAGCTGAGTCACGATGGCGGACTCGGCGATGATGGTGCCGTTGTAGGAGATGGTGGGGACGAGGCCGCGCTGGACGAGTTAGACATCTGTATAGCGTTTAGATAGAAGGGTAGGTAGCTTACAGGGTTCACTTCCAGATACCAGGGCTCGCGCGGCTTTTCCAGGTCAATGATGACCTCTTTGTATGGAAGGCCCAGCTCCTTGATAGCGATATGGGCGCGATGGGCCCAGGGGCAGAGGTGGTTTGTGTACAGAGTAATCTCGGGAGAAGCCATTGCGGTTGTTGGGAGAGTAGTTTGGGAGAATGTCTGTCTGGTCGAGAGGGAGATGGGGGGTTTATTTATAGGCGGCGCTGCGAAAAGTGGATTTATAATCCACCATCGTGCCAGCGCCTTCGGAAATGATGCGACATAAGCACTTGGAGGAGACGTAAGCAGTCCCATTAGCAGCTTGGAGGAAGTCTGCTATTATAGGCTCTTGGCTTCTAGTGATCTTCTCGGATGACCCGGGAGACGTTGTGGTGTCGCGATGGATGAAGCCATGCTCGAGTGCCGTGTCCATTGCTGAGTCTCCCCACATGGGAACCCCGCAAGCCAAGACAACCCTAATCGGTGATAAAGAGGAGGTTTTGTAAGCGATAATCGAGACTGGTGAGATTCAATATAGCGTATCATAGTTGTAGATTGATGTCCGATTATGGTAAAGACAAGGGTGGCATTGAATTCATCCGCCGCAGAAAGTATGACATCATAGGATATAAGCGTCAAGAAAGACATCCATAATAACGAAACAACAGCCTTATTTCTGGCAATCTGTCGTGCATAGTCGTACAAACATCAACGATTGCAATCCCCTCTCAGGCAGCCATTCCATTCATCATCAACCAGCTCGCAATATAGTTATAAGCCCCAGATGCGTTATAGTGCAAGTTGATCCCGTGTCCCATGTCGGGTTGCACATACGCCTGGATGGTTTTAGGCGCAGTGAAGTATGAGGTGGCATCAGCAACGATAGAGTCCGACATTCCGCCCGTATTGTAGCAGTCGCCACCACAGAATGGCAGGTCATTCGATCCAGTGATGATCAACACCGGGCCAGGGAAGGTATTCTGATCCGGCACGCTGCCGATCGTCAGGAGCTCGCCCACCGTCACCGGCTGTTTGATCTTCGCGTTGTATGTGAGGATGTTTGAATCGAACCATGGCGAACGGCAGAACAGATAATGGTCGGCGTTCATGTTACCGCTGGACAGGTATCCAGGCGTGTAGTTGGTCGTCATGACTGGACGTTGCGTGATGTACGTCTGCTGCCAGTTTCCGCCTGCCAGGAACAATCCAAAGAAGCTCAGGTTCAGAGAGAAGCCAGTGAGCACGATGGCATCAGAAATGTCGGGATACATCGAAGTCAGGTCGTAGGTCTGGACGGATCCGAACGAGTGTCCGACGTGGATGATGCGCTTCGGTCTCTGCATCCCGGGGTAGGATCCGTTACGAACCATGCGTGTCAGTTGCGCCAGTGCAGCAACCTCCAGCCGGGTCTGGATCTCGTTCTTCGGCTCTCCGTGGGATGAGTTGCCGATGCCCAGCCGATCGTACGAAAGTGTGTGATAGCCGTGGGACAGTGCGTTTTCGACATAGGAATAGTTGTAGTTGTTGAATGCAAGGTCCCAATATCTGATCTGATTAGCCAAAGTACGTGTCCTGGCTGAAAATCACATACAGTTTATCGTATCCAATGCCGTGGGTCAAGATCTGCAATGTCGGTGCCCCTCCAACGTTGGTTGTATTGCTCGGCATGCAATACTGTGTTGACAGTCTGTATCTGCCGGTAACCGGCGCATAGCCTGTGAGGGCTTCCATTGTCCCGTTGAAGCCTTGGGTGGATGCACCGAGGATGAAATCAGTCGCCTCCACATTAGTTACTGGTGTGGTGAGATTGTCAAAGACGCCATTTTGAGAGGTCACCATGAGCTCAATGGTCCTATTCTGACAGCTCCTTGCGGCCACCTCAAGACCCCAACACAATAGCCATAACGATAGTATGAGGATTGACA